TACTGAAGGATCAAACAAAAATTTCATACATACTTCTGTGGAGTTAAAACACTGTATCTATTGAGTTTAAACAAATACATAGAAATTAGTGACTAATTAATCGAATAATTAACCAATAAATCCGCCGAAATCTTTGAAAAAAAAAATAAATAAATAAATAAACATCATTTGTTTTATTTTAGTGTAAATATTTATATTTGATATAAAAATTAAATCCTCATTATTTCAGGGAGTTTTAATTATTATTTTCGTTAAGTTTCTTAACCATAGTCTATAAAAAAAAAACATTTGGACCAGTCTGGGCTCCCAAATCTCGGGAAATAATTGGCCAAAAAATCGATCAAATGATCGAACGATGCATAGACAAAAAAAAATATGGACTAAAACGATAAATGTATACTCACAAAATCGAATCATCAATTAAAGTCGAGGATGTGTCGACAAATGCTTCTAACTATGTTAAATAACTATAAATATAATCTAGAAAATTTTCAGGAGAAAAGGCCCGTAAATGTGACTATTCAGAGACAACGACAAACGCATTATTAAGTAAAAAATAAGTGATATACCTTAAAAATTATATAATCTGTATAATTTAAAAGAAAAAACGTAAAAAAAAAAATTCTTACTCTGATGATGATAATAATAAGAATGGTGATTATAATTATGATAATTTATATATTGTTTTTATGATTATATTACGTGTGTTATGAAGAAAATAAATGATTATGTAAAGTAGTGGAGTGATTTAGAAATTAAGTTCAACGTTACGAATAAATAAAAAAAAAGGAAAAAATAAAATAAAAATTAGGCTTCAGCTTTGTACATGAAAAATAAAAGAAAAAAAAAAGTGAAAAATGGAAGCCGAATAATTTTCAAATAAAAATATGAAAAAGTGCCCGACCAGATGTATGAAAGAACGAGAGAAAAGATAAAGAGGGATGAAAGAGATAGAAAGAATGAAAGAGAGAAAAGATGTGAAAACGAGGAAAATTAAAAGAAAATTGTTTTTTGACTGTATATGTTTGGTATATAAATTTAGAATACTATATTTCTCCCTCGAGCGGACTTGTGCGATTTTTAGGATGCCTATTGACATGATGGGAATTTTCCAAGATATTTCCCTAGAAAAATTGGTAACATAGTATACAATTGTTCGAAAATTTTTACATTCAAATCCTTTCTTTCATACATTTTAAAATTCCTTCAATTTTCAATATTATTAATCTACATTTTTTTTTTGGAGCTAAAGAATAAAATAACTTTGTAAAAAATAATCTAATTGAGGTTCTTGAAAAGACATTTGAAACTCTCTTTTAAATTCAACTTTAATTACCTTTATTTTTCACAAAGTTACCAAAGAGACAAAAAAGCGATAAACATTTAGCTTATATATCGAATTTACACAAAACTTTGTTCGAATTTGGTCGAAAAATAAAAATAAAATTCAATTGAAAAATTTTTTTTCTCCCTAGAGCAAACTTTCCTCTAATCACTTTGCTCATTTAACCGTCGTCGCATTTTTTATCACCAAGTTATTCACTGCCTTAATAAAAATCAACTCTAAATTCATGAAAAGATCTCACAAAGTTGAAAGTCTGCTCTCCATAAATTGATTTATCTAAATATTTAAACGTTAAATAAAATCATAATATTGATTGATTTTAATGAGTAAAGATCTTTGAACAATTGTACAGATGGTTGAATAAAATAACTTAATAATGATTATACGAACCAAGAAGCAATACTGTGGATGCCTATATTAATTATTCTTTATACGAGTATGTTAGTCTGATATGAGGGAAGCAGTAAACCAAAAGAAAAAAAAAATATAAATATATATATGTATAAATACTCCCTGGCTGACGAACACTATAGCCATTGTTTTTTTATCTAAATGTATAAATTTTTCTTACTAAATTCTCTGTATAAATTTCTATTATTCATATCTTAAGGTCTATCCTCAGTGTTCTTAAAGCGAATTTCATAACCACATTGTCGTGGATAATAAAAAAAAAAAATCATGCAATAATAATTTTACCGAGCAAAATAAATGAATAGAAACGAAATACTTGTAATGATAAATGTTATAATGATTAATTAATTAATTATCAATTAATTAGTTATAATTAATTTTTATTAGAAAATAATTAAATTTAAAGAAAACAGTGTGCCCAAAAATCGCACGAAATTTGCTGAGGATCATCATTATTTTTTGAAAATAACCGGCGCTAAAAATAGACGATTCAAACAAAAAGAAAATAATAATAACCCATAGAATTTTTGGATGTATTGTTGAGTGTACGGATTAAAGTGTTTTAACGGAAAAAAAAAATTAAAAATGAGTCTAAAAATTAAATTGATATAAAAACAAATTAATAAGAAAAACAAAAAAAAAATAGAAAATAAGAAACAACCTCTTGTATAAAGTAGGAAGCTTAGAAGTTAAACGCTGTAATACAAGCGAAATTTGTTGTTAAACATTAATTTTAAGTAACAAACTATTATTAAACAAAAAAAAAATTTTAAGAATATCGATAATAATACAATGATTGTTGTTAGATATTATATATTAATATAAATATTGAAAATATATATATGTATATACATGAATAAATATATACATATACATATTGATATAAATAACAAGGAGATTCAGACGGAACTAAACCTAAAAAAAAAAAAACAAATAAATATATATTATGTACGAATAATTATTGAGCATCCCTGAGTGAATTGTGGTAACACTTGCGTAGTGATTTATCTGCTCCTATCGAATCAAAAAATTAGGGATGATTCTTATCAAACGGCCCTGAATCCTACAAGAAAACAAAATATATATGTATAAACTTAAAAGTAGTGATTATAGAAATAAGAAAAACATGTCCGAAATCACCTGAATATCAACATCTTTGGGAACTGTCTAGTTGAAATTCGAAACACTTTTCATCATAGCCAAAAATGTAATGTTTTTCTGACCACGACGCTTTTATTTTTTCTAATGACCATTAAAGTTAAATTAATCTTCTTAAGTGAATGAATGAGTTCTAATGATTGAGTTTGCAGATATAAATTATAAGATTTAAAAATGAAATTGATTTCCAAAGAAAAATTAAATAAATAACCCACTTTCAGACTGTTCCCTGAAACCAATAAATTAACATACTCCTTTAAGGCTGACCAATTAGTAGACTTTTTGATTTGAAGATCCATGTAAAATTCAGGGTCGCAAACTATCGATAGATATTACCACTACTTCTAGAATATAAAATAAAAATAAACAAATAAATCTGCGTATATGTTATTTAGTTCTAATATCATTGATAAACAAAATTACGTAATAAAAATGAACCATGTTACCGTATTCATGTTATAAGTGTTTAATAAAAATTTATCTTCTTGCATTAAACTTTCCCTCCCCCTCTCTCACATATATACACACACACACACTCTTTTTCTCTCTTTCTTTTATCCTCTCTTTTTTTTTTGTTGTCATATATATGTGATTTTTATGATAAAACAAATAAAGTACTGAGACGAGTTTTTATCGTTACATGAAACGTTGAAAATCTTGATAATAAAATCATGTGCCTAATGTCAGAGAGAAAATTCAATCTAAGACTGGTTTTAAAGTTAACGAAGAAACAGCGTCGCAACTGAAGAAGAAACTAAACGCATTCAATTGATGCAGCAACTAAACGACGAGACACATGAACAACCACGAGAAGCGCAAACTTGCGCTCAAGAGTCAAGGTGATCATCTTCCCCTCATCCACAACATAGCCGTCATCTTATGGACTCTTATGGGTTCTAGTTGTTTTTTATTCTTTTCATTTTATAGCTCTTATGTCTAATGCCATCTCGTTGCGACATTTGTAACCTTTTAATAACGATACAACATTATATGCAATAAAGTTCCTTTATTTTTTATTGATTATTACAATAATACTAGGTAGAATACGCAACGATACAAAAATGAATCGATACACATCAGTCTTAACTTTTATAGCAAATCATACACTAAGAAAAAAAATTTATAAAATTACATTGTTTATAGAGTAATTTATATATTTAATTTTACTATTAATTATTTAATAAACAAAATATCAATAAATAATATTATGACATTGAATTGTTTTCTTTATTTCAAATCCAAATTAGAAAAATTTTTTTTCTTAGTTGATTTTCAAGTGCTCATAAAATGATTACATTGATAAGCAATAACGATAATCCACTAATGAGGATTGAAAATTTTAAGAAAGTAGTAAGATCGTTTTCAAATATAGTTTATCTCCATAAAATATTTTCTATCAGTAAAAATATTAAATAGCTCAAGGGTAAATTTGTCAGTGTTGACAATTAATACATTGATTAGTGAAGTTTCGAGTTTACTGTAGTATCTGTTGTGGCTAAGTTTATACGCAATTTAAAAACTCAACATACATATAATTTTTTAGCATGAATACAAAAAGCTAGTCTTAAAGTACGTACAGTTGCTATATTTATTGATGAAGTAATAGAATATAATTTAACATATTTAATAATATTAAATCTATTCTTAAAAAATAATCATTTTTCTTAATATTAAATAAAAGTATGGATAATAATTAAATGCAAACAACAAACTTGTAAAATATTATTGATGTATATAACACCTTCATCAATTAATATTCTACATTATTGAAATTATCGACAATCATTAATTTGAGATCAATTTAAAATGTATTCTTGTTTCATTCATCAACATTCAATTATTTATAATTTCATATTTTTGAAATAGATGTATCACAAAGTATTATTCTTACTCATTATCATTTAAATTTCAAAAATAATTACAACTCACTTTAAAACTTTTCATTTCTTGAATAAATAATTCAATATACTTTGCAACCAAGTTGCATATAAATAGAAAATTAAAACATTTTTCACTGTAAAACTAAAGTAAACAGACCAATAGATAATATCAGTGACTTTATTAAAAATAAAAAAATTCTTTTCATCATTTTAATTAAAAAATATACATAAAACTTGAAATTTTCAATTCAAAAGTTTCTTTTTTTATCCATTAGTCGATTTACCCTAACAAAACTCGTTATCAGTACGAGAAATATTTTTTTTTTGTTAACAATAAATTGCCGATGAGATCATTTTTTTCGAAGTTAGAATTAAATTACTTAATTATTTACAATCAAATTATTTGTTTAGATTTAATATTTCTCTAGGCTTCAGCTCAAAATTGAAAGAATCCGGCGGTACAGCAATACATCCAGGATTCAATTGTTTTTTCAATCCATCAAAATTATTATTAACTGGTCTTACATTAAATTTCGATAACAGTCCGGTGATGACAACAAATGCAAAGCCTTGCACTAGTCTTTGACCAATGCATGTACGTTTCCCTGTTGAGAATGGTACAAAATGCTGTGGCTTTATTATTTTTGCTGAACCATCAACCACGGAAATAAATCTTTCCGGTTTAAATTCATGGGCATCTTCACCCCAATATGATGCTCCCAAATTTAAATTGAAATTATTGATAAAAATGACAGTATTTTTTTTAATGGGATAACCATCAATATCTGTATCAACTGTCGCAACATGAGGAACAATAGGAGAACTTGATATTCTTAATGTTTCCCAAATGACTGCATCAGTATAAGGCATTTCAGCTCTATTATTTAGAGTTATAAAGTCTGTTGATTTGTCTGACTGATGCAGGAATAAATCACATTCTTCTTGAACTTTCTTTTGGACTTCAGGTCTAATAGCTAAGTGTGCTAAAATCAGCATCACCAAGTTACCAATTGCTGAATGACCACCAAGGAAATCTTCTAGTTCAAACATGATATGCTCCCAAGAAACATTTGATTCGCTGGACGATTGTAATTGGAGCAGCAATGCATCTGTGAAATCCCGGGGTTCGTTTGATTCTGAGTCTAAATTTTTCAAGTGATCCTCGATGATTCGGCTTAAAATAAAACTGCGGATCTCAATTGACCAATTTCTCAATTTTTCCATTGTAGAGCTATAAAACGGAGTGAGCCATGGTAAGAAATCAACTGCATAACCGTGATTGATGTCCCAAAAAATTTCGTCAAATGAACGGACAATTCGACGAAAATCTTCATCATGATATGTAAATCTCGTTGAACACATGTATCGTGTGAACATATTAGCAAGAGTTGCTAATAACAATGGTTTCAGTGATTTCTTACCATCAGTTATTTCTTTTGATTCTTCACTTTCCAACATTGATAACAGCTCACGAGATTCTTCTATTGCTATTTTTGATAATATTTCCTGCTGAAGACTTCCACCGCGGGGAGAACAGAAAACTCGAGCAATTGATCGTCGTGTTCGTTGGAGATCTGACCAATCACACAATGCTAGAGCTAGAAAAGATTAAAGATGTCTATATAAATAATTTATCACTCAAATTGATTATTCATAAATTTTTTGTCTTACAATAACTTGAGGAATTTCATGGAAAAGAGAAAATATGATTGAGGACTATGGTACATAATAATCTCTCAATTTAAAAATTATTGTTATAAAAATGAACTTAAACATGAATAATTCTTGTGAGAATTTTACTGGTTACTGTACAGAACTTTTACAGTTGCCATATTAAATAGTAATCAGTACTGTGCTTATAAGAATCAATCATATTCAGATTTATTGTTATTATCTAGCACAGTACTGAATCATGTTGACTTTGTTCTGTATAAATCAACTACTTTTACTGCAATTATTCCAAACTATATTCTATTAATCTTTTTTATTCTAAAAATTTTTTTATTCGTTATAAAAAAAAAATTTCTGCTTAAAAGAATCAGAACAAGGTCTCTTGATTTTTTAAAAAGTTTATAAAGATTTTTCTAAACTTGAACTTTTTCTTTGAAAAAGCTCCAAAGCTTAAACTTTTGTTCATCAAGTATTGAACATTTCAACTTATTTTATAATGACTTTTATCAACATTAAAAAGTTATTCATTTTTTATTTTGATTTTTTTAAAAGTTATAAATAAATTACTCACAATTATTTCTATCGCCTCCAAAAAGCTCATGAAATCGTAGAAAATCCGGTCGTCCACCAAATTCATGTCCTTTTGTTATCAATACTTCTTTAACATAATTATAACTACTCACAACAACACAGTTAACTGCACCAAGTTTTATTTTATAAATATCACCATATTTGTCTGCAAGTCTTGTAAATGCATCATATGGCCCTGCTGGACCCTGTAGATGATGAAGACCTCCAAAGATCGGCCAACATTTTGGTCCGGTTAAGACTTTTTTTTTCACTTCAGGTTTGTCTAGTTCCGTTTCTTTACGTTCTTTCGTTCTTAGGAGGATCACGGCAAATATTATAACGCAGGTCAAGAGCACACACCACAAACCGATCATTATCATTGCGAAGGACTTATTTAGCAAATAAACGCCACTAATGATTATTTTATTTTTATTTTTAAAAAAACAATGGAATAATGTTGGAAGTGGTAAGTAGTGTAATGAAAACAGGAAACTCGTCAAATAGGAAGAAGCGATGGAAAATGAATCTCGACGGACCGCTGTCCCGGTTCTAAGGCGTTTCAAGTGGCCAGAACGGGATAGGAGTGAGGAAGAAATAGAATGGGGGACCAGCAGGGCAAGTATTAGTAGTAGTTAGCAGCAAATGTAGTAGTTGTTGTAGTAATAGGCAATGGTAGCTGACGGCGCCTCTGCACGGCTTGGAAGGAAACATACAGGAGTAAGGGAAAAAAAAAAGGAAAAAATGTTCTAAAAAATATTAAGGACGGACACAAACGATGCGTACTTATTTAAAAATTGGATAAAGTTTCTTCAACGTCCTGAACGTAATTGATGCTACCACGCTACTGAATGGACGATCTTTAGTTGGGTCGAGGCTCTTATAGCCCCGGAAGCCGGTCTTCCACCGTTCCTTCCTCTTTTACAGCCAATCAATCGGTAATCTTATCACAATCTGTGATTTATTTCTACCAGTACATATTGCCTTAAAAAAATTTTCTAACCAGTTTTTACGGTCACTTAGGATCTTATCTTCATATGATGCTAATAATTTCTTCGTCAAGTACAATGTTACTTTGAGATTAATTAAATAAAAGGCATTGTAATCATTAACGAAATAAATCAATGGAAATTTTTTTTATTTCTTCATCATCAATTAGTATATTATATTAAATGTCAAGTTCATCAAAGATTTGTATTTTTTGATAAAAAATATTAAAATGTAAATTAATTTAGTATTAATGAATGCAATTTACTATAATCATTATCAGTAATAATTATCTGATATAAAAGAAAAAAAAGAAACTTTTGATCAATAGATCATTAAAGAACAATAAAATTGGCATTTTGTTTTCGAGTTGATATGAAATGCCATAACTTTATACCCATTATAAATATTGATCACATTGATAAAAACACTTTATCTATCAGTTACTTTGATTATCAAATTCACAGAAATCATGAACAAACATTATTTCCCTAACATCGTTATTTTGTAATATATGTACTTTAAACCGACATATTTTACAAATCACTTACTAATATCATTAAATTTCATAGACTAATTGAGGAGATATTATTATTTTTTTAATGTCAAGTAATAACTAATGTTGAAGGCTGAAAACTATCAGTCAGCATCAATAGTTAGATCTGATGGAAAATCTTCTTTTAAAAGCAGACAGCTTTGAACATCTGAGTGATATGAATTTGGGCAAATTTACCGATGCTATAGTGATAAAAAAATAAATAATGATACGATTCCAAGTGATACTTAAAGGGCGTGATTTATTATTCAACACTGGATCCAGTCCAGGTAGACATCGTCAGGGTTAAATGGGCTGAAGAAGACTGACGAGGTTTATTTTTAGGCCCAATCAGGGCATCTTCCCCCTTTTCGGGGAAGGTAATTATTGTAGGTAATTTCGTGTCTCGCTGGCTACTTCATCTCTGCCAAGTCGAAAGATGATGCTGGAATTTTTTTTTTTTATCAGAAATTGTTATTAAACACCTATCTATTTTTATTATGAAAGCTGTTTGTTTCGACTACCTTAAAAAAAACATTGCTTTTTTATGAAAGTAACAAATTGTGGTGGACTAAAATTTTGGAGAATAAATAATAAAAGAGTATATCATTTGATCTATATTAGATATATTTATTTTTTATTTATTTACTCTTTTTATTTTTCTACGTGTATTTTTAAAGCAATTGACATTTTTCTCTTGGAAATGTTCGTGTTAAAATGTTGCAATAAAATTCGTATAAAATGAAGAGAAGAGTGGTGGGATCTATTCTATGGTACGCATAATAATTAAAGCTCGAAACGATGCGAATAAAAATGACAGGAGTATATTCGTAAAGCTGTGAGAACTCATAAAATATAAACACGTCTTTATTGATATTAAAAAAAAAGATATTGAGATTTGAGTGAAAGAAATTTTCCAACTCATTGTTTATAGATTTTAGTGACAATAATCGACGTAAATATTTATTTGAATATAAAAAAAAAAGAAAGAAAAAATATAATATTGACTTTATTGATTCAAAATCAATATTTTAACACAGTAACTTTAAATTATACTCTGAAACTTTGCCATACACATACAGAGTTTGAAAACAATTCATCACTTATTTCGACCTGTTGATGAATGATTCACAAAGTATTTATCGTCAAACTTAGCTATCGACACACTAAAACTTTAGTTGAAAATAAAACATGAATTCGTGAATCTCAAAGTGCAGAAACGTGTGGTGAATACATAAATATTTTATGTCACTGTTATAAAATAAAAATTTAAAAGAAATAATGAAGGAAAAAATTGAGAAGATGTAATGAAGGTGCATTTGATGGATGCAGTGGCCGCGAAAATAAACTAAAATTTATTTCGTGCAAAGACAAGGGTCCAGTATGTGATTTTAGTGAAGCTGCAGCTGCATGTAATCGAACCACCATAATTTATTTTTCTTTCTTATTTGTCAGTCCTCCAGTCATCTTTCTTTATTTTTTTGTTTATTATCGAACTTCCATTACTCTTTTTCCTTCTTGAGTATACTTTCGCCTTTCTCCGTGATTTTTCATAGAAGCCACTTTTTTTTTTAGCTTATATTCATTAATCATTTAATACTGCTGTTTCTATTTTTAAATAGTTTTGTTTTTTTTTTATTTCCATTTTGCTCTGCAGAAAAAAAATTATTTATAGCGCGAAATCGAATTTTTAATATTAATACTATTGCAAAAGTGTGTTAAGTAGAATTTTAATTAAAAATAAAATTTATTCAGAATTAAAAACAAAAACTCTTAAATTATTTCTATTACTTTCATTAAAATAAATAAAGAAATAATATATTGTTTGAAAAATTTAATTCAATATCTATCTCTTGTTTTACAAAATATTGATACAACTTCAATAAAAATTCAGTACTCAAAATATATACCTTCAATTAATTTACCATTTTATATAAAAAAAAGAAAAAATAGAATACATGATGTAAAAATATTGAACAAATATTTTCACCAACATTTCTGGATAAAAAAAATCATTATTGATTCATTCGTAGGATAAAATGTAAATTTAAATGAAACTTCTATTTACCAAAAAAAAAAAAATTAATAACTTCTATTTTTAGAAGATTCGGACTAAACAAATATTCAAATTTTTCTATATATCTTTATTAATTAAAAATATTGAAAAACATGAATAAACAGTTCTATATGTTATTCTTAATTAAAAGTAAAATAATAAACAAGAAAAAAAATAAATAAAGTAAAAACTAATAGGATAGAACAAATAACGAAAAATCAAATCGTCACAAGTATTTGATTTAATAATAATTTGACTTTTTTTTGCTTTTCAGAGACTCTGAAATGGGAAACTACAAAGACTCATTTTAAAGAGATACAATGTTAAAAACAAGTGTAGGTATCAAAATGAAATTGCTGACGAGAATGTTAATGCTGCCGAGTAGCATGTTTCTGATATATGGATTAGAGAAAGATGAAGGTGAGGTATCAAGTTAACTCTTCATTCTTTTGCTGACATCAAATTACTGCGAAATTGAGGGAGAAGTATGTATGTTCGATAACTTGTCGTGTTCCTTCTCTTTTACTACCTTCATCTTGTATTTTTTTTTTACTTTTTACATGACTTTGCACACTGCACATGTGCTTGAATACTGAATCGATGAAAATACCTTGGAGTATATAAAGTCAAGATCAAGTTTATTTTTATGTATGTTAGTAGACTAGTATTGCATCATTGCATCTTTACCTAATAAAAACAAGTTATTTTCATTTTTGTTATCATTTATTTTCATTTAATTTGATTATTTTCAAGTTGCAGCAAAAACAATTTCTTCACAATGCATCAGTGATACCGAACCTTTTCAATCATTGTCAACATTGACAATCAATCTATTCAAATTTTTCATGCTGTTAAAAAGTGTATTAAAAAATAAATTCTATGTGTGACAGTGAAGAGGAAGAAGAAGAAAAGCCATCAGAGAATTGTCAATTAATATTAGGTTCAAAATTATAATCCAGGATTTAGATACTATCAGCAGGTAAGCCACTCAAGGAAGCCAAGCGTTAGTTGGGACATATACAGATTTTAATGCATCTTTCTTACAATGCTTTTAACATAGTCATCATGCTAAGAAGGGTAATTAGTGAGATTTTTGCTCAATTTTCGTGACAGTCAATTTATCATTGAAGTCACTAAAGACTTGTACTTAATTATACCTATGAAGTAACTTGTACAGTTTCATGTTTTATTTCTTCAACTAAAAAATAGTGAATTTAAAAAATTGGAATGAGTTAGATATGATTATCTAATGAATAAAAATGAAATATCTAAACATGATAAATATAAGGATATTATTTGTAATATCAGTTACTTCAATTATCGACTAATTAACATTTTTATAAATTTATTTTCCAACCACTCTGACAGAAAGACACCTTTCATTCATCTTCATCACTAAAGACTCCTCACAGTATTTTCCCTCGTATTTTTTTACATTTTCTAAAAATAAAAAATTCAACCTGTCTATGCTGACTGCATACTTAATATTTATCTGTCTCCCTTATCTGTATGATAGGAGAAAAAACGCATTCAAAAATCAACGAAAGTACCCAGATTTCCTGATAATGATCAGATAAGTAAACGAACTTAATAGCTGTCTATCAAGCTATTTAAAAACTTTTGCATAAATAAAAATTTTTAACTCAACTAAAGTTTTCAATGAAAAAAAAAAGAAATTTTTATTTTTAAAAATAGTTTACCTCATTTTTTCTTGATATTTTATTTGTTCCATTACCTCAACAGGTATTGATTGACTTGCGATTAACTTGCTGAGTAGAGTGGATAATTATGAACCACTGATCTAATGGCGGAAATTTCACAATCAATTCAAGACCGTCATGATCAATCAATTTTCATCAATTCAACTATGTGGCTTAATTGATTGCGATGTTCTACTGATGCTTGTAAAAATCTGTCCAAAGGATAATGAACATTTAATTAAATTCTCTTGAAAGGATTAACGTTTGAAGAGATCACAAAAATGATGGAAACATGAATTTTTGATATATTCATCTATTCATTCATACGGTGATGATGAAAATAAAACATTTTTTTTTATTTTTAGCTCGTTTCAATTTTGTTTGCCTATGTTTTTCAAGTCGAAATCAATGACTTTCCAATTAAAACAATACACTATTCTCTTCTCTTCTCCACTGAAACAATGCTATTGGAAAACTCTCTTGTTCGCCGTTTCTTTAAAAATAGAATTAGCTATTGAAGATTTGAATTCGATCCATTTTCCAGCCCAACAAGTCTCCAGGATCAAAAAAACAGCCACTGAGTCTAGATCCGAATTAATTTTTTAATTCCGAAAATGTTTCTCACTAAAACTTTCTCTTACTAAAACCAATCTAACACAATAAATACTTGATGATCAATTTGACATAAAAGATAACCTCATAAACAAGATCTGATGATGTTACCAGTACCGGTTTCACACCGACAGTTTATATATCCTGAAGATAGCATAAACTATCCACAGTAGTGTACCCCTGTCATTTCTAGACACTGAACAACTCCATGGTGTCAATTTCAATTTTTTTTGCCACTTGTGGAAAAAAAACAATCTCAAAATTTCTTTTCATATTACATCAGTCATCTTCCTTCCATGGCAAAAATGTTTACGGGGTCCGGATAAGTTGGATTGAATAGAAATTAGAGATAGAAGATAAGTAAAACGACGATGAAAGATAAGTAAAATTAATAATGTATGGATTTCTGTTCGAACAATGTATAATGGATGCGTAAAACCCTCACTATGGGCCTCGTGCTGATTCTTTTTACATCTTTTTACAACCTCCCTCCCTTAAATTGTATAAGAGTCAAGCCACACGCTATTATATAAGTAAATCCACAGGCTAAACTTGTTTCAGTTAGTCAAAAAATCTTCTCACTGTCGGTCGAATACTTTGGATTCTTTCCATTGTTTTCTCATCAAAATTTTAAAATGATTGAGTGGATCATATTAGTTTTGGGTTTGATATCTTATTATTTATATTTTTGGAAAATCCATGCCATCAAAGTAAGTCCAAATAACACTCTATTTTTTATTTTTATTTTTATAAATATATTTTTTGCTTACTAATCTGGATAAATTTAACAAGTGTCAATTTATTTTTGTTTGCTGACACTGGAAATTTTATAAAATATTAGAACGTACCACATAGAATCTATTTATTCTTTTAATATTTTTTATTTTACTAATTATATGATTTGTTTTTTTTATGAGCTTTTATTTCTTTTGAATGTTGACAAAAATTCCTGTTTATCTTTAAATTTCCGTAATATTTTTCATTTTATTTGAGTTCCTTGACATGAAATATTAAATTTGGTAGACCTTGACCGTCATAAAAAGTTATAAGTATGATAATCAGAAGTGAATACTATAATTATGTCGCCAAAACAGGTGCTATTGGAATCCTTTATATTTTTTTTGGCAAGAAAAAAATAAAGCAGGAAATGTATTCAACACATTCTACCTTTAAATAATATTATCCATTAATTATTCAACTTTTACAACCTAAATCTCTTGTTAACTTACAGGTTGTTATATCTAAATGAATAATATTAACAAAAAATTGTCTCTTGCTAATACTAATTCTGAAGATAAAAATGAGATAATTTGTACTCGATAATTATCTCAATGCATAAACATTAAAATAATGAAGTAATTCATTAAGAAGACTCCAGACTTCTATTAATTTTTTTACTTTGTTTCAGACATTTAAAGCCACAAATAATCTAAGAAATAAATCTAATCTAACCCAGAGAACAAAGGATTTACCTCCAGTTTACCCGAATGGTTGGTTTGCTCTTCTTCATAGTTGCGAGCTAGGAAAAGGTCAGGTCAAATACATCTCAGCACTTGGAGAACATTTTGCAGTCTTTAGGTAGGATCAATTGTTTATTAAGATCAAGTTCATGAATTATTTTAGCTGGTTGTATAAATCTTGCACTCTTTTACATTTTATAGGACAGAAAGTGGAATAGTAAATATTATTAATGCTTACTGTCCACATCTTGGAGCGAATCTTGGTATTGGAGGCAAGGTAAAAGGTGACTGTCTTGAATGTCCTTTTCACAGTTGGACATTTAATGGCGACGGTCAATGCCAAAGTATTCCTTACTCTTCTCGAGGTAAGTTTAAATTGTATATGTATTTAGATTAAATATTAAAATCACTTGGAAAAATTTTATCTTCTTTTACGAGTTTATATAAATTAATTTTATTAAAATTTTTTTGTATTGTTGAAAAGTAATTCATTTGAAACATATTCATTTCTATTACAGCATTATCAGGAATCAAAACAAAGAACTGGATATGTCGAGAAGTTAATAAAGAAATATTTATATGGTATCATGCAGAATCAATGGATCCATATTGGGAAATCGAAGCAATTCCTGAAATTGATAACGGCAAATGGATCTATCAAGGGCAAAATGAATATTTCGTCAATTGTCATATACAAGTAAGACCCAGAAAAATTACAAACTCCAAAAATATTTTTCATTCTTCTTATGGTTGAGATAATCTGATGATTTTCTACGTCTATAACTTTACAAGCACCATATACTTCCACAAATGTTCCGTTTTAATTGAATAGGTACGGAGCATTGATAATACCATAATTATGTTAACCATTATTAATTGATAAGTAACACTACTTTTTTCTTTTTGAATAATTGGATTTATAAATCGTCAGGAAATACCTGAAAATGGATCTGATTGGACACATCTGGATGCAGTTCATGTTCCTGCAATGTTCTGTGAAAATTTATCTCCTTCAATACTCCATCATTCTTGGACTGGAAGTGGTTGGTGTCCTCCTGAATCAATTGACGTCGATCAAGATCACAAATATTCAGAAAATGATAAAGTTAAAATAAACTCTGGTATTCAAAATGGAAATACGACAAAAATGAACCTGAAATCAATTGAAAATTCATTAGGAAATACGGAAAAAATTGAAATTGAAGATCGACGAAAAATACCAGTCAAAAATCAAAAACATCTAGCAACTTTTCATCTTATTCACAACATCAAATTGTTCAATAAATTTTCTTTTCTTCGTTTGGAAGTTAATGGAGTTCAAATTGGTCCTGGCTACGTGTTAATGAACATAAAAACATCATTCGGTCCAATTTGTATTCTTCAAACAGTAACACCAGTAGAACCACTTCTTCAACGTGTCACTCATTTAGTCTACTCGCCATTTTTTAACAGTCCACTCACGAAAATAGTCTTTTACGGTATGGAAAATATGTTTGAACGTGATGTACTAGTTTGGGACCATAAAATATACCTCAAAAATCCGATTCTAGTGAAAGAAGAGCGACGCATCGCTACATTCCGACGATGGTATTCGCAATTCTATTCGACTAACAGTCCAACACATAAGTCTCTAACTTCTCTTGATTGGTAAGGATTTGTAGTTAGTTTTCTGTTACTTGTTATTTACTATTATTTGTAATAAAATAAATCAATAAGCTTTTTTTTGTACCTTAAATAAAATAATAATTCTTCATAAATTGTTTTCTATTCATATTACCAAGACATTATTTTAAATCATATTTGAAAAATGTGTAGTAAATCAAAAGTCTTTACTTTTTTTTCGAAAACTTCAGTTTTTGATCGAACAAAAAGACAACAAAAAACTAATCGATAAACAGTTAACATTGTAGGATTAACAAAAACAAATATCAATTTTTTTACTTGAAAAATGATGTCTTTATTTAATAAAGAAAAAACTATAAATAAAAACTGAAAATAATTCTTTCATCTTCGAAGAGATGTATATCTATCAATGTATTCAACCTGTTCAAACAATAGTTTGTTAATCAAGAAAATTATATTTTTCATATCATTGTACTAATAGAAAAAATAAAAATAAATATGTATTCAGATGCACTTGTAACTACAATGTAGTTTTAATTGAAGAAATAATTATTGCTACTGAAAAACCATGATTTTCACGGTTTAAATGACTACGATTACAATAATAATTTCAAATATTGCAAATAGTTAAAGTTAAAGAGTGATTAATTCTTACATAAGTGAAGGATTATTAATCAATTTATATTAATATAATAAAAAATTAATAAAAAGAACTTGGACAAATATGTTTACAAATATGTCAATGTAAGTTCGTATAAATTATCACAGGATACGCTTTTTTTATACATTATCATCTACTCCTAAATATTAGTGACCATATTAATATAAAACACTGAAGAATCTTATTTTTATTTTATGAAATGATTTCGCATTACTAAAGTTGGAGAAAAGTTCCAAATAAAATAAAATGAATATTTTTTTTAAATTTCTACACGAAAAAAAGAAAGAAAATTGTGTAATTAATATCACTGAAGAATAAAATTCTTATAATTACGCATTGCTCGTAATTTGTTGCGCAATGAAGCTATTAAGTCTGTTGGTTGGACAACTATTGATATATCGCGACCGATGGCGCGAAGTCGTTCACTCGCACAGCTGTCAAACATATTTAAAGGCCTTCCATTCATTTCTGTCAGAGTCCACGTGGTCGATGAACCAATCGGCGCTGTTGGATCCATTGCTTCTGCTAAAGGAGGTAATCCTGCATTTAAAGCAGCACCATAAACACCTGATAATTCATTGCCATTGACTTCTAATCCAAAATCTTCACTTTCTGTACGTTTTGTCAAAATCATTGCTTTGGCGTAAGGTAAACGTCGTACGATAACTTCAATCTGTAGAAATAAATAATAAACCTTTATTATTAAATCACTACAACTAAGGAAGTAGAAATTCAAGGGCATCAAATATTTTTAACATTCATATCATGGTTGTCTAAACATTTATTATCAAAGTAATAAGCTTTAAAGATAGCTATTCTATTAGATAATGCAATAAAAAAATTTTTTCTTATTATTGAACGACTTTATAATTTCAGTCTATTAAAATTTTTTCTGAATTATAAGACGTTCATTTGATGTTAAAAGAAAAAGTACAATAATTCAATTACTCTTGGCGTGGTGATGCCTTTGAGAATATCACGAATAGCTGCTGCATTAACTGGTTTAACTCCAGCTACACTTAAAACCATATCTCCAACATGAAGGACATTGTAAAGTAAAGGATGCTCTTTATATTTCCATCCAGCTACCCTAAAGTTATTATAAAGAATGAATTAGTTTTATGAAAATTCATAGCTTGAATTAAAAAAAAAAAAGTTCTTGACATTAATGTTATAGAGTAATTCTCACCAAATTGATCCGAATGAGTCAACAAAAGCAATTCCGTCTTTACAATCTCTCCTTCCAAGCTGCAATCTCACTCCAGCTCTGTGATTCATTTCTCTTTTTAATTGAGCTACCTGTTTCTCTCTTAATGTTAATAATTTTGGAGTATTAATAACGTTTGTTGTACTAGAAACTCCAGATGAGTGGTTTTGACCACTTTGACTTGATCTTGGAGTTATTGATTGACTTGGTCGACTTTGATGACTTAGTTCAGGTGTGTCAGAACTTCTACATTCTATTAAAGCTGCATATTGTTCAAAAGAAGGCTCAACAACTGGCTGACTAGATCCTCTTTCCGATTGATTTTGATTTTGTTCAACAACCGGTGGACAGTTTGACGGATTAACTGATGGAATTAATGGTGCCGATGATGCCATAAATATATTATCGTAACTTAAATCACCGCTATCATTACTTGTAGTTGGAATAGATGTTCCAGTGGAATTAGATGCACTAGTAGGATGAGATCTAGCTCGAATATTTTGTAAATGATTGGGTCTAGGTCTTCTTTCTTCACGTGTTATTTCCTCAAAAGTGAATATAGTTGGAGAATTTCGACTATTTTGATCTCTTTCTGAAGGTGATTCAGTAATACTTACTTCGGAACTCGACGGAGTTTGTTGAATAGGCCGTGATGACCTAGAAATGAAGGAATAAAGAATGTTTACTTAACACTGACAACTTTGAATTTGTTTTAAAATATAAATTTATATTGTATAATTACCCAGAAGGCAAAGGTGGAGGAGGAAGTGGACTAGTAGGATCTCTGGTAGCAATCCTTTCAGGCCCTTTAGAATAAACATTTTCTTTAGGACTTAGAATTTTCATGTCTGTCAATTTGCGCGTAATAACTTGCACCCACTCAAGCATAGTTTGATAAGACGGAGCTGCAAGTCTAAGAACTCGATCGTCATTAAAATTAATACAAAACTCATAATCATGACGAGAAGTAGCGCATAGCGTGGGTGAAAGATGTTGAATATTTCGCAAAGAATGCGCCCACACTGGTGAGTGTGTAGTTGATTGTTTTTGATCAGTAAAGCCTTCTAAATGTGGCTCAGTATCATTATGAACACAAAAAGCTACCCAAAATCGGCTAGCTTCTTTTTCAGACTTAGCTGTTTTACGTAGCCAGCCATTTTTGTAAATTTCACGGAACATTATTGTATTTTCTCCGAGTGAAGTTTGTCGATCCATTGTTGGCTCACTTTCTCGACGATAATCTACAGGTCTTGCTAATTCTGTCAACAAACGCACAGCCTGGAGCATTTTGAAGATTTAGAAAAATTGTCAGAAACGTTATCACCTTTTTTTATCGTCCAATTGAGTCTCATGACAAAACTGAAACTTCAGTACAATTAGTTTTATGTAGATTTATGTAAAAATAATTGACTCCATAACTCGATTTTCTAGTCATACCACTGATAAGACCTACACTTACTATTTATGCTTTAACTCATTAATTATTAAGAAAATGGAGTCATTTTAAAAAGATATTCAAGAATGTGTGTAGTTGTTATTCTTTACAAAGTACAATCACTTTTTATTAGAATATGTAGACGATAAGCAATTAGAGCAAGTAAACTAATAATTTAATTACTTAATCACCCTTGTCAAAATTATATGTATTATTTTTTTTATATACTTTTTAATATGATTTTTTTCAATTTGTTGACGATCCTATAGATAGTATTTATGTTTTACATACAATTAATAGAGAAAAAACCCATATATATATATAGAAATGATTACTATCACCATCTTATGTGTATGTTAGGATTCATTTTATCTACATTTGATATAATAGGAAGTTAACTTTTTAAATAAACCACAAATGAACAGGGAAATTTATATTTGAAATTTTTTATTTAAAATTAATTACAAAAGAGAAATTAGGGGTTAAAAATTAAAATATTTCTTCGTAAATTTCTTTCAAAACTAAATTAAATACATTAATTGTAAAAAATTCATTTTTAATGTAACAATATATACATTTTCTGAAAAATACTTATTACGATGTAAGTTTAACTCTATCATCACTTATAACTAATTGAGATATTTTGTTAAGTTTTTTATTAAACCTAGATTCAATTTTGTCATAGGAAACATCTGGATATACACTTAAATACTTTTGGAGCACTTTTTTCTTTAATTTCTTCAATGAAATTTCTTGTTTTGATTCGAAAATTTCTAATATTTCCGATTTCCAATCAAACTTGTGACTTTTTTCACTCGATTCTCCATTATCTTTATTTTCTTCGACATTTTCAATTTGTACTCCATTGCTTAAATGATTTTCTTTAAAATTACCATTCTCTGAAATTGCTTCAGAATTATTTAACTTTTTCTTCTTATTTTTTGGTTTCTTCTCAATTTCATCTACTTCATTACTATTCTTATTAGTGTTTATTTCTTCTTGTTCTAAATTTTTTCGTTTCTTCTTTTTAGAGGATTTTTTCTTCATCTCTTCATCGTCTTCTTTTTCTACTTCAATTACTTCTTTACTCTTACTATTTTTCTTTTTTTCTTCAGTTTCTCTGCTAACATTATTACTACAATTATTATTTTTACTATGGTTGTCATTATCGGCGTTGACAGAATTGCTATTATTTTGATTGTTATTGTTATTTTTTTTGTAACTATCAGTAATTTCTTTATAAGCACTTTCCATTTTTTCCCAACAACTTTCAACAATGTTATAATTAACTCTATATCCTAAAGCATTTTTGATGAAGTTTAAATATTTAGCTTTTTTCCGTGGAATATTCTGATATTTAGCAATACTTTGTAAGAAACTTCTTTCTTCATTTGTTAAAATTTGTGATGAAGTAAGAACACTATTTACAATATTGATCCATTCTTGCTGCTTTTTCTCTCCTTTATTTGCCGATGGTTTAGGTACAAAATTCTTTCCTCCATATCGTTCTGCTTCAGTGATACATTTTGTATGGGCGATATATTCGTCATTCCTATTTAAACATGAATAATATGTAATAATATTCTTTCAAAATGAAAACTAATTATTTTTATCAAATATTTACAAAAAAAATGTCTGAAATACTTACAAAAAATCTTTTAAACAATCCACACAAGTTAAAGCGATTGGATTTCGACATTGAAACTGAAAATGTTTGGCTACTTTTGGTTTCTGCAATGAGTCTCCACAATTATTACAAGTAAAGACCACCATTTTTCTTATTTATTTATTTTGTTAAATAAATAATTGTTAATGTATTATTTATTGATAATTAATAAATAGTTTTAAGGTTATTGATAAACACACGTGTGCTCCAAATGATGCACCAACACCATGAAATGTTTTCACATTGAGAAGGATGTAAATCTGAAAGGTGTCATATTTATTATTATCGATAAGAGATAGGGGGCGCAGCTAATATATTCTTGTTCCAATGCAGTACTCACTTCAGACAGCTGTGTATTATATCGCTTTTACTGAAAAAGTATTGAACAACATATTTTATTCAGTTTACGTACTTCTTTTGTTATAATAAATAAAAGAAATATTTTTTAATCGACTTTGTACATGTAAGTTGGTACATTTATCGATGAAATTTGTAAACTTATCTATTCAATCATTGTCAATGAACAATATTAATATACGTTAGGAATAATCAAAAGATCGATTTATTGCAAAAAAGTTAACATTATAATTAGTTAAATCAATAATAACGAATTTTCTTTTTACAGAAAAGTAATGAATTATTTTTAAATAATCAAAGTAATCTAACAAATAGACATATTGATAACTTGTAGACAAATGATGACTGATGAAATTGTAATGAAAAATTGTACGAAATAAATATTTATGCATATTGATTGAAAAAGTTGTAACAACAAAAAAAATGGTTAATTATCCAAAAGAAACAATAACAGACTTTGATTATTTAAATCAAAAGTCAGTTTTCGATACAGTGAATAAAAAGCCTCGAAAGGTCGTCGAAAGGCTTCCTAAATTACATGAAGCAGGTGTGAGCAATTACAAACAACATAAATATGATTTCGCATATATCAATTTCACAAAATACTTGAAGATAGTTGAGTGGCTTAAAAAATGTAACGAATATAAAATTGACTCTAGTTTTTTTAATAAGTCGATCCCCAATAGTAAGGTAATATTATTAATCTTCTATTCATGCTACTTGCAATTTCAAGTAAAGAAAAAAATATTCATTTGTTACTCTTTTTTTCGATATATTTATAGATAGAAGAAGCCAAAGCTATTTTACAAAAAGTTATTGAGCATATAAACAACGAAATTGAAAAAAACAAAGTGGAAAGTACAATAGATAAAATTGTAGCAGTTAAAAATAATAATAGAGTAAAAAATAATCAAGCCGACGATGAAGCTTTTCTAGATATGGCACTAAATTTGCCAGAAACACCAACAGATGATCCTCTTAATAAACCTAATGATGAATTAGATGGTTTTATATTGTGCACACAATTATTTACACATGTTCAAAATAAGAGAACTTTAATTATTGATATTAGATCTGCAAAAGACTATGAACATTCCAGAATTAAAGCGCCTGCGTGCATTAATTTACCAGCCAGTGAAATTAAAACAGGGTAAGGTTTCAGTAGCTTATTAAATGTAAAATCAAAGGAAATCATTTTTGACTCTTTTTATTAAATTTTCAGACTTATAGCAAGAAAATTTGAGTCTTACTTATCACGTGACAGTGAAGCTTGTTCACTTTTTACAAAACGTAGTACTGCACATGTAGATCGTATTATTCTTCTAGATTGGTCAACAAATCATAAATCTCTAGATAGTTCCAATAAATTAACAATATTAAAGGACATCTTAGATAAATGGGATCCTGGAATAGTAAAACCAAAACCTCTTATCCTTGAAGGAGGATTTAAAGAATGGATCAATGTTTATCCTACTTATGTAACAAATCCTAATGTTACTCTTCCATCAACAAAAAGTGAGGAGGACTCAATGATTGAAATTTTAGAAGAAATTTCATACCCAGAATGGATTCCGGGTGATGATAAATTAATTTTTAAATTTGACGAAGTCGTTAATCAGAAAAATGGGGTTGGAATTATGGAGCAGATATCACAAGAAATAAATAGCATAAATTTGAAACCAGATTCTATTAAAAATTCTCCTAAGAGTGTTCCTAAAATTATTCAAAAGCCTGTCATTGATCGAAGTAATAAACCAACAATAAAATCTCAAGAACAAGTTTTCATTGAATTATTACAGAAACTAATTGAAACTGATGAGGATCAAGAGAAGTTTGAGAAACAGTTATTAGATTTTGATATGGCTGATGATCAGGATTTAAGACTAGTAGAAGATTATGATACAATAGAAAGCAAAAAAAACGCTGTCCAAGAAACTCTTCAAAAAACAGTAAATTTTTTTTTATAATGCCAATTATCGAATAAACAAATAAAACTCTAAACACTTACTTCTAATTAAAATCTTTGTTAACTCTTTTTAGCTAATGGATAAAGATGCAGTTAAACAGAAGATTACAGAAATTAAAAAACTTGGAGTATTGAACACTCCAGAAATTGATAATTTATGGTTGAAATACTTGAATATAGAAAATCACATAACTAATATCAGAGTAGAACGCAAGGCAGTAAAGTAAGTAAATATTTTGCTGTTAATTATCATAAAATAATGAAATAAAAATTTTCAGACAAAAAAAACTTGAAGAAGCAGCCAAAAGAAATGCTCTTTGTTCTCAAAAATTTAACAATAATTTAATTTTTAAAGAACCATTAAAATCAGAAGGCTTTTCAATGAATTCTGACCTTAAGAGATCCCTCTCTAGTCCTAATTTAGCAAAGGTAAATTAATTTTTTTAAACTCAGATTTTCGGAATCATTTAATTGATTCATCAACCATTTGCCCAATTTTTCATCAAATTTACAATTGTAGATCGATGATAAAAAAAAGCCAGTAGTCGATAGATCATCTAAGCCGACAGATTTATATAAAAAACAAGAAATAAACAACGTAAATAATAATAATTATTCAATAACATCATGGAGAGATCATGTTAAAAGAATGGATCCAGTTTATCGGGATGTGGTAAGAATAATTTATTCATTTACTAAACGATGCTTTGTTCATTATCATTCATGTCTGTTAGCTAGTCATCATCAGTTCAATCGGCTATGAATTTTTTTCTTAATTAAAGTAGGATTTAACATGTTAAAAAACTGATAAATATATTAATTTAAATATTGTTTAATTAATTTTAACAAAAAAACGTGTTCTATCAGAATAACTGCTATAGTAATGTAGAAATTGTTATTTAATAATCGATAAAAAAGTCAGATCTCTATCATCATATTAATTTTCTGTAACTCTACGTCTACTGATAGGTTTTTTTCATATACAGAAAAAAATGCATTAAAAAAGTAGTATGAAAGCATTCAACTAGCTAATCTATCAAGTCCAAATGACGTTAAGAGCTAATTCGTTTAAAGTATTAGACTTTAGTCACGTTTAGTTAAATTATGATTGTGCATATGTCAAATGACATTGCACTAAAAAATCGATCAAATTGAAGTTCAAAATAATTCTTCATACGAAACTTGATAGATTTGAAAATAATGAATAGGAAGAAAAATTATATTTAGCTGAAAAAATGACCGTAAATTTAAGTAAAAAATAACATTATTCAAAGCTAACATAAAAATCGAGACAAATGACTTATAAATTGTTATCAAAAATTTTTAAAACAAATAAAAACGAAATGAATCTTGATAAATGATAAATTAATCTGATGACGTGTTATGTGTAATGTGTTCATTTCAATTTGAGATAATTTTATTATCACGTGCCTGAATTGGCAGTTTGTCGGGAAATTTCACGTAATCTTCATTAATTAAACAATAAGAATTTTGCACATTAAGAAGAGTGCTAAAAGTAAATTAATTTATCTTCATAAAGAAAAAATTAGTAATAAAATTAATAAAACGGATAAAATAAAGAAGAAGAATAAAAAAATTAAAAAAAGAGGACGAAAGAAAAAAATGATCTGACGTCTTGAGACATTTTAAAACGTAACTGATTAAAATTATTCTAAGACTAAAATCTTCAAGACTGGATTTACTTTAATCATCTTTCATCCTTTTTTTTTCAATTGCATACAAATTATAAATAGTTTCAATCCTACTTAATATGGTCCAGATTAAATTTTTTAATGTCGTCGACAGCAGCAATCCTGTAAGTTATTATAATTTTATCTTTTCTATTATCCGTTAGTGGAATAACACTAGCAAAATAACTGTAAAGGACATTGATAAAAAAAATATACAAAATGAAGTTTTATTTTAAAATCAGATATATTGAAATAGCATTAATATCAATTTAGTTTATATAATCAGCTAAAAGTTGAAAGTTAAATATATATAAAATATTTCTTTAACAAAGATAAATATGGAACAAAAAATATCAGGTCTATCTTAGAGATCTGAAGATCATAAAAGTCAATAGATATTGGCATTAAGACTCTTAAAATATTTTTTCTGATAAAAAAATGAATGTTTTAACTAACATTTGATAGCAAGAATTAAATTAGGAATGAAATATAATTATTATTATAACGTTATACAAGAGTTAAAGAATGCTTTTAAGACACAGGTGCATGACCCAAGATTAAAATGTACATTCATTTAAGAGATTAATCTAAACAGAACATATGAGATATATTTGAAACACGTGTACATAGAAAACATAAGATTGTGAGGCTTCTCAATCTCATTCAATCCAATAGTGACTACTTCCTCTTTTCATATTATTATTATTATTGTATTTTGTACATTACCTTCTCCAACTTTCTGCGTTTCGTTCTTAGTGCAATAGCGAACAATGTCTAATACGGATGAAAAAAGAATTCCGCTGTCGTTATTATTGATACTAAAGTTTCATTTGTTGAGGATATATCATGGACTGTATTAAATAATAGTTAAAGTTTTGTGAATTATCGACATGGTTTATTTGTATAAAAAACTAGTGCCATTTCATATAATTATTTATTTTAAAAAGGTGTCTGATTTCTAACTTTTTTATCGAATTTAATTTATTAACAAGTGAATTAATTGATAACAGAAATTGTTTAATATTTATTCTAATATTATTGAATTTTTTAGCATCCTGGGATAACTGGATTAAAAAATTTAGGAAACTCGTGTTATATGAATTCAATTATTCAGTGCCTAAGTAACACACCATTTTTATCAAAATATTTTATCGACAATGCGTACAAAGATGATTTAAATACCAATAGAAATAGTGAGACCGATGGAAGAGTTGCTGAGGAATTTGCTCATGTGATTAAAGCGCTTTGGAGAGGTCAATATCGAAGTATAGCTCCTCGAGATTTCAAGGTTTGTTAAAATTATTATCTATCTATTTACATATTCTCTATCATATCATTATTATTTAACATTTTCTACGATACATAGGTATATTATTATTTTATATAATTAACATAAATATTTTTTCTTCAGGATACTATTGGTAGTTTTAAATACCAATTCGATACTACAGATCAGCAAGATTCTCACGAATTCCTAACATTCTTCCTTGAATGGATGCACAATGACCTAAGAAAAGTAAATAATCTTGAATATATTTCGTTTTCCAAAAACAATTATACGCTTGAAAATAATACTTTTTTATTTGAATTGATGTTAATATTAGATGTTGTGTCGTTACAGAAAGACAATAAAATACAGATAGAAAATTTATTAAGCCCAGCTGAAAAAGAATGGTGGAAAGCTTTAGAGGGCCAAACTTCAATCATTTCAAAGCTTTTTATTGGACAGTTAAAATCCACAATAAGCTGTAAAGTTTGTGGTAGTCGCAGTATTACATACGAAACCTTTAACAGCTTATCTATATCTTTGCCCGGATCCAGTCGGTGTACTTTAAATGTAAGTAAAGTATCTAAACGTTGTTTTATAAATAATATACATACTTGGTTTTTTATAGATATAGAATACGTTACAAAACAATTTATATTAATTACTTTTTATTAATTAAAAAATAGTCATTTTTTGAATTAAATCATTTCTTTTACATTTTTTACTTAGGAATGTATCCAACATTTTCTAAGCCGACAAGTGATTTCTGGCTGGGCTTGTCCTAATTGCAAGAAACCTCGAGATGCCGAAAAGAAATTCGATTTTGTAAAGCTTGCACCAATTTTGATAATCCATTTGAATCGATTTGCTGACACAGACGGTGCTTTAGCAAAAAAAGATACCCCAGTGATTTTTCCTATAACAAATTTCAACTTAGAATCATTTCTTGCTGATGATTCCTGTATTAACAATACTCTTAATGATGCTTCATACTGCAATTATAATCTTTACGCTCTTTCTTCACATACTGGAAATATGATTAGTGGACATTATACTGCTTTCTGCAAAAACTCAACTTTAAACAAGTAAGAAAAACTATTGAAAATATTCTCTATTGATTTTTGAATTTTCTAAATGCTTTAACTTAGATAAATGTGATGAATAATTGAGTAAAACTAATTAGACTAATTATCTTACAGATGGTACAAATATGACGATCAAACAGTGTCAGAAGTAAATGAATTGGCAATTCGAGCGTTGAGTTCAAGCGCTTATTTACTATTTTATTCTTCACTGCATTTTGATTCATGCACGTATATTTAAATATTGAATTACTTAATTTTACTTCTAAATCATTGGACAGTTTATAATTATGCTATAAATTGCATATTTGCAATTTTCCTGCAATTATGCAAAAAAAAAACTGCATAATAAAACAGCTACTTTTGAGCTTGTGATAATATTAATTTAATAATGATATATTCTTAACGCAATCAATTTGTTATTCGTTGGTAATTTGCCATATTCGTTAATGTAAATATGTACATATATATTATACAAATAACTAATGATCACATTCTATTGAATAAAGTATTATTGATTAAACGACCATTAATTATGTTTTTTTGGCTTTGAAGATGATCAATCATTATATCGAAATTTAAATTTATATACATTTAGCGCCAAATAGTTGTAGAGGGCAGTTTTTGGCGTCTATTCAAAAAAATATTTCGCCGGTTTCTCCAGTTCTTCATGATACTCTGACAAGTTAACATGGTGTAACATAGTTAATTTTTCTTTATAAGCTTTTCAGTTTTAAATAATCTGTCAATAAAATTAAATAAAATTAATTAATTTTTATGCCGAATTGAATTATATTATTGAGTTACGAAAGGAAAAAATAACTTGTCAGAAATTAAGAATTACATAGAAGAAGGATATGAAGAAGCGTCTGTATCTCTAAAAATAATAGTTTTGTAAGTTTTTTATGTTATTTATCGATAATTTTTATTTGTTCATAAAAATATCATTGTAAGAGATATTTGTTTTTGTAAATTTATTAATATAAACAACATTGCAATTAAAATTTCGTCTAGCTATTGTCAAAATAGATGAGACAAATGTTCATTATTCTAGGAATCTTAATCCGTTACAAAGTAGCAGGAATACTAAGAATTTTATAGACTTCATATATCATTAAAAAACTTATCTATTATTTTTTCGCGGAAATTTAACGAATAGTAAGACATAACTAAAGGAAACAAACTTTTTATTTTCTCGTCAGAAAAATTTATCATTTAAATTGGAGTTCTTTAAATTATCTAGTAATTCATTTAATCCTGAGTTATTAACTAGATTTATATGAAAAATTCTAAAATGACTGATAATATTCTTTTGTTTATTTAATAAAAACAGAATTCTTTTGTTTTTTCTCTATAACAAGAATGTGTTTTAAAAAACAAATGCCTACAATCTCCCTTAAGAATGTTTAAAAATATTGTTTCATTCTAGAATATTCAAATCAGCAGTTAGAAAAATTCAATTATTTTAAATGAATGCCTAATAATATAATTGAATATTTTTAATTGAATAAATTGGCAAAAAATTCATTAATATAAATAAAAAAAAAGGAATGAAGTACAACAAACATTAAGATAAAAAAAAAAATTATTATTCATAAAATCAGTAATGCAAATAATGGCAAAACATCTTAAAAAGCGCGGTAATAATTTTGTAAAAATAACGCAATCGGTAATGGAGATGGCGTGACCATGACCGCAGTTGACGGTGGGTGGTGTATGGGAGGAGAGGGTGGCTGACTTTAGCGCATGAGTCGCGAACAAGAGTCGCTAGTGAAACGGTAATGGCCAACATTGAAGTTTATTTCTGATAAATGGCTCTCTCTAAAGTGCAAAATTTTACCTCCATTCTCGGGAACAATGCTAGTGAAATCATTAAGGTACTCCAATGCTTAAATGATATCTAATCGTTTAACTATATCCCCATATTGTTCATATATATATTTAAATTTTAACACTTTTTTGTTTATATATTCACCTTTCCCATTAACATCAATATTGCACATACATGTATCTCTTTTCCGAGTATTACTAGTTTAACACTACATCATACAATTTGACAAGAAAATTTTGCTTCCATTTTATTATTTAGCAACAGTAAATAGGTGGAATCTTTGACCTTTTTGTAAATGACATTATTTGAGTATCACTTTATTTTATGATTACAATCTTTCCGGAGACTTTATTTTACAACATTAAATATACATTGTAGAAGCTCAAAGAATGAAAGATTAAAAATAAATAAAAAATTGATTCGAAGAATATGTATTGTATATTGAATACAATCGTGACAGGTGTAACATGAAGATAATGATATATTAGAATTCACTGAGATGGCATCAATAAATCAGATTATTTAAACTCATGCTGTAAAGTATCGATTAAACTCAAAATTTAGCAATATAAAATTAGTTATTTGAATGTTAATACAAAATATTCTACTTAAATCAATTAAAAAATTTCACTATACATATTTAATTGATAAATAATGGTATGTTGAATAAATAAATAGTTATTATTTGTAATGAGTCTAAGCTAGAAATTACATTGAAAAATATTATAAAGCAAGAACGTAGCGTGTCTTGAGAGATTTTTCGAATCTTTTAATTCAACATACGAAATTCGTTATGAAAGCCCGTAGTATATTTAACGCTATTAAATATATGAGTCTATTCAATGTACTCAAAACAGCAACAAAACTCGGATAAGAGAGAGAAAAACACAACGGTGACATTATGACACTATTATTCTTGAGAATTATCCAGATCTACACACATCAAGACATAGACTGCGATGGACGTAAGAAGGGCCTTTTGGTCGCAAACATCTCATGTGTTTTAGAATATTTTCAATTATCTGAAAATCCATTATAAAATCTACCAGGACAACACTTCTCTCTCCTTCCTCTTATCAATGTCAGAGGCTTACGAAAAAAATGGGTATATGCGGGATGGACAGCCCGTTTTTAATTGCTCCGAAATACTAACATTAACATTTAATAGTTATTACTTTATGAAAATTGGATGGATAGGTACGTTTCCTCCTCCATTTAATTGCTTCCTCTCTTTTTTTCCTCCCCATCAATTTATCACCGCTTCTCCCAGCATTCATCAATATAATTTTTGCCTAGAAACTCTATCTGTCATTTATTGACAGTGAATTTAATAGTTGTTAATTTCAAACTAGTAAATTATCACTCACGTAAACATTGTAAAACTCTATTTTAATTTTATTGCTTTTTTCGGTTGACCAATATATTTCTTTGCAGCTTGAAAGTGGTATCAATATGTACGACTCACCAGGAAATTTAGCGGATAACAGATGCAATGAGTACAATCCATGGAGTTACGATTTAATGAATAGAAATACAAATCATAAGGTCAGTTCTAATAATTAAATATACATTTTCTATAAGACATCATTTAACTTTTTTTCCACTAATTTAGATGCCTCTTGATGATGAAGAGACTCAAGATTTGAATAATTCAATGGTAAACGATTTAGTATCAAAAATTTTAGATGACGAGCCAATTATCAACGAGCAAGCATGTTACATCAATCATTACAATGGTAATTCTGTTTACTCTCAAAGAGAAATAGATAATTATCATATAAAATCTAACGGCAATTATCATGCAAATTATGTAAATAACAATGCTAATGAATCATTTAATCAAACATTACCGAATTATCAAAAACCGAATTTATTTGGACAAGAAATCGACAGCCAATACAAACGTGATTTAATTGACGTTTACAATGGTTTAGAAGATTTATGTCTGAACGATTATGCGATTAGGAATGATCGACGAAATGATTATCCAAATCATAAAACAATTGATTCAATGAAAAAAGTGATTAATTCTAACGATTACTCCATTAATTATAATCCAGTCAACGATATGCCACGCTTTAATTGCGATTTACCACAGCCTACTAATAATTGGAACGAGACTTTAAATTCTGATTACAACGATGATATTTTTGAGAATTATTCACGACTTCCGACTCCAAATAATTTTGATCTTAACTTTAATACAATTATGCCGCCACTGCACGAGCCGGAGATTCTACAAACTGATATGAGCACAAATCTAGCGACTTCCGCACACATGGCGCCATTAATGAATACACACGATACTTACAATGCTATTAATTGTACCAGTTATCATCGTCCAGGCTCTGCTATGACTGATTTCAGTGGTGATTCTGGATTTCTATCTAATTCTTCACATCAGCATTATTCTCCAGCAGATTCTACACTTCAACAAAACTTTGTTAATAATTATCAACGAAACTACGAAGAAATTCATCAGAATTCTATATTAAATGCTGTTAATCTACAAATGCCTCAACAAAACTTGGTTTCAGGCCGTGGATTCAGGGTAGAATCAAAGCAATTTGATCAGAATTATAAATCATTACTTTTAAATCGTAATCCTGGGCTGAACGAGTATGCTGGAGTAAAGATAGAAACGAATGATCCAAACTCTTATATGCTCAATCAAAAAATTGATGAAAATTTAATGAAAATGCTAAGTCCCCAGCTCAAAACTAAAGAATCTTTAAGATACAACTCTAAAAATAGTCAAAATTCTTCTACAATGGACCAAATGAAATTTAATTATCAAATTGACCCTAACTATCAACGATTCACTGCCAGTAACAGCGAGAATCTCAAGAGTCTATCACAAACTCACGTTTCTTCACCTCCTCCTTACTATACTAATGGTGTTAAGAGGCTCAACTCTGGATGTAGCTATCCAATAGATACCTATGAACGCACTCCTGATATTAACTTTACTTCCAATAATCATCTTGCTCATCAGATAGCACGAGCTTCCATGGATTCTAATGTCTTCAATCAAATTATGTTGAAACAGCAACAGCAACTCCATAGGATCCCGCTTGCTCCAGATGTACTTTTAAACGCAAGATTAATGCGAGGAATTGGCACTGGAGCAGCTGGAAATGTTTTTTCAGCAGTTCCACTTTCTTCTTTGCATTCCGTTTCTGTTTTAACTGGAGCTTTTGGGCCTCGTGTTAATGTAAAATCTTCAAGACGTGCTGGACCTTCTTCGGTATTACATTTGAGGCTGGAGCAGACTTTTGACCAATTTAAACAACTAGAAAAAGAAAGAAAAAAATGTGAAGCAGGTTTAGCAGCTCATTTTCCCGGTAAACGTGTCACCAGTGCTAATAATATTCCTATCCCGAGGCTTCAAGGGAATCCCTCGCGTGCTGATAGGCTTATTATTGATCATTTGAGAGAGCATGCTCGTGTAATAACTCTTATTGCTAAGGTAAAATTGACTTTTATTGTTTTTTTTATGTAATATCACTAATTTATTTGATTGTAACATATGAAATAACTTTTTGTATATCCTTTTGAAGATGGAACATCTCAGAGGAGTCAATATGAGTGAGAGAGTTCACAAAGCAATGGAAATTTGGTTGGAATCTATTAAATTTGTGCAGGAGTGTAGAAAAAAGGAAATTACTCATGCTTCGAAACGACAAAAAGAAAACCCTCATTGCACTTCTATTCATGATGACAAAGGTATAATTTAATAAAAATTATTTAAAAATAGGTAAAATTGTTGGAAAATATTCATTTAACTTTGAGAAAATAACATATAAAATTATGTAAACAGAATTTTTTTTCGATTTCTGAGATACATTTTGTATGAATGTCAATCAAAAAGTTATGTAGCTCAGAAATGATTAAATTTTTATTAAAGTCCGAACTATTTTCTAGCCATTTATTGAATAATGTAATTTTTTTATTTTAAAATTATTCAAGTCACTTTAGAAAAGTTTTATAAATTCGAAAAATTTTTATCTTTCTCATAATTTATTGATGAGAATAATAAAATAAATAATAATAATTTTTTCAAGATATTCTGGTGCTGGCAAACAGTATTCGCGAACTGACAAAAGCCTCACGTCTCGCAAGGACAGCTATGTTTAATGCCATGCAAGCGACGCTACTTCATGACAAAGATTTTGAGAAAAAAATAATTGACACTTCAAAAGATGTTGCGTTACTTCTAGTCGACAAAGAAGAAGACATAGAATCATCAAACGTTGCTGACAACACCGAAAATAACTTAGGTAACTGTTCAACAACATCGACATCAATACTAGCAAGTAATATTAATAATAATAGTACTTAGCAAAATTCCTTTTTAATCTGCGCACCAATGATTAATCGACAAACAAATGTCAGCTCAATCTACTCACCGTTGCGTCCACTCTGGGAACAGTAATGTTCAAGCTTAAAAATACTTTTAACGTAAAGTAAAAAATACTAGTTCACTTAAAGAATCTTTAAAAATTAATTGTTTCTCTTTTTAGTCTATAATACCTCAAAACGAGTATTAGTTGGTGCTATAAGCAAGCATCCGACTCGCGAAGATGCACAAAGTAATCTTCCAATCAATAATAAATAGGTACATAATTGGAGGAAAATGTCTTTTATTAAAAAAAAAATAACCACTTACCAGAAATCTGGAAAAATTTATCGAAAGTAAACTGTTGTCTGAAATTGATTAATAGAGATTTAGAATGAAAAGTTATTGATAGCTGAGAGCTTCTTTAGTAAAAGAAGACAAAAAATATTATTAAATATACCAAGCCGGTGTGTTTTCGTACTTGTCTTGTGATCTTCCTAGAGAAAAGCTGCTACTTAGTCAAGGTGGAGAGAATATGAATATATGTTGCGTTATTATTATGAGTGCAATCACATTGACTGAAGAATTTTAGGCACTATTAAGTTTTATTTGTTTAGAATAGTTGAGTGTGGCCTTCCTCATTACCACTTGCGTGCGTGTGAGTGTCATCAAAACTTAGATAATTAGATTTTCAGACAGAAATCGTATTGATGAATGCTGGGAGAAGCGGTGATAAATTGATGGGGAGGAAAAAAAGAGAGGAAGCAATTAAATGGAGGAGGAAACGTACCTATCCATCCAATTTTCATAAAGTAATAACTATTAAATGTTAATGTTAGTATTTCGGAGCAATTAAAAACGGGCTGTCCATCCCGCATATACCCATTTTTTTCGTAAGCCTCTGACATTGATAAGAGGGAGGAGAGAGAAGTGTTGTCCTGGTAGATTTTATAATGGATTTTCAGATAATTGAAAATATTCTAAAACACATGAGATGTTTGCGACCAAAAGGCCCTTCTTACGTCCATCGCAGTCTATGTCTTGATGTGTGTAGATCTGGATAATTCTCAAGAATAATAGTGTCATAATGTCACCGTTGTGTTTTTCTCTCTCTTATCCGAGTTTTGTTGCTGTTTTGAGTACATTGAATAGACTCATATATTTAATAGCGTTAAATATACTACGGGCTTTCATAACGAATTTCGTATGTTGAATTAAAAGATTCGAAAAATCTCCCAAGACACGCTACGTTCTTGCTTTATAATATTTTTCAATGTAATTTCTAGCTTAGAGTCATTACAAATAATAACTATTTATTTATTCAACATACCATTATTTATCAATTAAAAATTCAGAGTAGCATTCTCTCTCTGCTTTATTTTAATGTTTTTCGGGCACATACACGATACTTGAAAAAATATTCACTACAACTGTGATAATTTCCAATGCCAACTACTGAATAGGAGCCTAAATAAATCATCGAATGTCAAATGGAACAAAAAATAACAATAGCTATTGAGTCTAATTTTAAATTGAATTCATGGTTGATAATCAAATTGACAACTTGTCGAATTCGATAATTAGAAATTGTTACTGTACTTAACTATTAATCAACAATTTTTCTTCTGAAAATGTCGCTAGATTTTCATAACAATGCTTTTAATAGCTATTCTAGTGCAGTTTTCGAGAATTTGTGTACAAATCAGTAAATGAATAACGTGCACGAGTTAGTCTATAGACATGCTAGTAAAAAATACTCGCGTACAGTTTTAGAAGTTAATAATTTAACAAAAAACAAAATGTTATAACAAATCATAACGACAATTAATAATTATTGCTATTATTTAATCATGAGAGAAAGGAAGAAATGTTAGATTTTGAATACAATTATTTATATATTAGAAACTTAATTTTAGTGAGGGAAAAGTGTTGATACGTGTCCGACAATCCTACTATTAAATTGCATGTGATATTTATGTGTATATCATATATGAAATGTAATAGATTTTACTGTCCCACTATAATAATCACGAAACAAGAGGAAAGAAAATGAAAAAAAAAATTATTACAAGCGATAAAGTGACAGAACTTTAATGATTAATTAGTTCATCAACGAAAACAAATACATCTGACAAAAAAGTATATAATAAAGTAAACGAACCAATAATGTCAATGCGAATATTAATTAAATAAAGAACAAATAATTTCAACTAAGCTGCATATCTGATGATAGCTGAAACTATTTAATCTAGTGGTTGTTAAAGAAATAATAAATCTTGTATCGTGTTGAGGGTGCAATTTATTCTTTCTTATTTTAATAATAATCCAATGGCGCTAAACAATGAAAAATAGTACTGATATCTAATATTTAAAAGAAAAACTCATAAATGAAGCTTTTACTAAATTTTAACTAAATTTTCAATAATATTGGAAATTAAAAAAAAAAATAGATTAAAACAAATTTCTAACCAGAATAATATGGTCTAACCATCAGCTTAATTTATTCTTTAAAATTCTAGGCCTTTTTCATGCTTTTCTACAAATTTTATAAAGTTCTAGAGATTCACAAATGACTTCCTATATAAAATCAAGTCCTGTAGATATTAAAGATGCTTTTTTACATTTTTCTAGTGGACTTTGAATCAACTTTAAATAATGCATTGATAGTTTCATCGTCTTCTATATATAATCTTGATTTATTTATCTAATAAACAATAGATGAGCTAGAATGGTTAGAATTAAGTTTTTTATATTTCGACTTATCAAAAAAATATTGCAAAACTGAAATTTACTCTTGATAATTGTCAGTTATGTAGTAACTAATGTTTGTAAACTCGTAATGTACATATCGATCGAGAAATTTCAATTAAAAACTATTTTGAATTATTCTTATTGCGATTTAAAAAGAAATTAGTAAAGATGATTAATTTGTGACATTATGATCGTTGTCTTTTTCGTGTGTGTGATTTTCGTATCAAGAATATTTATAAAAGTAGAAATCACAAAAAATTTGAACGATTAGGTAACAAAAATTATTGAAAAATGTACTTGTTTTCTTATTCTTGATGACTTTTTTAAGCTTCCACGTAGTTGCAACTTTATAGATGGCTCAATGTGAAATTTCAAAGTCTGGTATTTATGAATAGCTATATTACCGTTGAATATAACAATAATATTATTAGTAACAATGAAAAAACTAAATACCAATAATAAATATTCAGTGACTATCATATAAAGAAATAATGAGAAATAAACAAAACATATGAAATAGAAAAATATTCAGAAAAGTTTTAGATTAATGTAGACTGGGTTTTTAATATATCGTAGTCTGAGGTAAGAAGCACGTGTAAGTCGTTAAAAAAGAACCATATAAAAAATGACTTATATTGATAAATAATTGATAATTTTGTTACTTTTAAATACTTTATGTCGATTAATCAGTGATGAATGATCAATAATTCATGTTAATAGATGATTTGATAATTAATTAATCATTAAACAAATGCACGATTTATGATTTTTCAAATTTTCAGACCAATAATCAAATAATTGTTGATAATTATAATAAAAATTTAACTTTTTTATGTAAAAATTGGACAAATTGCAGCGAGAATTGAATCATTATTATTAATTAATTAACGGAATAACTACAAAGGTTAATTATTGATATTTAATATAAACTAAGATTGAAAACCCCAAGGAGGATTTTTAATTCTAAATCTATTGTTGTTTAAGATGCCAATAATTCTGTTTAATGAAAAGTAACAAAAGTATGACGCTTTGCATTTTATCAAATACATTTTATACAGGAATGACAGTAATATACTTAGACTGATTAAATTTTAGCTAAAAAATTTTTCTAAATTCATAACGGAAAACTACTAATGTGAATACGTTAATTAATTGTATATAAAGTTCTTTTAAAATTATTATCAAATGTTTAAAAATTTTTGATTTGATTCTTAGTGTTGGTATCGATTTGATTAAATTAATCGATAATTTTTCCAACGTATTTTTTTAGTTATGTTAATTTATTATAAACTAAAAAATCCTCATTGAAATTTACTATAAAACAATTTTTACTGCTCGTATTAAATAAACAAACAAGCCTGTTTTTTATGAAAGTAGACAATCTAGGTGTGAACTTATAATATTAATATGTAGACTGCATTATTTTTTTTTTTTTGAATTTCTAATTTTGTATTGAATATGTAAAGATATCTTTTTAGTGAGAGAAGATGAAGATTGTTTATATATCATATCATCTTCAATGTGTTCCTAAAATTGTCTAGAACAATATTATTTTCCTGTAAAAGTTTTTTGTGAAATGAACAAAAAAAAAGTTCGTAGAAAGTTCCAGAAATATTTGAAAGATTACAAGTTTTCTAAATAAAAAATACTATAATTTTTTATTAATATATAAAATACGTTTTATAAGATTTTCTACTTCAATACTTCGAAAAAAATGGAAATTTTTTAATACTTTACAGAATAAAGAAAGATCTTCTTTAAAAAATTAAATTCAGATAGTTATAAAAATATTTATATTCTATCTATATTTATGATAACTATCAAAAATAAAAACATTAATTCTTCATTAACTCAATTGTAAGATATAAAGAAAAAAACTTTCAAATCACATTCTGGAGCATTTTACACAAACTATAAACCATTTTCTAACATTAACAATTTTACATAATAAGAAAATTGATTCTAAAAACAAACAAATTTTATAAATCATGTTCTAGACTTTTCTTACATATACAAATCTCAAACTCAATCGATTTATGTATCCTAATTATTAACTTTTTTTCCTTTCTCTCTCTCTCTCTCGAAAAAAAATAGAATCTAATCACTGAAAAAAACTGTTTTATGCAAAATAATCATATAATTGTTTTATTGGACATTAATAAATGTACGTAATCAATAATGTGTATCGTTAAATGGGCTGTGGTAAAAAATACCTTTATATACTCTGTATGCGTGTGACCAAAATCCCTACTATGTAAAACAATTCTGCTTTTTGAAGTACTAACTAAAAAATGACTAGATAATGAACAATTAATGTGTGACTTGTAGTTTACGAAAGCCCTTTTATTAATTCAAGAAGCGAGTAGGGAAAATATCCTATCATACAACGATTATCGCAAAAACCGTACCTAATAATGTAGAATTAATAATAATTGTCAATAATTATAAAGATAAAAATTATTAAACAAAAATTAATGTACCTACCGTGCTTCTTACAGTACGCACGAAAAGAGATTATAATAAGAGTGATAGATGATTAAGGCTGGTTCGCTTAATGCTTTAATCTGTAATTATAAATATAACATGACTTATTTAATTTATATTATTGCAAAAAAATTGCATTTTGTTCAATAGATGATAATTTGTAATGCAAATATTATATTATTTAATTGTATTATTATTGAGATGAAAGAAGTGTTAGATTTTGCTCAAATGAATAACAGAACGCTTGAAAGTAGTTTCATATAGACTGTCCACATTATCATTTTAGTCCAACAAAAATTTTTTTTATTTGAAAACAGAAAATAGAAAAAATCTTCATAAATTGTCAAATGAATTCAGAATTTCATGGTTTTCTCTTATTTCTTGATACTTTTTAATTGTAATATTCAATTTTATAATTATTTGAAAGGTCATAAAGTGAAGAGAGAGCCAAGAAAAACTGATAAATAATTAATGTTTATTTTTTATTAACAATTTTGAATTTTTACATTGAAATATACAGTATGTGAACTTGAAAAAATTACAATGGTATACCATGTAATACTTTATCACACTTATTATTGTCAATTGATACATTTTCTACAATTCCTAAATATCAAAAATATTGAAGGAATTTTCAAATAATGCAATGAATTATCCATGTAGTGTGATTCAGTATGTAAAGAATAAACTATCAATTTTTTAAAGCTACTTATAAATATGAAAAAAAGTGCTCTCTCAAGAGACTAAAATATCTGATTGTACGACTATTAATGTTATTATTATAGTTATTATATATGTGAAAAAAGGGTGTTTCCAATCATATTGACTGTAATATTGCGAATTAGATGCCGTTTGTTTGGATTTATGTGGCTACTTTATTACCAAGTGAAAATTTTTCTTTTTTATTTTAAATACAAGTCGATTTTATGTATGTATATTTTAACAAACAGAAACAAACCTGCTAACGGCTGCTAATTGCATTCTATTCCAAGTGTCCTTTCAATGTAAAATGTTTATTCGCAATAAATGTTACCTTTCATGTTTGAAATTATTTATTGTTTCCGTTAAAATAATTTACTCCTTATAAAATTATCCCTATCAATCCTCTGATAAATTTAGTCATAAATGAGAGAAAATAATATTAAATTATTTATAAAATTAAGAACATAACATCAAGACAATTAAATTATTTTTTATTTTCTATCATATCGCGCCACTGTTCTTTCGTCTCAGTTAGTTAATGCGGAATCCTATTTATTGACAATCATGGATGGCACAGCCATAGCCCAAAAATTATATTACCTTCATAAGCCTGCAATTTTTAATAGGAGTCACTTGTTTGCTTTAATTTTGCAAAAACTTCTGTGAATTTTTTTAATCACATCAAGTCTTTACTTCTTAGTATCAAATACATACACACGCGTGAAAAAATATAAAAATTTTCCCATGCCTGTAAATAAAATTGATCAAAAAATACATCGAATGAATTATTTTTTGTCAAAAAATTTTTTTATTAATCAAGAAAAGTTATTTAAATAAAATCTTCTCTTTAAAATGGAGGAAGTTGATAATATTATTATTCATACATTGAAACAAATTGGTTGGTGAGTAATATTTATATCAACAATATGAATATTTATAATAAAAATTGTTTTATTTTAATATAAAAATTATTAATCTGATTAGGTGAAATTAGTTGATTTTTTTTTAATAATTCACCATCCATTTCTCTTCATCTCTGTATAGTTCATCACATGTTTTTAAATTCTAGTGACATCGATGATAATATCACAAATATGGGCGGATTCAGTACAGAATTGGTGGTAGAAGCTACTGTAAGATGTTTAGAAATAATTCGCCCAGGCCTAGAATTATCAAGATCGTTTCCCGAGAATATGGCAGCTAAATTTCGAATGGCTTCAAATCTTGCTCAAATTTGTTCAGTAAGAAACAAACAAAATTACACATATTTCCAGGAACAGTACAACGTTTTCTTCATTAAACCTCATGTTTTACCATCAGGAGCTTGGATATCGTGGAGATATTGGGATCCAAACTTTCCTTTATAGCTCAGAAGCAGACTTAAGAAGAGTTTTCATGTTTTTATTAGAAAAATTACCAAAAGAAAGTGATAAAGAAGTACATGAAACATTAAGTAAACTTGAGGAATTGGAAAGATCAATTGCTGGTATTCTTGCAGTGCAATTAAGCAAACCTTGGTTGCCTCATTATTGTCATAAGTCATCGAGTGGAGGATACACAAAGATGCCTTATACCTCTGTGAAGCTTGAAGAAACTTTAATAGATACTAAAGACGGTAAATTCAAAATAATTGAATAAAATTGATAAAAAAAAGTTGTTTAAATTTTAATCATCTTTGTTGATATATTTTTTTATGTCTACAGGATCTAAAAAAATTACTTAAGAGTTTTATGATTTATTTTTATATTTTTAGAAACCTTAAATGAATATCAAACAAGATACCAACCATCAATATGCGATCAGCTGACAAATCCAGAGACACTTTTGCCTTCAATTATTTCTCATCAAGCTAGACTTTTACATTCCAAACCGCTAGATCTGTCAGAACGAATAAAATTCCTGAATGATTTTAAAAAATCAGAAGATAATAATAAACAAACAATTAGTTTTAATGAAACAAGACTGATGAGTAGGTTCTTATTAAATGAAAGACTTGAAAGTACTCCAGAACCCTCCAAAAGTGAAGAAAAAAATACAAATGAGGAAGAAGTATCAAAATTATCATCTGATATATCAAAATTAGCTGTAGAAACGTCTGAAGAGAATAAAGAAGAAATGGAGAATGTAAAAATTGAACAAATGAAAACAGATTGCGAGAATTTACGCAGTCAAATTGAAGTCTTACAAAGTGAGATAAAACAATTATCAGTAGAGTTGACAGAAAAAATGGCTCAACAACAAGAAGAACAGAAGAAAATGCAAGAGTTAGAAACTGAAAGAAATATTGATGCTAAAATATATGAATTAATGAAAGACCCAGATAATAGTGTAGAAAAGTTAGAGGAAGCAGTTGAAGCTGAAAAAAATAAACTTATTAATTTAGCAACTCAATGGGAAAAACATCGTGTTCCCTTAATAAAACAGTATAGAGATGAAAGAGAAAAATATTTTGCCAAAACTGTAAGTATAAAAAACAAATATATTTGTTCTCCGAGTAATTTATTAATATTACTCAAGTAAAAATTCGTTTTCAGAGTACAAGTCAAAAAAAATTAGACGAATTACGTCAGTTAAGAGAAAAAGAAAAAGAATTACTAGAAGAATGTCAACAAAAAGACCAGCAATATTACCAATTAATGTCTGAAGTAGCAAAACTTCCCAAAGATGTTAATAGATCTGCTTATACTCAAAGAATATTAGAGATAATTAATAATGTACGTAAACAAAAGGATGAAATAAATAAAGTTTTGGGAGATACTCGAGAAATACAAAAAGAAATAAATGTTTTGACTGGAAAATTAGAAAGATCGTTCACCGTTGTTGATGAAATGATTTTCAGAGATGCTAAAAATAATGAAGCTTCTCGAAAAGCGTACAAATTATTGGCAACATTACATTCTGATTGTAGTGAGCTTGTCAAATTAGTAGAAGAAACAGGAGCAACTATGCGAGAGATTCGTGATTTAGAAGAACAAGTGAGCTTTACAATTATTAATATTTACTATTTATTAAAATATTTACTAAATTTTTTGTTTTAATTTATAGATTGATGCAGAATCTGCGAAGAACATTGAAGCGAATTTAGAAAGAATTACTGCAGATTTAGAACAAATGAGACAAGAGACTGCATCATTAACAGCACAACTAGCCAATAAAAAATTATGATTAGTCACTAAAAAATTATTAACGGCTCATATTGTTATTAGAAGTTGCCGAAATATTTAAAATATCTCATAAAAATATTTATCTCAAAATAAGAGAGGATCAAAATAATACATCACAAATAATAAACATAGCCAATGATGCTAATTTAAAACTTTTTTTAAACTTGTTATATAGAATAAATGCAATCACATAAAATCATGTCAAGGTATAAATATTAAAAACTGTAAATAAAATATTGTAATTACATATTTTTATAAGTTTTACTCGATTTCACTTTTTATTGTGAACTAAAAATACTCTAAATCCAGTCATCATATAACGCTGAATTTTCGTAAATTATCATTTTTTATATCTAATAAAAAGATAATTATATATAAATTTGATTTATAAAAAATTACATTTCATTATAAGTCATATTATCTATGACAAAATGTGAAATTTACGAAAAGATGTTCATGTTTTTTAAAAAACAACGGATAATAATTTATTCATTTAAAAGTAAATGACTTAATTATATTCAATTATTTATTTTGTATCGCAGGCTTTGATGTAACATCAGGAGGAATATAATCCTCATCTAATATCGTTGCTTGTTCAACTGGGGGACCATAAACTTCCTCTTCCCACTTCAATTTCTTCTCAATTTGAAGTTCCAGTTTTTCCTCATTTTCATAGAATGTTAGAAGTCTTTCACGTTTTGCTAAATCTTCTTTTATTTCTTTTATTTGTGCGAGCCTTTTCTCTTTATCTAGTTCTTTCAATTGAGCAGTTAATACTGCCATTCGTTTCTCATCCCATTGTTTGTAAATCTAAAACAACAGGTTAAAAAAAGCATACAATCATAATAAATAATCTAAAAATATTAATTATTTACTTACAGACAGCTGATGTTCAATATCTTTTGCTGTACGAGTTTCTACTGCTTCTTTGATTTTCATCTCTATTTCTTCCATAATACTTCCATCTTTTAAACTACATTTTTCCAGCTCTTTTATTTTTTCTTGGAGAACTTTAACATTATCGTTGATTTTTTCTTCAGGAATTGCATCTAATTCTTTATTAATCAACGGTAAAGTATCTTTGAAAATAACTTCCTTGGTAGAATTTTGAATCCAATGATCAATTAATTTTACAGCTTCATCGTATTTTTCATGTAAAATAAAACCACGAAGCATACAAGTACGACCTAGAGGAGTATCTTTGTAATATTTGCCAAAAAATACTAGAGTTTTTCCAACTAAATGTTTAGGCTCTCTGAGATCAAAATGATCATCAAAGAAAGGGTTTCTTAAATAAAACACTCGAATTTTAGTCTTTTCATCATCAGGAATTTCAGGTTCTGGTGGAGGTAGTACCCAAGCATCAGGATTTTCTAAAAATTTATAACAACTATAAACAGCCAAAGCATTACAAATTGGATGATCATTATCTTCTTGAAGCATCAAAAATGTTGCTACTTTAGCTGCTGATACATAATCTTGAGCTTTAATAAACTTATCCATCATAAGATTATAGCACAAGTGATCTGGAAAAATACCATAGTTTAAACGATCATCTAGAATATGTAAAAGAGTTTCTGTATCATTGCAATCTAGTAAATATCGTATGATTGCGTGATGAGTAGAGTCAAAAGTATCTGAAGTATTAGCAGTCATTCGAAAACGATGAAGAACATTAATTGTTTCATCCACCGAATCAATATGATTGACTGTATTCGCATAGATATCAACATCAATTGCTCCAAGTTTTCCTGTTGTCTGTAATCTTGAGTCAATTTCAATGAAAAAATCACGTGGTTTTATTTTACTCAAGATAGGAGATTGTAAACGTTGATTCCATGCTTCTGTACAGCTGTAAGATTCAGTTAAAAATGTCCTAGTCAATCTTAAACACTGTTTTAGATGTAGAAGAGATCGAGTGCTCCACATGGTTGTAAATTAAAAAATAATTATTTCTCTTTAAATAACAATGTCTAACTTCAATTATTGATTGTTATTATTGAAAGAATCTATTATCACAATCAAGCATGGTCTTTATTTTACGATTTTGTTCCTATAAAATAAAAACGAGTATGAGGTTATGTTCTACAAAATTTGATATATAAATGTCTATTTACAAAGTAAATGATAAGGACAAGTATTGATGATTGAAAAAAATTAAAAATCAAGAATAAATGAAGTAATTTGTAAGTTATTAATTCTTAAAATAAATGTTAATACATACTTTTTTAGTTTTAATAAATACCGGATTGTTTTGATCTTGTTTACCTATTTCTCATAGTTTCCTATTACATTCTACGATGTATGTATAAAAGAAAGAGAAACGTTTTTATTGGTCTTTTTTTGGGATGGTTTAAACATGAAAGCCAATCACCAAGTTGCCGGAAAGAGCCGATGATAGCAAAATCATCCTCTCAGATGTATATATATTATTTACAAATGCTTGGTTTTAATGTAACAATCAGGATATTTATAAGATATTTTAATTAGTCTCTCGTGTTTGTTAGACACTAGAAATTAGTAAATTTGTAGATTGATTTTTTTTGTTAAAATTTGAGGTAAGTGTGACACTACTGGTAACTTCCTACTTACGTTATGCTCATTTCAAGTAAACGAAAATATTTTCAGTACACGTGTTTTTTGACAACACGTGTCTGCCCAAGCAATAAATGAAGCTGTACATATTTAGATTGTATAAAATATTTATAATTCTTTATTTATATCAATAATAGCTATAGGAGAATTTTTAACAATTAAAATAACAACACAGGGCAATATTTAAAATGATAATTAATATTTAAGTGCTGATAATGAATTAATTTTAATCAAACAGTTGCAGCTACCAAGTACTTATTTTTTTGTTATTTAAATGTTTGTCATTTTTATACACATACTATTTACATGAAAAAAATTCTGACACCATAAATTTACGCATGGAAAATTCCAAGCTAATTGATCAAGATCAATTCTATATTTGTAGACCTGTGTAAGTTATTTATGACGTAGCTAATCTTTGAACTTTTGAACTGAACATCAAAATACTTTTCATCATACTTTAACTTGTTTTACAATTAAGCAATCAAGATATGTGATTATTACATTCTTTCATCATCATTATATCATAAATTGATGATGAACAAATCTTAACAAACATGAAAAGAATTCATTGCACTTGAAAGTTGATATTGAAGTGTTTGTGAACTGGAGAAATTAATTTTTCAAATTTTTTAAGAATATTTTCTTCAAGTAATATTTTTGCAAAAATTAATTATAAATATTTCTTTAATAATTAGAACAATTTTTATTCTAATGTTAATTATAATGTATTAAATTTTCAGATATACATTGATTAATTCATCATTTTAGTTATCAACATGGTCATCTACAGATTTTTTAAATCTCCGGGCTTACTAACAGGAAAGCTATCATCAAAGCTAGAAGCAATCTCCCAAATTTCACCATTAATCAGCGACCTGGAATCAGAGTTATGCTATTATATCGAAAGCTCATCACCACTAACAGATAAAGAATTGGATATAATTAAGTTTGTACTCAATTCACCATTCAAATCTTCAGACTTTCAAGTTTCAAGCAATTTGAACCCATCAAAGCATGATTTAATAATCGAAATAGGACCAAGATTAAATTTTTCAACAGCATTTTCTAGTAACGCTGTGTCAATATTTAAATTCACGAAATTGGACAAAATATCTCGAGTCGAAGCAGCCACACGATACCTTGTAAAATGTCAAAATTCAATAAAAGGTGTTCTGGAAGAGCAAATAGTTAATGCTTTGCACGATAAAATGACAGAGTGCCGCTACTTAAAACCTCTGGAAACATTTGATCATGGTTTTAAACCAGAAAATTGGTACGAAGTTGATATATTAAAACATGGACGACAAGCTCTAGAGCAAGTAAGTGCAACATTAGGACTTGCATTTGATGATTGGGATCTAGATTATTATACTAATTTGTTTAAGAATGTTTTAAAAAGAAACCCAACTAGTGTGGAATGTTTTGATTTAGCTCAGTCTAATAGTGAACATAGTCGTCATTGGTTTTTTCGTGGAAAAATGATCATTGACGGTGAAGAACAACGAGAAACCCTGTTTAGCATGATCCAAGATACTCAAAGCTGGACAAACGGTAATAATGTAATCAAGTTTAGTGATAATAGTAGTGCTATTAAAGGTTTTCGAGCACGGACTATAATTCCAAGCCAAACCCATCAAGCTAGTAATTTTAAATTCGATGACATCGAACGACATTTGATTTTTACTGCTGAAACACACAACTTTCCGACTGGAGTAGCACCTTTTAGTGGAGCAACAACTGGAACAGGAGGAAGAATTCGAGATATTCAAGGTTGTGGACGTGGAGGTTATTATATTGCTGGAACTGCTGGATATTCTGTAGGAAATCTTCTGATTCCAGGCTATGATTTACCTTGGGAAGATAAAAATAGTTCATATCCATCTAATTTTGCTTCTCCTTTAGAAATAATTATTGAAGCAAGTAATGGAGCATCAGATTATGGTAATAAATTTGGAGAACCAGTTATTGGTGGTTTCGCTAGAACGTTTGGAATGACTTACAAAGAAACACGAACAGAATGGATTAAACCAATTATGTTCAGTGGAGGAGTGGGAATGGTAGATGCTGATATGACGAATAAATTAGTACCAGAAAAGGGGATGGAGGTGATTAAAATTGGTGGCCCTGTTTACAGAATCGGTGTAGGAGGTGGTGCAGCTTCTTCAGTTGTTGTCCAAGGCGACAATAAATCAGAACTTGATTTTGGAGCAGTTCAGAGAGGTGATCCAGAAATGGAGCAGAAATTAAACCGATTAATAAGAGCTTGTACAGAAATGGGATCCGTGAATCCAATACTTAGCATACATGACCAAGGTGCTGGAGGCAATGGTAATGTACTAAAAGAACTCGTAGAACCAGCTGGAGCTGTTATTTTTACTAAAAAGTTTGAACTTGGTGATCCTAGCATAAGCACGATGGAACTCTGGGGAGCAGAATATCAAGAAAATGATGCCATTTTATGTAAAGAACAGGATATTGATATCCTTAAGTCTATAGCAAATCGTGAAAAATGTCCAATTAATTTTGTTGGTAAAGTAACTGGATCAGGAAAAATTGTTTTATCTGAAGAAGCTGATTGTGATGCTTCTAAATATCTTCAAAATAATCAAAATACTAATATTAGACATCCTGTGGATTTAGATTTAGAGTTAGTACTCGGAAAAATGCCTCAAAAAGTGTTTAGAATGAATAGAGAAACTATAGTTCTTGAACCAGTTAAATTGCCAGCTAACTTAGATATCGGTAAAGCACTGGAGCGAGTGTTAAGATTGCCATCGGTTGCAAGCAAACGCTATTTAACAAATAAAGTTGATAGATGTGTAACTGGATTAATTGCTCAACAACAATGTGTTGGGCCCCTTCATACTCCTTTAGCTGATGTAGCTGTGACTGCTATATCTCATTTCTCATTGGAAGGAATTGCTACGTCAATTGGAGAACAGCCGATAAAAGGCATGGTTAATGTAGCTGCTGGAGCACGAATGACAGTAATTGAGGCAATTTCTAATATGGTTTTTGCTAAAATTAGTGATATTAAAGACATAAAATGCAGTGGAAATTGGATGTGGGCAGCTAAACTACCTGGAGAAGGTGCTAAATTATATGATGCATGCCGAGAAATGTGTATACTTATGAACAAGCTTGGAATTGCAATAGATGGTGGTAAAGATTCTCTCAGTATGGCTGCTAGAGTAAAAAATGACATAGTTAAATCACCTGGAACATTAGTCGTTTCTTGTTATGCGCCGTGTCCAAATATCAAACACGTTGTGACTCCAGATCTTAAGTATCCCAGTCAAGGTAAAAAAGGAGCACTAGTATTTGTTGATTTATCGCAAGGAAAAAGTCGAATTGGTGGAACTGCTCTTGCACAAGTGTTTAATCAACTTGGAGATAGTGTTCCTGATGTTGAAAATGCGGAATGCATAATAAGAGCTTTTAACGTAACCCAAAGACTGATATATTCAGGCTTAATTCTTGCTGGACATGATGTGAGTGATGGTGGACTGATTGTTTGTCTTTTGGAAATGGCTTTTGCTGGATTATGTGGTTTACAGATTGATGTAAAACATAAGTCATGTGATCCTATTAATATTCTTTTCGCTGAAGAAGTTGGATGGGTTTTAGAAGTAAATACGGATGATTTGGATCACGTTTTAAAAATGTTTGAAAACGACAAAGTGCCAGCATTTCATGTAGGATCATCTGAAGGGTTAGGAATGTCTTCTGAAATTATGATTAAAGTCAGAGGTGATCAACTTTTCAAATCACAGCTTTTGAAGATGATGAAAATGTGGGAAGAAACTAGTTATGAATTGGAAAAACGTCAAACTAATATTCAATGTGCAATGGAAGAATTTAATATGTTGGAAAATAGAAAGATTCCATGTTATAAATTGAATTTTAATCCTGATATTGTAGCTCCGATTGTCGAGCAAGCATATTTGCGCAGCCAAACTCGAGTCGCTGTTATCAGAGAAGAAGGAATTAATGGAGATCGAGAAATGGCTGCATCTCTGGCAAAAGTTGGTTTTGAAGTTTGGGACGTAACAATGCAGGATCTTTTGAAACAAGTTGTGACTTTGGATCATTTCCGAGGAGTTATTTTCCCTGGAGGATTTAGTTATGCTGATGTCTTAGGTTCTGCTAAAGGCTGGGCAGCTAGTTTACTTTTCCATCCACTTCTTCGCAAACAACTTGATGCTTTTGTTGAAAAACCAGACACCTTTAGTCTTGGTGTATGTAATGGATGTCAGTTAATGAGTCTACTTGGTTGGATTGGAAGCAAACAAAAGAATACTGATATTGTGTTAGATCATAATAAATCTGAGAGATTCGAATGTCGTTGGAGTACAGTAAAAATTGAAAAATCTCCAGCAATAATGCTTAAAGAAATGGAAGGAAGCATTTTAGGAGTGTGGATTGCACATGGAGAAGGCAGATTTACTTTTAAAAATGATCAAGTTCTCAAAGATTTAAAACAAAATAATTGCTTGGCAATTAAGTACACTGATGATGATGGAATTCCTACAGAAATTTATCCTATGAATCCAAATGGAAGTGTCGGTAAGTTTTATAAACATGAGTCTAATTACAGGTATTTAAAAAATTCGAAATGTCTAATTTGTTTAATAAAATTTTGTAGACGGTATTGCTGGAATATGTTCAGTCGATGGACGTCATCTAGCAATGATGCCACATCCAGAAAGATGCACAGACATGTGGCAATGGCCTTACATTCCTCCCAACTGGGAAAACCAATTCTCTCCATGGTTAAAAATGTTCGCAAATGCATTTACATGGTGTGAATCAAACAAATAAATTATTAAATTTATATTTTTTACTTTAATAAAATTTATAAATATTCTTATAATTTGTATAATATATATGTATAATAAATATTAATTTCAAATATTTTGTGTTAGTTCAACCATTACCACACATGAATAAATCAATATGTATCTTTTAGAAAGGAGGGCAATATTAAAATGTTTCATGTTCATTGTGATAATGCAGTAAATAGCAAACGTTGCCATAGCATCCAAACATACATTAATCAATATTTATTTATAACTGCATGTGTTTTGAACATTTATGTTATCTTTTTGTTTAGTTATTCTTTTTGAAGCTTTTTATCAGTATGAATGATCGTACTAACGATCAAGTAGATCTCACAATACAAGAAATTAATAATGATCCCGCCAAAAATGCTAATAATTGTGTTGAAAACTCAAGCGATGAAGAAAATTATTCATATAGTGATGACTCACTTTGTTCTGATGCATCCTTTAATGAATCAGATATTACCAATGTTACCACAAGATCCTCCGTGATAAGTCGAAATTCATATTCATATTCTTCAGCTTCAAAATCATCTAATAATTCTGAAGAGAGTGATATGGAAAAGAATTTGAAAGGAACAAGGAAAAAAAATTATTTATCATCTTCACTTTCAGTATCATCAAGTGGAACAAGTGTAAATACTAGAAAAAATATGAGTTTTACAAATAATGAAATGATGAAAATTGAAAGAGAAAATCAATATTTATTGAGAAAAATAATGGCTAAATCTACACCCTCTAAAAGTGTACAGATACAAACCGTGCCAAATAGACCAAGTAGTTCAGCGATCAATCGGAAGAGACTTCAAAGAAAGATTGAGGAAGAAAATATGGTAATTGTTATTACTTTTAATATTGTAGTAATATTTTTCTATGAAAGTAGAGAAAAATAATGAGTTATTTTTTTAAAGTTTAAAAATTTTATCATATTTTTATCATTATAAGTTCACGATAGTTAAAAATAACGATCAGTATAGAACAATGAAAATAAAGACGAGAGACAGAAACGAATTATATAATGATATTAATTTATTAACTGCAACAAAAACATTTTAATCGTTTCATAATATATAATTACACTGTTAAAAACATTTAAAGTTTATTAAGACGAGTTATTTGTAAAAATAATATAACAAAATTTTTTAGATGATGCTGAGAAGGATTCAAAATGCAAAGCCACATATTTCTGCCGTAAAAAGAGCACCTAAGCATCAACTGAAATCTGTTTTATAAAAAAAAAAAAAGTTATTTCTTACATAAATATAAATAGCTTATTTTAGAATTTTGGAAAATATAATTAAAAATAAAGCTAATTTGAAGACTGAGAGGACTTGTTTTTATTTAAACACAACAATGAGCAGTCTTAATAAGTAGGTACAGTTCACTCAGTTATCATAAACTCCATTATATTTTGGTTTCTCTTGTAAATAAATCATTTCAAAATTTGAATTTTTTTTTATTAAACTCGAATGAATAAATGAATTTTAATCAAGGATTTTTCACAACAAAAATTTAAAGAATGTAAAATCAACAATTAATCAAAATAAACGATGTTAAAAATAATAATTCTGTGCGATTATAAATCGAAAAGCTATCGAAATCACTCAAAAAAGCTTTTTACTTTTTTTTTCTTTCATTGTAAAATAATTTACGTATTTTTTTCAATAATTATCACAACCGTCTCAATAATTATCTCATCTAATGAAATCATTTATCACAATCATGCTTGGTTTATACATTTTTTTCATGGAAAGTACAAAAAACAGTTATTTTTCACGTTTTGTGTCCCAACTTGTTGACGGCGTCCATATTGTACTCAGAGATCTGAAAGGATCAAACCCGGAATGCTCCTACAAGCATAAAAACATTCTAATCTCATAGTAAATCACACATTTTTACTAGAGAATTATATAATCTTTACCTGTACGTCCTGCTCCGACTGCTGAAGTAATGGTACTTGAAGCGTAGGAGGTGTAGGTGTACCCCAAGGAGCAGCAGCCCAAACACCTCCAGTATTAATTCCCCAAACACCACTCCTTTCTTCACCAACAGCACCTCTAGAATACAAAGGTTCCCAATTGGTCTCTACCGTGAGCCAATTGTCTTTAAGTGAATCTGTAAGATTATTCGTTAACTTGTCTACGTGATTTAGAGTCTCAAGTTCAGAATAAGAACTTGTATCAGCTAAGAGATTCATCATGGGACTTCTATCAGTCCATAATGGTGATCGTGTATCCTCTTCTAGACTCTCTAATTCCATCAAAGGTTCATCTGTTTCTGGTAAATCATCATAAGGGATCAACTCAGGTTCATAAGCCTGCTCTAATGAGTTAATAAAATAACTATTAGATGATCTATGATGATTCTGATGCTGTTGATGATTATGACTGCTTAAAATCGATTCATTATTGTAATAAAACTTACGATCATCTAAAATACCATTCAAGTTATTATCAATGTTGAATTTAGATGTCGATTCGGAATAATCATTACTTGGTTTTCTATTTTCATTTGTTCCTTTATTCAGATCCACTTTTGGATGTCCAGAAGCATTAGGCTTGATAGTTTCATTACGTTTCATCAAAGTAAATTTTCCAGTTGATAAATATGGTGGAGATATACTGTCAGGATTCCTAGCAACAACGTCACTAAATTTAGCACGATTTTCTCCCCATTTAGGTGGTGGTGGTGGTGGAGGAAGTGATGGAGGTACTTGAGCTACACTTCTTTCTGGTTTTTTTTCAAGATTCGTATTAACTTTTAAATTTTTCTCTGAGCTTCGTCGTTTTTGCAATGTTTTCTCTTTCTTCGGTAGGTTCTTCGTTTTTGTTGGTTTATAATTAATATTATTTTCATTATTACTATTTTTTATTGATTGACAGTGATTTTTAGTCACCGATTTACTAGTATTCATCTTCCAACGATTTGGATTGTCTTGTCGTTCTTTTTCATAGTCATCATCATCACAATCTCCTTCATAACTATCTCTAAAGTCAATAATATTTGAATTTTGAACTTGTTTATTTTTCTTTCCTCCTTGTTTTTTTGATACTTTTTCAGGCTTATGAAATGTCTGATCTTTAAAAGCCGATTCTTCATGGGTAGAACTTTCTGTTGTTGTCGAAGACGTATCCTCTTCTGAGTAGTGGGCAACCTTCTGACTAGCATTTGCTTCATACTTCTTGTACGAACTATTATTACTATTAATGATATTATTACTATTGCTATTATTATTGTTATTATTACTATTATTATTATTGGTGCTATTATTAATAAAATTACTACTAATATTGTGCTGAATTTTTTTCTTTTCTCTCACTTCATTATTCAATAAAATATGCTCATGTTCATCTCTCTTAACTTTAAAATTGACTTTTGGACTTGATTTACTTGATAATGAAACTTTCTTTTCTTGATCTACTTCAGTATTATCATTCAAATCTACTTGCCTTTTCTTTTTTCTACACACTAACGTTGAATTATCTGTGTCCAATACTTCATCCGATTTCATAATTTCCTTAGACTCCATGTCCATTTTAAATTTACGTTCTTCTTCAGCAGACCAATCAGGAATCTTAATAAAACCTTTAGTTTCTTTTTCTTTACTTCTTTTTACATTCATCAAATTCCAATCTGGCTCATCTCTTTTCTTACAGTTTGTTTTTTCATCAACAAGCTTTTCTCGACTTGAAGCAACTGTCTGTTGTGTTGCCAAATGCCGTAAATCAAGTGGTGGTTGTACACCACTCGTCTTTGACATTGCTAGAAGAGCAGCACGAAAAATTTTATCAGCTTCTAAAAATGATGCTGCTAAAATACACATTAAGAAGATACATGAAAAACTTATAGCCGCCCATTGAACCGGGCGTTCCCATGATGGACGCATTAAAACACTAGCACAAGTTTCTAGAGTATGAGGTGGTAATGTTGTTAAAAGTGATAATTGTACCATTCCATTTTGTTGAATGTCAGAATCAGCAGAATTTGTACCAAGACTAGTTAGTATTAAAAGTTTTCTCTCAATCCTCGATAGAGTGAAGTCTGGTGTGAATGCAATTTCAATTTTTTTCGTAGCATTAGGGTTTAATTTAAATGAGCCACAATTTAAAACCTTAAAACCATATCCTTCACAATGTAAATCATTAATATAAAAACCATAAACATCAATTGGTAATTCTCCAGTATTTCTTGCAGTAAAGGATCGTTTGACTGTGAGATTAGGAATAGGATTTTTACGAGATCGCTCTCTTTCACAATCTTTTAGATGTTTTTCTGCCAGTTCAAAAAGCAAAGGTGTATTAGATCCAGATTTTCGATTACCAAATTTAAACTGTGCGTGTGCTCCACGTCCTGATAATCTTACTACTTGTAAAATTGTCAAATTATTCCGAATAAAAAGCAATCCAGACGATGGAGCAGGTTGAGTAGGTGTATAAGACAATTTAACTGTTCGAGATTCTCCTGGATTGAGGAACAGAGGTAAAGAATCTGGTGCAACAGTCACGTCCCAATTTCTCTCAAATGCCTTACGTTCTTCTCCATCATCAAGAAGCTTAAATTCTCCGTCAATTGTTGATGGACAGTCATAACAAGCAGATTTAAATTTACTAGGAAGTAAATGATAAAGTCTCGTACCTTGAGGATATGCCCAATCCATAATCAGTTGAATTATTAAAGGTTTAGTACTTGGATTATGGATTTTAATCATTTTAAAAGACGTATTACCAACTTGAGTAAGTGAAAAAGTAAAAGTACTCTTATTTTTATGTTTTTCATTCATATTCAATACAAGTGATGGCCAATAAGGTTTTATATTAATATGAAATTGATGTCCCCGGACTTCAGTTGTATCTAATCTCATGGTAATGTTGTCCCACATGCCACCAGAGCCAGTAGAATTCAAGTACTTGGTATAGCGAGAACTTAATAAATTTAAATCTGAATCTCTTGTGTGAGAAGGCAAACTCATGGTATTTAACCACTGATTACCGGCTGTTGAATTTAAAGAAAGACCTAAATAACAGTGCTGTTTACACGCTACTGAAGGATCAATCACAATTGTTCCTACATTATTATCTCCTTTGTTAATCACCGGTAATGACTCTTCACTCGGTGGGATATATTTGACTCGCATATCTCGATGAATTGGTTCAATTAATGTTATCTTCATTGATCGTACGAATGTCGAATGAATTTTGAGTTGCTGCATGCAAACAGAACCAGGAAAACAATCAGTGAAAGTGAATTTTTTAATAGAAATTTTTCCATGAGCCACTTGCATGTAAACTGGAACTGTTAATCGTTCATAAATTGTTCTTACAAAAACATCCCCAACAATAGTATCTTCTTCTACAATCGGAGTTTTAACTTTTATTTTAAATACTGCCAGAAATCCTGGTTTTATACTCTGACTTCCAGTATGGCTACAAACTGTTATGTTTTTCACTCCTTTATTGAAGAGATCCGTGGGACCACTTTGACATCCCATTAATTCTAAAACAGCACCAGGCATATTAACACCCCAACCATGAAGCTCTATACTGATGGGATTTTTATTTTCTAAAGCAAAAATTGCTTCAATTTCTGTTCCACTTCCAACAGTACCAAAATTCATAGTACCACGATCACTTTCACGTTCTCCAGGTATTATTTTTCTAACTTTACCATCATAGCTCAGTAAAGGCACTTTGGTCGTCGAGACATTAGAATAAATAAATATCGACGACTCTAGTTTACTACTAATAAGATTGTTATTACTATTTTTCCGATTATTTGTAACTAAAACAAATATATTAGCTTTTTGTCCGGGTTTTAAAACTCGTGGAACGAAATTTTTAATGCTAAAAAATGATCTTGCGTCCTCAGCTAATGAGACATTAGTTATAGCAAGCGGAAGATTGAATCTATTAACCACAGTAAAATTTCGTGGCTGATTTTTAAATGGTGAAAAGTAATGTGTTGTTGTAGTATTTACTTCGAGACCGCCTTGAAGAACTTCTGCATTCCAAGGAATTGAGAGTTTTTGTGTTGACCCTCCTGGTCCAACACCTTTAATCAAAAGTTTACCTTTCAAATGATTCATTTCTAAACCAGCCTTCCAATCATAAATTAATGTGCCAATAGTTACTGGTGTATCCGTATCACCTGGGATGATTGTTGGTTCGAAATCAATGGTTAGTGCTTTCGAAACTGGTGTACTGATAACATTCAACACTTTAACTGGTTTTTTGGCAGAATTTTTCAACACTATGGGATAATGAATTGGTGGTTGAAGTGAACCTCCAATACCTAAATTAATCCAAGCTGAATTTCCGCCCCAATGAAGACCAGCTCCACTTCCTACTTCCACTTCTACTGCCACAATCATCACTTCAACGCTATTATTTATTTTGAATCTTACATAAGCAGTATGATTTTTCTCAGTAAATGCGTTAAAATGTAGCCGAATTATTGGCTTTGTTTGATAGGGAGGAATTTCCCATAATTCTCGAGGACCTTCGGCTTCGCCTGATGGCAATTCTAACTGGAATTCACTGCCACTGCTATAAACTTCGATCACCTGGATCGGTTCAGGATGAGGATTATGCATGTGAATAAATGGCATAAATGATGCATTTAATGGCAGTTTCACGCCGACTACAGGACGCAGCCGATATGGACTTCTTGTACTCAATCCTCTAACTTTATATCTCAATGTTCCATCAGATGTTCGAATATGCAGATGACTGTCTACTTCACCTTCCTCTCTACCAAGAAACACAACGTTGAATGTTGTATTTCCTAAAGGCGGAATCACTTTATCTTGAAAAAAAGATGAGTGAAAATGCTGTGTACTTCCAGATATTGATGTCAAATGAATCGTTCGATTGTGATCTTTATTTATCAAGAATACTGTTTCTTGATGCGGCACTCCAAGTTGTCTAAAATATTCCAAAAATTATTAAAATTAAGTTTCAACGTTAATTCAAAAGCTTAATTAAATAAAACACTCACCGATCTTTAAAATCTAAAATATCCGGCTCGAACTTGATGTACGGTATCGAGTCCTGTATATTTTTATCATCGATCGAAGTATCCCTTTTGTTGGATAATTACAAGCAATAAATTAATTGCAATATAATTAATTAGTGGGTTAATACTACAGTTAAATGAGTTCTAAAATAGGAAAGGCACAAAAAAGAATAATACAATGTTAGTATCAAGTCAAAAAAGATAAATGAAAGCCTTAAAAAAACCAGTAAATACCCCAAGAACTACTAGTAACCTTTCCTATTTTTAAACTCACCATTGATTTCATCTTTAGATGCTTACCCTGGCCCATGCAGTGCATTAGCAAAATCCTATAAAAAAAACAAATAATTAGATTTTTCAAGTTAATGATTTTACTTGTATCTTGGAATTATATTCGTTGAAATTTTATTGAAACTCGAAATAATATTAATTCTATATAAAAACTTGAATATTTTTTACAAAAAAAATTCATGAATAAGAAATATTATTGGTATTTAATCTTTTTATAGATCAATAAACTCAATTAATTATGAATAATAAATACGTGCTTTATAAGAAAGAAAAGAATAAATCATTTATAAGTGTGATGATATTATACAAATATTGTTCATAACCTTGAAACTCTGAATTTATATAGTTGGTAATTCAATCATAATATAATATTTTTGTAATAGAAAATGCAGAGAAAATAGTTTAAACAAAAAACAATATTTCGAAATATGAATAAGAGATATAAATTTTAATATAAAATAATTTAAAAAAAATTTTTATCTCTAAAAAATATTATAATTTAATTTATTATAAGTAATTTTAAAATTATTTCTTACTTTGTGCATTGAAATGGGGATGTTGTCCAAGATATAGTGGACTTCATTGTCATCTTGAACAAAACCTGTAATAACATAAAAATAATTTGAAGAAAGATCAGTTGATAAGACGTGTAAATGAGATTTGAGCTAATGTGCAAAATATACAATTATTTCAGGTGCTCTCAGTCAAGGTTTGCTTTGATGACCTTCAGCACTAAAAATTATAGGTTTGGAAAATTTTACATGACATAGCGAATGTTTTTGCACGGAGTTCATTCAAATTTATGACAAGGATTCATAGTAAAAACCCCATAAACTAGTTCTATTTATCTTTATAAATAATTTAATAGCAATAAATAAACATATATCAATTTTAGTTGATGTAAATAAATGTGATGATGATCAAGAGGAATAAGAGACAATTTACCATTGTTGTGACCGTGAAAGGACGGTCTTATTTGTAGTGCTGATTCCAAAAATGTTAATAAAAACAAGTAACAGTATATTCTTTTGTCAACCATAATATTATTGCTTTATGATAATGTCATAAAAATCACTTATTTCATTCAGTTATCGTTATAAATTTTATTAAATTCGTATTTTTGGCCATTACTTTTTGGGTATAGTTAATATTCAAGTTTCACAATATCGATTATACATATTACATACACCGACATAACAAAACATACCCACACAATCACGTGGAATGTTCAAATTTACTCTACGCGTTATTACACAAGCGTGTTCTTTCGAGCACTGACCAGATATTGGCTCGAAGATACACCATTTGCCATACAATTGGTTGTTAGGTTAGATACTAATCCAGCGCACCTTATGGAATTCTTTGTAACTATTTGTAGTGACTGATTAAAAATTTTTTTATAATTCAATAAAAATAGAATAAAAAATATGAAATATCAATTTCTATTTATTAATTGACTTATTATTTTTAAATAACGTAAAATATAAGAGTTGATGATACTTTAATTGAATAATTAAAAATTACAAGACTTTATAATTTATTATGAAAATGAAATTACTCAGAATTTGTTTAAACATTTATTACTACAAAGTACGACAAGCCTATTATTGTTATGACTTTATTGATTATTTAAAGTAAAAAATAGTTACAATTTAAGTTAATTATTGTTATGCACGCTTACAAGAATCGATAGATGTATATCTTTTATATGCATAAAAATATTTAAAATGGCATATTTCATACAATTAAATATATTTTTAAATATTTCGAAATATTCTTCAATTACATCTCTACAAATAACAGTTTAAATTTTCAATCATGAACTAAAACTAGAACATAGAATGGAATCCTCCATATGCATCAAGACAATTGGAAACAGGAAGTTACACCACTTGGAAACCACCTCACACACAACTCTTTTAACGCGCAACACTTCATTTCATCCATATTCCGGCTTTTAGCAATCAACCAAGTAAGTATAAAGCCAATTAAATGTATTTAATAATTAATCCATTATGATGAAATTCCCATTTATTTCTCTAATAAATAATTCTCACATTAGAAGAATCCTTTGAACAATCATAAAAAAATTTTTCTTGCTTTGATTAATTTCAACTTAGATCTTGAAGGTCTCCATGTGCTTAATATACCTTTTTTAAGTCGTAATTTTTTCTCCCATTATTTCGTTATTTTTTTGCCTTTTTTAACGTGAAAGAAGTCATTGTTATAACAAATTTAAATGATTCATGAAGAATGGATATCATTTTAATCACTAATGGCAACGATCAATCAAAAACCGCCTCAATTTTCATCACCAAATGATTTGCCTTTGTAACGGCTTCTTGATAATTGACAATAACCTCTAGATTAATTCATTGTGAATTCAAACGATGATTAACTGTTTGTTGTTTATGTTGAATGGCTATTTTTAATTTTTTTTTTGCTTGATTTCGCTATTTCTCGACGTCTGATAGTTCGTGCCATGACAGATCCTGAAAAGGCTGTACCTAGTGATATGGAGTCCGTTGAAGATGATGATGATCGTAAAACCAATAGCCTTATCAATCGACCGGATATAATGTCAAGGATTCAGGCTCGGATTCAAGCCGGTGAAAAAACACAGGTAAATTAATTCAGTAATTTATTCTGTGATTAATGATTAATTAATTTTTTCTTTTTATCTAGAATTTTCCAGAATGTATAAAACGACGGATTAAAGCTCTAAAGCAGCTCCAGCTGTCATTTTTTAATATTGAAGCGAAATTTTATGAAGAAGTTCATGCTCTTGAATGCAAATATAATAAAATGTTTTCAGAGCTTTATGAAAAAAGAAGCAACATTATTTCAGGTGTTTATGAACCTACTGATGAGGAATGTGTCTGGGAAACAGATGAGGAGGATGAAAATCTTCCTAATGATGTCAAAGACAAATTGAAGATCGAAAATGTCGATGAAAAAAAAAATGAGTACGTTAATTAGAATTTAAAAAGATGTTAATTTTACTTAGTAGTTTCCAGTTCAGTTTTTATAACAATTCATTCTAATTCTTTTGATAGAAGCGAAAAAGAAGATGTCAAAGGAATTCCCGAGTTTTGGCTAAGTTTATTCAAGAACGTTGGAATGTTAGATGAAATGGTTCAAGAGCATGACGAACCTATTTTAAAACATCTTTATGATATTAAAGTGATACTTTTAGAATCTGATCCAATGGTAATTAATGACATTAATACACTAGTTCTTATTTTTAAAATAATTTTACTAACTTATTTATATTTTCCAGGGTTTCGTTCTTGAATTCCATTTTGAACCGAATGAATATTTTTGTAATTCTGTTTTAACTAAAGAATATATTATGAAATGCGCACCAGATAAGAATGATCCATTCAGTTTCGAAGGTCCTGAAATCTGTAAGAGTAAAGGATGCGTCATTGATTGGAAAAAAGGCAAAAACGTCACTGTCAAGACGATAAAAAAAAGTCAGAAGCACAAATCACATGGCCATGTCCGTACTGTTACAAAAACTATTCAAAATGATTCATTTTTCAACTTTTTCTCACCTCCTGTTGGTACGATATAATCGAATTAATTAATTATTGATTAAACTTGTCTTCAAAGAATAATTCTTTCAACTTTTTCTATCATTAGTTCCAGACGATAGTGAAGCTGTAGATTTAGATGAAGATATGAAGTCTTTGTTGACTAGTGATTTTGAAATCGGTCATTACATAAGAGAACGCATTGTTCCACGTGCGGTTCTCTATTATACAGGTAAAATCATCATGAAACATATTTTCAATCAATATAAAATTATTTAATACAATAACAACTGTTCTCTATTCGATTTTAGGAGAATGTCTTGAAGATGAAGGGGATGACTACGAAGAAGAAGAGTGTGACGAAGATGAGGATGAAGATGATGATGATTGTGATGAAGAAGAGGAGGACGACGAAGAACGTCCAGATAAAAACACGAGATCAGGTGCGAAAGCTCAGAAGAATCATCCTGAATGTAAACAGCAGTAATTTCGCAATCGATTTTTTCTTCTCTGATCCGTAGCTTTTTTCGTTTAAAAATAATTTTGAGTATCCATAAGTCTTTCACATTCAAAAGATAGCCAAATATAAAAAACATTCAATATTAAAGCTTTCCGTTATTTTATATATTATTAAGAAAGTAGAGCATAAAAGAAATAAAATGATCCGAAATAAGATGAAATCTGCTAATCATCAACATTCTTTTGTGTCTCCTCTTGCAGATCAATCGTAAAGTCAACATTCTAAACCTCTTCTAGATCTCTGGGTGTTGTAGCTGTCTTTATTTCCTCCATACTCTAAGCTTTTTTAATAAGTCAACAAAAATTAAAAAAAAAAAAAGTAAACATTTTTCCATTAATTTTTTGACATATATTCTTTCTACAATAGTTGCTTTTTTATAAAAAAAGAAAATATAGTAACAAATAACAGAATACAATGATGTTTTATAATTACTTGTAATGAATAAACAAAAAAACATGATTTCGGTCGAATTTTTTTAGAAATAAAATTTCAATTTTTTCAAAAAATGTTTTTTTTTATTTTAACAATCCTTCAAGCAATTCAATAAAAAATATTGATACTTTGTATAAAGATTCACAAATTAATCAGTTTTAAAAAAAACATCGAAAAAACTATTATTGTTTATAATGAACAATGAGTTCTCTATAATTTTTTTAATTTATTACATAGAATTCTTTCTTATCGATCAGATAAATGGTAGTGTGTAAACGAATTCAAATGCTTTATTTAAAATTCATTTAATTTTGCAGTTTTTAGATAACGTTGAATTTTCTCATACGATTTGCTATTTCATAATCTTTAATTATGGAAAAATATAATAATAAAATATGAGAACAAAGAAAAAATTTAAAAATCAATTTATTTTATTATTTACGAGGCTGGATTAAAAATAGTTTACAAGATTTTATTGGTTTACGATTTTTTAACATTTTTCTTTAAAATTAAAAGTGTTGTCAATTTAAAAAAAAAGGAAAATTCATTAATATTTAAATCAACGAAAAAACTATTTCGTAATTTTTAAAGTATTCGAGGTTATATTCGTAAGCGTATATACAACTTCTTTATACAAAAATATGTATTATTATTATAAGCTATCTGACGCATTGATCAAACCACTTGAACTGGCCTAGAAACGGACGCATTATAGGAGTAAACAAACAAATGCATATCTATTGTCAATCGTAATTACACGATTGAATTTCTCAATTATTTGTTTGTTTAAGAATATAATCAATGATTTTGTGGTATTGTTAATTTAATAGTGTAAATACTCGAATATACATTAATACTTCAATCATTTGAGAATCATTTAAACACATGGTAAGAATAGTAAATAATAAAAATCCAAGTAATCATTTCGAAACTATAAATATACTATTTTTAATTATTTTTTAAAGGCTAGCACTTCAAAAAAACAAACTGGCACAAAAAGAAAAAATTCTCACAAAGTAGAATTGACTGAAGAGCAGCAAAATGATATACGAGAAGCCTTTGATCTATTTGATCCTGAAGGAACTGGTAAAATATCTACAAAAGAGCTAAAAGTAGCTTTTAAAGCTCTTGGAGTTGAACCGAAAAAGGAGGAATTGAAAAAAATAATTACTGAAATAGATCCTGATAACACAGGCGAAATAACTTTTGATGAATTCCTAAGTGTCATGTCTACGAAAATAAGTGCAAAAGATAGTATGGATGAAATTTTGAAAGCGTTTCGTTTATTTGATGATGATAATACAGGAAAGATTACATTAAAAAATTTAAAACGTGTTGCAAATGAACTAGGAGAAAATTTAACAGAAGAAGAGTTACAAGAGATGATTGATGAAGCTGACATAGACGGAGATGGAGAAATATCGCAAGAAGAATTTTTACGAATAATGAAAAAAACACATCTAGTTTAACATTAGGTATAAGTATTTAATCAACAAGATCTTTGTAAAAAATTTTTTTATTGAAATATTAAATATTTTTCAGACTTAACTACTTATATCATTTATTGCTGTTTTTATAAGAGTTGTAACTTTTTTTGTTCTTTTTTTTGCAATTGCTATACTTTTTTGAAGCAGATCTATGGATATCGGTACTCCACCTTCATAAAAAAAATATTATATAATATTGTTTCAATTATACATAACTATTCTATATAATTACCAGGCTTATGAACGCAAAATATCTCTTCTGAATCCATTACTATTGTCAACCTTGCTAAAGCTTGTGTTTCTTCTTCATCTGTTGGATCAGCTAGTAATAAATCACTAAAAAATATCCATATTATATAGTAAATACATATATGATACTTGGAAGTCAATAATTTTTTTGTGCAAAATTCAATTTACTTTTCAAAAATAGAAAAGGTACAAGATGCCAAAAATGTCCTGATAGCGATTGGTCTTCGCTTTGTCGGATGAACAAACGTGGTTTTAGCATCAGGGTTATGATTTACTTCCGGTAAAGTAACTGAAATATTAACATTAAATTAAGTTAATATTTAATAAATAAGTTATACATTTTAAAAAAACTCACGAGTTGATAAAGCTGCTATCAAAGCGCCTACGCAAGCGTCAATAATTGATCCATCACAATCTATGCATTCAAGATCACAATAAAGTACCCAAACTAATTTGTTCTTGCAAATGCATAAATCTTTAAGATTAATTATTTCAGAGTCAATCAGAATGTCATCTATCATTTTTGAGGCAACTTGAGCCTGATCACTGGGAGGACCAGGTCGAAATTTTGATGAACATAATGGTGACAGTTCAACATTTGGAATGATAAACCCACAATCAGGAGCATCAGCCTTAGGTTCTGCTAGTTCCTAATTATAAAAAAAATATTACAGAAAAGATTCGACCTATTTTTTGCATTCAACTGATATTTACAGCTTTAATACCACAAACGATCGTAGTGTTTCCTATTTTGAATATTGCAGAAGCATCAGCTTGAGTTATTGATGAAACATTTACACTTATAGGCCGAAAATTCAAAAATTCTCTACCGTCTGGTCGGATTTCTTGTGACTAATGAAAATGAAATGATTAACTATGTCTAATTATGAACTTATACATTTATTTATGTATTTATAAAATATTTTTTATGTAAGTAACAATACTTACTAAGTAATCTCTAAAATATTTCACCGGATAAATAGTCCTGTAAAAAAATAGTCATTTATTATTGATGTAAAGATTGAAGAAGTTGTAATTCATAATGGATCAACATCAAATATTTATTACTTATATAAAGATGCCATAATCAATTATAAGTTTGAAAACAATAATGCAAAATCCAATAAATTAATCATGTGTTCATGTTATAATGTGTTTTATGTCCCATAAAACATGTTTAATGCTTCACGCTGGTTTATTCTTTCAACTTAACCTTTATTTTCTAAACAAAAATGCGGTAGATTTAAAAGATAAAGGTTAGTTTTGAGTGAAATTAAGATTCGTTTTCATGAAACATATCAAAAACAAATTATTAAAATTTTTTTTGTTGTAAATTAAAGCTGGGCTATGTTTTTTTAGGCAGAAAAATAATGCAAAAATTGCAGAAACTAACTTTGATGAGCACAAATTGAATAAAAAATGAATAATTCATGATTTCTTTTTATAAACCTCGTAGCGGCCATCTTGGCGTTAAAAGCGCGGCAAATTAATTCATAATTATTTAATTTTCTTTTTAATTTTTTTGTTAAAAAAATCAATTGGATAATCAAAATTTGTACTTTTTGTACTGCAGCATAAAATGAGCTTTAATTTGGGACAGAAATTTTTAAATAAAAACATAAATTCGCGGGGAAATTAGAAACATACGATCCAATGTATTTAGATAAGAGGAATCAGTCAGCTCCGTGACTTGAGCCCAGTCTTAAAATTAACAATTGAGAAAAATAAAACTCATTAATGCAGAAAGTCGAAATGAATTAATAATAAAATCTATGCCTCTAAAATTTCTATGTGAATGTCAAATTAATAAAAGAAAGAAAAGTAACTGGCAGGTCTTACCAATACAAAAAAACCAAAACATTAAGGTGACTTTTCAAGAAAGATACTAATCCAATGGAATAATAACAAGAATGGATGAACAAATTTCAACCACGTTTGTGATTTGATGACGTTGAAGATTTTCTTTACCAAAAGTTGACGAGCAATGAAAAAAGCGATTTTAAGTGTAGAATATATTATTTGTGATAAATCTATACGTTATTATTAATATTTAAATAATTGAATATAAACAAGATAGTGATAAAATAATAAAATGCATTCGGTTTTCACAAGAGTTAACGCAATCGTAGCGTACACAGTTAGTGTTGCCGGTTTCCTAACATTCTTTTGCTTTCTTTCCACTGTTTTTTTCGATTACCGGGCAAATGCTACACTGAATACGGTTAAAGTTGTTGTGTAAGTATCAATTTTCTATGTTAAAAAAATAACCTGCTCACGTATCCTACATTTCTCATAGAACGGGATGGCAGTTTGTATAACTCATTTATTTTATTGAATCAAGTTACTTTAAATTTATTAAACACTAGCTTCTATGCATAACGATAATTACTATTTAAAATTATTATTCATTTTATTTATGTTTTTTTTATTTTTCAGGAAAAATGTACCAGATTACAGTGCATCTAGGGAAAGAAATGACCTAGGATTCCTAACATTTGATCTTCAAACTGATATCCTTTTTATAATTATTATATCTTTATTATTACATTTTAAATAATTCATATAGTTGTTCATAATTTATAATACTATTAAAGCCCTTAATCATATGATATTACTATAAATCTCACTCCGTTGTTCAACTGGAATGTTAAACAGCTGTTTCTCTATCTTACTGCTGAGTATGAGACGGAAGCTAATAAAATAAATCAGGTATATTATTCACACTTCTCCAGTATTCACAATGAAGCAAATTGTTGAATTACTGAACTAGCACAATCATAATGTCATATTTATCCTATTACAGGTTGTATTATGGGATAAAATAGTTCTAAGAGGTGAAAATGCAGTTCTTGATTTTAAAAACATGAACACAAAATATTACTTCTGGGATGATGGCAATGGTCTTAGGTAATTATTTAATTAATCGTTGTTCATAAGATTATGAAAGATAATCATAAATGAATGAAGTTTTATTAATATTATCAATCATGTCTCGACTCTACTGTGTTAATTATTATTCTATATAAAAAATTTTTTTTATAGAGGAAACAAAAATGTGACTTTAACATTGTCATGGAACATTATTCCTAATGCTGGTTTATTGCCAACTGTGAATGCACTTGGATCGCACACATTCGCATTCCCTTCAGAATATACTACTTCAAGAGTTTAATAAATTTGTAAATGTATATTCATTGAATTTTATTTATTATTATTCAATTTTCTGACTTATTTTGAACCATTTGAATCTATATAAAACCTCGCACTGTGCTAAAATGAGAAAAATTTATGACATAAAAATCTATTTAAGTCACTTTTGTGCGTAGCTTTGAATTAATAAACGTAAATAAATACATTTTTAATATAAAGACGATAAATTTTATGATTTATTATAAATTTTAAATATAAAAGAAAGATAAGTATAATATTTTCATTGTGATATTTACTCCAATAGGTCAAGTTTTACTCCAATTTTTTACATTGTTTTATTTTACTCCAAAATAAATTAATACAACACGCTAGAATGCACATAGAATGCCATCTGTGATTTCGAGACCATATATGTGTGTTTATTCTTCCTACTTCCTATACACATACGTATTCCGTTATAGCATATGTCAGTACATATAAAGTACAATGTGATTACTACTTAAATAAGAGCAAATTATTTTAAATAGTTAATAACAAATACTCACAAAATGACATTTAGTTAATGAACGGATGAATATCGATCTAAAATAATAAAGCCAATCATCTAAACTACAATATTCATCTAAATCATTGAATTATAGTATTAAAATAATAATTAAATAATAAATGACAAAGTGTAAATGATAAAAGTGTTAAGATGTCTTTAACATTTCAACAAATAATTTGTGATGCTAAAAAGCTTGTTGGTCGAATATCTGATCATGAAAATACAGCAGATAACCTAATCACTGAAATTCAATCGGTCTGTAGCCAAATTGATAATATGAAGCAATACCAGGAAGAAGTAGAAGTTTTGAATGCTGAAGCAAAACAAAAACCTCGAGAGCAACTAATTGCTGGTATTCAACAAGAGACTAAGTACTTACGAGAACTTCAAGCTGAAAACAAAGAATTGAGAAATGCTCTTGAAGAGCATCAAAGTGCTTTAGAGTTAATAATGTCTAAATATCGTCAACAAACTGCTACGCTCATTAAAAGTAGTAAAACTGATTTTTCTTCGCTTCATAATGCTAAGCATGCTAATGTAAGTCTTCACTGCAGCTTTTAAATCACTTTTAGTTGTTCACTTATTTTCAATTGATTTTTTTTTCTAGATAATTACAAGTCAAGCAGAAAAAATTCATGAAATGGCAACAGTAATGAGGGTAGCTGCTTCTTTAGACGAAGAAAACGAACTTAAGTTTAAAGAAAATTATTCAAAGCTCAAAACGGAAAATAGTGTTCTTCGTGAAGTTGTAAATATGGCTAACAAATACGGCTCTCTACATCACAGACCTCCATGTAATGATAAGAGTGTACAGACTGAGTTTGAGTGATTAAAGAAAGCTTTTTCTCTTCTTATTTATTTTTGGTTCTCACTTTTAGATTAGTTTTTGATAATATTTTTTCGTTCTTGTTTTTTAATCATTGAATCCATTTTTAAAAAGTGTTCAATATAAAATAATACCAATACCAATTAATAATAAAATAAGATCTTCTCAATTTAAGGTAATAGTAATGTGTTAATAATAACACTAATACGCTGTATATTTAATAGTACGAAAATATATTTGTTATACTCTCGCATTATTTTGTATATTGTATACAAATGGCAGTTAAAATTATTTTATATAAACTTTACAACGTGACAATTGCATCAAAATTCATCTCCTCCGTGATATATGTATAATTAATATTTGAAATATTATTTGACGAGTTGACGAGGAAAGGAACTATCTTCTTCAATGAGTTTCCGATGTACTTCGCTCAATGCCTATCGTCAAAAAGAATTATCTATTAGTAAATAACAACTGATATCAATCGATGGGAAAAATAATTAATTAATTAACTTAGAAAGTTTGTTATATTTTAATTTTATACCTTAAAATATTTGACAGTTTTCACACGCAATTCTAGAGTGGCATCCTCATCACAAATGAATAATGTTCGAGGATGTTGTTGAAATGCAGAAACAGTCCACATGTGATTAATCCCTTCTTCCACAGCTTTATAGAGTGCAAATGCTTTATGAGATCCAGTAATTAAAATCATAACTTCCTTAGCATCCATTACAGTTCCCACGCCAACAGTTAAAGCTTGTTTTGGAACTTTATTGATGTCATTTCCAAAAAATCGAGCATTAGCTTCTAGAGTATCTTGAGCAAGAGTTTTTACTCTTGTTCGAGAACATAAAGACGAACCAGGTTCGTTAAATGCAATATGGCCATCTGGTCCAATTCCTTAAATGTAATAATTATGAAATATAATTATGACTAATGTATAATAAATCATTAGAATATTTTACCTCCAATGAACAATTCAACACCTCCGGCTTCTTTTATTTTTCTTTCAAATTCATCACATTCATATACTAAGTCAGTTGCATTGCCATCAAGAATGTGAACATTTTTTGGGTCAATATCGATGTGTTTAAAAAAGTTATTGTACATGTAATAATGATAAGATTCTGGATGATCTCGGGGCAAATCAACATATTCGTCCATGTTAAAAGTCTTGACATATTTAAATGATATTTTTCCAGCTTTATAATATTCTATCAGCTTTTTGTACATTCCCAACGGTGTACCGCCTATAAAAAATATACATATTTAAAATATTTCATCATAATCATTCATTATATATAAGATAACTTTTTACCTGTAGGCAGGCCAAGGACGAAATATTTATCTTCATTTGGCTGAAAATCGTGGATTCTTTTCATCACATATTTTGCAGACCATTCGGCAACATAATCAACATTATCACCAATTATTAACCGCATTATGAATTGTTTAATTTATTTTATTGAGTAATCGTTAAAAACTTTCGATGCTTTCTACTGAGGTATTTCACTATAAATGATATTAAATTTTGCAAATTTTTATAAAACTTTGGGTTCAAAATGTAATCATTCTGTTAATGATAATGAGCAAATGATAACCTCAATAATGTATCAAATTTAATGTATAAGATAAAAAACGTTCATGTACTGGAGAATTATTTTATGACAGATTTGTATTTTTTTTTATACGTGCATGTACATTGAAAGAAAACAGTGTACGGCTAGATTTTTTTCTATGTATTGTGGCCTCCCAAGTAGTAACAGTACATTTTTATCGAGTTGGTAACACTATGGAATAATGCCAACTTATGTAAATTATCAAGATTAAAAAAATATTTATTGAATGAATACAGAAGATTAAAATATATTAGTTATAATTTAAATTCAGTTATGTTAAATCATTTTTCTAGGAGTTGACAATTTTTGGAAATTGAGTAGCTTTTCTTCTCTATTTGAATTATCTGGTGGCGCTGTTGAGCAATTGTTGACTTTATTTTGGCGCCAAAACTTCTGAACAATTGTTATTCAGACTTTTGTTTAATTATTTTGCTAATCATTTATATTTATATCGTATGGATTGAGAAATTAATGTTTAAATTTAATAAGAGATGATTGATTGATTAATTAATTACCTTTATTAACAATGCCTGACATAAATATAAATGGAGTTATGGTCAATTTTCCTTTTGAACCTTATGAGGTGCAAAAGGTATTTATGTCTAAAGTACTTGAATGTTTACAAAATAGGAAGCATGGAGTACTTGAATCACCAACAGGTAATCAATAATTATTTATATTTTATTAACTTTCAATGACATTGTTTATTATTTAATTTTTTTTATAAGTTTTGAGATTTTTGAGGTTATAATAAATTTAATGTAATAGGAACTGGAAAAACTCTTTGTCTTTTATGTTCATCCTTAAGTTGGTTGATGACAAGAAAAGCTCAGGTACAAGCACAAGCTCTTTCAGGAGCAATAGAATCATCAGAATTTGGAGGAAAATTTTTTGAAAGATTAAAAAATGACTTGGCAAATGCAGCCGGTACTCCTTCAGATGCTGGAGCAAATAGTGCTTTATTCAATTGGGCAATGCCTAAAATTATTTATGCATCTCGAACCCATTCACAGTTGTCACAAGTAATGCAAGAATTAAAACGGACTGCATACAAACATCTTAAAGTGGCAGTCATTGGATCTAGAGATCAACTTTGTATTCATCCAGAAGTATCTAAAGAGCAAAATTCTGCTGATAAAATACACCTTTGTCAACTTAAAGTGCGATCAAGGACTTGTTTGTATCACAATAATGTTGAACTAAGGTATATTTTTCATCTATTTATTTTTTTCTCATCAATATTTAAATTATGCTCATTTAATTTTTAAATTAATTTGTTTACTTATTTATTCAAGAAAAGATGATCCTGTATTTAAAGATAAAATTTGTGATATTGAAGACCTTGTGAAGGCTGGAAATAAAATGAAATGTTGTCCTTATTTTATGGCTAAAGAATTAAAACAAAGTGCAGATATCACTTTTATGCCTTACAATTATCTCTTAGATCCAAAAACAAGAAGATCTCAAGGAATAGATTTACAAAATCATGTTATTTTACTCGACGAAGCTCATAATGTTGAAAAAACATGTGAAGATGCAGCTTCTCTTGATCTCAGCAGCACTGATATTGCACTGTGCATTGACGAAATAACAGCAGTAATGAAGCGTATCGCTGACGAATCTACAAAAGGTGAAGATGGCGATTTTAATTTTGAAGACGGATTCAACGGAGAAGCTCAAAAAGATTTTACTGCAGAAGATTTATGTATATTAAAAAGTATGTTTTTATCATTGGAAAAAGCAATTGATGAAATTACTTTAAGTAAACCCGAAGGAGATACATTTCCTGGGAATTATATATTTGAGTTATTACAGAAAGCAGAGGTAATGTAATTCATTTTATTTTAATACGAATGATTTGTAATGTATTGTCTTTTTTTATTTTAATGATAGTTGACACGAGGAAAAGAGGTGTTAGTTGCTGATAAACTAGATAAAATCGTTTTATGGCTTTCGACATCATCTACATCACCCTTTGCACGTACGGGTCGAGCTTTACAGAAGTTCAGTGATTTTTTGCGAACTGTATTTAGCACAAAATCTAATACTGTCAAACTTTACAATGAAGTAAAAGATTGTTATAAAGTTTATATTAGTTTAGAAAATACGTCGAAAAATAGTAGATCTGATGGATGGAATACAAAAAAAGTTACCAAAAAGTCTGATGGAAAAATAATCAATTATTGGTGCTTCAGTCCTGGTTTCGGAATGCGTCAATTAATTGATCTTGGAGTGCATTCAATTATTTTAACAAGTGGAACGCTGTCACCATTGAAGCCATTTATATCTGAGCTTGGAATTCCTATTGATGTACAGCTAGAAAATCCACATATTGTCAAAAGCTCACAGATTTGTGTTGGTATTTTAAATCAAGGTCCCGATGGTCATCAACTCAACTGTTCATATAATACTCGAAGTGATCCAAAATATATCGCAAGCTTAGGTCGAACGGTTTATAATTTCAGCTGTATGATTCCCGATGGTCTTCTCGTTTTCTTTCCTTCCTATCCAATTATGAAAAAGTGTCGAGATGATTGGCAAAATTCAGGACTATGGTCAACAATCGCTCAAAAAAAGACTATCTTTGTTGAGCCCCAGACCAAAGATGGCTTTAACAATGTAATTAATGAATTTTATGAAAAAATACGAGATCCACAATCTCGAGGTGCTATTTTTTTGGCAGTTTGTCGTGGAAAAGTCAGCGAAGGCTTAGATTTTGCTAATGCTAATGGTCGAGCTGTACTGATAATTGGATTGCCTTATCCACCGATGATGGATCCTAGAGTAATGTTGAAGCAAAAATATCTTGATGAAATACGACTAAAAGATAAAACTGCTCTTGCGGGAAATCAATGGTATCAATTGGAGGCATCTCGTGCTGTGAATCAAGCTATTGGTCGCATCATCCGACATGTAAATGATTATGGAGCTATAATTTTATGTGATTGCCGCTTTAACAATGCTGCATTTAAAAGTCAATTATCTGCATGGCTTCGACCCTATATAAAAAATTTTTCCAATTTTGGAAATGTTACAAAAGAACTTCGTGATTTTTTCAAAAATATCGCTGTTAATTTTCCACATTTGGCCGTACCTACTGATCAACGATTGCCTTCCATTAATTATGGTGAATCTGATCAAGGATTTAAAGGAGACGTAAGAGTTTTAGAGACTCAATCTTTGAAAAAATTAAAAACAGAATCCGATTTCCAAGAGAATTTTGACATAAACTCCTATAAACAATCAAATAATACATCTAGTGATCCTGATAAAATAAATTCAAGTCAATCTGCTAATGTTGCAGGTTCTAGTAAATCAACAATAAATTTTGTGACTACCAAAGTGCAAGGAAATTGGAGTAAAACAATTGAAACTAGATCACATCAAGTAACTAAGCAAAGTTCTGATGAACCTGCATTAAAAAAACGAAAATTAAAAATTCAACCAATTAATATAAAATATAGTCCTGAAGATTTAAATGATTTTGTTGACAATATTTCAGATTCTACTAATGTTAATATAAGTAGCTCTTCTGCTAATGATGAGCCAACGAAAAGTTCTATTAATGACAGTAATCAAGACAAAAAGAAAATAGGAGAAACTTATTTGAAAGCAGTCAAAAAATCATTATCAAAAGAAAATTTCAAAATTTTTGCACAAATGATTGATGCTTATAAAAAGAAAGGAGATTTCGATCAATTAATTAAAACTTTAGAGATAATTTTTTTAAAAAATACCGGTGTTGAACACTTATTTTTAGGTTTCAAAACTTTTTTAAAGAAACAACATATTGATCAATTTGATGAATATGCAAAAAAATCAAATAAAAATACTAAGTCTTCAACTATCTCAACGTGATATAGAATAAATGTTATTCATAATAAACTAAACAAGTATTACAAAATTTAAATTGTATAATAATTGATTATCATGTATACACAGAATTTTTATAATTCATCTTTTATAAAGTAAGCAAAAAATTATGTGTATGTTAATTAACAAATATATATTTTTTAATGTAAAAATAAGATTGATTAATTTTTTATATTCTATAATAATAAATGTGTTAGGCATCTACAGTACCATTATTCTCATTTTTTACTGAACCTGATAATGATTTTTGTCTAGCAATCTCCGTTGCTAAGATATCATGATAATATTCTGAAAAAACACTTCGATTGTGTGCAACGATAATGCAAAATTGTGCAGCAATAGCTATTAATTCTTCTTGAAGCGATGACAGACCCAGGGGAACTTGCAATGGCGCTGCATTCTTTGATAAAATTGTTTTTTCGAGAAATTGTCGAATTCTCAGATCTACATAAATAAATATAATTATATCGTTTTTTTCCGAATTTACAAAAAATTTAATTTTCCAATACAGATAAATTACTCACTGACGAGTGATCGAATCCGATGATCTTCGTTAATTAATTCCTGTATTTGTCTGTCCAGAATACTCTCAACCTCTTTATCCAATTCTTTACCATTCATTTCAGTTAGGATTGAGTTAACATCCTGTTTTACTTGAACAACAATATTCGGCATTGTTTCTGTTAAATCTCTGTAAGATAAATATAAACAAATAAAATATTTATTTAATATATCAAGGCTTGATAACAAAAAAAATAATATTAACTTATTCGAGTGTACAGAATCTAAAATAACATCAAGATGTTTTTTAATATTTTTTTTCAATTTCTCTGCTGCTTGGGCTGTCATTCCAATTGTACTGTTACAAATTAAAATGATTGATCCTATGATTGTTAATCGATTGACTTTGTTTCTTAATTCTATAAGTCTTCCTTGATCTAGCATCAGGGTCTAAAAAATTAAAAATTATAATTTTAGTAAAAAAAAAAAATTTTTATGATTCATTACTCCAAAATAATAAAACAATTACTTCTGCTTCTGGACTTGCATTCCAATTTAATAAATCAAGGTAAGCCTCTGCTAAGAGATAATGAGTCACTTGCTTGATTCCATCTGCGTTTGACGCATCAGATATTTTTTTTTCGTTCAAATATTTTAATAACCATTGTCTGGTATATTGTAAACCATCAGCTTGTACTTTTAAAAATTCAGCAAATTTTTTTTTCTCGTATTCTATGCTTGATGCTACTATATTTGGTCGCATCATTTTAATTGTAAAATTAGCTAAATCCAATTTCATTAATTGTAAAGTTTCCATGATTCCTTTGAAAGTTTCAAGAACATCAGTACATTCTGATAGCTGACGTATTCTTTCGTCTCGCACCGGTGCACATACTTTACTCATTATATTTAATACATAAGTAGAGTATCGATGAAAATCTAGAACTCCTTTCTCTGCCTGTTGGCTAATTAAATCGATGTCTAGCACTTCTCGTAGATTATCACGAATTTGTGTATGATGCGGGAGTACTAATTCCTCTAAACTCTGAAATAGTAATAAACAATATATAGTAAACAATGAAATGTATTATTAAGAAAAAAAAACTCATTTACTTCTTTGATTTCTCGTAAAAGCACCAAACTTTGGCTGAAATTCGGAGGATTTTCTTCTAACTGCTCTTTAAGAAGATTCCAAAATGCTTCATGAACTATTTTCTTAACTTTCTTTTGAATACTGTTGCTCTCATCATCATCATCTAACTTTTCAAGCTTGAAGTTATTGTCTAGAGCGATTTCATGGGCCAATGCCATATTTTTTATTCCATTCGCAGCATTTATAATCTCATCTAGAGATACAAACTTGGGTGGAGAAGCTGCTGTTAGAAAGTTGGGTGACCATTCACTGAAAACGAATGGATATAGTGAATTAATTAATTATGTTTAATTACTGACGGTATTACTATAATGAAACTGAATGTTTTTAAATTACGTTTCTCTACGATTGTTTTTCGGAATAGCTTGACTTGATGAAGGTGACTCCCATTCCATTGAGGAGACAGAGTTTTCTTTTTCCTTTTCACTACTCTTGTCTTGAGTTTTGTCACTGTAACTAAAATGAAAGTTCAAAGTTAAATACTATGTACCTGAATAAATTAAGTGGTCCTTTTAAAAATAAAAATAGCTCTAATTAAGAAGTTTTTAAAAGTAATTAAATTTATTAAACGTAATATATATTATTATGTTAATATAAATATGTAAATGAAATTTTTTATGATTAATGAATACATAATATCTTCAACTTACTTGTTAGACATCGTGAACAACGAATTTTAAACACTAAACACATCAAAGTTGTTCGGTTTCAATTGAAAAAGAGGTCAAATGTGAATTCTAAAATAAGATTAACACTTGCTGGGAGCTGTAACAGTTGTTTTCATTATCCAGAATTTTCGAAATCACGTCAGTTTTTTATATGACTGAATTTTAGGCTGCTCGTTTTATTTATTCAGTTAATAATAGATATAGGAAATGTTAATATCCTTTGTTAGTCAGCGTAAATGACAGTTTGATACTGGTCTGCCATGAATTCAATGTCAGGATTTCCATAAACGAAAAATTTAATGGCTTTCCTGTTTTTTCTTTTTTTATAATTTTCTGCAATTTAAAGATACAAGATAAATTTACAAAAACGTAAAAAACGTCATTATTTTAAAAATATATGATTTCAAATTAAAACAATATCAATTGAATATTCGTTTTCGATTGGTTTTAATGCTCCAACATTTATCAATGATTGTTATTTAATTTCTTCTTGGCTTCATTATTTCACAGATATACACTGTTTTTTAACATCATACTGATCATTGTTTTCTTTCACTAATAACACAGAACTTATTTTGTTCAACAAACAGAAACATCAACAGCCGCCCTCCCACGTCAATCTGAACAAGTATTTAACATCATTTAATTAAATTATCAATTATTAGTAAAAACAATAAGGCAGTTATCATTGATTATCGACAAATTTAAATGAATGTAATCCTTTTATAAATATTCAACAATTTAAAAATCTGTTCTATTTTAAGAAATTAATATCATGCATTACGAATATTATTTTATCATAATTAAATAACTCTTTGTTTGCATCACATATCATACTAATTATAAATTCATTAAATACCTGTAAAAAAAGCAATTATAATCATATTATAAAATAGATCACTTAGTAATTGATGTTTAAAAGAATATTTTTTATTTCAAAAAAAAAATAACAAATATTGACATCAATAATGTTTCTATCAATTATTTTTATGATCCATGAAATAATAATGAGTTTTTCAGTGTTTTCTATCAATGGAATCATTATTATACGCAATTAAGAACAAGTATATATATATATTTCTTTAAATGGTATAAATAGTTGACAAACAATAACTTTTTTTTTATTAATAATAATATTGACTCTCAACAGTGTCTATTTTACTTTATCATGGCTCCCCATTTTTACCTCATTTTTGTAGCAGTTTTAGTTGCACCGCTATTAGCAGCAAGTAAGTGTTAATACATTATAAAAATGATTTTATAAAATTATTATTAATAATTACTGAATTTTTCGTTTATGTTAATCAGGAATAAAAAATAATGAACCGGCTGTAGATGTTATGGGAGGTAAAGCTTGGGCTCAATACAGAAGAAGATTTCAAAATGTTCCAAACTTACACGAACAATTCGAAAATCCTGGAAAACTATTTGACCATGTTATTTCACAATTTAATACTCAAATAAAAGGAGCTGAAGCACCAATATACCAAGCAGCTGATGAACAACGTGAAGTTTGTAGCTTTTATTCTCAGAAAGATAAATCTCCAGTTCAACAGTTATCTACATATATGGCTCATTATCCTAGAAGCTCTGGCCAAGGTTGCACTGCTGTATTCATAAACCCAGAGTATGTTTTGATGGACCGAAATTGCTTGGCTGATGAGAAAAATAAAAAAATATTTCTCGGAGCTGGAACTGTGGAAAGTGGAGATCAACCCAGATGTAATAAATTCCATCCAGAAGCAGAAGTGATTGAATTCATTAATAATGATGTAGCACTTTTAAAAGTAAGTATATGACGATTTGCTTCATTTTCTGTGATTTATTTGTTTATATTAAATTTATGTATACAGATCTCTCCTGCTCTGGAGCCAAGTTTGTCAATGAAAGTTGCCAATTTATCCTCTCAAAACGTAGCTCAAAATGCAGTCATCATAGCATCTGGTTTACCAAACAGCGAATGTCCAAACTTTAAAACCTACAATCAATTTTCCAATGGTATTCTGTCAGTTACTGATTTTAAAAATTGTCCAGGACTTCAATCAGATGAAATTTGTGTTGAAGCCAAAGGATCATTCATGCATGCTGAAGGACGACAAATTGAAACTAGAGTAAGTAATTCGTTAAAAATCAATGAACTATTTACTTAATTAATGAGTATTAATTTGTTTAAGGATTATCATATTCAGCGTGGCTCACCTGTGATGGATAGAAATGGTAACCTAGTAGGATTTACGAAATTTTCGTGTACACAATTCGGACCAGTTCAAAGTATCACACCGTATGTATCACAAATTAACACAATTATAAATAGTAACATTTCTCCTTCAACTACGCCAAAAAATCGACTACCAATTAAGCGTTATCGACATTCTCGTGCTATTAATATTTATTATTAAAATAAAAACTTCTTTGTTTCTCAATATGAATAGTTAATTTATTTTATAAAAATTTTTGGAGTAAAAATAAGAGTATATTAAAAACGAAAAATTTACAATTTGTATATATTGATTCTTATATTATGTTAAAAACTGTAAACAATTAATTGTAAATTGAAATAAAATTCCTATAAAAATAAATAATTTTAAAAAATATGACAATTTTTTCGCATAATACTCTTCACAATTCAACTGGTGTACAAATATAAATTTAATCTTTTACACATCTAGTCTATAGATAATATACAAAATGAAATTAAGGCACTTTGAGCAAAAATATATTTTTAAAGTTGATGAACTTTTTGTGGCACATTGGTTTCTTTGATCACCGGTATTGTCAATTAAATTAGTACTTTATTTCTTTATTATCATATCTGTAAAACTTCAATTAAATCCATTAATTAAAAATAAATTTTATGCATTTTAATCTAACGGTCTTATAAAAAGTAAAAATAATCTTGGAAGCTTACCGATAAGTATTTTAAAATATTCACTCTTGATTCATGATCTACTATTTGGGTTAATATATATATATACATATACATATATATATTATTGATACTATAAATTTAATAACTGCAACATACTATAATAGTATCGTCAATAATAAAAATATTCTTCTTTATACTCGTTTCGGTTTTGATACAATTGCGTATTCAGTATTATTAAACACTTCGTATTTTGGTTCTGAGGTAGTATTTTTCTTCCTAATAACTCCATAAATTGGAGCATCATTGACTTCAGTAGCAAGACCATTTTCTACAAAATCATAATCATTCCAAGCAGTATAAGATTCTTTTGCGAGAGTCATTGCTGGATTGCTCGTTGAAGAAATACTTTCGGCGCCACTACTGGGAATTACATTTGGTACTTTATATCCAGGATTATTACAAATACTAACTTTATGTGACGGCCCAATATGTTCAAGCTGGTCATAATTAGTAGTAGATTCATTTGATGTAAACAAATTATTATAAACAATTGATGTAGGAGATGTACTTTCAATATGACAAAATGATTTAAAATTTCCACAAATGTTTCCATTATTTCGTTCTTCATCATCTTCGTTTTTATTGTTATTTTGATCATCTTTGTCATTATCGATGTGATTAGTATGAATTTTATCTTGATTTCCTTTAAGGAGATGATGATTGCTATCATTAACATCATCATTTGTATCACTATCACTGTAACTATGAATAATCTCATCAACAGTACTTTCAAAATAACCATTAGCACTGTTTTCAATTTTATTTTTTTCCCTATATTTTTTTGAATTACTATTACTACCATCTATCCTATAGTTCTCATCATCATGTACTGTATCAATTCCATAAGTTTTCCATGCATCACTACGTATTTCTATCAAATCATAAGGATGTTTTTCACTGTCACTTATATTATTTTTATAACTCAATTCTGGAGATGAACCATAATTAACTATTTCATATCTTTTCTCATCACTCATAGCTTCTGATTGTTCTAAATCAAACATTTTTCTGCTTGTCTCATTTAAAAAGTGTTTTCTTGGTGGTTTAACTGGTCTTGGTTTAATTATTGGTGGTGGAGGGTGAATAAGTGATACAGATTCCATACTGAATGCTGATGAATTTGTAGATAAAATAGAAGGTTTTGAGGAATTTGGTATTGAATTGGTCAAATCATCGATAAAATTTGGTAAATGTAAATTTTGAGTAACTGAAAGTGGTGATCTTGAGCCAGCTTCCATTGATAAAACATCATGGTATTGCATAGTACTAAGTTCTAGCCCACCTGTAACAGATCTTTGTCCACAGTCTTCATGCTTTTTTAAGAGTTTTTTCATTGATTTCATTTTGGATGAGATACATTTAAATATTTCTTGTTGATTGTTGTGCTCTAGTTTAAATAATCCTTCACCAGATTCACAATTACGGCCTGCTTCAAATGTAAACGTTCCATCTCTGTATCCATATTTTCTAATATATCTAAATGGCCAAGTAAACAAAACTGTATCACCATCCATGAGTTTCATATGAATGTCAGAAATAATCAAAATATAATTTTTTGCATGTAATCGGCATCGTTTCGATGCGGCAGTTTCAACAAGTTGAACAGAAAAAATATCATCACCAGTAGTACAGTATAATTCATTTTCTTCTTCAATTATTTGATTCGAAGAATCATCATTAAAAGCAACTTGCTGAAGAATACTTATCCATTCATGAGTTTCAGCTTCAGTAAGACAGCCAAAATAACAGGTGTTTGCTTTTGTAAAAATCTTGATTTAAAAAAAAAAATATTTATTAATAAACTTCATTATAGAATAACAATAAAAATATATAAGTTTGATGACACTTACTGTAAATACTTTAGGTTGATTATATGGACTTATTTTAATACACTCTTCTAATGTGATAATTTTTGGTGAAGTTTGTTGGCTAATAATATCATCCTTATTATCCCAAATTTCTAATCTTTTTACACCATATTTGCTTGATTTAAACAATTGGCAGTATTTCTTTTGCCATGTTCTCTGTGAGTAATAAAAAATTAAGTTATTCTACCAAAAAAATTAAGTTTTTTGAATAGTAAATAAAAATATATACCTTAAGATGACCAAGTATGCCTTGAGGAGGACAAAGCAAATATCCTTCTATCACAGACTTTTCCATTTCCATAACTGTTAACTGGCAATTGTTTATTTTAACTTATACTCATAATATCACGTTTATTTTCACAGAAAAGCAGAGAAATGTTTCTTTCACTTTGAATATTGTATTTAGAAAAATAATTCAATTCAAAATGAAAATTAGGGAAGGTAAAATATATTAATATAAAATATTTCAAGTGCTACTTAAGTAATTATGAATCATCACTATGCAATTGTACTTATTGAAACCATATCATTGCTTATCATTAAAAAAAACTAACATTCTTACATAGAGTACATAATACACAGCTGCATAAATATTATTAACATACTATACATCCTGGTGTAATTATTATTATTATTGTTGTTATGAGACCTTTACTAACGCATTTAATATTATTACTTGCTTTTACTATTCACTTGGAATTTTTAGACCACACGCAAAAATTACGTTTCGCAATTGAACATTTTTTTAGAGTACAAAATATCTTATTTGGTATACCTAACATCACAACATATTATTGGAGTTGTTTTAGATTGAATTTTGGAAAGAAATATTTCTATTCCATTAATTTACTTTATTCTCTGTAACTTAATCGAAAAATAATTAACGACGAATAACAAACTTTTTTTTTGTTCACAATCAAGGATTAACTTCAATCCGTATGTGATTAACACCAAAGGTATTTTTATTTGATATTTATTTGAAACCGGTGTAAACAAACAACGTTTCTCTGGGACACATGTTTTTCAAAATAGCTAAAAATACAACGATTCCTTTTGGAAAATTAATTGACAATATTATATTCAGTGCTTATTTTCATTAATGTTATCGCTGTAGACGACATCCGCCATGTTAGTACTTGAAAACTAACCTTTTATGCACATGCAAAAATTATTATAAACAATAAATGTAATTAATTCATAATATAAATGTTTGAATAAAATTTTGTAGGATATTACATGAGTAAATTTGTATATGTTTATTTTTTTTTTGCATAACAATGTCCAATAATAAAAAATAATTTTCTACTCATCAGCAATAGTGCTGCCGCAAGTGATCAAGTTGAAAACTAAAACATTTTCATAATTTCCCATTTACTGGGTATTGTTTTCCTCAACACCATCAGTTGAACAACTATATAAATATATTTTTTTCATGGTTGTGAGTTGAATAAATATTTCTACAGTGTCAAAAGTTAAGCCATATGGCTCACGTTAGTGTACAACTACATTTAAATTATCAACGTCAGTAAAATCCCTCAAATTAATTAAATTGAGACATACTAAACTGACGTGGTGATTTTTCGTTCGGACTTATTATCATGCAGTTGACATGAGCTCAATAGTTAACTTTATTAATCCATAGACTGATTATCGTGATCAAAAAAGTAAGAAATTTTAAATAATACAAAATTTGTTTTTCAATAACCTATAATCATACTTAATTAGCAATAGTTTTTTTTTGACTTAATGATATAATTATTTTATAGTTTTACGTCATCAATCACATTTCAAATTTGATGTACGTAATACCTGTAAGATATTTCAAACAAATTACATTATTCATCATTCATTATTTTTCAAAAATCATATTTATGTTTTTCCTGATAACTAGCTTGTCTTATCTGTATTATTTGTTCCTTACATATACTTTTTATTTAAATTTTATTCTTACACACATCAACCCATACACGTCCACCGTTTTCTATACTTCACCATATTTTTTTACACTGCAATTAACAATTAATTCTAACTGCTGAAGGCCTTCTTGATTTCATGAAAAATAAATCACTTTAATTGGACGTGTATGGAATAATTGCAATTAAAGAATAACGATTTTTATTTTTTTATTAATTAATATAATAACACATCATTAAGATATTAATAGAAAGTAACATTTTTTATAGAAACAAGAAAGTTACAAACCAATATACACAATCAAAAAATAAAAAATAAACGTTGATTTTGATTGCAAACAACAATAAAAAAAAATTAATCATAAAACTATAATATATTCATTCAAAAACAGTACAATTGTGATTGATAATTCATATAAACTATCATAATGGTGAAAAGAAGAGTAAATAACAAGACTCATGTGGGTACATTGGAAAATGAATTAACTTCTCGTGAACTTGGATACATGACACGAGAACAACTTAAGAGTTTACTAAAGGAACGAGGGTTGCCCATTTCCGGAAATAAAGCTAACATGGTACAATTAAATGTCTTAAATGCATGTACATACTCCGCTGTATCATGTATTGCCCACTCATTTTTGAGGTTATATGTTTTCAGTTATCACCTTATTAACGGTTCATTACCTGCTTTAACAGACAAATAAATAATAAATATTTTTTAATTGCTTCTGATTATTGAACATTGTAACTCATTAATACTAATAGTTGTCATGACTTCTGAGTACAGATTATCTGGGTAACTTTGATACATTGGATAGCTTTTTTTAGCTGGTTTATGAATTAAACTTAGGTTTGAACTTGGCCTAAAACATTTTTAGGACAATCTAGGTTCATAAGATGAACCGTACCGCTTATACTTGGACACACATTCAAGTACGATGCCAAGATATATGGTAGGAGTAATTAATTTTGTTTAGTACTTAACATTTGAAATGAATAAAATATTTTAACTATTATCAATGCTGAAGGAAAAATACTTTATAGATTTTCTGCTATCAAAGTTATCCAAGATTGGCTGTATAAACTAGAACAATTCATCCTATAGCTAAAAAATGATGAATACACGATTTCTCCCCCCATTTTATCATCATCATAATTCTTAACTTCACGTGGCATACAGGTGAAAGTGTTCAAATCTTATATGACGTGGAGATTAGCACAACATCATTCTCATTGTGGTTGTTGAAAATTTAATTATTTTTTTTCATGCACAAACATGCAATCAAACTATGAATTTTTAAACTAAAAAATATTCCAGGTCATTGATTTTTCAAGTAAATACGATTGAAATTCAAGTACTGGAATATTTTTTATTTTGATAGAAATTCAAATAGATATTCATGACTTTTATACATTTATTTACTTGAAAGTCGTAGTAAAATCAGGTTGAATATTTTTTTTATAGATAATCAGTTTATTAAAAAAAATCCTACTTTGCAAAAACTAACGGTATTTTAATGTAAAGAAATCTCGTTCATTTGAGCTATCTCCTTTGATCGGTTAATGAACTTGAATTTTCCATCTTGCTAAATTTATCCAAGTTCTTTGTATAGCATAAATCCATATATAAGTTTAAAAATTTTATTTCTATATTAAGAACTTCTTTTTCAATAAATAATAATTGTCAATTCAAAGTTTATTGACTAAATTAAACAATTTTTATTTAGTTTATAATATTGATGTGTGTTGGTACATGGATCTGGTTATAATTTAATAACCTACATTATGCTGCTAGGTTGACTGATACATGAATGGATAACGAGGTTCGTGTATCAGTGATTCTCAGTTATTAAAGTATCATGCGATTTATTTATTTATTTATTTTTTGCTTTGTTTGAATACATAATTTAATTTCACAGATAAATCATGATTTGTTAGAAATAAATTAAAACAATAATCAAAATATATATTTTTACAAATTACAAAGAAACTATTTAAAAAGCAGTTAAATTAGAATGAATTACTTATTAATTAATAAATATAACTATTTAAATTGAATTCAATAATTTCATTATAAATTTATTTAATAGAAGAATTTTTGGAGTTTGAAATCAAACAATACGTTATAACTTAAATGGATTATCTAGTACTTTCAAATATTTGATTGAAAACAATTCTACAAATATTTTTTTTTATTAATGAAATAAATTCATGTAAATTTCACTTGTAATTATAAATAAGCAACTTTTGAAATTGATTTGAATTTAATCAGTAAATAATATATCCTTTTGTAAAAGTTTGTTAGTATTAAATATCAACTGTGCTATTATATTTTTTCTTTTTTTCAATCTATCTTTTAACCTGATTTCCAAGTATAAATAGTATATTAACAAGTAGTGTATCACTTGGCCTCTTCTCCTATTATGTTATGTGTTTCATTGAAACTCCTTTTGAGTAAAATTATCAGATCTATGATAAAAATAATTACATATCTCTGTATTTATCTTTGTCTAGACTATTTGTATTTTATCACTCACAATCGTTTTTCTTTTGTTTTAATTATAAATCAGCTTGTTGGCATATTTTTAATAAAATAACAAAAAATCGAGATAATTGAACTGTTTGTAATCATCATCTCAATATTTTCTAGTTCAAAATGTTCAAAAATAAACGAAAATAATACAGAAGTAATTATTAGCTATGTTTATTTACTTTGAATTAAACAATTGTTATAATTCAATGGTAAAGATAGAGTAATTACTGTAATTAAAATAACATTGGAATGAAAAAGCACTGATATTTCTATTCAAAAATGCAAACTCAAGCTAAATATGAGATTGTTTAAAACTAAACTATCTTTGGAGTAAATTTTTAAATAAAACAAACGTTTATATTTATGAAAATAAAGTATATTGTTTTTGTAGATAATTTTCAAGTTAAATACAAACACGAGTAATAACTAAATAAGACTATTCTAATTGATGTGAATTGATCGACAGACCATAGTGTTTTTATTTACATAGATATATTATCATGATAGTCTGAACTTCTAATAGCATAATGAATAAGAGGGGAGTAAACATGTTTGACCCTTGACTCAAGTAATATAGTGTAATCTCGCCATATACACGTCATGATAATGATGCCAACGATGATATTCATGTGATATCTAGTGCTTATTTCATTAATTAATAGTGAATATTAAATATTTTTTCCAATATGCATTATTGTGTTGATCACTTAGCAAAAACTTCGAATAAGTCTACTTTATCCAGTGTACTGGAGAATCATTTAGTGATAGATATAGATGTTGATGAAGTTAAAATTTATATTTTATCATTTTTCACTTTAAAATTAATCTTTAATTGATTTGTTTATGATTGATAAATATTTCAAGTGTTATTTATATTCTTCAGATAGCTAGATTGGAAAGTACAATGGAGTCAAAACAAGCAGCATCACGACGAGTTAAAGATTCAAGTAATTCAAATGGTACTCAACGATTGATAGTTGAAGAATCTTCCATAAGAAGTAGTAGTCGATCTAAACCTAACAAAGAAAATGATTCCATCGATCCAGATAGTTTAACCTTATGGCATCATCCAATTATAACTGTGAATTATTTCTTACGTGAACTATTTATCAATATTACTGACCTTATTCAACGAATATTTAGATATAAAAAAATAGTGTGGAGTATTGTTCTGTTAATTGGATTATTTATTGTTTTAAGATTTACATCTGGTCCTCATCAAGAAGTGAGTTTTATTAATTTAACTATTTAATCGTCATTATTATTTGTATATATTCAATCGATTCATAAATCTTTGATAGATGAAAATATTTCTTTATTTTTATTATAATCATCGCTAATAAATACTTAATAACTTTAATTGATATCATTAAGATTAATTATTTCTTTTTCAGATATTAAAAAGTTGGGAAAGTGTTGTTTTATGGTGGTTTTATTGGGTTGGACTTGGAGTGCTATCGAGTGTAGGTTTGGGTACCGGTCTGCATACCTTTGTTCTTTATTTAGGTCCACATATTGCAGCTGTAACAATAGCTGCATATGAATGTGGTGGTTTAAATTTTCCCGAGCCACCATATCCAGATTCAATCATTTGTCCAGTTACGGTTGACCCAACATGGACAGCAAGTATTCTAAATATAATGAGGAAAGTACGTGTGGAAGCAATGCTTTGGGGTGCAGGTACAGCTCTTGGAGAATTGCCACCATATTTCATGGCTAGGGCAGCTAGGAATAGTCGACAGACTGATAAAAGTCATGAATATGATCAGGAAGACTTGAAAGAGTTGGAAGCATTAGAAGCTCTTGAAACTGGGGAAAATGTTCCACTTGTGATGAGACTTAAATTAGCTATGAAACATTTTGTACAAAAAGCTGGATTCCTTGGCATTTTAGCTTGTGCATCTGTAAGTTGATTTTAATGTTTTGATATTAGAATTTTCCCCTGATGATGCCGTGTTCTAGATACCAAATCCACTATTTGATCTTGCTGGTCTCACATGTGGTCACTATCGTATTCCGTTTTGGACATTTTTTGGTGCAACACTTATCGGCAAAGCAATAATAAAAATGCATATACAACAGTTGGCAGTTATTATTGCTTTTAATGAAGAACTTTTAGATAAAGCTATTGGATTTTTAGCTGGTATTCCTTATATTGGAGGACAATTCCAAGGACCATTGAAAAAATATCTCATTGAACAAAAGAACAAACTTCACAATAAGAATGTGGTCAGTAATAAATTTATAAATATTTTTGAATGAAAAAAAATATAAAATTATTATTATAAATAAAAATTATTATTTTAGGGAAGTACTACAACAATATCATGGTTATTTGACAAATTTGTATGCCTTATGGTATGCTATTTCCTCGTAACGATAGTCCATGCTCTTGCCCGTAATCATCATCGAAGACGTATAAAAGCATCACTTGATTAGGAAGATTGTATAAGTAAAAGTATTTTATTAACGCCTTGAGTCTTGAAAAAATAGCACGATTGAGCTTGTATAAGTTGCACTTGATGTGTTATTTTATGTACCAAGGAGTAAAGAACATAATTGATTTTAGTTAAAATTACATGAATGTAAATATGTATAATCAATTGATATTCATTTTAATTATGAAAATAATATTTACATCAGATAGATACAAAAAAAAAGAGAAGTCATTTAGTTAAGGATTATTGAAATAATTAGTTTTTTTATCATTTTAACATCACTGCTATTGTTATCAAATTGTTTAAATTTTGATGAGTTGTCAAATCTAATGTAATTATTTAAACATAATAGCAGTGATGAAATATATACAAAACTTTCAAAAAGACACTCCATAAGGTTTATTCCTTAGCTAAGTTAATTTTTTAAAAATGATAAAAGGGAAATTTTCCTCAATCATGCTGCTTTTAGAATTACTCAATATAATAATTGCTCAAAAAAGACGAATTCAACTGAATGTTTGAAAAATCATCACTCAATAAAATATGTTTTTAATTGGCTATAAGTAATACAATTGTTTTTCCGTTTAGTAACTATTGCGTCAATAACATACGGGGCCAAAATATTCAAAATGTGTAGTGTGTAATATCAAATTAAAACAAAAAAAAATCAGCCGTCAAATTTTATAATTTAGATCCAATTATTTTATATCGAACAACTGTTTGGATAAAATAATTAATTGTCATGATTTTTAAAAAATTATCTTATACAACAAACCACATTGGTCTTAATAACACTGCTTACAACTTATGATATTGCACAGCATTTTCAGATTTTCATAATAACGCAAGGCTTACCGATTGTATTAGTTTGAATGTTTAATCGAATAAAACAATTGTAAATATAAAACAATAATAACGGTAATCAATAAAATCTACTTTTCGTTAGATTGTTACCAAACGTTTTTTTGTTTATGGTAAAAAATACAGTTTCTAACGGAATATTATACAATATGTACGAATGTATTTTACATGATGTATTGTACAGTTAACAAAATAAGATTGAATTTTTATGATTGATTTTTGTTAACAAGTTAAAATATAAACTCGTAAGCTTTCATTTTGTGATTTATAAACCAATAGAACTACATATAATTAATTGTTCTTTTATTATACAATAAAAACGAGTGAATGACGTTTTTTCTCTCAAATAAAAATTTGAAGAACAATTTTTCATAAAGCATTTATAAATAAAACATTAGAGAAAAATGTGTTATTTATAAAGTATACAAAATGCCATTTTTTATAATTGCATTTCATTGGCTTTTAGTAACTTTATAATAGGAATTAATACATGTATGGGAATTAAAGTAAACAATGAAACATTTAAGAAAAAAAAAATGTAGTCTATTGTTTGTCAAGTATCAAAACAAAAACAACGATAGATTTTGGCAAAATGTTTATAAACTTTAACATATAAACATTATAATCAACATAATAATAATAATAATAATGAATGCATATTGTCAAAGTTCTTTCAAATATTGATGAAAAATTTGTATGTAAATCATTATGAAATACACCAAATTTTGATACTGAAATAATTTGTTGATCCATTTTAAAAACTTCGAACTTCCTACATCATAATTAATTTCTTTTTTAACGGACTTAATATTATCCGGCTAGTTCTAGAAGTTTTTATTTACTTCTCAACTTATTGTTATTTAGTTTTATGTTATAATTAGTCGGATGAATAAAGTCGATTTCGAAACATTTTTGACGATTATTTTATTGCATACATTTATGCAATAATTTTTCGGTGATCTTAACAAGTATTTTTTATTATAAATTTTCGAATCAGAGAAAACATTGAAGGAGAATAACTGTAAAAACGGTTCTATGTACAACCTAATTGTTTTATATAATAATTTAAATGTATACAGATTCATACTTAAATTTAGTAGTTTTTGAACAATAACTAAACAATACACTAATCATCAGTACGTTTCTAACGATACAAATGATCTGCGTAAATGTTACTAGCAATCTCAGATTCCCATCGATCTCCATTATTTAAAAGTTTTTCTTTATTATATAATAGTTCTTCGTGTGTTTCGGTTGAGAATTCGAAGTTTGGACCCTATAAAGAAACAATAAGTATCTTTTCATTGCCAATGTACTCCAAGATATTTTAGTTATTGTTGAGTATATAAAAAAATTACCTCAACGATTGCGTCAACAGGACAAGCTTCTTGACAAAAACCACAGTAAATACATTTAGTCATATCAATATCATATCTAGTTGTTCTTCTTGATCCATCAGCTCTTTCTTCAGCTTCAATGGTGATTGCTTGAGCTGGGCAGATTGCTTCACAAAGTTTACAAGCAATACATCTTTCTTCTCCTGAGGGGTATCTGTTGAATTTTTTGATTGTTTTTAGTATGTTTTATATATAAAATATAAAGCTATTGAAATTTTTATACCTTCTGAGAGCATGTTCTCCTCGAAATCTTGGACTCAGAGGTCCTTTTTCAAATGGATAATTGATAGTAAAAGGCTCCTTGAAGAAAGCTGATAACGTAGTCATCATTCCATTCATCATTTCTCTTATATACACCGCATGATCTTCATCGGGTATCGCATCAGGCCAATGGCTGTTATCTTTTGGAGTAATAATTACATATTTATTTCGCACTGGCTGTTGAGTAATGACTCCAAGAGGCACTCTTTTTAATAGTTGCTGTGCTGTCAAGCAAAATAATTAACATATTATTTATCAAGTACATCATGCATATATTTTTTTTTTAGATTCATTATTTTTTGATAAACTTATTTTATCATTGTTAATGTTAAGGTACATTTTCTTACTTAACAGGTTATTAGCAAACTTTCCAAGTACTCGTACATTTGCCATCTTTAGGAATGACTGAAGTACACAATGGGCTATGCGATTTGAAGTAATTTTATGTCAAGTGACCAACTTTAACATACAAAATAATTAAAAACATCCAATACTTTTATATGTAACATGTATTGTTTTTTTTTATTGACAGTTGGTATTGATGAATTATAATTGCGTGGTAACTTTGAAAACAACAAAATGCTGTGTTGTATTGATTCTGAGACTAACAATTATCATTGTTTATCAATAATGCAATAATAAAAAATAAAAAAGATAGGTTACCTATTATATTATTCAATTAATAATCTATTGTTAAATATATTAAATGCAATTTATAAATTATATTAAAACAGTTGCGTGAATTTAGTCACATACGACATGAGTGACGTAGCTTAAAAGTGGCTGGCACCCTGAGCAATTTTAATTGGAAAACAACAGTTGTATTTTGCAAGTTTAAAGATAACAGTGTACTAATATTAAAATTGTTTACGAAATGGAAACTTCAAAAAAAATAACTGTAAAATGGAATGGAACAGAATATGTGATCAATGATTTACAAAACAGTGATACACTTCAAATACTAAAAGCAAGAATTTATGAAGAAACTGGGGTTAGACCTGATAGACAAAAGCTATTAAATTTGAAATGCAAAGGTAAATTAGTAGGGAAAGATTAAAACTTTTTTTTTGTTTTTTCATTTTAATAAAATACAAAAATAATATAAAATATTACAGATGATGAGCAGACAATAGAAAAATTAAATATGAAACCAGGATTTAAAATCATGATGATGGGTTCAAGGGAAGAAGATATTGCTGAAGCAAGTAAAGCACCTGAAAATATGAAAGAAGTGATTAATGACTTAGATACTGAACAGGAAGAAGAAGTAGAGTTAGAAAATATGGAAGTTCATTTAGATAAAATAAAGAAGCGGATAGAGACTTACAAAGTAGAGGTTTTAAATCCTCCAAGAGAAAACAAGAAATTATTAGTTCTTGATATTGATTATACTCTTTTTGATCATAGATCCGTGGCATCTAGTGGTATTGAATTAATGCGTCCTTATCTTCATGAATTTCTTACAAGGGCTTACAAACATTATGATATTGTGATATGGTCAGCTACAAGTATGAAATGGATAAACGAAAAAATGAAGTTATTAGGAGTAACTGATAATCCAAATTATAAAATAGCATTTCATTTAGATTGTCAAGCAATGATTTCAGTATACAGTAAAGAACGTGGTCTCATTGATGTGAAACCTCTTGGAGTAATTTGGGGAAAATTTCCGGCATATTCTCCTAGAAATACCATTATGTTTGATGATATACGTAAAAATTTTATTATGAATCCTGGTTCTGGATTAAAAATAAAAGCATTCAGAGAAGCGCATTTAAATCGTGATAAAGACACCGAATTATTAAAACTTGCTCATTATTTGGAACAAATAGCTGATGTTGATGATTTTCAAACGCTTGATCATCGAAAGTGGCAAGATTATAAAAAAAAATGATAACTTGATTATGTTTTTTTTTATAAGAGACAATAGTCAAAAAAAGAGTATTGTATTCAACTCGTAATTTTAAAAACATACTATTTCTAATAAACTACTATAGGTAGAATTAATTGAATTTTGAAACTAGCTATAAGTAATTTTTGTCTCGAATTTAGCCTTTTTTTATTATTTAATATAACAAAATGTATTCAATTACTGCTAGACAATTCAGGTATAAGTTTTTTGTATTTTTTCTGTGCATTTATAAAAAAAAACATTCAACAGAAGCATGCGCATTAATAATCAATGAATAAAAACACTCCATCTATATGTATACAGATGTATAACGAGTCTGTCGGAGTAGAGTACGTTTGTTGCATCAGACAGTTTAAGTGTTTCTAACCTTACTTTTGGAACGCAAGCCAAAGTGCAGTTATTTTTAAGTGATGAAATAGTTTTTTAAAACATATTCAATAAAAGTTTCTCTTAAAAATGTCTAAAATTCGAGCAAATATGAAAGACTCAAAATTAGAGAAGCAAGATTTGCTGCAAGCAGTCATTATAACAAATGACTTTAATACAAATTTACATCCAACGCAATATGTTTATCCAAGCATCTTAACTCCAGTGGCTAATATACCTCTTTTTGATTATATTTTACAAGCATTAATTTATTCTGGTGTCCAAGAAATATTTTTACACTGTAGTAGTCATATTCCAATGATTACGGATTATATTTCAACAATGAAAAATGAAAAAATACCAATAGGACTTATTTTTTCGGATGGATGTAGATCTCTTGGAGACGCATTACGAGATATTGATGCAAAAGGTTGTATACGAGGAGATTTTATTTTAGTACGTGGAGATGCATTTATTAATGCAAATTTAGTTAATCTTATGAATAAACATAAATTGAAAAGAGAAAAGGATAAAGGTTCCATTATGACTCTTGCTTTAAGAAACGTTGGATCAGCGAAAAATTCGATTTTGAGTGATGAAAAATGCCTTTTTGTGGCCGATAAAATAACTGATAAAATCTTATACTATAGTAAATCTGTTAGAGAAGAAAAAAAAATTAAATTTGACATCGAATGGTTTCTTAATCATGAGCAGACTAGTATCAATAACAGTTTCATTGATTCACACGTCTACATGTGTTCTTCTTCTTTACTGCCACTTTTTACAGATAATTTTGATTATCAGGTATGTATTATTTATAAAAACAAAAAAAATATTAAATATTACCTGGCTAAATAAAATACTATTTTATTTTTTAGACAATAGAGGATTTTATTAAAGGTGTTTTAATGAATGAAGAATTCCTGAATTCTCGAATCTACTGGCAATCTTTAAATAATGACGAGTACGCATTACCAATAACTTCTTGGTCAGCTTATCATACTTTGAATCGAGACATACTAGAACGTCAAACTTATCCTCTTACTCCTGACATACTTTGTCCACTTAATGGCTTTACTTTTACTTCTCGAAGTGTTTATAAGCATCAAAAAGCCACTCTAGCTAAGGGATGTATTTTACAAAAAGATGCAATACTTGGAAGCAACACTGTACTTGGAAAAAATACCATAGTCGATCGCTCTGTAATTGGTAGTGATTGTACTATTGGTGATGATGTTGTATTAGAAAATTCATATATTTTGGATAACGTAGTTATTAACAATAACTGTGTAATTAAAAATAGTGTACTCTATCCTAATAGTGTGATCAATTCTTCTGTTAAAATGGAAAATAGTATTATCATGTCAGATGTGAAGGTTCCAGCTGAATCCACTTATTCATCAAATATCGTTGAGCTACAACAAAAACAACTTGTAGTAAAAAATATAGTTAATGATGCACCATACTTATCTGATAAAATTTTATATTCGAAGATAAATGTTAATAATGATCAAGATTATGACAGTAGTGTTGAAAGTACAAGTTTCTATTCAGATAGTGAAGGGAATTCGAGAAACGAATCTCCAATACCTGATGACACTCATATGTTTTTGAGTGAAGTTATTGACAGTCTTTTACGTGGTTTTCAAGATAAATTAAACTGTGAAAATCTTATTTTAGAAATTAATTCTTCACGATATGCATATAATGTTGGAATTCGTGAAGTTACATATAATGTTGTTAAATCAATCTTATTATTACCATTACAATATTTAAATGATAGTAAATTAACGATTGATGATGCTGCTTATCAAAAAGTTCTTGTAAAAATGATCAATTATTTTAATCCCATTTTATTGAATTATATTAAATCAAATGATGCCCAAGAAGAATGTTTAAAAGCAATTGAAGATGTCTCGGATTCTTCTCAACAACTTCTCAATTTTTCTAAACATTTATTACATCTCTTTTATCAAAAAGACTTTCTTAGTGAAGAAAATATACTCAAGTGGTACAATCGGAAACCTGAAGATGATGATGAAATTTATAATACGAGACTTCGTGAATGTTTAAAACCATTTATAACGTGGTTAAATGAAGCTGAAGAAGGCTCTTCATCCGACGATGATTAATAAAGTTCGGAGTTATTTAAAAATTTAATTTGATATATAATAAATGGCATAATATTTTATCATTTATTATTTAATTTATGATTATTTTCTTTGTGTATTATAGCATTTTAATGTAGTTTATTGACTTACTCTTCTTGTTTAAAACAAGTACATTTCGATGAACATAGCTCGAATATTGATTTACAATAAACTTTTATAAGGAATAAAAGAAATATTAAAGCATTGTGTAGAATTATGTTTTAATTGATATTGTCAACTTGTCCTATATTTCATGATATTCATGACGAGCGTTTCTTTCAAGATGTGCGTATCAAGTTATTATAGAAATAGAATTATTAATCATGAAATACAACGTTTCCAGTTAATTCGTGACTAGCATGATGATAGTGATCGGTATATTTGATCATATTTATCCAATGTTGAAGTCTAGCACCTTTGCTACTACAACCTAAAATAAGGCTCCCTAAAAGAATACGCTGTTATCATAGAATCTTGAATTTTAAATTAAATCAGTAATTTTTTTATGATATAAGTTTGATAAAAAAATATCTCAACAGCTAATCAAGCTCATAGCTGATTGATATATTCAGATTAGTAGGTCATTAAATTATTAGGAGTTGATTTTATTTGTTCTGATATTATACATACCTAGAAAATCATTCTTCTTTCCTAAATCTTTATCCCAAACTGTGATGATCAAGGCAAGGGCAGTAAGTTCTGATAAAGGAATTTCAAAAGCAAATTCTTCATTCCATTCTGGATTAAGTGTACTCCATTTAACTTTAGTCGAATGAGTTATATAAGAATTTTTTGAGCTTTTTGATGTATTTAAAGGTATCCATTTTTTAAGTTTTGATTGTTTTTTTCCTGTACTTCCAGGATGTTTTACATGACTATGTTTAGAACTATCATCCATTGATTGAATTGAATCTTGCATTAAAGTTAATTTAACAAACGGATCAGAAAATCCGTTACTATCCATTGACAATAAATTTGTTGCTTTTTGTATATTGACTAGTAAAACACATCGATCTGTGTTATAATTTAATGATAAATAAATAAGACCACGGCCGTTACTGATGTCCTCGCCCCATGTTATTTTCTCCTGTTCTTTCGAGATCTATATAAAAAATTTTTTTAAGTGAACTCTGGATTATTTAGTTTTGAAAAGTTTTATTACAGTCATTCACATCCTATTTCAAAGAAATAAAAGTTTTTCAAACGAACTAAAAAATTTTTTTTACGTGCTGTGACTCGAAATTCATGAGTTTAATAGATTGAATTTCTAATATGGAAACCAGAGAAGAGAATTCTATTACATTTTTTAAAAAGTTAAACGATGTTATTGTTCAATTGAAAATTAAATTAAATTCTTTTCTAGAATTTCTTTTTTAAATTTTTCTTTTTTTATTTATATTGAAAAAAAAATCTGGAATTTCCTTCCAGGCATTTACAAATAGAAAATTATATAAAAAATGTTCTTTATAGTACAAGATAAAATAAAAATTTTTAAAGTAATATCAAAGTAATACCTGGTATTGATCTTTTAGCAAGACGTTGTAATATTTCGTCTGACAAAGCGGTAAATCTCGCAATGGAAATCTGGCTTCGCCGAGAAAGTCTCGACCCGCTATATCGTCCTGAAGAACTAGTACGTGTAAGGCTTTTTCGCTTCTGATCTGAAAATTTATAACAAACATAAATTATCATAATGAAACACTTTCAATATTATTAAATTAAATTTTATTTATATATATATATTCTTTTTTATTCTTAAAAGTGTATTTTATAAAAAATAATAAAAGTAAAATTCCCTGACATCATTCTCTGTAATCCCGTAGAAGTAAAGTAGTTCGTTGAATTCTGGATCTCGGGTTTTGTGGACTGTTTTAGTTCGGAAGTTTCTGACAGTTGTATTATTGGAATCCACAGGAAGTATATTTAACTTGCAAAATGAGTCTGTCAATCCGTGAATATCCATTGGTCGTAAGTTCCTTGCTCTTTCTACTTTGCATTGCAAACTCTGTGATGCTGGTTCGTATCGAAGTGTTATTTCAAGTTTTCCATACGTCCTCTCCTCGTGCATGACTATTTTAAAAGGTATTTTTGCATATTCGAACTTTTCATTTTCATAATAATTATTATATTATTATTAATCTACTACAACAGCAATAAATTATAAACCATAACGGATAAAAAATTAAAATAGGACTATGTTGACTTACTCTCTAGGAATGGATAAGTTTAAACTTCACTGATTTCTTCAATAACTAATTATTTTAATACTTGAGAGGAATTAAAGGTATTTGCTGGTTAATAAATATTTTAGTAAACTTATTAAAGTGTCGTTATATCAGAAAATATAATTAATGAAGAGAAGTTGGAGGAATTTTATCCTTTCATTTTTTTTTTCTGTCAAAGAAGAAAATAAGAATCTTTCATTGAAGTCTAACATATTAAAACAGCTTCAACTTTAATTAACTAATTTTATTTCATTTTAAATTAATTAAAATTTTGGTCCCATTATACTGGTGATTTTTGAATTGATTCCAAATTTAGTGAGTTAATATCTACTTTTTAATTTGATCAGCCAACTGATTAGAAACAATTTAATATTTATTCACTCGTTTATTCACGTATGAGGCTATCCACTATTTATTGAACGACATACAGATAAATGAGAACAATTTCTGTTAAATACGTGTTTATTAGTTTTATCAGTAATAGAGTAAGTTAATTGACTTTAATAATCATTTTTGTTATTTGAGAGTAATCGTTACTCATTATTTGAAGTAGCTTTTGTGTATAATGTTGATATTTTCTAGAGTTAATTATCAACATCTAGTATTTTGTTTTATAAGAGTATTGACTGATTAATCATAAATAAACAAATTAAATGCTTTCATTTCACAAATATTTGTCAGTTATGATACAAATCATTCAAATAACTAGTCTCTACAGAAAAATAATAATAATAAATGGATAAAACACCTCCAATCATTTGATAGATGGTATTAGTTAGAAATGGGGTATCAATTTATCAAGTCACGTTGATTTTAGAATTGGATTTACAATTTGTTTTTAAGCTATCATAATGCTGTTATTTACAATGGAATAATTATTGTGAACAATATTATTAATTCACTATTTTTAATTTTTTTATTATTTTATGAATTATGCTTCAAGTCCGAGAGCATTGTAAAGGATATGAAAGAATAAATCAATATTATTCATTATAATTAGATTACATTATGAGAATACTAAAATAGATGAAATAAAAAAAGTAAAATAAAATAATGCAACTACGAGGATACATAGATTTATAAAAAGATTAACCTTTCCAACAAGGCATTCGATAGTTTTAGTTATTTGATAATCAATTAATAAGAAAAAAAGTAATTTTCAGATTTTTTCATCTCTTGAACATAATCAAATCAATTAAATGATGCCTTGTGAGAAGGAAATAATGATAATTAAATTGATAATGATCAGTATTATCTACCTGCGATATTTTCTATTTGCTTGTAGAAAGGAATTTGACTTTTTTCTTGTTCCAATTTTAAATTTGTATCGTTGTGCCTGTCGTTGATAGCACTGTCGCTGTTGATACTGCAGCGTAGAATCACTAAAGTATATTACAAAACGCGTACGGTATCCTGATCAAATAGTTATTATAGCTTACCTGTGTCTTCTAATTCCATTAGATTGATATTTAAATACTTCATTAGATATCTCCTCATTTGAAGGAGTTCTTTGGTTACAATCTTTTTTAGATATTTTATCTTGAGAACATGTTGCAGATTCTCCATCAATAGATTCAGCACTATCCGTTGACAGATGTGTATAAAATACTGAGGTTTGACTACCTGAGATTATTTTATCTTTTTGTTCTTTAAGCCTATTGGCTGATTTAGATGTTGATGAAGGAGATGTTAAAGATTGTGGTGATGATAGTGATGTTGATGATGAGGAAGTACTTGGAACAAGTAGTTGATTATGTGATAGATAATTAAAATGTACAGATTGTTGATATGTATCGTTTTGATTAAGATTTGAAAAATTCCTTTCAACCGTTTGTTTATTATCAGTATCTAGTGTTTCTGTTCCTGGTTGATTATTAATATTACGTTTTTGTGGAAAGACAAGATCAGTTGGATCTAATGATGTATTGGAAGGGAATGAAAAAGTTTGAATTGATTTAGCTCCCAGATCATCCTCTGATGATGAATCAGGTTCAGGTGGTTCTATTGAACCAATACTACTTGTAACAGTACGATCTTTATATTTATTAATGCCTTTTGGTTTCTAAAAAACAAATAAAATAGATGGTTTCAGATAAACTGGAATCAATTTTGTTAAAGTATTAAATTATAAAAAGAAACAAATGTAAACCTTCTTTTCAGGTAATATATATTTTGGTAAGCTTTTGAAAAACCAAGCTCCACTTTTTTTCCACATTTCTCGAGTTTCTGTACAGATTCGACATAGGAAGACTTTAGTTAGTGCTCTTGATGAATCTACATGGTCTAAATATTCTGTGCTTGATAGATTAGGTATTGATGAATTTTTGTAGTTTTGTTGATATCCTTTTTTATTCCTTGGTAATGACATAGTCAATGTTTCAACACAACATTTTTCACAAACATATTTACGACAGTCTTTGCAGATGTTTGGACCAGGTCCAAGGATTGAAAATTTTTCACCACATAAAGCACAACAGCAAACACATTTATTACCTCTAATACATCGACTTCCACAGCTTTTATTATTTAGTCTTGTTGTATGGACTAGAGTTACGTTACGTTTGATATTCTCCAACCTTTCAACTAGTTTTCCAATTCTTTCTTGTTCTAGTTGATCTAAAGCTTCTGCCCGTTGAATAACCTGACAGAATTTTCAAATGAAATTCATTCTCATTTAATTTATTAATTCGTTCAAAAAATTTTAATCATACCGCAATGATTGTTTCTTGTTCTTCTGCTGTTAATGAAGATGTTTTTTTATTACTTGTACTTGATGTATTGGATGAAGCTTTATCATTTTGTGCATAGGGAGAATAATCACCATAAAGGTAATCAAGAGATCCACTTTTAACAGACCAACCAGTTTTCAATCTATGCAAATTACAAGTAAATCAGACTGATTAAGTAAATTGAAATATTATTGTGAATAAAAATGAATTATTTTCTATTTAATTAGATAATAAATATTTATTTCAAGCTTTAAAATATTTACAACGATATTTATCAAGCACTTACTTTGCACGAAGTGCCAATTGACGATCATTTGGGCATACCCATCTAGCACTAAGACTTCTTTTATGTTCAGAATAAAAAGGTGTATCCATTTTTACACGTTATTCTTATGATTAAATTATTTATCCTTTTTGGTTATTAAATGCATAATTATTTATCTAATATTTCTAAAACTACAGTGATAATTTTGATTATAAAGTGCTTGATTACTGATTATACTTTGTGTTTCATTGTTGTTAATCTGAAAAAACAACAAAATAATTTTACATTAGTTTTTATTCTTAATTAAATTAATAAATGATATACAAATATTTATTTTCTCAATAGTTTAAATTAAATTCTGATACTAATTTACTTACAATTAGATATTTTATATATTAAAGAGATTCAATTTAATTCAATTCTACTTTTAATTTTCTAATTTCATCTCCAATCCATTTAAAATCTTTATAAGTAGTATTAATCGAGTTTGGTCAGACGCTTCTTTAATAAAACTCATCTCTTAGAAAATCTTGATTTCTGCTAATAGTTAAATATATAATATTCACATATCAATGAATTAAAAATCTGTATATTTAAATCTACTCAATAATATTGCAATAATCAAAATTGATTGAATTTTAGAATATGAATGAAATCATTTATAAAGTTCAATTCCACTTATCACCAGTTAAATTCTTTCACTTGTCATCAATAATATTTTTTTAATGAAAAAAAGGTCTTTAATTTAGATGATACTTTTTAGATAAATTGTTATCACTAGAAAGTCATTTTTTCCAATAAACACTAATAGTTTCTTTTGAATCTCATAAAAAGTATTTGAAAATATTTCATTCAACCACTTACATGACAATGAAAAAATCCATTTTCAGAATTTTTTTACACCACAGACCCCTTAGATAAATGATCAATTAAATCACATGAGATAGATGATAAGAAAGATTAGGTACTGACATCAAATTACAGAAACATTTTAGGGTTTATTTAATGATATTAAATTCCTTAAAAGGTACATCAATAAATCAAATATTTGACAGATCATCAATACAATTGTATGAACAATATTTAGACTATAAAAAATGTTTAACATGAAAGATATGTTTTGATGAAAAAAAAAGACCCCCAAAAAATAGGTGAAATGGCAGTAATAAGTATCTTGAAACATAAAAAGTACATGGGAACATCAGATTACGCATGGACATTCGCCCGGGTGACCCAATCGAGCTCTATTGTTGTTATACGTCTGTCTGATCTTCACTCACACAGCAAAAGCAGGGTAGAGTAGAGCAATAAGCTGACCCTGGCCTCATAACACTACCCACCCGAGTCCTGTGCGTCATGGCTGCTCCAAGGTCGACCTTGCACGCAACCTAGAACTCGGATGCGTGCTATGTGCTATACTGTGCTTTTCCATCTCCGATTTTCATGAATTTTTTCCGGCATAACTTTTGAGTATACATCAACTTGAGATAAAAATCTCTTCTTTCACATCAACCATTTGTATTATGTACTTAAAAATGGAAAATAATAGAAGAATGTGCTCACATAGGTATCTGAACATTATTACTTGATGTAAACCACGTAGGTGGTGTTTATTATCAAAGAAAGCAAATAATTATCGACGTATCGAAGAACTATACATCTGGTATATGCGAAAGAGTAGAAGCATAGTTACAAAGCATCTTCTATTGATACATAACTGTATTTATAGACTGTGATAGACTAAGTGAAATTCTCTTAAATGTAATTTATTTTTTCATTTATTCGCAACTTTTGCTACATTCAAATATTAAAAGCTCCAAAGTATTCTATATTATATATTTTAATTAATTTTTATTCGGAAAATTTTAAAATGGTTTAAATATTTCAAATGTTGATCAATGTCAAGTAATATTAAAAATGTATCGAGAAAAGGATTCAATAATTTTTTTTCCTTTAAAAAAAAAGGTTAAATTCATACTGAAATAGCTATTGAAAAAAAAACCATAGGTTATTTGAAGCTATTAAAAGCTTTTAGCTGTTTTAAAAAATTTATGAGGTATTATGGTAAATGGTGGGAAAAAAAATGAATTTAATTTGCATTAACAAACTATGAAAAAATGTGTATGCTAAAAATTTAATTAACTTATAAAAAATGATGAATAAAAAATGAAACAAACTACGTTATTAATCTTATCTCACTACACTATATAAGTGTATATCCTGTGTATATCTAATCACGACCCGCGCCAAACCAGCTGTTGCCACTTTAGAAAGAATTCATTGGACTCAGTATTAGAATTCAATAATGTCATTATTATTTTAAGCCATGACAATAAAAATTTTTTTCATCATAATCAATTATTTTTAATAAAGTAATTATTTTTCTCCCCCAACAATTGATATTAATTAACAATTATATTTTTATATTATATTCCAAAATTACTTTGAAATAAAAATTTATTTTATCACTGTTACTTTTAATACTATAAAATTCAACAACGTGATCTTAATTTTATTTATAAAAATTTATTTAGTTAAACTTTTATATTCTACTGCGTATTTTTTGATAATAGATTTGCCAAATATTTGAATTTTAATTAAGAAATAAATTACAGTAAAGGAGAATAAAATTTTAAAAATAAAAATTATTAAACAATAAAATTACTTACGATATATTTGGCACCGTATTTTTGGTGTAATTGGATAATTTCTTCAAGATACTTTTCAAAAAGCGAAAAATCTTTACTAATACTTGATGTACTAAAACTGTAATTTATTATTTATTCATATATTGTATCATTTACTATGATATTTTTTTTTAGGTACAATACTATTTAAGATTTAAATAAAATAATGGAACCGTACAACCAACGATTCATATTTTTTAAAATAATATTACTACTACATTTCTATACCCTAGTTGGAGTTTACTTGATACACTAGTACTGACTATTTGTGGGAACCGTCTAATCGACAGGTGGCTGTTATTACTGTAAAGCTTTCGTCTGCGTACGCGCATTGAAACCCGGATACGGAAAGTAACATGGCAGACTCGATAAAATGTATTAAAGTACAGTTATCCTAGTTTATTTTCAATAATTTCATTATCGCAAATGATACAGGAAACAATACTTATCTCATTTTGCCATTAACTGTGTCACTACATTGATTTGAAATGTGTGCTATTATCTATTATTGCTGCTAAATGAAATTACAAAAATACATCTTCTAAGAATTATTATTTTCTGCCAAAAAATCATTACACAAATTTAACTTATCCACCGTGATACACTCAGATGTATTGATATAAAGAAAAAATTTATTTAATGTACTAAGTAAATATTATCTCAAAAAATTTATCAGTAATTGAATTTTCTGTTATTGAATTGGTACATTGTGATTGATTAATTTGATTTGTGATTAAAACATGAATTTATAATTGAGTAATATAATAGATACTACAACAACATTTTGTGATTTGCAATTCTAGATAAATTTAGGATTGACCAATTGTTTATATTTTATTTTATTTATTTTTGATAAAAATATCCGTTTTATTTAATTTATTTCATCAAAATATGACATGATATTGGTTTTATGCAGTAGGTCATATCATTGAATTTGGACAATACAGTATTGAAGACAGTAAGTCGAGTCTTTCTGAAATTATTGTTCAACTATCAAAGGACTTTACTTAACAGTCCTCTATCTGATGTCATCATCAGTTTATAGCTGGAAAACTTTGTATTGTTTTGTGACCATTCATAAATATTTTCTGGTCATGAGTATTTTAATTTTTCTTTAAAAGATCATTTTTATTTTATTCATTCAAATTTGAAACAAAATTAACATTACTAAAAATAATTCAGATAAAATTTCTATGATTTAATAATTAAAATAATTTTAACCAGATTAATGTTATATTTCTACTTTCAAAATTGCGAGGTAAATATTATCTGTTGCATTGAATAGCATCTCTTTATATATGTTATGTAACTGAAAATTCTCTAGCTACTTCTGTTATCGACTGTGTGCATTCTACATGTTGTTTCTCAACATTTCCACATCAAGAGAAAAATATTGAACCTCAATGTGAATAACCTAAAACTTATAATAATTACTAAATCTTAAACATCTTATTCGCTGTGATTGCATTGCAAAATCAAATAGTCATTACATAAAAAACTTTTTATCGAGAAGAATTATCACTTAGAATTGAGAGAATTCTATCAATGATTCAGAAAAGTCAACATTTATTATGAGTTATTATATTAGAAAACTGTTCAATCGTAATTATCAAAAATATTTAGTCAGTGGAGTTGTAATAAGTGGTTTTGTATTATTAATTAAATACGGCCAACATAAATTGGAACAATGGCGAAAACAAGAGGTTCAACAAATGCTCGTAAGATCTAAAAGACGACAACACTTTGAAAGCATAGAAAAATCATGTCACAATACAATTACTAAACTGTCAAAATGTGTTAAAGTTTCTGTATTAGAAACTCTAGATAGTTCATCTGTAATTCAAGATCTCAAAGATGGTAAATGTGATAAAATAGTCAGTTGGAATAAATTAAAGTTATATTCCTTCTGTCGAACAGTAGTAATAATTTATGCAAATACAATACTTGCTATTATACTACGAATTCAATTAAGTTTGACAAGTGCTCATATGTTTAAACAATCTCAAGAAATCACTGAAACATATAGTATCGATAGTATAGTTCAAGAACAATATTTGACATTATGTAGTTATTTTGTAGAAGATGGAATTGGACACTTAATTGGACTTGTAAAAGAAAAAGTTGAAGAAGTTATTGGTGCTATACCTCTGATAGAGAAACTAGGTATCAAAGATTTGGAAGATAAATATTGGAAAATTACATCTGTTATATCAGTAGATAAAGAAAGGGATCCAGTTAAAAATTTAGCTAAATATGTACTTCCACCATCAGTTCAAGAAACGATGAATCCAGCTTTGGAGAAACTAATCAACTCAACTTTAGATTTATTAGAAAGTAATGAAGTTCAATCTTTGATGCAGTCCAGCGTTCGAAGTGGATTTGTTTTAATATTAGATCGGCTATCAAACAACTTTATTAATGTAGATATTAAGAATGACCCTTTAACACCAGAAAGTACAAATGGACACATTTTTACAGAACTTAATAACATAAAAATTCCTATGGCTAAAATAATTCCTATGCTTAATCGACAAGTTGATAATTTTAATAATGATGATCTTCACAGTACATGGATTAAAACATTGATAGAAGATGAAAAGTTAAGAAATTTTGGAGCTAATATATATGAAGCTTTTAGTTTTTGAATTCAAAAATATTTTTTGTTATTATGGTTTACAGGTATTACCGAATTCAACTTATTTCTAGATGACATTTTTACATGTAAATATGAAAGTATTTTTCTTGATTATTATTATTAAGTATATTTTTTCATCACACACGATCAGTCAATATTTTTATTTTTTTATAGAGAGTATAATAATCTAAATACTTGTTATGAAAATGTACCTATCATAAAATATGTAGAAAATTTGAAGAAATTATAAAAGAAATAAACCATTTTTTATTAAAGTAATGTTAAATGCTCTTTATTACCTCAAATTTTTATTAAGTATTCTTTTAATTGTAGAGCATAACCAATCTATACACATTTAGTTATCTAAATGATTTTTTAAAAAATTTTCAAGGTAAGGGCTTAGTTCGAGTGACCCAAAATTCTTCGCGTTGATGATAAGGGTTGTACGGATCATCAACAAAATATGTAGGTTTTCTCCATTTTTTTGTTACCATTTTATCTAAAGTATATGATTGAGTAGAGTTGCAAAATACATGTTGACGAGACCTTACAATTCTTGATGCTCGCTTTTTCCATAATCTCTTATGCCGTCCTGCTCTAGTTCTTATCCATATTCCCCTAAGCCATTATTATAAACATTATCAAGACACATGAAGTTTTAAAAATGAATTAAAAAATTTATACGCACCAATTTAGTCTGTAAAAACGCTCCAAAACATCAGGATTAGATACTCTTTTTCCATTATGTCTTGTAAATTTTACTAGTGTTCGTACTGGTGGATTTTGAACATTATTCAAATTTGTATTAATGCTTGTTAAAGGTGTCGACAACGCACTATAATGTTAAAAATAATTATAATCAACTTTTTTTGCAATAACGCGAACATTGGAAGAATAAAAATTTTCAAACCATGGTTTATTTGTAATTTGTGTTAAAATTGAACATGATAAAATTGGCTTTGACATGAAACTCCGATTTGGAGTAATCAAATTTTGAGAATGACATTGCGGTGTGACAGTTCTTAATTGTTGGAATACTTTGCCAGTTAAATTGCAACTTATTTTACTTCCATAGGAATACCCATCTGAAATGAAAAACAATAATCTTTTAGAGTAGGTTAGGTACAATGAATAGTGATCAGATAATTTGTAATATACTTTAAACTGTTAATCTAATGAATAGAACTTTGTAAATATAATTAAAAAATTAATTTACTTCGGAAAATAGTACGAAAAATTTGTGTTAACATAGTCAACGTGCTATAATTACAAGAAATAATAACAAAAATTCATAACCAAAACTGCCGGACTCCAATTTCCTTACAACTCAAATTAACGGCTGCGCAGTGCATTACGAGAGAAATAAATACACACATCAGTGCTGTACCTAGAAATAATTTCTCCTGATCTCAATGACAGTTAATCTGTTGAAAAAAATCGTCAACGGGAACTAGTTCCAGCTAACTACATAAGTAATTCCCCACTACACTTTTTTACACCATTAACTACATATTTTCCACTGGTGATCAGGAATTACTTCTTTGGTCAATTCTAACCATTTTCAATTTTTTTTTTGATGTGTTTAGTGTGAGGTACGTTTTTCTAATGAGCAGTTAATTATGGCATTTTACAGATAATACGTACTTAGCATATCTTTATTGTTATTATTAAAGTGGAAAAGTTTACTTTTCATAAACGTTGAATGCCTACCCTGCTAATATCAGTTCATAACCTTGAGTACTTTCCATTCTACATTTGCCTCTTTAGTTCTCGTCAGTTGGTTTTTGTCACTCGAAGTGTTCATGTATATTGAAACGACAATATATGTATATATGTATGTACATAATCATGTCATAAAAATGATCAACAATTAAAATATCAACAAGTGTTACGCTAATGTTTGATTCGATTTAATTATAAGGAACAATAAAATAACTTAAAGTGTTCAACAAGTAACAAGTGATATTCAACTATTGCTCCGATAGTTGAAGGAATACTTGGATTAACAAAAAGAATACTTTTTTTAATAACAATAAGTCAACAAAATTAAATAATAAACAATGTCTAGAACCGGTGAAAGACAGAGTTATGCACAAACATACAAATTAGTCGTTGTTGGTGGCGGTGGTGTTGGTAAATCAGCCATTACTATCCAATTTATTCAAGTAAGTAATTATCAATTAACTAATATAACTAATATAAAAAGGAAAAGAATTTCTTAATTTCTTCCATTTAACTCATTTAAGGTATTTCTTATTCCAAGGCGTCGACTTAAAACAGTTATCGAACCATATGATTAATTAGTAGCAATATAACTAATTATTTGATTAACTAAGTATTTAATTGGAACCACAATAAGGCTTATACAATAAAGATATTAAAGGGCAAGAAAAGAATATTGTTCAAAACTATTGATACAGAAACAGTAGGTGTATTGAATGGCGTAATGTTTTGCGTAGGTTTTTCAAAACTATCGGCTTATATCTTTCACCAACTCATTACTTGGTTCCTGACTAGCATTTTAGGTATTTTCTTTCATTCGAAATATTTTTTCACGTGTAGTTTTTTTTCAATCAACAAGTGGTTATTTTTAACGAAAATTACTTCATTTTTATTTTGATTTGGATATTTGACAGTTCTTTGTTTACTAGTTAATACATAATTTGTATACATATTTTGCAAATTTTAATCTTGTCAAAGAAACTAGCTGATATTTTTGTAAATAGTAGGCTTAGTCGTATCTATAAACATTTTTAATGCATCGAGGAAAAAAAAATCTAACATATATTTATATTACTTATTTGCTAGATTTTCACGGACATCTGATGTAATTCTTGGCAAAAGTCCCAGTAAAAAAAATCATACCGCTTTTCTGTTTAATACATAGTTTAAAATAGCTTAGCCATTAAACTTAACGTTAATCCAAAACCAACTGCTTCTTTAAGTGGACTATTAACAAATTTGTTTTTAGCTTTTATTGGATATTTAATTTTTTTTCAATTTAATTATTTGGAGTAGTTCAGTAGCCAAAACCATTCATAAATTTGAAACTATAGTCATGAATAGCCATTAAAATTACTTATACAAACAAGCTTTCTATTTTTGTTGTCTACAGCAGCTGAGTCACATGTATTTCTATTCGATTTTCTGACAGCGTATCTTTCATAAAATATTTCCATTAATAATAATAAGAACAATCACTGAAAAATTGTTTGTGTTATGGATTTATTTATCTTCAATTTTTATCATATATTCCCATCTTAGTGTACTTATTGCAACATAGTTGTATATGTCTTAGCTCAATGTCTTTGCTCATATTCTAAGACGTGGGTGTGTCATCCTACAGAAATTTGTACATAATTTTATTCTTCTCAAGTTATTTTCATTTGAAAGTACTTGAAATCAATTAAATTCTTTCATTATTAACACCTCTGTAAAATTATCTATTGTTTTAAATTACATTTGGAAAAAAAAATTGTCAATGTAATAAGATAGTTTTTGCAAACTCATTAATAATTTATAAAAATTATTATTTTAAGATTTTAAATTTAAATATTGTATGTATCTTGTCATGATTACCTCCATTTTAAATACTGAAATATTCCTCTATTTATTTTTTATCATTGTGTAAATAAATACACTAATCTCAAGATAGTTAAGTTTAACTTTAAGCCCCTGCATCTATTCAAAGATCACGAATTTTCTTTTTATAAATTTAAAGGTGTTAGGTCTTCTAGATTAGATAGAATGAATGAATTTATTTTTGTATTCAATTTAATGTATGAAAAAAACATTCAACTGAAAAATTAATTAAATTTTTTTTCCAGAGCTACTTTGTGACTGACTATGATCCTACTATTGAAGACTCATACACGAAACAGTGTGTTATTGATGATGTGCCAGCGAAACTTGACAGTGAGTAGATAAGATAATCCATGAAAAAAATCTATTTGTATATTATCTTACATAGACTAATTAAAAAAAATTATTCTACAGTTTTGGATACTGCTGGACAAGAAGAATTCAGTGCAATGCGTGAACAATACATGAGAAGTGGTGAAGGCTTTTTATTGGTCTTCTCAGTAACCGATCATTCTTCATTCGATGAAATTGCCAAATTTCACAAACAAATTTTGAGGGTAAAAGATCGTGATGAATTTCCAATGCTGATGGTTGGAAATAAGGCAGATTTAGATCATCAACGATCGGTATATAATATTTATTGATTAATTTTAGCATACTTATTTACATCAAAAATAGTTTCCATTGCATGAATAATCATTTGATAAATTCTCACTAGTATGCAAGATAATAAATTCATTTGAGTCATTATTACATCAAGATAAATATTAAAATTTTTTTTTAAACTAATATTATCATTTAATTGTATGTTATTGCATAATAATGATTATGAATTATTTATCACAGATTTCAGCTGTAATTTTATTCTGATCGATTGCCAAATAATTTTACTCCGATTTCAAAAAAGAATAATTATTTCATGAATTTAATTAATTTTCTTTTTCTTTTTTATTCAGGTGTCTGTAGAAGAAGCACAAAATCTGGCAGGAGTTTTGAAAACTCCTTACATAGAATGTAGTGCCAAATTACGAATGAACGTCGATCAAGCTTTTCATGAGCTTGTAAGAATCGTACGAAAGTTTCAACTTTCTGAACGACCACCTTTAAAACCAAATTATAAGAAGAATAAGAAAAAATGTTGCATGTTATAATTAGTAATAATTGAATCAATAAGTCAATTATTGATTTACGCATGATAATGATGAGAATTAAATTAATCTGGCAACTATTTTATTTACAAAAAAAAATCTATAATTGATAAGTCAAATTATTGTGACAATTTTTAAAACTTTAACGAAGTTTTTTTAAAAAAAATTTTAAACATAAACGGAACAAAGATAAAATGAATTAACCATTTAATGCAGAAAATAAATAATTTTTAAAAATAAATTTGAGACTCGAGACTGGTTATCTTGAGTGTCTATATTTTATAAAAATATTTTTATAGTTATAACTATTAATAATTAAACAAACTTTTTTTAGGATAAAAATAATCTACTTGAGACATTGTTAGGGTACCTGCTTTATTTATTTATGGTTTGTTCATAGATAATTATCATAATTAAACTGCTGAATTAGTGATAAAACATCACTGCCTGAATTATTGAAAAATTATTTTAATTGGAGCAGAAGATTTAGGAAATTGAAGATAACAAATAGTAACTTCTTTAATATTAAAAAATCAAATTTTTCATCGAATTTATATGAATTTTTTATTAATTATTAAACTTCAAAAAATCAAATTTTTATGCAGTTTTAGCTTTTTGATAAAACAATCGACTGTCATATTTTTTCGATATCAATATATTTTTTGTACATAGACTAACTAAAGACATTGATCTAAAAAATATGTATCACATAAATTCTTGTACAACGATTAATTAGAATGATAAAATTAATTATATAATTTATGATTATCATAAAAAACATTTTTATACTAACAATAAAATACATAATTCGATAATAAATAATTCCATTTATCATTAACAATGGTAGTCAAATTTTAAGCTATAATCTCGACATATAGTTCTAAATAAGAACGATATTTATAATAAATCAAAAAAATGACATTAAAAGTAATACCTAAAACTATTATCAATAATACCATGATTACTTATATTATTAGTAGTAATCAAAATTCACAGACATGTAAATTGATTTTTAGAAATATTTCAATTTGTTTGTCGTTATTAAAAACATCTAAAAATTCTACACACAAAATCACTTGTTTTTATTTAACCGGTCGTAAATTTAATTCAATATTCTTTCCATGTAGAATAAAATCTGTTTTTAGAGCACTTGTTGATGCACGTAAATGTTTTAATTCTCTCAACTGTTGAGCTATAATTTTTATTCCTTCTTCATGTTCTTTTTTTAAATCCATCATTTCAGTTTCTAAAACTCCTGATTGTGCATCTTTATAATTTTTTTTAAGAACTGTCAATATTTGATCATTTAATAATAATTTATTTTTGATAACTCTTCTTTCTCTCTGATAATTATTTATCATTTGGTTTAAATTAAGACGTTTTATATGACACAAGTCCATTTCTTTATTTATATTTTTAATTTCCAAGTTAGTTAATTTAATTTCATTTCTAATACTTGCTATTTTTGACAATAATTGTTTACGTTTATTCTCCTTGTTTGATAATTCTTCTTGATAATAAAAATTTTCAGCTTCTAATCTTTCATAATCTTCTTTTGTAAGATTAGGATTGCAATGTGTCATTGAATTTAATTGATCTGTTAATAATACTAATTTATTTCGCAAATTCATCTGAAAAATAATTGAACTAGTTTATTTTATTTTTATTTAAATATTAAATTAACTTACATATTTAAAACGCTGTTCAGATAATCGTTGCATCTCATCAAGCTGTTTTGTAATTAAACTCTGAACTTTTTTAGGCGAAATCAATTTCCCATTAATCCAAGTATTCAATCCAGCTTCTTTTTCACGTTTTATCATATCTTCTACATCAACTGCAACTTTTGATCGTCTTTCAATAATCTTTGCTTTTATTTCTTCCAAATTTATTCTCCATTCTTCATCTAAGCATTTAAGTTTCTTATTTATTCTTTCAAACTTCATTAATTTTTGAATATAATCATCCATCTTATCTTCCTCATATTCATCTGTCTCTGTAAAAACATGCATCAAGTGTTTTTTCTTAAAATAATTAGCTAAGTAATTATGAAGCCAATTATTCTTCAATCTTGCTAGTTCTTCATATTTTTTCAGCTCTATCAATTGATCATATAACTGTTCATTATTTGTCGCTTCATTTTTATTCGAATCTTCTGATTTATCAAGGGTAATGTCAAAAAAATATTTTTCTATTTTTTCAATATTTTTATCAACGTTATCAGAAGAAGACAATTCTGATTTTTTAAATAAATTGAAAGTACTGTAATCATCATTTTCCACCGCCATTTTGCTACTCCTACTTTATCATTTATAAATAAATTGGTTGATTGGTGCTGCTGCTATGAGCGGTTTATTCATCACTAGGAAACACTTCAGCACGCAAACAACGTATTTAGTATCAGTAATTTATCATTCTCCAACAGTGTAGTAGTGGATTCCAAGTGTGCTATTTTTTATTTAAAAGTTGATATTTCTTCAGTAAATAATCTGTAAAATGGATATTTTTACAATTTTACTGATGACTTTAATCAGTTTGTTACTTATTTACATTATCTATCAAATGACCTATTGGCCAAGAAGAAAAGTTCCTAATATTCGACCAATTCCAATTATTGGCAATGAATTTGGACTTATAATTTATCGGTCGACTCCAATAGCTGATTACTGTATGAAAATTTATAAATATCATCCTGAAGCTCGATACTTTGGATTGATGATGTATAATATGCCAGTTATTCATTTAAAAGATCCTGAAATAATTAAAGAGATTTATATTAAGAATTTTGACTTTGTACCTGATCATAAATCATTTATCGAAGAAGAATTTGATCCAATTTTTGGTAAAAATGTTTTTTCTTTACGTGGAGAACGATGGCGTCAAGTTAGAAGTGCTTTAACTCCTTCATTTACCGCAGCTAAGATGAAATTTTTATTTAAATTAATCTCACAAACATCTGAAGAATTTGTTGAGTATCTTTATGATAACCCAGACTTGTGTGAGACTCTTGACATAAAAGACGCATTTACAAGATATACAAATGACGTAATAGCTACTTCTGCATTTGGAATTCAAGTTAATTCAATGAAAGATCGAGAAAATGAATTTTATTTACGAGGAAAAGATGCTACTAATTTGACAGGAACTCGAAGGATTTTGAAATTCATGTGTGGTATATTATTTCCCAGATTAATGCGTGCATTGGGTTACACTTTTTTGACTAAAAAAACAAATGATTTTTTTGTTAACTTAATTAAAAATACTGTTAAATATAGAGATCAAAATGAAATCATTAGACCTGATATGATACACTTGTTGATGCAAGCTAGAGAATCAGCAGGATTTGAAATAACGATTACTGATATTATGGCTCAAGCGTTTATCTTTTTTCTTGCTGGATTTGAAACCTCTTCAACTGTTATGGGCTACGTAGCTCATCAACTAGCTTATCATCAAGATGTTCAAGATCGTCTTCGCCAAGAAGTTGATGATTTATTTGTTTCTAATTCGGAAATAACATATGAATCATTAAATGATATGACTTATATGGATATGGTTTTGTCCGAAACACTAAGACTTTATCCTCCAGTTGTGGTTTTGGATCGAGTTTGTTCGAAGGCATTTGATATTCCATCACCAATGAAAAATGCTGATGAAAAAACTGATAGACTTAGAGTTAACCCAGGAACTATTTTTTGGGTTCCAACTTTTGCAATGCATAGAGATCCAAAATATTTCCCAGAACCTGATAAATTTGATCCTGAAAGATTTAGTCCCGAGAATAAAGAAAAAATAAATCCATACACTTATACACCGTTTGGAATTGGTCCAAGAAAATGTATTGGAGAACGATTTGCTTTAATGGAAATTAAAATACTCTTCGTGAGACTTTTACGAAAATTTGTTATTAAACCATGTGATAGATCACGTGAAAAAATAGTTTTTCATAAATATAGTCTTAATTTACTACCCGAAGGTGGAGTATGGTTAAAATTTGAAAAAAGAAAAGCTTAAATGTTATTAATGTTTATAACACGATATTTTTTATAGAAATAATTAAGAAAAAATATATATTTTTTAGATATTTTATTAATGTTAAGTAATTGTTACATCAATAAAATTCAAAATAATGATGTGTAAATTTTTATTTTTTAAATGCAAAATCAAATTTCATTTCAATAAAATCCAGTTTTTGCGACGAATTTATTGTTTATTTATAAATGTTCACTCATTTATGTGTTGGGGTTGGCATTTGGTCCACGGCGTCTGCCATAAATTGGTACTACAGTCACAAATCTTCGGTTGTATTGGATACGTCTTTTTGCACGACCAGTTTTTTTCTTACTTTTTTCTTGTTTCTCAACCTGAAAAAGAATAAATTATATAGTTAAACAACTGAATCATGAGATAAATGCGAGTAACGTATGTTGAATTATTCATAATTTGTCACAAACTGATGAAAAGTCAAGTACACTTATGTAACGAGACTTCACTTTAGTTTGTTTATCTTTAATTTAGCGTTATTTTTTTTCTACTCTTAATAAATAAATTTAATGTAGATTAGATCATAATAACGCTAAAAATTAATAGTATTTATTTAGATTATTTATTTATTGTTAGATAAAATTTTTACCTTTGGAGTTTGTCCCTTAACTTTTCCGGCACGAGCCAAAGATCCGTGAACTTTACCTCCACGAAGAGGGACCGTTAATTCAAGAAAGTTTGACGGTAAATCTCCAATAATGGTATCATCATTCAATGTTAAAGTGGCACAGTAAAGATTGAAACTGTCATCTTCAAGGTCTGCAATATCAGCAAGTCGTTCCTAAAAAAAAAATTGAGGAATTATAATAATTTTTTTTGATACTTTTATTATCATAGTTTGTAGAAGTTGAAAAGATGTCTTAGAAGAATGATCAAACAAAAGCATCAGCTTTCATTTTTTCTAACATCTAAATTTTTTATAGCATTATTGCTCGTTCTGATAACGATAAACAAAGTTATCAGATTATCATTTAATGCATTGAATTGACGAATGAATTAAAAAATATCTATTTTTTGATTATTATTCTTACCTTGAGTTGACCAATTGTTTCAGTGCTTTCGCATTCTACGACGTGAGTTTCGTCACCGCGGATGAACAGCTGCATTTTGAACTTTAACTGGAAAAAAATTTGAAAATTAATTTTTCTAACCTATACAGTAATAAAGTTAAGAGTCATTGCTAATAAATAAAATTATAAAAAATAATTGTAGATAATAATTTATCAGATCAAAGGAAAATTGAATCAATGATTTTTGAGGTTATGATTACATGAGTATTATCACATGTCAACGTGGATTGAAAATTTAACTCTAAACTTATAAATAATTGCTAATATAGATAACAAATATTCAATTTTATCAATTGTTTATCAATAAACAGGTCTAACTAACATTAATATAAGATAAAAGTCAAACACATGTAGAAAAATATGTACCGTTTCACACAAATGCTACAGGAAAAAGACAGAAGCCGGAAACACTACGTGAGACGTTCAAAAATTATTTGTCGTATACGATATATATATATATCACTGACGTGTGCGATCTCTATATGTCACTGACCGAACAAATTGAAATCTATAGTCGAACTGAGTAGAGAGGTACTATGGAGCTCAGACGTAACCTCGAGCGCCCCCACCATGCTTCTCCACGCACATGCGCAGTTTGTACGTATTGGTCGCATCACATGTTGCCGGCAGTCAAACTACACTGTCAAGAAAATAATACTTTATTTTATTAATAATAAATTCCCATTAGGAAGTTATTGTAATTGGGTCGATTGGTGAAATTTGAATTTTCATTAAATCTCCACGTTTCAAGATATTTTCAAGCATACTGACATATTTTTAAAATGATGTATGTATGTATGTATGTATGTACGGACGTCAGCATTTTTTTCGTTTTCGATATCTTAAAAACGGATCAAGATATCAACTTCAACCAAAATTAATTTAAAATATATTATTATAAAGAAGACTTGAAAGAAATTTGAACGAATTCGATCGAGCCGTTTTTTTTTATAACAAAATAACTAATAAAAAAATGAAAAAATTAGCTATTTAAAATACTTTTAAGCCAAACAATAACAATTTCATTTGAAAATAAAGTCGATATTGACTAGACATTATTGTTCACAACCAATTATGACTCTTAACAATTACGAATGAATTTGTTATAAACAATTAAAAATTTTATTTATTGATTAAATAATGTTTATATCACATAGACTTGAATGTTTCTAACAATCATTGATTATGACTATTTAAATTTGTTATAAAAAATTAATAATGGGAAGTTCGTCGTGTTAGCACAAACAAAGTGTGCCCAGACCTATTTTTTTATGTTTATTATTGGTATATTTTTATTCATCAACATTAAAGGATGAAAATTGACAGGGTTATAGGAAAACGTTTAATTTATAATTTACAATAATAAAAAACATTTCAAATAACTCATTTTGTCGGTGGGCAATTGTAATTTGTAATTTTGTTTCTCATAAGAATACAAAGGATATCATTTTTATATTACTTTCATTTCATATTATTGTAATCTGATTTATATAATTGAATTTAAATATTATTTTCATGTCATTTTTCTAATAAAAAAAGTCACCATAGAATATCTTCGGGAATTTTTCAATTATCAAGTCATTCATCAGTTAAGGTGATATCTCACTTTAAACGTGGTACTCGGAAATAAATATAACTTAAATTATGGAAATATTTTACCTAGTTTCTTCTTCTCACATTTTCTAAAAGTGTCAATTACTGAGATATTTTACAATACAGGATTAACTAAGAATAGACCCCTATGCCAACCTACTACAATTGTTAACCTTGGTGCAAATAGTAATTTGTGACCCTTCTTAATGAGTTCTATCTTATCATAAACATTTATACGTCCGGTAATGCCACCGCTTCTTTGTTTGCTGACCATACGGGTACATTCTTCAACAGTTTCGGAAAATTTTCAGTGAATGGCTTTTATGATAATATTTTGTGCAATATATACCATTGTTTGACCAGTAATTTTCCCTTATAATCCCTTAAAATCCCGGGATTTTATTGTAAAATTTACAATCTTCTGCAGTTATTATATTTGAAGAAAAGTTTGCCGATATTAAAACTAAAATTGTAATAAATGAACATGAATGTACTCATCTTTCTAACCCACTTATTTATGTTTATAATAAGATCGAACTCATTAAGAAAGGTCACAAATTACTATTTGCACCAAGGTTAACAATTGTAGTAGGTTGGCATAGGGGTCTATTCTTAGTTAATCCTGTATTGTAAAATATCTCAGTAATTGACACTTTTAGAAAATGTGAAAAGCAGAAATTAAATAAAGATGTTATTAATTTTTACAGGTGGAAAAACCATGTCTGAGGTACCTTTTGCTCTGCAGTTGACGCTTTCATAATTGCCCACCAAGAAAATAAGTTATTTTAAATGCTTTTAATTATTGTAAATTATAAATTAGACATTATTTTATGACCCTATCAATTTTTATCTTTTAATGCTGATAAATAAAGATATTATTAATTTTTAAAGGTGAAAAAATAGGGTGAAAGAATGATATTATTTTCATTTATTAAAAAAAAAGTATCTAATAAATCACGCCTATGTTTTTCGAAATTAAAATTCATCTAGTGCGCAATTAAACCCGCAGGTTGACCCATCTGTCTCGGCAGGTAGCATGGGGAAGATAGGGAGTCGGATAGGGCTGGTCAGGGTCACGTCTGAGTTTCATAGTACAGTACCGGACATAAATGCTGTTTAATTTTTCAAAGGTTATACATCTGATTTCCCTATACCGTCTTATAGAAAATCACACAGCATTTATGTCCGGTACTGTACCTCTTTGTCCAGTTCAACTGTAGCAAGATATTTTTTTGAATTTATAAACAATAATAATAATGTTATAAGCTGTTAGACGATGTGAAAAATATGTATTATGTAGTAATATCTGAATATTTATTATATATCTAATATTTATTACTAAAAATTAATTAATAAACGGATTTTATAACATAAAAAAATTTTAATGTTAAATATTCTACAAATATAACGAAAAACTCCAAAATGTATAATTTAGTGACTGATTTACATTCAATCTGGCTCATATTTTACAAAATTGATTATAAAAAATTTTAACTCATGATCAATATAAATAAATTAATTAATTATGTTCAATTATTGATGTAACAACCTATTTTTTTCTTAACTATATCACCCCATAAAATTAATTCCTTACAAACAGGGCAAATTCCATTGATAGGTAGGATTTTATCATCACTCCGAAATTTTTTAGATAAACAAATAATATGAGCAACTAATTTACAATTCTCCTTAACGCAAGTTACTTTATCATCATCATTAATATATTCTAAACAAATATCACACTCTTGTCGGATTCGTTGGCTAAGATTTGAAAGAAAGTCATCATTATTTTTTTTCTTTTTGTCATTTTTGTTTATTTGTTTCTGAACCCAGCCAATCTTTTTAGCTTCAATTTTTCCACAACTTATTGGCATATGAGCTGGTAAGTTGTTTAGTTTCGTTGAATATTTATCATAAAACTTTTCATCAAGCCAACGAATACTTAAAGGTAGTCGGTTCCAGGGTGGAACTTGAAGCATTTCTGAAACTACGTTCAAACAATAATCAAACATAGATTCACGAGATTGTTTCTTTGGGATATGTCGACTGTGTCGACTTAAATCAGGATTTTGCCAAGCCCATTCAAACTAAAGTAGAAAAAAACTGATTAAATTATGTGTTGTTATTTAGCAAAATAAGAAAATTAAATTCTCACTCTTAAAGCCATTCTTGGGTTTGGAAATCCATGAATAATAATAACCATATTCCTATAAAAAAATACATAAGTTATTAAATATTACAATAATAATCAGTAAATTATTAATGAGGTGAAATGTATTGAATACCAAGGTCCTTTATTATCAGTTCTTTTTGCACCACCAAAATCCTTTCCAGCATTGTGTCTTTTGATTCTTCTGACTGGATCTACTGTATAACCAATATAAGTCCTTCCTTTAAATCTAACATTTTCACAGTATAATAAATAAACTCCTTGGAATCCTTCAACAATTTTATCATCATCTTCCATTCTGTTGTATTTTTTGTTTAATTTTTAAATTATTTATATACACATTTACACGTTTATTTACCATCGTGTATCTAACGAAGCTGGTAATAAAAATCATAGACCTATAAGTTTGGAGTGGGAATTAATCATCATAAACACACCGCAATAAAATAGTCATTAATTATTACATAAAAATGAATGTATAATATCAAATGGGATATAATTTTTTTAAATTAATAATTATTTAATAATTTATTTATAAACAAGAAATATTTAATTTCTATACATTTTAATTCAGGAATTATTCTATTTTTTGTGTATAGGCCTTAAATTATTTTGTTCAATATTCGCGCGAAAAGTCATAATAAATTTTCTGTTTATCTGACCATAACCTTCAAATTGAGTCTCATGAATACCCGGTCTTTTGATAATAATTAAACGATTACAATTTTTTTTTCGTCGTAAAGTGTTTCAAACATTAATAACATAATGACAGGATATAATTCACGTGTTGATGAGCTGATTAATTTCTTTAAATCTCATAATAAAATAAAAGAACAACAAACACACTCAGCTAAAGTCCACAGTGTTGGTTGGAGTTGCGATGGAAAATATTTAGCTTCTGGGTCGTTTGACAAATGTGTTTGCATTTTTTTACTTAGTTCTGACCGTTTGGTAAGTTCAAGTGAATAAATAATATCTTAAATAATTTTACTTTACTATTTTTGATGGTTATTAATTAATAATAATAATTTATAGAAGCCAGAAACCACATTTAGAGGCCATGGAGGAAGTGTAGATCAGCTTTGCTGGCATGCATCAAATCCTGATTTACTATCAACAGCTAGTGGTGATAAGACTGTGAGGATATGGGACATAAGATCTCAAAAATGTACAGCAACTATTAACACAAGAGGAGAAAATATTAATATATCTTGGTCTCCAGACGGAAACACAATAGCTGTTGGAAATAAAGAAGATTTAGTCACATTTATCGATGCTCGAGTAATGAAAATTCGTGCTGAAGAACAATTTAATTTTGAAGTCAACGAAATATCTTGGAATAAAGACTCTGATACATTTTATTTAACAAACGGACAAGGCTGCGTACACATATTAAGTTACCCTGACTTGGAATTACTTCATGTAATTAAAGCTCACCCTGGGACATGCATATGCATAGAATTTGATCCAACTGGTCGATATTTTGCTATTGGATCAGCAGATGCTTTAGTTTCTTTATGGGATGCTGATGAACTTTGTTGCTTAAGAACATTTTCAAGACTGGAATGGCCTGTTAGAACAATATCTTTTTCTCATGATGGCCAATTACTTGCGGCTGCTTCAGAAGACTTAGTTATTGACATCGGTGAGGTTGAAACGGGAGAAAAAATTGCTGATATACCAGTTGAAGCTGCTACATTTACTGTAGCTTGGCATCCAAAACAATATCTCATTGCTTATGCTTGTGATGATAAAGACAGTTATGACAGAAAGCGAGATGCTGGAAGTTTAAAAGTTTTTGGTTTCTCTAATGATTGAACTAAAAATATATATGTATTCTTTATCTTAGATGTAAAGTTAATTTAATAAAATTTATCTGTACATTGTAATAAATTCTTATATTTTCATAAGTCCATACATAAAATTGTTTTTAATTTTTTCCTCTGATACAAAATTCAACTTGGACTTTTATTTCTTAGTTTATAATGTACAAAATTGATAAAAGATTATTTTTTTTTCTAGTCTAAAAATGTTTTAATTTCAGAAATATTAAAAATAATCCACCCACAAAAAAAATAAAATCTTACTGACATTTCTAAATACCGATTGACATTTGGATAATAAAAATTTTAATTCTTTTATTGAATTGAAGTTGACGCTGCGCTCATATATGTATAGTTTATGAGCACTAAATATACCAAACAGTACAAGACAAGACATTTACATCACAACAAGATGTCGATTAGTAGGTTCGTATAATTATTCTTTTTGTCATTAAATAATAAATATTTCCTGTATAAATCTTTTTTTATATAATTTTATATCATATGATATTTAAAAAAAAAACAAAAATTTATAGTACTCCTATATTATACTTAGTTTTGAAGAGTAATTTATGTTTTGAGGTTACACAAATGATGCTAAGCCTTCTATTTATTGATAACAAATATTTATTTATTTTAGTTTATTGCCTGCACCAAGCCAAGTTGTTTGGGATAGAGATGATGAAGCCCGAGAACAAAAATTGAAACAAAGGCCTGTATCAGCGTTAGTCAAAGCAGTCGTGACTGCTCCGCCTTATGGACAGCGAAAAGGATGGGTACCACGAAGTTCGGAAGTATGTTTCGTATTATTACTCTATTTTTTAATAATATAAAATAGATTCACATGGAATGGTTTTTGATATTTCTTTATTATTTTTTTTTAGGATTTCGGGGATGGAGGCGCGTTCCCCGAAATCCATGTGGCTCAATACCCACTACAAATGGGATGGAAAGGAAAAGAAACCAGCAACGCGTTAGCTGTTCAATTAGATGCTCAAGGAAAAATCAAATATGATCTTATTGCACGTCAGGGACACTCCAAAGATAAAATTGTCTATAGTAAATTAAGTGATCTCTTGCCGTCAGAGATATCATCTGAGAATGACCCCAGTTTGATGCGCCCTAGTGAAGAAGAAATAGACGAAATTACAGAAAGAACTAAAAAAGCGCTAGAAAAAATCACAGAATCTAAAATAGCAGCAGCTATGCCTGTGAGGTGTGCTGAAAAACAAGCACCAGCTCAGTACATTCGATATACTCCGTCTCAACAAGGTCAGTCATTTAATTCTGGAGCTAAACAAAGAGTCATCAGAATGGTGGAAGCACAGGTAGACCCTATTGAACCTCCCAAATTCAAAATTAATAAAAAAATTCCTCGTGGACCGCCGTCACCGCCTGCTCCGGTTATGCATTCACCAACTCGTAAAGTCACTGTGAAAGAACAAAAGGAATGGAAAATACCTCCTTGCATTAGTAACTGGAAAAATTCTAAAGGTTATACTATTCCTTTGGATAAACGACTTGCAGCTGATGGCCGTGGTCTGCAACAAGTACATATTAATGAAAATTTCGCTAAATTAGCAGAGGCTTTGTATATTGCTGACAGAAAGGCTAGAGAAGCTGTTGAAATGAGAGCGCAATTGGAAAAGAAATTAGCTCAAAAAGAAAAAGAGAAAAAAGAAGATCATTTACGTCAACTTGCTCAGAAGGCTCGCGAAGAACGAGCAGGACTCAAATCTGCTGCAGTTTTGGATAAGACTGAAGAATCCCGAGAAAGAGATCAGCTGAGACAGGAACGACACAAAGATCGTGCTCGGGATCGAAATTTAGCACGAGCTGCTCCGGATAAGAGATCAAGATTACAGAGAGAACGAGAGCGTGATATTAGTGAACAAATTGCTCTCGGATTACCAGCGAAAAATATTTCCAACAGTGGAGATGCTCAATTTGATCAGAGACTGTTTAACACAACTAAAGGAATGGATAGCGGCTATGGTCATGATGACGAATATAATGTCTACGACAAACCATGGCGCGATTCCAATTCCATTGGATCCCATATTTATCGGCCAAATAAAAATATTGATAAAGATACATATGGAGATGATTTAGATAAGCTTGTTAAAACCAATAGATTTGTTCCTGATAAAGAGTTTAGCGGTACTGATAGATCTACAACAAGATCAGGTCCTGTCCAATTTGAAAAAGAAGAAGAGGATCCATTTGGTCTGGATCAGTTCTTGAAGCAAGCTAAACGTGCAAGTGGATCCACATCTACAGCAGCTACAACGTCTTCATCATCCACTTCAAAGCGTAAAGATGATCGAGACCAACGTCGTGATGATCGAGATAAACGCAGAAAACATTAATCACAAAAGTATACCATTTGGTATTCTGCAATGAACGGATTCTGAGAGTACATCATTTTTGTCATTTAATTGTAATTAATATTAATAATTAATTCATATTACTACAGTAGAATTTCGGTTGAACTATACTTATTATATTTCGTAAAATTTTTTGTTATATTGTCCATAGACTTCAATTCTTTTATGATCAATGAACCTCATCGATTTTTCTATTAATATAATTGATCACCGAAAATATGTATATTGTCAAGAGATAATATTCGTAAGTGTAAAATATATACCTTTTTTTAATGAATGTCTGGTTAGTAAATAAACACTTTAAGACAGTTATTGAATGAATTTTTTCTTTGTAACTTGATAAATATAAATTAATAACAATACAAAAAAGTTATTTCCTATTGTAAATGTAAACCATAATCTAAAAATGTAATTAAATGGTTGATAATATCAATAAAATATAATAAAAAATTTTAAAGTTAAGAAGGTTTAAATATTTAACAATCAAGCTTGAAATAATATTATAAAAACATTACATTTTCCACTGTTCATAATCATTATTCGAAAAAATATCTATTATTTTATAACAGATCACAATAAATTTAGTAAAACAATATATCATAGACACATTTATCAATTAAACAAACTTCAAAAAAATTTATTTCACAATAATTATTATAAATGCAATAAATTTGTCGAGCACTTATATTTAAACATATGAAAATATCATAATTTAACTTAATTTATCAAACTAATGATAAAATTTTCTTTCTGTACAATTTTCAAAATGTCTAACTATAAATTCATATTTCATTGCCTGCATGAGCCATGTTAACTAATTTATAAATTTATTTTCTCAATTTATCAAATAACTAGTTAACTTGCAGTAACTTTAATTCATAAATAATATTCATTATTGATTCCATAATTAAAAAAACAGATTTTAATTGAAGATAGAATTCATAAAACTTCTCATGATTATAACAATCATAATATCTAGTATAAATATTTCGGAAATAAAAGCAAAATAAAAAATGCCTAAATTTTCTAGAAATAAAGCAAACTTGCTAATTCTTAATATTAAATTTGACATCAATTTAGGCAGAAAAGAGTATAATTTATTTTTTTGCATTTAGTCAATGAATAAACTTTTATTCTTATAGTCATCATTCTTGAGTCATGGTATTATATCTGCGCGTTCATTGTTCATTTCTAGCTACTTTTATATAAAGTATACGTAAATTAAAATATTGTTTTTTGGTGAAATCAATCAATAAACTGGAGCTTCATCTGCTGAAGCTGAGATATCTTCGTCACTCCATTCGCTGATTCCAAAGTTCACTGGGCCATGAAAGCTTTGAGATCGTAAAACACTGAAAAATTTTTTTTCAATCATTAATAATAGAAACTAATGTTACTCTAAGAAAGTTGCTTTATTATCATTTATTTCTATATTCATATTGACATGGAAAATAAAAAAAAAAAAAAACAAATTTTTACTTCTCATAAATATAATATTCTAGAAAAAAAGAACATTTTCTCTTGAAATTGAAATTAGAAAAGAATTGATGAATATTTATTTTTGTTAGGAAGTAGTTTAATTAAAGCAACTTTCTCTTTCATCATTAGTTCCAGAAAACATAACCCATTGCACACATTTTAAATTTACAAAGGCCGTGTTTATTAATAACAATTAACAATAACTTGATTTGATTTTACTTGAATGAAAGAATATGAGAATAGAAAGTATTGCGTAAAGCCTTCTTTCGTCATCGAATATAATATATAAGGTAATGAATTATAAAAACAACACTCAAAAAATAGTGCTAAGCAATATACGATATTCTGTTGCAATAAAACTTTTACAATACAAAGCGGATAAATTATAAATTCACTCGTTATTATTTATATACAAAATCTGTGCGTGCTTTTTCTTTTAAAAGCAATTCATACCAACATTTTGCTTCGATGGAGTCTATCTCTATTACTGATCGCTAAGAACCCTAACAACAGTCAAACAATTACTATCAAATATTTACAAATAAATTTGTAAATAATTATTTAAATAAATAAAGATATAATTATTTATTCAATATACCTAGAAGATTCAGAACTGAGATTTTTCTTCATCAATCCAGCCTTCCTTTTTCCTTCCAAAGCTGCCTTCATAGGATCATAACTCTTTCTTCTTTTCCAATTTAACATCTCTTGCTCTTTCATAGCTGATTGAGCTTGTTTTTTCACATCTTTCGGTTTGTTCTTTGTTGAATTAGATGATCCTTTAGACATTCGCATACTAAATCTTCCAGAATCGGTACGAGCAACACCAGAAGTTTCAGATTTGGATCTAGAGTGTGTCGTTGATATTCTACTGGTAGCTGGAGCACTTTTGATCTCTCGATGGTCTCGTCCTTTTTTTAATTCGAAAGCTTTATTAAATCTAGAACCGACTGATGATTGTATTGGCTGATGATCATCACTACTTTCAGTGTCGCTTACTTCATGTATCATTTTGTTCGATTGCCTTAAACTATGACTTGTATCATCATCACTTTCTCCTCCAGAATCTACTGAAACGGGTTGATAAACTGTAATCCTTGCTGACATAGCGGACATAACATTTTGGGTTGTCTGGAGATAAGAAGAAGTATCTAGATCACTATCACTACCAAGAGGACTACATGGAGGAGGAATTTGAATAACTTCTTTCTCTTCTCCATAATTTAAATCATTGTCAGACCAATCATCTGTTAGAGAAAGTGTTCCGTGAGTTCCATGAAAACTTGCTGAACGTAAAACAGAGTTATCTCGATTATTAGAACCATCTTCAACTGTATGATGTTTTCGTAAACCATCCAATTTTTTTTTCCCCTCAGCTGCTGCCTTCATGGGATCATAGTTCTTCCTTCGTTTCCAGTTTTGAAATTCTATTTCTTTAGATGTCAAGGTTGAGTTACTTCTTCCTGTGTTTTTACTTTCTTTACTCATTTCCTTATCATTTTTATTCACATTAGGCCTTGGCATTGATGTACTCGAGGTCTTTGGGCCTCTCATACTATATCTTCCACCTTCATTTCTTGACAAAGAAGGAACTCTTGGTCGCGTTTCAGATTTTTTAAGACTTTCTCTATTGTTAGCTCCAACACTACTGGTTCTTCCACGATAATGATTAGGCTGTCGCGCTGAAGATGGAGCAGATTTAATCTCCATTTGGGCTTTTCGTCGTCTTTCTTCAGGTGTTGTATTAGGTGTAGTATCAGAATCACAAACTACCCTAGCTCTACGTATACTAAAAGCTCGATTTAATTTAATTCCTGAAGAAATGACTGGAACTTGTGAATTTTGATCACCAGTTTCACTACTACTATCAGAAACAATCTGTTTAGCTTTGGGAATTTTATCACCATGATCATTAAAACTACTTCGACGAGATAATAATGACTTAGTTTTAACATTTCTTATACTTGTATTGCTGGAAGATCGTTGAATACAAATATTTTTTGGAACCACTGGATTACTATTAAGCACTGAAAACTCTTGACCAGTAGAAGTATTTTCTTGATAATTTGATGTACTACGAGATTTCCTTAACATGTATGGACTATTTTCCACGCAAGTGAAATATCCAATATTTTTAGCTGATGAATTTGATTGTATCAATTGTTTAGGTTTCTCAAAACTTGGAGAATTTAATATTTTATTTTTCAAAGTTTTGTGCCCCAGAATTGGACTATTGGTAAGTTTTGGAGTGGATGGCTTAAGTCGATTTAAAATTGGACTGTTAGTATGTTTAAAATTTTCCTCAGAATAATTTTTCAAGCTGCTTCTCCTTGAAGAATTAGATTCGGCAGTATCAGACTTGCGATCTAAAGAATTACCACGTTGAAGATGAAGTCTTGCTAAGACGTGGGACGGACTCTTTGGCACATCGAGTATTTCTTCTTTCTTCTTGGTATCTGGATACTTTCTCATACTCCGTCGACTGTCATTATAGTTTGCTCGTTTAAATAAAGATTCAGACAAACTACCACGGCGTACTAAAGCACTGTGCGTTGGTGTACGTTGAGAACTGTGGGGTGGAGTAGTATAACTATTACTTGTGTCTTCATCGGATTCTCCACCCGAATCAATAAGAGTATTTGGATGAATTGTATTTCCTATTCTATCTCTCATCTGTTGAATGTCAGCATCTAAACTGCTATCACTTTGTTCATACCGACTTCTTCTTGATTCAGAAGTCTTTTGATATCGTGGCGAATACATTGGGGAAGGAATCTTAGACGGACTCATTGGTGGTGTACGTCCTTTTGTACCTCCAATTATGGGCGGAAGTGAATTGTGCTCGGCTACTTGAGTAGCCCATTCCGAAATCCAAGTATTTGTATCTTTGGAGCTTCGCATTTTAAAATGATGAACGTATCCTTCATTACTTTCTTCTTCTGTCAATACACCGACACTAAATGTTTTATCTATATCCATTCGAGCTTTTTCTTCATCAGTGTAATCTTTGTGAATCGTATAAGTTCCTGCTTCACTTACAGTTTCGTCTGAAGCTCCATCAATACCGCTTACATTGAAAATATCCAAATTTCTATCTAAATCTGTGTTTAATTCTCCTGTACCACTTACACTCATTATGTGACTACTTGACTGTTTTACCTTTATCACTAACGAGTTCATTAGATTCACCATGATCAGATAAATAACTGGTGTTGGAAAGTTTTTCCGTAGTGTTCGAATGAGATTTTTTTACTTCTTCTTCATAATCATGATTAATTTCTATGTATTCGATATTTTTTGTATATTTTTTCTCGGGAGAATATTGCACATGATTTCGTTCTTCTTCTAAATTATTTTGAACTTTATCAAGATCATTCATGGTTGCTGAATAAGTCATTTCATGAATAAAATTATTTGGATAATTCTTCATGATATGACCTTCGCTTCTCACCGTTTGAATTTTCTGTTAACGATTTAGAAATTACATCAGCCTTCTTCGTAGCACCTTTTGTAGACCTTAATCCTGAAATAGATTACATGAATTAATTAGACGCAAATTCAGATAGTTATTTTTCTATCAATTTATTCATGATATGATGTAATCATATGCTATAATTGATATCTTGACCAAAAATTTCACGGGGAAGTCATTGAAAATTCTCAGTGAATATTACATCTAAGAATGTGAATCACAAGAAGTATGATATACCTGCAGAATATTAATGAACATTGCTCACAAACCTGCCGAGCAGTTAGACACTGAAAATGACTTCATGCTGACTCATCTGTTGACCATACGACTGTTTAAACTTTTTGCATATATGAACTTTGTAAAATATCAGTAATTTTATATAATTCAATATTTATATTGAGCAATAAAGTGAATAAAAATTGTCAATTGTAAAAATATTTGACCGTTTCAACTATTACTAACTAACGAGATTATTGAAAAATGTATGAATCATTACCTAATTCTTTCAACTTTTGTGACAATGCCTCAGCCTTTCTCTTTGTATCGTCTTCACTACTAAAATATCCTTCTGAATGAAAACTTAGTGGTTTCGGTTTTTGTACGAAATTTGGCGAAAGATCAGCAACAGGTTTTTTAGGTTTAATCTCTATCTGTAAATCATTATAAAACAATATTGAATACGTTAGAAAGATGAAATAAAATATTTATTTTATGTAACAGAATAGCATAAAAATTTATATCGCTTACTTTAGACGTCGATAAATTTCGTTTGTGCCTGGCATTAATTTTTTGAAATAAATTTTGGAATCTAGTAGATTCCACTTCTTTATTATCACCAAAGTCGATAGTAAAAGCTAAAGAAGTTTGATTTTTCACAGTAGCTTTCACTAAACCTGTTTCTTTCGTTTCTTTCTCAAGAGAATCTCGTTCGATTCTTGATTCTTCGTTATTTACGTCTTCAATTTTAAGCTCTTTTTCTTCCGTCTGGGTCGAATGACACTTGGCAAGCATTGTTGACGTATTTTGGACCTTCTCCAATGTTTCAATGCCATTGTCATATAAAGAAGAATTCTTCAGTGAAGACTCAACGTTATCAAGCAGCTCCTCATGCTTCTCATGTATCTTGGTAACTTCCATACCTGCTACACTTTTTTGACATTCCAATAATCTTAATTAATGATTACTGTTAACACGAATGGAATATTAAAAAATCAAATTTCATTCTATTTTCGTCCTTCGATATATTTCCGTTTAATCCGTTTAATGAGCACCCGACTAAACGATTAAGCAAGAAATTAAGTATTGACCATTTTGTTTATATAAATAAAGAAATAATAATACATTTGTTTAATAAAACTACAGCTTGTTGTACAGGTGTAGCTACATATCAGTCACACAAATGTCTAAGGGCGACTCCGCACTTGTCAAACTCGTCAACACTCAATTTCTACCTGACTTTTCCACTTTTTTCTATTTCATGATACTTATTTAAAGCTCAATTTCTAACCAGCGATTTATGTTTAAAAAAAAATTCCTTTAATCGATTACAACTCCCTCTGAACCGGCTAACCTCAAAAACCTGTTTCGTATTCATTGTCGTTCAGTTCAGATTCACTCGTAGAGGAACTCATTTTTACGAAAAAATTTTTTTAAAAAATGTGCTATCTCGTAACATTTCTTGTTAATCAATAATTATATAGATATATTAAATAAAAAAAATAATTAAAATGGATGATATAGAACAAGAATTAATTGAGAGCCTTCAAGATATCGGGTAAAATATTAATTATTCAAAATATTAAATGAATTTATAATTTTAAAATAATTTCTTTATAATTTAGGTATGATGGAGCATTACTGGATGCTCAAAAATTATCTCAAGCTTTGGAAAAAGGTCCAAAATCAACAGAATTTACTAGTCTCGTATCTTGGTTAGCCGAACAATTGATTCTTTTTGGGAGTACAGAAGAGCATGTTCATCCTACAACATGTCCAGAAGATTCTAGTACTTTCTTGCTGGAATTAAGTTCATTTTTAAAAGAATTAGGATGTTTAAACAGCCAACTTGTTTCTGGAAATGTTAATCAAAGACTGGCTACCAAGCATGAAAGATATTTATTGCTAGATTATCTCATTACTGAATTAATGGCCTGTAAGATTACGAAAGTAAAAAAACCAGATACAGCAAAACTTCAATTAACCATTGTGAGTAAAAGAATTAATACTTGTTCTTAATAGAATGCTTCAAATATGATAATTTTTTTCGACTTATAATGAGTTATTGTTTATGCAGCATGAAAGTGACACTGCCAGATGTTTAAGAGAAATATTAACGGCATTGCAACTCGGCAAACCACCAGAGAACATAACAGCAGAGCAACTTTTTAAAAAACTCCAAGAAAAATTAAAAACCATAGTATCATCAGCTCCAGCTGATCTTCTTGGAAAGCCATTAATTTTTGGAGAATTATCCAAGTCTCAATGGGATAAATTAGATCAACTTCAAAATGATATGAGAGAGGAATATAAAATTCGAAGGGAGATGTTACTCAAACGACTTGATGTTACTGTACAATCATTTTTGGTAATATTTTTATATTTTAATAATTCGTCTGTTTAATTTTAAAAATAATTAAATAGTTGATTTGATTTTACATATAAATGAATTGTCTTTTAGTGGTCCGAAAGAATTAAATTGAAAGAAGATCAGCTTAACGAATGTTTCCGCAAAAATCGAGATCAAATGATTGCTGAACCAGCAGTCACGATTGCTCAATTATTAGCAGCACGAGATGATGTAGCAATTATTGAAAAAACTAGCAGTGCTTCTGTGAGAAAAAATACTAAAAGTAATGTAACAAAAGTAATTATTGGAGATGTACCAGATAGAGGAGGTCGCGCTCATGAACAAGCTCCTCCACCACCAGAGATGCCTTCTTGGCAAAAAGATAGAGTCCCAGATGCTCCCCGAGGAGGTGGAAGAGGCGGTAGAGGTGGTGGTGGTCGAGGAGGAGGCGGAGGAGGATACCATAAAGATATTAATACAAATTTTGGACAAAATCGAGATTGGCAAGATAATTCACAAGGTGGATCATATTACCAAGATGATAACAGAGGTGATTATCATAGAGGTGGCCGAGGAGGTGGTAATAGTGGTGGATATCATCGTGGACGAGGTGGTAGAGTTCAGGGTGGATGGGCACAAGGTGGTTCGGGTTATAACCGAGGAGGACATAGATCTCATTATTAAATCAATGATAAATTATGGATTGTTTTCATATTTTTTACATGATTAGTTATTATCATCAAATGATATTAATCAATTCGTACTATTAATCAATTATAGTAAAAACCTATATGTGATTAACAAATGAACAACTATCATGATATTTTTTTGTCACATTTACTGTACCGTATTGTACTGTAGCATAATTTGTTTACAACAATTTATTTAATTTATTATTATGAAATAAAGGAAAATTATTCAAATGATCAGAAAATCTTTTTTATTAAAAATAATTAATTCAAAAATACATTATAACTATCATTATTCAATAATTATATAAAAATTTGTTAATTAACTATGTAAAAAACGATTCTATACTTCGAGCTTTTTTATTGGTTTGTTGATTGCTTTCATTATTAATTTTTCTCTTCGTTGAAGGGCTATCCAAGTTACTTAAATTGCTATTTTCTTCACTTGGTAGTTGATTAATGACTTTCTGCAAGTTTTTTGCAACATGATAATCTAAATGTTCTCCATACTTTTCTTGTCGAATCATTTGATGGCATTCTGTACACTGTTTCATTTCAGGATTATTTACATTTGGATTACTTTTTACAATAAAATTATACATAGAATTATTTTTTTCTACATTTTTTCCAGAAATTTTAGACTTCATATTTGATTTAGCAGTCGAGTTTTTTCCGTTAATTTTTGATTGCTTCGGACTCTTAAGTTTTAGTTGATTATTAGCTACTTCTTTCTTGTTTGCTTTTAAATAAGCATTCGCTTCTCTCTGTAATTCGATAGGCAATAATTTTATTACAGATTGATCAATATTATCAAGATCAGGAAAAATTTCTTTTAGTTGCACTAAAACGTTGTTATTATCCTTCTCGGTTTTGGCGTTATTTGTTTCATTAGATTGGTCTGTTTGATGTTTCTCTCGATCTTCAGATACTGTTGTGCAATCTAAGTCATCAAAAACATCAGGAGAGTCATGCAACTCCAGTGTTCCATTCGGATCTTTATTTGTTATACTATTTTCTGTTTTATTACTTGCATTTTCTTCACTTTGATCTCTTGAAAGATTATTATCAGACGTAGAAGGTTGAGTATTTTTTAAAAAATTCATAAAGAATGAACTTTTAAAATTGTCTTTATTCAATGCCTTGTCTATATCTGGAGTACTTAACAAACTAGATTTCACTTGAATATCAGTATCAATTTGACTCTTATCTTCTGTTTTTTTACGTACAAATGACGTATCTCTTTCAGACTTGTTCGAAGTTTCTGTTGATAATTTATTAGGTGTTTTGAAAAAATTATTTAATGTATTTGTTTTGCACTTTTGTTGATTGTCTTTTTCATCATTATTATCTTGATTAGCAATTGATTGAGTTTTTTCATTGTCATCATTTGATTGGAGTCTAGGACCAGCCTTGAAAAAATTTTTAAAACCCATGCTTCCTTTAATAGGAATAAATTTTCCAGCAGACATGCCTATAAATGCAATGGGTTGCTTGGTTGCTCTTGTAATAACATTAAAACATAAGTTAGAAATTTTTTCGGAATTATAAGAAGTTAATGCACAAGCTTTAGATTGGGAAATCATTTTTCGATCTTGATGATAATGAACGCTTATAGTTAGGCTTGTGGCTCGTCTTTCGTTTTCTTCTAAATCCTGTTCTAGTCTATCAACAATTTCTATAGATAATTCATTGATCCAGTGCTTTAATGTTTCTACATTTGTAAGAGCATGCTTTCCAAAAAAATTTTTACTCGCTCCAATTGATTTACAAATGAGTCTTGGTGTTACTGGTTCGTTATCAATACCTCTTGCGATATTAAACAGCCAATTGCTTGTTTTTTCATCAAATTTTTTAAGAAAATCTTGCATTGAATAACGCAAAAGATCTGCCATTACATTGCATTCAAGTGACTCCATAACAATCTTACCAAATTTTCCGCCAAGATTTCTTACTTTTCTAACAGGTAGAGAAGAATAAAGACCTGGAACAGCTGAGCCAGGTAGAATAGTTTGCTTATTTGGTTTATGCAAACCACAAGCAAGTTTCGCAAGTATTTTATTGTAGGATATACCAGCTGAACATCGGTATTCACATTGAGAATAAATTTCAGCTCTTAAAAATTCAACAATTAGTCCACCAATTGCTAATCTTCTCGCTTGAATATCTCCAAGATCATCAAATATATCTTCGAGCCATCTTTGAATTCCTTCCTTTCGTTTTTCATCATTTTTTGTGTCACTATCGCAATATCCTATAACGTAAGTATTAGATAATTTATCCGCTAAATCAATTGATGGTGTTAACATTTCTGACATTTTTTTGTCTACTAAATCTGTAATATCTAAAAAGGCTTCATCAACACTTGCTCTTTCGATAGTTGAACAATGTTTTTTTAATACATCAATAACTTCCTTTCCAGCCACTCGGTACCTATAACAAATTTTGCTAGTGATTCAATAATAAAAGTGCATTGAAAAATTGGTTGGATGTTATTACATACCTTCCTGTATCAGGTTTATCTCTAAGAGGAGGTACAGTTACCAATTGAATATTTGGACATTTTTCTTTGGCTTCATTTCCTTTCATATGTCGAGTTACACCGAAGTCTCTAGCTTCATAGTTGACAGCAATTATACTATAAATAAATATTAAATTATGTAAAAAATATTATTTCGCAAGTGTGAATAATTATTTGAATATCGAAAATATCTTTTACCTTCCTGGATTGAATGAACTATATTGAATGACAGCTAGTGGTTTTCCTTTTAATTCAGGAGCCAGCTTAGCTTCAACTTGACAGTAAAAACAATCCATATCGATTAAAACAATTATTCGTTCTCCGAATTCTGCCATAGTGATCTCTTTCGACGTATTTTTCAATGTCTTCTTATATTTTACCAATATTTATTCAATTTTTCATTAACAAAATAAATTTAATTTTCACTTGTAACCTCTAAATTTTTTATATACAGTGAATAAAATTTTTTTCCAAAGCTACAATAATTCTCATCACTGGCAATGATTAAATTTAACTCGAAAATAAATTTTTATGATCATTGATTTTTAAATAAATCATAGTTTCGAATACATTTTTAATGAAATAAATTAAAGTCACAAACCAGTATGTGACAGAACAAAACTATTATTTTGGCGCCAAATTTTTTGCGCCAACGCAGATGCAGATGATCCCTACTCCAATACTCCAAAATAAATACTCGGTATAAAAGTGGAGATTTTTTTAATAAAATCGCTAAAAATTGTTTAAAATAAAAATCATATAATTCACTAATATCCACATATATATATTTTACTGTCAATGCTACGTAATTACATTCATATAAATGTACAATATCTCTATCATTTAACAAGATTACGACATCTCAATTCCATGGATAGGAACGCTCTCATATTTGGATCATCAATTTTACTCATAATAATTTTTTGTACATCATCATTACTATTTTTTAATTTTTCACTCAATTTTTCAGCATATTGGATCCAAACACAGTTTGCACATCCTGACATACAACAAGTTGTTGGTTCTTCTAGATCATCATCTGTGTTTGTGGCAGAATTAATATCCTGCTCCATGACCATTGGCCTTTTCATAACATTTTCATTATTATTATTATTATCAGAACTGTACTTTATCTTGGAAATAAAAACCAATTTTAAGCAGTTGTATTGATGATTCTTTGAAATGATCGAAGCAATAGAAACTAGTGTTGACATTATTTTACAACTTTTGTACAATTTTTTACATGATTATCAATCAACATCATTACTAATAATTACATTTAATTCATAATTGCTAAGAACAAATATGTTCCATTATCTTTAATCACGATATTATTTTTGTTGTGTAAATTATTTCATTTGATCTAATGGTTTTTTCGTACATCAGAAGAGTGAGTGATTAGTATAACAATAATACAAAGTATTCGTAAACAATTAAAAGTTATATAATAACTTACGCAAATTAACTAGTGAATAATATAAAAATTGTTGACAAACATTATGTTAGAAGAATAATAATTAAATAAATTTATTTGTGAAGTCACGCTGAAATGTTTCTTCTTATGAGCAGAGAGGAGACTTGATGAGCAGATTTTTTTTTATTTTACAATGTTGGTATTGTTACTATTACACATATACATATATGGTATGCTATATGTTCATGTGACATAACTTAGCCTGTAGAGGCGCATCGAAAACGTAGTAGTAGCCATCTTTCGGTAATGTCTCTAACGCCGGACGATCCTTGAGAAAAGGGTCTGTCGTGAAAAGTTTTTTGGAAAATCAGAAAAATGGCTTGTTCGGCAGTACGAGTTCCAATTTTGCGTAATCCATCAGTAAGCAAAGCATTTTTTTCTAGTTGTACTTTAATTCATTCATGATACTGGTGTTAACAGAATCGTATAGATTAATTCAAATTAGGTGTCCATATTTATTTCTTGTCGACTGTTATGTAAAACCTCACTGTAACCTTAACGAAATTTTATTTATTCACTTCATAATATAAAATTTTAGGTACGAAATTATGCGGCTGCTGCAAAAGCTGCTCAAGTGTCATCTCCATCATCAGATCATCAAGTCTTAGCCAATAAAATTACCTGTGCTGCACTTGACAACAATAGTCCAATCGCTCAAGTGTCAATAGTTTTTAAGTAAGATTCTACTTTGTATTAAAAAAAGAGTTAGTGTCAATTAATGATTTCAATTTAATTAAAATACAATTTTTATATAGAGCTGGTTCTCGAAATGAGACATACGAAACTCAGGGTATTACTCATCTTATACGATTAGCAGCTGGATTGACCACATCTCGATCATCAACTTTTGGTATCATACGAAATATTCAACAGCTTGGTGGAAATTTATTTGCAGCAGCAGATCGAGAATCGATTGCTTATACTCTCCAAGTAACTCGGAATAATCTGTAAGTGTTTTATATTTATAATATTACTTAAAATTATAAAATACAATAAGAAGTACATTCAATATTTATTCTGAAAATTAGGGAAAAGGCATTTATGTTCTTAGAAGATACAGCAACACGTCAAGTATTCAAACCATGGGAGATTTCTGATATGGAGCCACGAATTCGTTATGATCGTGGATTAGCTTCTAATCAAACTAGACTTATTGAATATTTACATAAAGCTGCTTATCGCACAGGGTTAGGTTATTCTTTAATCATACCTAAACGACAAATTGGAAAATTTTCCACTGAAGCGGTAAGTATTAAAATAAGATGAAAAAAAAAAGTTTTATGTTAAAAATGTTCTCTTTACAGCTCCAACATCATGTTAACACTTGGTTTACGGGATCAAGGTGTGCAGTAGTTGGTACAGGAGTACCTTTGAATGTTCTAAATTCCTTTGCAAGTTCATTACAACTTCCATCAGGAAATCCAACTTCTTCTCCATCTAAATATTGGGGTGGTGAAATTCGTAAAGAACGTGATTCACCTCTTGCTAGTGTGGCAATTGCTGTTGAGAGTGCTGGATTTGACAAAGACAAGGAAGCCCTGGCATTTGCTGTTTTACAATTAGCAGCTGGAATCGGGCCTCAAGTTAAATGGGGAAATAGTGTAACTCCTCTTCAAAAAGCTGTTGGTTCTGCTGCAGATGGTAATCCATTTGCAGTTGCGGCTTTCAATGCTAGCTATACTGATTCTGGACTTTTTGGAGTCATGATAGAAGCTCCATCTAGTATTGCAGGAGCGGTATGTATTTATATAATGAATTTTTTTGTCATAAAATGAGAACAATTCGTAATTATAAAATTTTAATATATTAGGTAACGAAAGCTGCTTATAAATGGATGGCGTCGCCAAACTTGACAGATGCTGATATTAACAGAGGAAAAGTACAACTAAAAACCATGATTTTGGATTCTGCTGACACGCAGATGGGTCAATTAGAAAATCTTATTGAACAGACTATTTACAAAGGTCATCCAGTGTCTCTCGCTGCTCTTGCTGCTGAAGTTGATAATATTTCTGCTGCAGATGTTAAGAAAGTAAGTGTATTGAATGGAAAAATATATTGGAAAAAATCAAATCAAATTGAATAAAAATTAATTACAATTTATTGCTTAATAGGTAGCAGGAAAACTTAGCGGTAAACCTTCAATGGCAGCGTTCGGTAATCTTTCAACAGTTCCACATGTGGATCAATTGAGTTAGATCGTAGAATCTAACATTCCACCGTTGCTAGTATCAAGATAATTATTTATAATTTCTGAATATAAACAAAAAAAACTGAAACATCATTTATGTGATGTGATGAACTTTACATCCGATTACTTATTATGTAATTGTGTATATATAAAATAAAGAGTTAAATAGTTAAATTAATCAGTAAAAAAATTTTTACATATCTTTATTAATAATTTTGTTTTCTTATCAATATAATTTAACTTCTTCTATTGAATAAAATTTAGTGCAGTTCGTCCGTGTAGGTTTCAGTGGTTTTCCACTCATAAACCTTTGAATCATTGGTCTTAAATCCTCGATGTCTTTCAACGTTTGAAACTAAAAATAATAAAAAATTATTTATAAAAAATTCAGATTTTCATAGAAAAATGTTTTTTATAACATAAATTTTACTTACATGATCGTCTAAAATGTTTTTTAATTTATCAAGAAGAACATAGACTTCTGGATCTTTTGATAAAAGATAATATTGATAGTGGGAATCGAATAAAAGACCGATCCATTCATATAATTGTTTATCACTTGGTTCAGTGTCACATTTACTAATTTCAGTTGATTGAAGTTTATCTGACAAATATTTAATTAACCACAAAACATCATTAAAAGTCAATGCAGATTTCAAATGAGTTAATACAGAAAAATCAGTAAAACTTAAACAGAATATTTGATCCAAAAATTGATTTTTAGTTGTATATTTAGCAACTTTATGTGAATTATCTGTTCCATTTTGTACTGGTACAAATGTATCATCCAAACTTTTAAGTCCAAATATTAAAAGATCAACTAACATCTTCTCAGGAAGATCTTTCAAATTTTTAATACACCATAAAATAGATGAAATATTTTTCGATTCAATAAGCTGAGGAATCACAGCTTGATAAATAGCAGCATCACTTTCTCCTTCATGAACCAAAGCATTTATTTGTTTTGCTATTTTAGGAGGTATATTGGTAAAAGACAATCTATTCGGTAGAGAAAAATCTTGCCAATTTGCTACAACAGATTCTTGTATCTCTACAACGTCATTGTCTTCATTTTTTGCTATTTCTTCTCGATTTGATTTCAATGATCCAAGCATTGCTTCTATTCTTTGATATGCTAACCGATATGGAACAACAGCTAAATGCCTATTTGCTGCTAGAAGTAATTTATCGTCAATTTGCCATAGCTTGGCATCCTTCGTATATAGTTTGAGCTTTTGTGTGGCCTGAGCAATTTTGAACTGTATATTATAAATCATTAGAATGGCACCTTCCTCGTTAGCATCAGCACCATACATAGCAACTGTTGTTTCATTTAAGGCTGTCATAATAACTGGATGATTGGTACTAATAGAAGAAAGTACACTAACAAGTATTCCAGGTGGAGGATCTGAACATGAGCTTATTAAAGGATAACTGTACAATCGACCGTGAGACCCTATAATGTCAATAATTTTAAGATAGAATTTAGACTTAATAGAATAATGTAAATTTTTTATAACAATTGAAATCTATACTTACATAAAGTTAGAAGATACGCGTTATTTTTTTCACATAAGACAACATGTCCAACGAGTTGTTCTGATGTTCTTTTTAATTCTATTCGTGAAATATGATCTAGATTTTCCACAAATGTTTCCTCGTGAAGATTAACAATAACATAATTATACATAGCTCCAATTTTCGTTAAAGCACATAAATAAGTTCTATTGTTGACTTGAATTAATTTACAATCTTGTATTTTTTCATCATTTTGAAGAACTTTAGAATCAAGCCACGTTTTTCGATTAGCTAATGCCCATTTTAAAGATGCTGTCGACCCATCCTGTCGTACTAATACTGGAGAATGATTATTTAAAAGTATTATGGAATTAAATGCAGAGTGAAATTTATGTCCTTTTACTTTATCTAAATCTACTTCTTCATCGCTCCAAGTTCGAATATATTTTTCATTAAATATTGCTACATATCGTTCAGTTTCTCTGTCATAAACAACTTGAGAGGTTAGGCGTGTTTTCGTTGACCAACTGTTTACTTGTTTTAAATCTTGAAGCTAAAAAATAAAGAATTATTTAAAAATAAACTATTCACAAGTATTTTAACGATAAATTATACATTTTATTATAATAAATGTATTATTTATATTAACTAACCTTATATCTTATCACTATATTTCGTCCTAAAGTAACAATAGCACATCCTGGATTTTGATCTTTTTCGACTCCCAATAAACTTTGTTGATCAATCAAAGGACACAATGTATAATATGAACATAATTTAGCCATTATGACTTTAAAAAAAATATAAAAACAATCAAATTGTTTCAAATAACATGCCGTCAATGAGCACGTTGTGTAAATCACTTCTGGATCTACATACCGACTGGATTGCTTTCATGATATGGCAGATTTAATTATGGCGCGAAATTCAAATGAAAGAATTTTAGTTTGTTTATGGAACTCATATTTATCGGAAACTGATCGTTTCCTGTTGCATGAGTTTAGACTATCAGCTTCCAACTTCCAACTTCCGTTTAGCACAGGATGCAATTATTTTAAAGCTTAGACATTTCGGTTTATAGAATTTATATTTTTCGGGGAATAATTATTAAATTCTTGCTTGAAAATTAGGGTTATCTTTTTTCAATACGTCTATGATATATAGAAATAGCTATAAAGAGGTATGTACATAAATCACAAGATAGGTAATATGCAATACGTAAAAATAAAGCATGTGGTTTTTAGAGAAATTATGATGTGTACCTTACACAATGTAAGTTAGACATAGATATCAAAGAAAGTCATGACAATGATTCCATTACGATGACACTGGGGCGTCTACCAATCTAAATCAATTTTTGCTAAACGACCGTTAAATTCAGTAGGGAGTGCAGATGTTTTTTTCTATTCAATTTCTTCAAGTTTTCACTCGATGCCCACCCAAGTGAGATTTCTCAATTTAACCTCATCCACGCATCACAAATCTTTCATGAGGAGTCAAACTGACAAAGCTTTTGGACAATCACTAACCGACAAGAGATTTCGTGACAAAAGGCCTAAGGATAAAATACGAACACATTTGATTTCTCTATACCTCTCGCATCTTCCGGATGCAATTGTCGGGAGATTCTATTCTATTATGTATGTGGTTAATTCAAGAAGACTCTTTGCTTATTTGGAAAACTTTTTGATGAATACATCAGAGTAGAAAGAAAAATTTAGACTTCAAAGTTCATTTAAAAGAACCACAGGAGATTGTTTGAAAAGTAAATATTAAATTAAATGTTTTTTTACGAATATGTCTCAATCAATATCCTTCGGAAGGAAAATATTTATTCAGAAGACAATTACATTATCATATTAAGAACCTATAAGAATAACCATCAACAAGTTAAATTTTTTAAATAATAGAAAAAATATTTTGTAGGTTTATACTTTTGAAAATGATATCATACTACTTATTTACGTTGTTCTAGTGTATGAGTAAAGTACACTGGTTGATTTAATATTATTATAATCTAATATGTGTCAATTTATACAATGTTTTTTATGATTTCGAAATTGATAAAAATAAATTTTGTTCCAGGTGGATTGTCTCTGTCAATGGTGTCTCATTATATATTTTAGAAACATTTCTTCATGGTTCAGTATTATTTTTAAGTTTAGTAGTTAAAATTTAAAAAAAAACCTGAGTCATGTAATTGTAATACGAAATAATGCTCTACTTCGAATTATTAGTTTAGTCTAAAATCAACAAAGACTTTCTTTAATTAGAAATAATAATTATCTTAAAGGTAAATATCTATGTTTATTCTCTTCTAATAATACATAGTAAACCCTTAAATGATTCTTTCATGCTTATGAAAAGTCGAAAATTTCTGACAACATTCTTATCTATCTTTAAAGAATCATTTTTAAGGAATGAACTAACAGCTAAGTAAAATAGTCATTTTATCATTTTGAAGGTTGTCTCATGAGATTTTTAAAGTATACAAGGCCGAATAAATTTGTTAGTAAAAGATAACTGCAACATGGTGAAGCCTTGGTCCCTCACAGCGGGTTTCTCTGATGCCTACCAAAGAGAATTTTTAAGTTCAATCGTTACTCCGAAATCTCTCTGTCAGCTTCTAGCGTAGAGGTTGCCATCAGGAGCTCTACACATCGTTAGGAGAGGGGACTAAACTATAAAGCTATGGGGTTGGTCTCTCATAGCCAACAGTTCCTCAGAAGGTTTTGGACCTTTCATGCTCTATGAGTTCATTTTTTACAGTGCATGTGTACACGAGGATCCATCAATGTACACAGTGTTTAATATTTATTATGCATTAGTGATTAGTTCAAAGAGTGATTAAAAAGTGTATTAATAATTATCATTCGACTGGAAATAATTTATAATTATTCATCATGATAACTTGGATCATATTTTTTAACATTTTAACATTAGTTTTTGGTGAGTTTAGTAGTCACTTTATTATTGTTTTTTTTTTAATTAAGTAGATTCACAATTATGGAATTTTGAATATTGTTTTAATTGGGGGAAACAAATATTTTTTTATTATTCCATAAATATTGACTCATTTATTAAAATTATTTTATAAGTTTCTATAACATAAATACTGATAATTTTTGATTCTTTATTTATGTTATTTACTTGAATTTCTAATGTTTTAATTATTTTATTACTAAACAATTAACTTATGAATCTTTTTGATGGTTGATTGCTATTAGTGTCACTTGAAAAAAATTATAGATTGTCATTCTATATGGAAAATCATAATTTTTCTCATATAAAATAATTTAAACAATTCAGACGTTGATAGATTTATGCTTAGTAACCTCTTCATCAAAAATAAGTTGACAAGATGATGACTTAGTAAAATAAAAAAAAATGCTTTTCCCATTAAATTTCAAGCATTGACTGACATAACTTCACGTCTTCAAGAGATTCTTTTTCTTCAGTTAGCATACCAATCGAAACAATAGCAAAATGAGGGGGTTGATTATCAAAAATTCTTATAAAAACAGGATACTCTATTCTCAGTTTAAGACTAGCGTCGTCATGGGAATAAATTATTTTTAAAAAATTCTTCAAGTCAATTTTCCTCTATTTTTCGTTACGCTCAATTTTATAAAGATGTCAAACATTTTAGTTTCAATAGGAAAAAAAAAACGACATACGAGTCGAAGCACATGTTTTTTTCGTTACAGTTGATTTTTTGGAGCTAAAGTCTATACCTTCCTGACAATAGTTCACACGGTCCTTTAATAAGAGATTTTTTTTCATGTCTCCTTATTTACTTTCACTAGCTTTAGATAATCCTAGATTGAACTATGTACCGAAACGACCATGAATTTTTTCGTCTGTTTGTCTCCCTTATTTGTATTCTCACCCTCAATCAAAATACAGATAATTAATGTATTTAATGCTTTTGTTGATATGTTGGATTTTTAATATTAGTATTGAATAATAATCATACATGTAAAAAGAATTAACAGAAGGTGACAATCAACAAGTTTTAACAGGATGACAATGAATTCAAGAGTAAACTTTTCTGCAATAATCTTTTAATTGATTCGCATCACGACTCTTGGACAATATAAATAATGAAATTCTTCATTCATTGATCTACAACTCACGTCTTCTCTTTTTTTTTCTTCGTCTTTACTTACGGCTTGATGGAATAAATAGCAAGTCAAGACGGTGAAAGAGGTGTTATTATTATTATCATTACCAAGAAGTTTGCGAATAAGAATTAAAATATCAGACGATGAAAATGTCATAGGCATTTCCTGAAATTTACTTATGGGTCAAAAATCCAAATAAAAAGCTTTTTACCTGGTTAAAGATTGTCACCTGGTCCTTTCAGACTCGCATTTTCTTCATTTGGGAGGCTGAAAATTTCAGGTAGTAGCATTGAGAGTAAATCTAGGGGGAAAGAGTGTATTGATAATCCAATATAGAAGAATATTTATCTTTTTGGATCTGTCAGATCTTAAATCTTTGGTTATACCAGCGGGTGGCCCCTTCCACTTGCAAGAGACCTACCTGCTTCAACATTTCTTTACTCTCTGCTCTCTGGGGCATCACAAGAAGCCAATGAAGAGAGCAGAAAGAAATAAGGTATCCCGTGGTTGTGTACCCTACGACCTACATGGGAAATCTGGACGAATATGACACAAATTTATCGTTGAGCATTCACACCAACTCAAATAAACGTGTAGCACAACGACGCTTTGTTTTTTGGGACTAGCGCGTACCCTTTACCATAAGACACCCTCTAAATAGAAAAGGAAAGAGAAATAAAAGAGAACTTCTATCTGCTCCCTCAATGAATGATGGTACACGAAATGCCGCAATAAAAATATTTACATGGGACCCGAACTGGATGAGACTAAAATTAATTGAGTCGGATTTTGTCTTAGATGGGTCTTTCTTACCCTCAATTCTTACTAGTATATCTACACATGTGGCATAAATCAGACAGAGGAAATAAGACCAAACTTTTTGATCCCAAATCTGCAACTTTATTACTTTAGACATAAGAAATATCATTTACTGAGTGTTTTATGGTTTATTTCCGCAGGATTCGGTCAAGGCTATGGAGCTTGGAGCAGTGGATGGTTTGATCAGAGTGGTGAACGCTGTGAAACGGCTATCAAGGAAATAGTCATTGAAGATCGAGCAACAATTGTTGACGAGACGCCAGACAGACTTCAGGCCACTTGGCTATCTCAAGAGTATGTCTCCTTACTTTTTCATCTTCTATATGTGGAATGCTTTTTATTTTTTTTTTAACTTGACACTAGTTGCCACTTTCTTTCATTATAAACATATGGCGTGTGAATTCTAAGAATCTTTTTAGGCTCTCATCATTCTTAATGGCCTGCAACTGGATAAAATCATTAGGCAATAGTAAGAGTATTTAACAAAAAAAATGCCGAGACGAATGATTTTTTATTCTTGATCGTAATTTTTTTTTCAAAGATTGTGTAGAATTGATTTACTGCTTTTTTTCTGAATATAAGATGTCATTATAAAAAATATTAATTCTCACTGACGATTTTTATTACATATAATGGTGATATATTGATTGATGGATAGATTCATAATAATTGAATTTAGAAAATCGATGAAAAACTGCATGTATTGTCAATCAATAAATGCATTCAAAATTTTTAACATTAGTCATATATATGAATATATAGAAGATGGATGGTTTTTCGTCTTTTCAATGTCACTTTTTCTCATTTTACATAGAACGAAGGATGTGATTTTTTTTTACCATCGTTTTCCCAACTCCAAAACGCAGCCAAACCCAAACAGTGTCATTATTTACGAGTTCTCTATACTCACTTTCACTTTTGCTTCGGTATCTTAAAGTTTTTGTATTGTTTGACTCTTTATTTTCGAATATTCTCACCAAAAAGATGAGAGGAATTCGTTGAATATTGGAAACTTAAAAAAAATTTGGAGCAGTCAGCTGATTCAATATTGTTAATTCCTCCCTAATAATAATGTTTACATATACTGTTTTTTTAATTATTAATCTTCTTTGTTGTTTCTATTTATTAAGCTGAACCAATTTTAAAAGACTTTCGAGTGTTTTCTTAGGATGATAATCTGTCAACAAGAACAAAAATTGATTTTAGTTATTTTCTCTTTGAACAGATGCGAAGTCCGAGCTGGTCCAGAATATGTAATCAGGAAGTATACATTTTTCAAGAATGGTACCTTCCTCTTACTAAGGCATCACTATGCTGAAGAATCATGTAGTGTAGCAACACATACCGTCAGTGCAAGAGGTGTGATTAAGCTTTTGTCACCATCCGGATTAGCTCCTGGTGCGACGGAAGCAAGATATCAACTGGATCGTGTTCACATTACTCCACTCACTAGACAGGTCAATAAAAATATCTTTTTATTATTTAAATACATTTTTTTTTTTAATTTCTTAATAATTATTTATTCGATAAAATTTTGATTTAAAATTAATTTATATTTCATAAAAATAATATTAGAATAAACGAATACTTACAGGTAGCTCACAAATTTGGTCATCGAGTAAATGTAACTTGTACCCCTCAACCGAAATGGAGGCCATATGCTCCTCATGTAGTCTACGAACAACCGTCTCAACGATCTTCCAATTTTCTGTGGGAAGTGCCAACATACAATTCTTTTCAACGACATTTATCTTCAAGAAAACATCGTGGCTTAGACTGTCTTGAACCTCTGGGAATTAATTTCAATGAATTAAAACTTGTAAGAATACAGAAGAAACCTATGACTTCAACTTTTTTTGGATTTGGATCTAATGGTCAACCACGAGTTGAATTGATGCTTGGTAGTTTACCGCCTAATGTTTATTCAAAAAAGACTCATAGATCCACATCGTTACAAGCTAACACTCTTCTTCGTAGTGATACGGTAAATATTTTTTATAATTATTTCATCTTTATTGAAAAAAAAAAATTTCAATATAAATTTCTTATTTTAGTATTATAGTAAAAATATATAATTTGAAATGTTTTATTTTACTAGACACACGGATGTTTGGTATGTGGTGCAATATCTCGAGGAACAGAGAGTAGTCCACCACTTCTTCATGAGGTAGCAGCGCTTCCAGCGTTGTTAGGTGGTTCGTGGATTTCATCAAGTTGTGAAAGTTGTGAGGGTGGTTTGTGGATTAAACGTCAGTTACAATTCTATTCCGGAGATATTTTATGGACTGGCCGATGGGATTATTATTCGGACTCTAAATGTATGAATTTTCTTTACGCCGTAACAGCTGCAGGAAGTTATATCCAGCGAGCTGGAAGACAAAAGCGACACAGGATGCCGATAAATGACGTTCCCACAACATTTGATAGTCCTTTAAAAGGTTCAAGTGACTTGATATCTATTACAAGTAGTGATGAAAGTAAAATTGAAGCATTAATAGGAGCTCGAGATTTTTTACGTGCTAAAAGAAACCTTAACGGAGATTCTATGGATAAAAAATGGGATATGGACTGGATAAAAGCCACAGCAAAAAGATTATTGGATATCAAAGGAACAAAAGGAAATTTCCAACCGGAAATCATAATAAATACAGAAAAATCAAAGAAACAAGACGATTCTACTACAACAGTAAAACCTGTAGAAAGCACTACAATAGACCTAGATCTTGATGGAAAAGCGAGGAGAAGTTTACACGCTGGTGATTCTTATCGACATTTACTTCAAAACGCTCAACCATCAATTGCGGAATCCTTTACATTAATGTTAAGAGGTAATCAACGCCATGAGGACACTACGAAGAAGCCATCAATTTCAATAATACCAGCCGGTTCTACTGAACTAGACCTACATGTTGCTGAAAGCCTTTTAATTGCTGGAGATCTCTCAATAGCTGCTCGTTGCGGTGCTCAAATTATAGATGATGGACGAGGATTAAGAGTTCGACCTTTAAATATATGGCCGCGTAATTGTGTTAAGCATGCACTCGAAGCACCATCTACTCTTGGATTGAGAGCTAGATTGGGTGTTAATTGGAGTGGTCAGTACACTCTTTTACTTGGACCACGTGATGATAGTCTTTGGGAAGCTCCTCTACGTCAATGTGGACCAACTCCAGCATATAATCCCGTACTCCGTGCTCATTTACGACAAAGTTTAGGGTATAGGTATGGTTTATTCGTTTCATCTAAATCATCTGACTCTAACAACAATTATCCTTTCACTCAAGTGTTAGGTTTATTATTTTCATATCTCTTTTACGTACTTTTCAGATAAATTTAATGAATATGAAAATAATTGTAAATAAAAGTTAGTAATAATTACTGTAAATATGTAAATAAATAAATCATGTGCATGGTAAATACGATTTTTCGTATTTTAACCAACACATTTCAGTGACTAATTACCAATAATATGCCAGTAACAAAAATAATATAATTTTGCTAGCGTTAAATTTTTTTTAATAATTTACTATTCTAAGTAATGAAGCTCAGTGTAATGACTGATAAGGGACAAGTCTCCAGTAAATAGTTTAAAACATCAAGTTAGATGATAAATATTTATAAACAATATTGTACATTTTTGTATATAACTTTCACAGTGATATTGTATAATTGGATGTAAAATATTATTAAAAATGTAGTTTAATTTACAAAAGATATATTTATTAGGTTTTATTATTTAATGTTTAAAAAGAATTTTTAATAATTAAAAAAGTTTTCAATACTTGTATAAAAATTTCATTTAAATTCCGGTAATTTTAAAAAGTATATTTAATAAATTCGTCATACAAATTTAAGTAGCTACTATATATTTACATTATTTAATCAGTATCTACTCATTATTATATAACTGAAATAATATAAACAAAAAGATTAACTAATTTTCCTGCACCAATATTGAATTATTAAAAATAATACTTGTATTTATTGCACATTCTTGTTTTTAAAATTTCATTTATTTTATATTAATATAAACCCGAAAGTATATCTGTCACTTTACCACGTTTTATTGCTGTAGATGACACTGAATTTCTTCGTAATCCTATTTTATCTGTTGATGTTGGATTTCCAGAATATTTTCCAGCATTAAAACGATTTTTTCCTAAACCAAAGGCATCGTGAGGTTTTCCGGAAGAAAGAAAAATACCAGCATCATTAATTAAAAACTTGCTTGGTGACTTTTCATGGTGAAGAGATGAAATCATCGACAAATTATTGTCAGATTTAAAATTGGAAATTTTACCAAAGGTATTTAATTCATTCTGATGACTGCGGTGAGGTCTGTCTATATGATATAGCTCATCGTTTCTTATAATTGATGAGTTGTATGGTCCATTGCAAGATCCATTAAACTTTAAATAATTATCAAACGAATTCCTCGAAGTATTTTTATTTTCTAGTACTCTGACTGGATGTTTTGTCGGTGAATTTTGTTGTTCAGATCGAATTTTATTTGTAACTTTATCATCTAATCTAGAAGTTTTTACAGTTTTTTCTTTTAAAAGTCGAGTATGTTGTGACCAGTGTGATTTTGATCCTCCGATAACGATATTTACTAATGAGTCAAGGCCTTCGTCAATCCTATCTAAAGATTTAGTTAGCTGAGTCATAGGCTCTAAGGCTTCAGGTTGTGATTTTCTTGTGACTACAGGCTCCAGATTATAATCTGTAAAGTAATGAAGTCCACTGTCACTACCTCCTTCATGATAATTTTCTTTCTTAACATACGATACATGATGACATGACTCAGATCTTCGAATTTTTTTCAAATTCTCATTATCGCAAACCTTCCGTCGACTACATTGACTACTATTTCGTGATAAATCATGTAAGCTTGCATTCTCAAAAGAATTCATACTTTCAAATTTTCTTATACGACTCTCGACCTTGTTACTACTAGTATTGTTGGATTTCCTAACATTTACATTAGCATCCTGAGGATTTATATGATCTTGACTAATAGATCTTCGAAGGAATTTTTTTTTTTCAACTTCATTTTTATACCGATTACGCTCATTTGGTTTTCCAACTGGTTCAAATTGACGATAAGCTTCGAAATATTTACAAGGTCCTGAATCAAAGTTCTTACTACCACTTTTATCATAATCCTTACAAATTTTTTTATCTTTCTTTTCTACTTCGTGATCATTATTTAATAAATCTCTTGATGTTACTCCATTTTTGCCTAAATAAAGTTGACCTTCCAAATCGATACACGATTCTTTATCTTTATTATTATATTTTAATCTAGAGGCACTTAACAAAGAATCGCTTCCATCACCTAATGTCTCTTCCTCTGCGTCTTCATCATCATGAGAATTATAAACAGGATGTTGCAGAAATTCATCCGTTCTAGTTGCAATAATAGTTGACAAACAAGGAGGAAATTTTCTTGGTGGTTGTGGATGTATAATTGCTGGCACGATAGCTTCTTCAACATCTGGACCTTGAACGATAATTTTTAAACTACCTCCATCTGTAGATGTCTTCGACACGACATTTGGCAATCTTGTTTCATCTTCATTAATACTAAAATTTTGATCATCTCGTTGTAAACGGTTAACGGGATTTTTTTTCGTGTCCGAGATATTTGGTAGAGAATCTAATTTTAATTTAGCTTTCTCTTGACTTTGAATACTTGATTCTTGACTAAGAGGTAATTTAATAGCAGATCTATCTTTAAAGCTCTCTTTACTTTTTCTATCCTCTTCCTCCGCATCTTTAACGATTATTCTAAGTTCTTCAATGACATCATCAATCGTTGTCTCTTGATCGTTGTCGACTGCTTTACCTTCAATCTGTCTATTTTGATGTAAATCTTCAGGACTGCTGGATCTCTCAGATGAACTAATTCCTTCATCCTCTCCATTAGAAGATAATCGTTGTGTCTCTTGAACGTCTGTTAATGATTTAAATTTTTTTTCTGTGATATTATAATTCATCCTTTTCTCTAGTCTTAATTTCTCCAGTTGATCTTCTAATACCATTATTTTATTTCCAAGCATCACACATGTCTCTTCAGCTTGAGCTAGACGCTTTTGTAAAATGTCTACATCGACACAGTTGGCTGACCACTTTTGAATTTCTTTTTTTAATAAATCCATCAAAGTGTCATCATTTCTACCCTCATCTTCAGTTAGCCAGTCTTGCAAAACTCGAGGCTCAAGTCCAGCTTCACAAGCTTCAGCCTAAAAAATATTAGTATTAAAAAAGTATTCATCTTTATTAAATATTTAAATTATTTAAAAAATCTAATTCAAGTACTTGTATGTAAAGCCTCGTTTGAGTTTTTGGTGCAGATTTTAAGAAAGCATTGAGAAATGAAATTCCAGCAACTCTTAAGGCAATAGCTGCTCTTGGAGCAAGAAGAGCTCCAGCGAGAAATCGAAATCTTCCACCTTCTCCATATCGTAATCTTAATGTTGAAACAGCTTCAGAAACAGCCGCATGACCTCCGGGTGTCTGACATACCTTCGTCAAAAGCTACAAAAAGCTAATTATTTAATGATTTGTATTTAAATTGCAAATCTTTATAATTAATTATTTATACCAATACGATGCAAAAAATTTTGCATAATTCGAGCAATTCCAGAAATACTTGACATTAAAATTAACAGCTGGTCGATTAAAAATACTATTAAAGATATTTATGGAGAATTACTGAAGAACCGTAATCGTAGAAATAACTGGGCGACCAATAAATACTTGTTAAAAGCGGGCCACGAGAAAGGAAGTGAAGATGATACGGTGAAAAACCAGAACTGGTCCCTTAAATTTTATCAAGTACTACAACCTAACGGTTTCCTGCCTAAAGTCATAAAAAACTTTTTTAAGTGTTTCACAATTTAGGATTTGTTTTTTGTTTCATTATTTTTTGAAAATTACATTCACATTCTTCTGAATAATAATTCTTGATTTAATCATTTTTATCATCAATTTAAACAAAAATTAAATAATATCAGTTAGCTTTGATTATTGACAGTTTCATGATCCGAAATTGTAAATAATTTTTTTTTCTATTGTGCAAATAAATAACGGTATGCTAAGATTGACGTTGTATTACATTGGTCGACAGGAAGAGGATCAAGTGTGTATTATACCTGAAGAGCCAGAACCCGAGACCGGTTCAAGCTACTAGTCAGACAGACTGCAAGTGCGAGAAGTCCTGGTTGTGCTTGTGACAAAAGTCGTGGAGCATCAGCACACCTTTCAACGCATGCAGCCAAACACTCAACACAACCGAGCTCATCAAGTGCTGCTCTTCTTGTTCCAATACGAGGTCCAGTTTGTCCTGATGGCGGTGTACTTTGCACCAGTTGTACTCCTCGTAGTGTCTCCAATAGTAATGTTATTCCATCTGCAGGTGCTGAAGCGAATTCTTGGACAAAACTGAAAAAATTCAATAAGATCATTAATAATTAGATTAAAGAAGAATTATTATTTTCATTAGAATCAAAAAACATGCTACTAATATGAATGCAAATAATTTCTATATGGTATGAGTATTTTTTTTTGTCATTATTCATCCTACGACAGGTTCTATAACTGTTTATCCTTTTCCTTTAGTGCGGTATTACACGTCGTTTAATTGCGTTGTTAAGAGCCAACTAACGGCACTGGGAGATGTCACCTTTTCTCGCAGCTTCCTGTCCGATAAGTAGTAGATATTTCTGTTGTTAATCTCTTTAAATCGTTAGAATTCTCTATGTACAATTTAATTTTAATAAACTTCACCATAATGCTTTTTCATTCAATACCTACATAACTTCTATACATTTTTAATTACTTTTTTTATTTTTTCCTGAATCATCAAAGATCTTACATTTTTTTTTACTTGTGATGTTCATATTTTTGATTTGCTATTTTTAAGATTCACATTGATAAGTGGTTATGAATATTCATTAAATTTAATGGTGTAAAAAATATAAAATATATAAATCTTATTATACTAGTGTAATTTATGAAACACTTAAAATTTTTACAAAAACATTTCAAAATATTACATACACTTTTATGCCACAAAATAGGCCTATTTGGAAAGGTATAATTTTTGTAACGTTCGAACATCAAGGGCAGTATAGGGCTCCAATTATCTCCAAAAATATTAGCGATTTGTTACGACCATACGTATATAAATTTACAAATTATATATGTGTGTCAGGTTTTATGCAAAAAAATTTGAAAGCCTCATACATATTATGATTTTGATATTTTTCATGATTTAAATCTGTGAATCAGATATAAAATATAAATCTATGTAATATACATAACATAACAGACATGTAATAAATAACTTCTCTGAATTACAAAATATTTTTATGATAGAAAATTATTATGAAGCATTAAAATTAATATGATAATTTATTCAAAAAAAAAGTAACAAATGTTATGAACATATGTTTTTTTTAGTATATCAATAGCATTCATTTTAATAGAATATTCATAGAAAAGTATAATTGAAAGGTGTAAATTTTTTTCTTATCTTCTGAGAATGTTGGAAAGCCTTTCGTTTTATCTATCAAACGTTTTGGTATCCGGAAACATTGGTTCACTGCACTCATGAGGTTATCAAACCTCCGAGTCTTCTCGTTTATCTGATTGATTTCTCAAGCCTCTGCATTTCCATATATAGAAGAACAGAAACAAGTTATGTAACTCGTTATGGATTTAATCATTCATATAGAGAATGATGAATCAGAGAATTCCTTTCAACTTTTATTCCAATTGAAACAAATTAATAAACCATATATTTCGTAGCTATCTAATTTTACTGAATTACTAATCCAATAATGGGCAAAATTATACATAAAATACATTGATTCAATGATGTTATAAAAATAAAGGTAGATACATTATTCTGTTTTAGTAATCGGGTTGCAAATACTTGAATCGTTATGGGGATAATAGCAAGGAGACACGCTACGTTGCGGTATTTTTAAATTAAAATATAATAATAAAAATATTTAAGTGAGAATATAAATATGAAATTCATAGATGGAAGATGGAAAAAAAATAAAAGAAGTCATGCATGTTATGAAAATCATGAAGGGGAAAGAAGAGAAGGTATTCTCTTCCTTGCCTGGAGAATAAATGAGGCGGTTCCTTGCTCGGTTGCGTTATACTGCATCGTTTGTTATGCGGTCGACGTTAGTGTATTCTTTCCTCCTGCGATGCATGAATACTGGCAATATCTATGTCTTATATATTCAAGTAGCTTGAGCAATCGTATAACTTTTGGTCATTTTTATTCAACAACCCTCCATGTGTCAATGAAAGATAAAAATTTTTTATACTCCAACAAACATGTAAATGACTTTATAATATACATTTAATCATTCATTTTTTTCAGATAAGTATTGAAAGTGATTTCTTTCGAGATTATTGGATCTCTTTGAATCAACCACTTTTATTTTCCAAATATGTTACCGAGTATAAGTCATCCTTGATGGTAATTTTTTGTTTTTTAAGTGTAAAGCCTTTGATGAATTGGTGGATTTGTTTCAAGATGTGAATGTTGCAGTTGAAAAAATACAAACTTGAAATATAGCTCCATAATTTATCCTTGCACAATACATGTTAAACATTTTTGTTCAACTGAATGAAGACCTTTTACAGAGGTCTGGATAAGTCTTGAATAAAAAGGTAATTCTTGTTGGTGAAATTTTCTACAAACTTACTTCATCAGAACAATTCATACTAAAAAAAATATAAATGTCAACCACTTATACACTATGACTATTCATTTTAAAAATACTTATTATTATAAATGATTTCTTTCTTGATACAACTTTAAAAGAAAGTTGATAAATGAATTATTTGATTATTTACCTAGGAAAAGCAAGCCTAAGATCTGCTCGTAATTTGTTAAGCAATTCACTAACAGATGTAAATTGTCTCAAAGTCATTTCTCCACTTCCGGATACATAACCGGAACTTGAACTAGTTGTTGAGGGTAATGTCCCTTGAGAATCATGATTATTTGTTAGTGGACGTCTTCCCCATCTTCGTAAAGCCATAGCATAGTCTTCAGCATTGTAGGTTGGTGGACGGAGACGTTCCTGAAAAAATCAATTAAACATTAAATCAATAATTAAATTATTACAACAAAAAAATAATGAATAATATTTTAATCATTAAAGCTAAAAATAAGAATGATAAAATTTTGGGTGAAAAAAAAGTTGTGTAAAGGTTCAAGTTAAGATGTTAATTGTAGCAAAAGACAACTGTGTTTATCCACATGACGACGACCACTCTATCTCAACATGAATATTTCATAAACCTTCGTCAAGTTACTGTAATTTTCACGATCTCACTATAACGCGGTATTATACAAAGTCCTGGGGAGAGACGGTGATTGCTTGGCGATGAGTCTGCATCCTGATGAATATACAGAGAATATAAAACATCATCCAACGCTACGGTTATTCACCTTAATATAAAATTCCAAATAAAAAAACAAAAATGTATAAAATTATACATTTTTAAAACTTGAGATGAATTAGATGAATTTTCAATAAATATTCCACTATTATTCAACAAAAATAATATTCAGGATTATAGAATTCTTCTAAGAACCTACACTTTGCACAATCTTGATTAAATTACTATAATAGTCATTTAAACGTAATAAACAACACCATATAATATATAAAATACGGAAGAGAAGAATTAACGAGACTATGGTGTGTCTAATTGTGAGGTAGTTTTTATTCAATTTTCACATTAAATAAGAAAAATTGATTAAAGACAAAAACAATATATAATGATAATATTAAGATATATTACTGATGTGAAAATACAGGAAGATGATTAACTCGACGAATTTATCGCCGGAAGTTGATAGTACATGTATGAAGAAAAAGTGTGAATATACATAAAGCACAAAAACTTGTGGTTGAGCAACAACTCTCTGTTGAATCTGCAAAAAAAAAAATATTCTTTTCGCAGAGATGGTGTTGGTGATGGTGGCTGAATAATACTACATCAAAGCATACAAGTTTTATGTGTAAAAGATATCCTGCATGCTAAGCTTATTCAGAGACTCATAAATTGATGGAAAAATATTGACAAAAGAATTTTATTTTTATTAGTTTGTAAACTGCATTGTGAAAAAAAATATGTTGACTTTATGTTGATAATTTTTCCTTGAAAAAAAGTAAGATATATTATTGTGAAATTTATTATTCTTATACTAAAGCCTGAAGCTAAATGTGTGTATTTATTAAAGAAGAGGATAAATAAAATAACAAATGAAAGGTGCAATTTGATGTTGAGTAAAGTGAAAATTATTTTACCATTAAGCAACAGAGTTTACCCTCCAACTATAACTGCGAATTTTACTCTGATATCCAAGCTAACTCTTATTAATATTCTTTACTAAGCTTCCTTTAGATTTATTCGTGGTTAAGCCGACATGGAATTAGTCACATTAATCGACTTGGCTATTCAAGCTAACATCTCGACATTTATCCTCGTTGGTCTAGCTAGTGGAGATGCAGTATTCGTGCAGCAAGAATCATTCTTGGTCTCGTCGGAACATTGCTTCTTCTTTGCTACTTTTTTACCTGTTCTATAAGATACAACACTATTTCTCTATGTTTGCTAACAATAGAATCTAATTAATTATCATGTTTGATCATTTGTTTTTTTGTTTTTCAATAAAATTAAATGTAATTAAAAGACATTTGTCATGTCTGATGATTGATTTTTAAATTTCATATAATAAATAGTTAAAAAAAAAGAAATATCATCCAAAGTAACATAATGATGATAAAAGTAATAAAGAGAAAGAGTGAAGAAAAAAATAAACGTGCACAAACTGTCGACGTGTTGTACGTACACGCCTATACTACCCATGCTACGATAGTCATGTGGTGTTGACTTCAAGAGTCGAGCCAAGATATGCTAATCGAATACTTCCTGTGGGCACCTGGAAGCTTCAAAAGGAAGCAGACATTGGTTATGAGCAGTAATGAAGTTGCAATGATATTTTTAATATTTTATTATCATGTTTAAACATATTTCTCTTGATAATTATTAGTAATAATAGCATAGTTATTTTAGGTATTCATTAAATTATTTTCAAAGAATTTTTAATTTAATCATTTTGAAGAAATTGATATACACCTACATGAGTCAGGTAATAATGAAGATTTTAAAACCGTGAGAATTTCTTAACTGATAATCTTGAATGCATGTGTATTTGATTTATTTAACTGTAAGAGACTACTTTTAATTCGCACGAAGTGTCATCAGAGATATATTTGCACACAAACTTCCTGGGCGGATCAAGTGTCGTTTTTTTTTCTTCATTTTTTGCCGTATTTTTAAATATAATTACCAACATTAAAAATGTCTGAATGAATTACTTTGGTTGACATTTGTCCTCATCAAGTACACTTTCATAAATTTAATGACACTATTTAAAAGTAAATTAGTTAACAATAATATAGAATAGTTAATTAATATAAGTAATAATCTTTTTTTTTTATAATAAATAAATAAATAGTAGAAATAAAATTTTTAAATTACATTTAAATATAAGAGATAAGAGTATGAATAAAAGATGAATTTGATTGTTATGTGTGTCTGTAAGTACTTGAGCAACATCCTAATAATTTTATCACTTACTTTTTCTTGTTGTAATCCCCAAGGTTTCACAGCAAGCATTTCTTCTTCTGCATTTGGTGCCATCTCTGATTCACTGCAAATAAGAAAATAAAATAAATTAATTAAAAGTAAATAAAATGAAAGGAAGCAAGATAGTAATAGATTATTTTCGTGTTAATCAATTAATAGTTGGATATCATTAAAGAGGGCGATACAGATGTAAGTTGTGAAAGAAAATCCGGTTGGTGAAAACCGGAAGAAGGGATGTCTTGTGTGTACATTGACGTATGACTTTTTTAGTGTTTCCACCACTCATAGAATTGAATTCACAGATACATACTCACATACAGTAGGATTTTAAAACGGTAAATCGTTGGTATACAACATCGAGAAGTCGATTACCCTTCATTTATAGTTTTTATTTCGCAGGGAAGAAGATAGAAACAACAGTGAGTGAACGGGTTATTCTAACATGTTGAGGCCACACGGAACGATTCTTAGGACGCGTGATGTTGAGACACGAAGAAATCGGAACTTGGATGAGATTCATGTTGCGTCTGGTCGTCGGTGTATAGTAGAAATAGTGGACACAACGGTCGTATGGCGTGAGGACAGGCGAGGCATTGACCCGCGATGTTAGTCACGCGCACACACTTGCATTCTACATCAGCCTGACACTGCACCACTGTCTGTATAAGACGTAGTCTCGCGAGGGAGATCACGTACTTATACAGACAGCAGCAATCGTCTTCTGTATAGCTGGGTGAAGCCGCGTTCCGCACGTGAATAGTTAATGCGAGATGCGTAAGGGATATACCTATAGCAATTCTCTGTGCCAATCAGCAACAAACCATCGGAATTGGAGACTTAACCAGTACAAGCGATTCAAGGGAAAAAAAATACCATAAGGAGAAGATCTGTTGACTGATAACAAAGATATATAATCATTTGATGCTGATTTAGAAGAACTCAACTACATGAAAAAATGAAAGATCAGTTATAACTTGGAATTTCTATGCATATTTTTACTAAGTATTCAATGGTAAGTTGTTTCAAGAGTCAATACTGGTTTTTTGATGCGGCAAAAAGTACATTTATTTCATCAAAAATCATTATACTTTCAATTATTCTAACACAACTTGCTTTAAACAATTAAAATATACTCAACAATTTCGTGTTTTTTTTTTATCATTATTATTAAATTTATCATTAAAATTGTTTGAACAAAATATATCATATATGGTTAACAATGATTGAACTAGAATTCACTAATAAGTCCGGTTTGGAAAGCATCACTTCCTAGTGACTTACCTGGACTTTATTGGAGTTATTTATTTACTTAAAAGAAACCATGATAAATATTATGGGAAAATGTTGATGAATAATTTCTCCAAGTGGATAGGAAATAAATGATAAAAATAACAGACAAATAAAGGATAAAATAATCCAGCTAGTATAAGCCCTTAAAGGAAAACACCAGGATTTCTTAGAATTAATGTGATGGAAACGGTTCAACTTCCTCTTGGCCACGAGCGCGTAAAAGGAAGAGTATAATACGGATCAGAATAAAGAATGGAAGATAAGTTGCGTATTTATAATGTTTCACGCTTCTGCTAATCAGATTATTATCACATGGCATGAAGTAGCTGTAGAGGAGGGCATCAATAGCAACCACAGCAGAAGCTACAGTGGCGCCTGAAAGATCGTGCAGTCTATCAGGATATAGTACTCACAGCTGGAGAAATATCTATACCTACTGGTTTGGGCTAACCAGGATCTACTAAGAAGTATCAGTAATATATTGATTATGGTCAGCAATTCTTGGGGAATAGAAGCTTACCAAGAGTTGTAAGGGATCAAAGAAAAACTTTAAGGACGAATGGAGCATGTCGAGAAAGAAAGAGAGAGAGAAAACATGGAGAGAATAACAAGAAAATAAAGAAGAAAACGATCAACAAGAGGATAATAAATGTGAGATCGGATTTACTTGATACTCGATTTTATTGCTTTCTACATGACTCTACCAACCAACGATACAGATTATTTGAATATCATACCTTAAATAGAGTCATGAGTAAATTATAAAAATTACTCAAGTACTCGTAGTGAAAATCTGATGAGTAATAATATCCTTGATAACCTCATTATACTTAAAGAATGTAGTTCATGAATGAAAACTATCAAACTTGCTCTATTACATTCTTTATGGCTATATTAAATGCCTATAAGTATACCTTGGGTAGCTTTTCTTCGTTCAAATTGTTATTATTAGTAAGGAAAGTTTGATATATTAAATTAGTTTCAATTGGCTTTTTTTCTTTTTTGATAATATTTTTATCTTGATTTAATTATTTTATTCTTTTTTGAGATAACTTATTAGAAATGATCCATGTTTATAATAATGTTGGAGTATTAAACAAATCCAAAATGTGATTAAATACATTGGAGAAATATTTTTATGAAAAATTATACCATGCTGTTGTAGTAACTGGTTCTGAAATTGCCCTGAAGACAAAATTACCAGATTTTTATGCTGAAGACTTGATAAAAATTGGTCTAAAAAAGAATAAAAATGGTGTTACAAGTTGATTTGATTTTGTTGCATTTCAAAGTAATTTTTACCATACCTCTTGACTTGTCTTCAGTTTACCCAACAACATCATGATGATACTTTTTATCCAAAAAATTTTTTCCACTCTTGATAAATTTATAATAAATGAGAAAATAAATGAAACAACATTCAGAAGATCAGCAGAAGAATTTAAATCATTTTTGCGGTGGGCAATTTTTACTGTTGAGAACCTTCAGAACCAGTTACTGGACAGCACATTATTTTTTCATCAAAGTTCAAAGTCATTTTCAGAGTATTATTTTTTTTTTTCCACTATATAACATTCATATCAAAATGAAGAGAAAAAAAAGGATATTTCAATGAAATTAAGAGAATTATTCATGACTCTCACATATTCTTTGACACGTGAATTTCTTCAATGGTTAATCCACTTCATATCCTGGTGATTTTTCTTTAAATTCTATAGAATTTTATTTATCAGACAGTAAGTAGCAATTATCTTAGATGTTTGTTGTATCCCGTTACGTAGGAATATGAATGATACAATAATTAAATGCAATATGCGCATATGTATACATTAATACAGTTGAAACTTCCGTAATTATCATCAAATTTATATTATAATTAATATTACTTTGTTCACACGCAGAAAGATAGTATATAAATATAAGCGACGGTATCAGTTGTAATAATTGCACACGGATGTATTTTCATTCGTGATTGTCTTACTGCACTCTTGATTAATTCTCTTTCTACTCACTCATTTTTCAACTTATATTCTTTCACTCTCGTGTCTACATCATTCTCTTTTTTCCCTGTCAAATTATATTCACCGTGAATTTTATTCATCAAATTTCATAATAACACCATGCTTCCGTGTAAAGGAATCATTCAAATTTCATTTTATTCACAAAAAAAACCTACAGATTTTTGAATAATTTATTTACAATGTATGTTAAATTACCCTATTCTTGTTGGAAATTATTGATTAGCATTAGAATAGGATCAATAATGAATGAAATATGATGATGGATATGTAAAGATCCGCTAGTCAATTACAAGATCGCGTGTCTTAACGAATCTCACGGTGTATTACAAAATAGCAAACCATATATCTACACTGTTGATCGGGTGCTAATTACTATGTTTATAATACTACTATTTTATCATTTATCGTTAAATTTTCTCATTAAACAAAGGCATAGTGATTATTTTTTTCTCAATAAAAACATGAATAAGTATTTCTCAACATGATCAACTTTAGCATACCAGTTACTTCTATTGTCTGCTAATTTTTTTTTTTCTAATAAAAAAAATAATCTTTTTAATTTGAATGAATATTTTTGAAAAAAATGATTGACATTTTGATCAACACTTGATAGATTGATTGATAGTATTGTTGAGCATGAAATAGTCTTAATCATGATAGTGACATACAAAATTCATGAATTAATAACCTTGGACAGATGTTGATTGTGTGCAATCATATTCCGTTATAAATCGCTAGTTGTAAACCAAGTCTTCTCTTCATCTTGAAGACTCATCTTTGTACCAAGTACCTAACTGTATCTTTTCTGCACGCGTGTGTTGATCGCACGTAATACGAGCAACTTATGCAGGAAGTCACAAGGTAGTCATCCCTTTAAATGATAGAGATAGTGTACTAATGTAAGTAAGAGATGTAGATATAAAGCTTAATGCATAAGTGTAAGAGAAAATATATCATCAAGAGTATATTGCTTTTTTTTGAATAGTTTTAAAATGACTTCTCTCTGGCTGGTATATATTGAGACAAAAAATTCCATTCTCAACAACTACCATAATTATACATTCTATTGAAACTTCAACATAAAAATAATTTAATATTATCATCATTGAACTTGTACTGTTTTTTTTTTAAAGATGATCAAATTACCAAGAATAAGAACAAATAAAATATTATTTCAATTATAAAATATCTTTGTAATGCAACTTTTTATTGTAAAAATAGACACTAAAATCTAAATGAATTATTTCTATTCAATCTTTCTTCATTTAAAGAGAGACATTTATTAAATGAATATAAATAGAATAATTTCTCATATTGTTTTTGAAACTCACAGCCTAGATTCTACTTAAAGATTGAATGTAAAAGTATGACAGTTGTCTTTTAGTAGTAATACACATGAACAAACTAGACTATAAATCAAATTTAGCAGACAAGAAAAAAAAAACAAATTGATTGATGCAATACTTTTCTACGCAACAATTTAATAACAATGAACAGAAAAAAAAAATCACCACAATCTAATTGCAAATGAGAATGTAAATTCAAAGTTGATGGCACAGAAACGAAACTCTGCGAATTTTAAACTTACTTAAAGATACATAGATAGGTATATACAATTGTCGTGCTACGGGAAATGTTGATCAAGCAAACAGATATTAAAGTTTGAATAAGAAAAAAACAATAAGTATCATTGTTAATAATGGTATAATTGAGGTTTCACAACTTGCTCATATCTTAGGAAATGAGCTGTAAAAAAATGACATGAAAATGATTTATTATTGATGTTTTGAAAATTATTTCATTGTAATTTTTTAGGAGTAGGATTTTACTCTAATACTGATGAAAAAAATCTTGCAATCATTAAGATAATTTCTGGAACTTACTCTCTAATAATTAATCAATGAATATATTCATTGTTTCTAGTTATAATATTAACATTAACTCGTGGTGACTTTATCAGTACTCTTTTAAATTTCATCAGCACCTATTGGTACTGAGAATCAGCTAACAGTCACTGAAGTCATTGATAGAATATACATTATTTAGCAGTGATTGTATTAACTATTAATAAATAAAAAATTAAACAAATCAAATAATAATTCATTTCCCAATAAAGGGATATTCATCATCATATTTCATTATTGATCAATAATTATCAATGACTTCTAGCAAGAATAGTCTCATTAAAATGCATCTTTTATGATCTATTATTTGAAATTTTTTTGGAGTTGATTAAAGCTAAAGATGTTCCACTTTTAAATCATTACTAATTAAATAAATAATCTAATGATTAATAATAAATGAGTTAAAGCTATTAAATGATATGGTTTAAATGAATGAGCAAGAGAAGAAATTTTCACTTAATTCCAACAGTCAAGTATCTAATCTGTATATGGATATTTTCTTAAAGCCATAATTCTACAGTTACTGGGATACTTTTACCACAAAATGAATAAATTATACAGCCCATAGGAGTTGAAATAGTACAATATAACGGATTTGGAATGCCAATGTCGGTCGCAGAACTCACATTGCATTGAGAAGTCAGGCAGCTCGTACACACCCTCAATGTGTACCAGAGGCAGTCATTACGCACGTTTACACCCACGCTATTCAAATCCCAGAGATAGACACAATACAACACCAAGCCATGTTATTGCAAAGCTTGCATGATTGATCCATTGCTAATACGTGATTGGGTATCGTATCAGTCTAATAACACTGTAAAACCGATCAAGCATCAAACACGAGTGTACATTTATATATATATATATGTACATGTTGCATTATCTTGTCGGTAGTTATATGTAGTATGGAATATAATGGGGCATTGGTGCTGCTACGTCCGGGATAGTTGATCCTTCCGCTTTACGGGATATTGATCGTTATTGATCATGCCAATAAAATGAAAGTGATGTAGCGAAAATGATGGTATTAAATTACTTTTAGGTGATTTTAAAATTCTTATTTATTTTTCAGCTCTTTTACTCAGTTAATTGTAGAGAAATTACCTTAATAGATGACTCTAGAGTAGATATTTTATTTAAAAATTTAAATGGAATTAATTTAAAAAAGTATTTTTATTTTAAATCAATTCTAAAGTAAAAGTAAGGTTTTAGAGTTCATTAAAAGTTTAAGAAAAGTAATTAGGGTGACAATAATTTAACTTAAAAGTCTAAAAATAATGAAATACACTGAAATGACTATCTTTTGTATAATGAAAAGAGGAACGATTAACGTTGTAAATTCAAATAGAGATAAAAATGTAGGACAAAGTGGACAGTTGTTGTAATTATTTAATTAAAGAAGACTTGTCCCATAAAATGAGAGATAAAAAGATCAAAATGATGAGGGTACTTTATTGAAACTATATAAAACACTAGGATACATAAAAAGTGTCGCGTGATGAAAACATCTCTGCGTGCTGAAGAAACTTATTATCATCTCTATAGCGTCTCTTCGTGTCACGCTCTGAATCTACATCTTGACTGCAAAGATGCTATACAATGTTCTTGTCTTCTTTGGACCCTCGAGACAATAATTTCAAGTTTTTTTTTTTATATTCAATGGTTGTTTTTATGTGTAGAGTACGGACGTGGCTGTATCATTGATCGTTCATGCAAAACGTCGATAGTTTGATCGACTCAGCTGGATGATTTATCTCAAGAAATTACAGATCATTACTCTGATTGATAGCACAAAAGGAAAGAACAAGAAATTTCAATAGTCAAATGAGTTTTTGATTAATGATTGTTAATTACTTGATGTTGTTTCGTTTCACATGAGCGATTCATAAATGAAAAATCTCGACGGGACATAAAGAACAATAAGGTGATGTTGGCTTGTAAAGCAATGAGTGGAATGCAATTTACTACCCGGCCCGAGTAATCATATCTCCATACGTAGTAAGTAAACCTCGACGGGGCATACAATTTTTGCATTAAAGAGGTATTTCTATAATTGACGTAATTACACGAAAGTAACGATGACTCTTGGCGATAACCGTTTTAGTTTGTAGTCTTGTCCAATGTCATAGTCGCTTAGTAAATAATGCACATAAGGGAATTAAATCTAATGTAAAGTGTATGTACATACATTAGATACATTTACCCCGAAAAAATATATACATATATATACATATGTATAACCTCCTTACACTTTTATCTCATTTGTACCAGTTTCTTCCATCTTTTATTTTTATCATATCAATATATATATATGTATGCTGATTTTTATTATTTTCTTCAATTACTTTTACGACTGTTCTCACACTATCACTCCTAATTTATTTATTAATTTGTTATAGAAACTTGGGAATGCTCCTGATTTATTTATACTTTTATATCTTCAATACCTTCGATGGTTTTTTTTATGATTTAATTTATATTAATGTCCTATTCCATAAATATATATGGCAATTTTAAATTTAATTTACATGATGATAACAAATATATGCAAAATTAATCAAAATTTTTATGTACCAATTTAATAAAATAAAACTTATTTTTATTCATCCATTTTTTTTTTTTAATTTCAATAATCTTACTAATTCAATTTAATACTTGCTTTATAGTTATTGAGTTTTTAATTGTAATATTAAATCTTTTAAATAATATTTAATTGTTATAAATACCTAAGAATATGCAGTTAGTGGTCAAATGTTAAAATATCTCCAAAATCATTTCATGTATCACAATGATCTAAACACTCACAATTAGAACTGTAATAACTGATTATAGTTATGTTAGAACCTCGATTAAACACAATTAAGAAAACATTGAAGGGATAACCGCTACCTGAGATAGTTGCGGGATTACTGAGTTCCAATGTAAGCCACCTGCGTACCTGTGCCCTGTAGAAGGATGCGTCATGCGTTTAGTGGAAGGGAGAAGTAACAGATATTCATACGCACGCGCCACATTGTCATAAATGTGCGTGACAATGTTCCCTTTTATTCAGGTATATTTTATTTATTCAAGTATATTATTACTTTTTTAAAAAAATTTTCTCTTTTATTTGTTTAAGAAATAAAAAGTCATTATTTTTAGATTTTTCATTCAAAGTAAATATAAATTATGTAATATAATATAATATAATTTAAATATAAAAAGGAATTAATGTAAATTTATATCTTTATGAAATTAAAATTGATTATAAGGAAAATAATATTTTAAAAAAAGTAATAATAATTTTAAACAAATTTTGTAGAGTAACAAGTATTGTAGACGGAAGTTGAACAAGCTAATTTATTTATTGTCGATAAAGAAGAATTTCTTTGAGTTATGATTTAGAATTGGTAAGAATGAGTTCTACATTACCTATCGAAGATTAAACTGTCCTGTTGGTAATCGCATCCTTTACATCCGCTGCATCTTGATGATTCTGTATCATGATCGGCTTCCTTTGATCTTCTGTTTTCTTTATCTCTACGTACTCCGTTCCATGTACGATTGATAAGATAGAAAAAAAACATGGGTTTACGTGGTTGACAGGGCTGAGATCTTGAATTACCCATTTTAAGTAAACACCTATACTGAACAATCCGTATTAAGTGTAAAAATATAAAAGGTACTGCAATCTTTTTTATAAATGGTTCAGTGAATTTCTTGTAGTAAGCCAGGCATTCTTGATTTACTGGGTCGACTTTGAGTCGTGAAATCTTTTTAATAACAAATGAAATGTTCCACTACACGAGTTCACAATTCATGATTATTCTTTGATGGATGTGCAGTTCCGCAATGAATGCACTATTTTTTTACATTTTAATACAATTTGCTTTATCATGTCACAATATATTTATCTACAACAAATATAATATTTAATCACTAGTACAGTACATTGACTTTGAACAACTATTAAATCAATTAGTCACAATTTTCTTTTTTAACTTTTCATCATAATAAAACTTTCAAAAGAGAATATAATAAAACTAATAAATATTGCCATAAATAAACACTTGCAACACATAAAAAGCAAACTTGATTTATAATAATTTGCAAATCACACTAACATTGCGTGAAAATTTAACACTATCTTCGAGGTGTCTGAAGGAGACTTGGTCAAACAAGTTCTCAATGACTTGGCGACTGACTTGCACTACACGGGGTTGACTGTTGTTGTCCACCTTTCATCTCATTCTGTGTACCTCTCGCCACAAAGATCAACCGTGAACTTGACCCACTGGAATCTAAAAGCGTCCGTTAATCAACCCGAATGCATGTAATTTTTAACCAAGTAGGTTTCTTACTAGTGCTAATTAATAATAGTGTGTTTTTAGCAACTTAAAAAAGAGAAAATAAAAATCAAAAAGTCACCAAGCCACAGAAACACGGATAAAAATAGTTGTAATTGTAGGTAAAGTTATCACGATTCAGGAAACTCACTGCTATTTATTTGTTTCGGGTATACTGCACAGGACGCTCGTAATTTTCTCGCAATGTCGGACTTCATGGAACGAAGCACTCGACAATACTAACCACAAAATTACTCACACTAATCCAGTTGTCACTTTATTTGTGTTCAAGTTATAGAAATGAATTCATCAACACCATTATCAATGTTGATTTTAAAATGTTCTACTTGCGATAACGTGAATATAACCTGAGGCCACTGATGATGAGTCCGAAGTAGACTGTAAGACGATATACACGACACGAGATCGTCTGGAGGAGTGAAGGTGCTGGGTTTCGAGTCTTGAGTGTGCTCGATAACTGAGATGGTTGCACGTGTGCATCGCTCGAGCACCAGGAGTCTTTCTATCTACACACAGGAGCCTTATTATTATTGCTAATATAAAGTGATGGGCAACAGTTGAGACTGGATCAAGAGATTCTACTGTGGGTCGAGTCGTGACCTACGATATGTACTGAATGTTTTGTTTAGGTCGCGTCAAATGCCACGCGACGTACCATACAACTAACCTCTGTAAACAAGCGGTAAATTGCAACAATCGTTGATGCTTTCATTTTTGTCACCACGCTTCAAGGATAAATATCACCGTTACAAATCTTTTTTTTGTTTAATATTGATCTTGATTTGTTTTACAACAGGTATGTACAAATTTATTAACTTGTGCAACCATCTAATCAGTTTTTTCAAGTTTGTAAACATAATTTTACATTAACACTTGAATGATCATGGAATGTACCGGGATCATTGAGGTTGTGAAAAAGATGTAATATGGAAACCATCATTGTAACTGTCTTCTGGCATGTATATACATGATATGCATCGTATACAGATGCCGGAGAAGCAAGTTCCAGTACGCTTGACCTCAGCGGCCATTGGCTTTCATCTTTCCATGCACATGGGTGTGACTGGCTGGAATTACAGGGAGAGATGATGCGGAGGGGTCAGCCAACAAGTCAGGAATAAACACAACTGCTTATCTTCTAACTCTTGTGGGAAAGAAAATCTTCTACAATTTTTGTTGTCTTACGTGGGATATTAATCAGAGTGTAGTACGTAACAACAACTCAGACGTAAGTGGCGTAATTAAGGTAATTACCGAAAAAGTATTGTCATGCGACTTTTACTCTCGCTTTGAGGAAGGAAAGTTTCCCTCACTTGTCTTGTAACTATCCCCTCTACTCGTTAAATTTAAGATCCTTCGCTTGCCAAGTTGAGTAATAGTAATATAATACTCAAGAATTTTATGTCGTCACTTTATGCAATGCTTTAACATCCATAAAAATGCTAAGTTGACACATATTGTTACTGTTGAATAGAATAATATTAACTACCACTGAATTCCAATCGAGAAACACTTAAATAACTCACAATATCTTGTAAACATATTTATGATTAAATCTTTTTTATCAGTCATATTTTACAATATTAAATGGAAACATGATTGATAAATAATAATGACTTAGTGTTTGTTGATAATAGTAATAATGTTATTGGTTTAAATTTACAATTTTACACAATCAATTATTAAACTATTTATTCATTTAAATTATAGGCAATTAATTTTAAGCTGTTATTTAGATGTTTCATAAAATGTCTTATTCCAACATAAATGATAAAATTATTAGAAATCTTAATTTGTTATTAATGATACACTTTAGAGATTAATAGATACAGGTGATAATTACGGGACCAAGTCTGATATCGTGTTACAGTTAGGGTTGCTAGAAAAGCTAGCCATACTAGTCTTCTGGATGGTTGTTCCAGTTTCTCTAGGCGCGAAAGTAACATATCTAACTACGAGACTGCACCTTGCAGTTTGCTCTAGAAGATAGAAGACATGAAAAAACGAAAAACCGTAGAAAACTAGTAGTGATACTTTTTTACTTGTTAAACGGTCGTAGTTACCGCACCTATCTAATATCTTGAACTTTACCGTTATATTATTTCTACGAATGATATCTTTTTGCGGATGTACACTGTTAGTATATGCAACTGCATCTATAATTTCTAACATGCAAAAATTTCATTCAAGTTCCGCCCATTAAAACTGACATATTGATTTGAACTATATGTACAAAGCGTGATTAATTAAGTAGACATCATGACTATTGGTATGTAGTTATGATTGTTAACTGTAAAAGTGTAAATAAATTATCGTATAGTTTCCATAACTTTTAAATAATAGTATTTAACTGGTTTTAAAGTACTGAGGTTATAACATAACACTTAATTACATTACTTACTTTAATAATTTAAGTAAAATAACTGTGCAATAATATTTTTTTATTACGTCAGGTTTGTGAAGATAATTCTATAATATTCTAGTTAAATGATTCAAATGAAATAAATAATGTTTAATAGAATAGATATTAGTATATATTTTATGAATTAATTAAAATGAAATTTAGGTAAATCATTTTTTTAATTTTGTGTACAATTTAAAGTTTTCGATTTTATTTTTATCGATAAAACAGTTGTTCTTGATAGATAAAGTAAATAACTTTTTTATCAATACACAAGATGGCGTTACACTCTTCTTCTCTGTTGTTCACTAACCTACACTAAAGTAAATTGATCACATGTATATTGAGAGATTAGTGTAGTGAAGTTGCCCAACTTTCAGCTGACGCCAGTTGACGACTTATACCGTATCTAAGCGGATTGTTTGTCGTTATTCGTATCTTCCAGTGAATTTCAGGCCAAAATGGCGTCAACCGAGCAGGTTGGATTAAATAAAAATTGGGAATTATCGTTATACGAACTCAATAGAATATCACAAGATGCAATTACGGATAATACAGAGATAGCTGTTAGTCCACGTAGTTTACACAGTGAACTCATGTGTCCAATTTGTTTGGATATGTTAAAAAAAACAATGACAACAAAAGAGTGTCTACATCGTTTTTGTTCTGATTGTATCATTACAGCACTTCGTAGTGGTAATAAGGTAAAGTTTATTTATTTATAAAAATATAAATCAATTTTATCATTATTGTTTATTTATATATTAACTTAAAATCCAATTTTTAATATGTATATTTTCGTATAGGAATGTCCTACATGTCGAAAAAAATTGGTGTCAAAGAGATCACTGAGGCCTGACCCAAATTTTGATCTTTTAATATCAAAGATTTATCCAAGTCGTGATGAGTATGAAGCTCATCAAGAAAGAGTTCTTGCCAAATTAAATAAATCACATTCCCAAGCTGCACTTGTTAATTCAATAACGGAAGGTATTAAACTACAAAGTCAAAACAGGCCACAAAGATCCAGAAAAAATGCTAATGAATCGGAAAACAGTAATAACGCAACAGCTTATAACAACACGTCGAATGCTAGTGCACCAGCTACGCCAAATTCTAGTGGTAATGTCGCTAATCAAAGTGATTCCTCTCAGGGTGCTACTGCGTTAAATAATAATATTAATAATAATAACAATAATAATATTAATAATAATACGGGTGGGACAAATTCGAATTCAATGAATTGTAATAATATATCACAGCCAGCAAATAGTCCAGCAGTTTCCGGTAATATTGAACAATGAAATTTTCTTTTTATTAAAATAAATTACAGATTGGAATGATAATTTTTTAGGGACAACATCAAGGAATTCAACAACACCATCACCGAATCCAGCTAATCAAATTCAAAAACCTCCAAAACGACAAAAAAGTTTACAAAATTCTGAAAATGATTCTTCTAGTGCAGAAGCTGAAACTGGAGGAGGTGATTCGATGGTAGATACTGAAGGTGAAGGGCCAAGTGAGCCTTTAATGCTTAATGAAATAGAATTAGTATTTAAACCTCATCCCACTGAAATGGCTGGTGATAATTCTCTCATCAAAGCTCTAAAAGAAAATAGTATCCGATATATCAAAACCACAGCGAATGCCACTGGTAAGTTAATATTCTTTCATTTATTCTGGACATAAATAATGATTAAAATTTATTTTCGTCATTTCAAAATGATGTAAAAGTTTTGATTACATAGTACAGTCAAATATCTATTATGTGATAATAATTATACTCATTTGAATTATTCGTGTAAATATTATAATAATATAATAGATAAGGAGTCATAATGAAAAATTTTTTTATTTAGTTGATCATCTTAGCAAGTATTTGGCAATGCGGTTGACGCTAGACCTTGACACTGAATTGTCGGAATCAGACAGATTGTTAAACTTCTGCATTTATATAGCACCTTCACCTGGTCAGCTTGTAGTATTAAGTGGTTCACAAACGCTACGCCAAGTAAATGATAAGTATTGGCGAGTTAATAGACCACTGGAAATGTATTATTCATGGAAGAAAACCTAGGGAAGGCCTCGTCAGCCTGTTTCAGACGCAAACTAGTCATAAAATGCGTCTAAATGTATATTTCAAACTCTTGGTAAATTAATTTCATGAAAGATATATAAATACCATCGAAAAATTGGATGAATTTTTTAAATTAACTGACTTGGATAAATCTTCATTTGAATGGATATTTTTTAATAGAATCAATTCGATGGTGCAATTAATTAACATTCATGATTTCTCTTTTTTAATTTTTCTTATATTTAAACTTTATTAAAACAGCAACAATATCCACTTAGATTAATAATGAAATTTTTTTTTGGATTATTGTTAAATGCTGTTCTGTACATAGTGCTTACAAAAATCATATCGTGCTTATTAGAAGTGTATTGCAATAAAAATAATTTGAATTTAAGAAATCAAAGTTATGCAGAATGATACATCCAGGTCCATTGCCGATGAAGTTTTAATTTATGGATGAATATAATAATTCATTGTATTCTAAAATGACAATTTGTTTTTTTTAAAAAAAAGACATAGACTTTATTGTCGTAAAAATTTAATATTGAATGATTGTATGAAATACATAGTTTTACTTGATAATCAAGATTTGGTATGATCAAAAATTCTTTTTTTTATATTTCATAAAATGTTTGACAAATTTTAATAATTTTAATGTATTTTTATGGGGTAAAATTTTTTTCAATTCTTTTTTTTTTTTTTTTTGGAGTTTAAAAATTTCAATAAAATAAAAAAGCAGGAAATGAAGAAATATATTTATATGAATATTTATACATTAAGGATTGAAGGTGTATTTCTTTTATTTTAAAAATTGAAATAAAAAAATTACTGATATGAAATAAATAGTGTTGTAAAAACAAAAATTAATTTATACACCTAAAAAGATTCTATATTAAACAAGAAAGTAAATGAAATAATATATCATTTTTTAACTATTTAATTTATATTATTCCACTATACAGTCTCATTTATTATAATTACTAATGTGATAGTACAGTATTGTCATAATTTGTGAGTTTAAATTATTTATTAATTTAATTCTGTTTCACACTGAGCACATCCTTGAACAAGCCCTGAGAATACTCATAAAACCTATTAAGAATGTACTGGTCTTCGTTTGATGATTGTGCAGTTTCTGTTAGGCTTTCATCTCCACTAGAGATTTTTTCTGATCTTTCAAGAGTTTCAGAATTTTTAATTTCACTTGCAGTATCATCAGTCATTTTTCTGAATTTGAATGAAAAATTAATTCTTCATCCTGACCAGTAATCAATTTACCCTTAAGTGCATTTTCTTTGACACTGACAAGATACCTTCAGATGTGAAAAACAAAAATGTTGACACTTTCATGAATAATAATTCAGAAGATAGCATCATGAATAATATTGTAGACATTTCCAGAGGGAAGATCCTCTGGGGAAAACACTACTAAATAAGATACTTGGGTGACTGTTCAGGAACGTAAAGACAGTCATACACATGTACATCTTCTACATCTTCTCAGGATTTTTGTACCAAAGAGGATATGATGCTTTTAGATCATCTTCCAGTACACGATCATCAGTAGAAGGTAAATCTATCTATTGAACATATATAAATTTATTAATTACTATCATCAAATATTTAAAGTATCTCGTAAAAGTATGCTTCTATTAACTTACGGAAAATTCTGGAGGTTCAACAACTTCATCAAGAAAACTTAATAGTTGACTTGTATAGTAAATACTTCCATTTAATTTCTCTAATCTAATAGTAATGAAAGAATTTGTTTTTCAGGTAATACTTTTTTCGATCTACATTAATATGTCAAATCAATTCGTGTCTTACTTACGAATCATGTGTCTGGTAAATTTAGACCTTGGTACAACGGATGTAGTAAATTGCAATTTATTCGTTGATGTCAACGACGATTTGATGTTTCCCGGATCATCCTGGTGTTGATGAAAATTTCCAAAGTGTACTGCTGCATTTTTTGGACTGTCTACATTCCAAATGTATCGTCCTGAATGGTTTGATAATTTTTTATTACTTTCCATTTTATTATATTACATTAATTCATGTATGTTATTACAACATTGATATATTGATGATATTATTATTTCTATCAACTGTAAATTTAGTAATCAACTGAAACATTGATTAATTAATTTTTACAACAACTTATACATGTTTATTTACTATGTTCATTTATAATGAAATAAATTATTTAAAAATTGTAAAAATAAACAAATAGCGATAGAGAAATTTATGTAAGATTGTTTTACTAATGACATCTATTGAATGCATATGGGAGAAGATTTAAATACTTGGCAAATTAGCACTTAAAATAACCAAGAGTAAACATTCGATGGAAAATAAAAAATGTTAACAGTATATTCGTTGTAAAATATGCACTTGAGAAGCAAAAGCGAGAGTCTTAAGTGTAAGTAGACAGAAGAACATTGCATTTTCTTCTATCGAGTTGCTTCTACACCTTCATTGCTACTACTCACACCAACTACTAAAGTTCATTGCTCCAAAGCCTATGCGTAACCGTAAGACTGTCTTATCACTTCAGTCGTCCCATATGTCTCATACATTAATTTGAAGAAAAATCTATTTTTCATTAGATGCAAAAATTCCAAGAGATTTCTGACTTTTCAGAAAGTCAATAAGATGACAGATGGGAAATTACAAAGAATATTTTTTATATGAATTAGGAAAAAAAGTAGAAATTTGTAGTAAATTTAGATTAAACGTTAATAAAGTAATTAATCAAAAGCTATTTAATTACAAGGTGGTAGAAAAGAAAATCATTCTCATTAAAAAAAAAGTAAAGTATACAATATGTTATTTTAATAATATCTTATCTTTTTTATAATTAATTTATAGAGTACAATATAATTTGAAGAAAAAAACGAAATTTTATTTTACCAATTACTTATCCCAGTCATCTGTTCCTGACATTTAATAATATACATACCTCTGTAAGTGAAATTTACTTGAATACGAAATTCTTGGAGATACTTTTCCTTTTGATTCAAAGATACAGACAATTAGTAATTAAAAGTATTTCTTATCATACATTACCCAGGAATGAAGGAACAGTTTGTGATTTAGATTTGAATTGAAAAGAGTAAAAAGGGACGATATGAATCCTTAAGAAAAAATAAAAAAGGAAATATAGAACCAAATAGGCAAGTTGGGAAATATATAAAAACACCTAGAAATTTTCCTAAAAGGGAAATATAAATTATATACTAAATAATTTTCAATGTACTTCCTCTTATTCTTTTTTTTTTCCTCACCAAGTTCATAATTCATGCTAAAATCACATTTCTCAAAACTCTTGTATCTAAAAATAATATTACCTAACATGAAATATTTTTATAAAAATCATCATCATAAAATATTCATAGAAAGGTCATTTAGGAAAGTGAAAAAAAAAGGTTAATAAAAGATTTTCTTGTAATATAAACATCATAAAAAATCAAGTACGTGAATGAGGCGGGTCATGTTGGTGATGTATTTGATGTTTGTAGAAGTATATGTATCCTGTTAGTCTTTTTTTCAGGACCCATGAGAACCAGAATGATTTTCCGTTAGTTTATTACAGCACGTGCTATCAAATAATGTAATTATATGAATATACATATCGTACATTGATCAAGTTGATTAAATTTATATTGATAGCAAACTAAGATTGAAGTTGAAAATTTTTATTTTAGTTTCCATATAAAGGTGGTAAATATTAAAGTACACATTGCTTGATTCTCAAATAATCACATTTAAAATGGTACTTCGGTTATGTTCGGGAAGGTTCGGTACGATCCAGACATGAGTACTTTAAATCGTCTTGGTGTACCGGCATCAGTCTTTGACGCGCAGTTGACTAAAGTAGACGTATATCATATTTCTCGCAAGGTCATGGTTTCTAATCTGCCAAATTAAAATACCACTTTTTATTTATTTTCAATTCAATCTGACATATTTGTTTTACTCTAACAAGGATCGTCGTTCATAAGTTATGATGTATTTAAGGTAAGTCTCCATCACTAATACATATTGATCAGTGAAATTTTTTGGAGTGCTGATGACTCCAATTAATATTATGTTTCTTAAATCATAAAATAATTATACTTGTTTGTTTAAATAAATAATTGCTTAATTTATTGAATAGTTAAATATGTTTAATTAAATGGCTTTTATCTAAGTGCTTATTTATTCTGTACAGGATTCATTTGAGTTTACAAAATTCGCTGAAAAGATGAAAGATCTGTCGTTGATGTTCACATCTTAACTAGAAATCTAACATAGCAAGTTTTTCTTCTTATTTTGCTCCGAAATATAATCAATACACTGCGGTAAAAAACAAATATATACGTTCAACTTCAAACGTTTAGGATTTTATTATTTTTTTTTCTTATTCACGTGCAATATCGTTTCAGATATGAAATATACCATGGATAAAAAAGCATCATATTGCTTCTTAAAACAACAAAATAAATTTCCGTCCCTTAAAATTGTCAATATTGACCCAAGTACTCACAATAACCTGTCGTTTGTACTTACTTACGCTTGATTGTATTTAGATATATCTTTTTAATATCTGTTTATTGTGATTTCTTTTGTTTTTCATTTTCCAAGAATATTATTTCCAAGGAATTGTTATACCAAAATACTCGGAAAAAATAATGTAGAAATATTAGTAAAAATTCATAACGTTATTTATGGTATCTTCACAACTGGGATAAATAATATGCATAATGAACAGTTTAATTTTTTATATGGTCGATTAAAAATGTAGGTTGGTTAATTCAGTTCAGGAAAAAAATATGATGAATAATGCATCAATACGTAAATGAAGAATTAAAATTAATACACCTCACTAAGGTGATTTAGTTAACAGTATTTTTTTAAATAATCACTTAAATTGATATTTACTTGAGAAAATATTATACTAAAAATAGATTGAAATTGTCTCTAGGGAAATCGATAGATTCCTTTTTCTTTTCTAATTAATGATGGTGAAAAAAGTAGTGTAATGTATGAGAAAGTTTTCATGAATACTAGCAAAAATTTCTCGTTTGTCATCTATCTAAATATCACCATTAGAAAACATGGGATGTTACTTTTCTCATTTTATTATTCAAGTTTTTGTCTTAATATTCTCAATTCTCGTGAAATAGAAGGATAATTAAATACATTTTTACACATCCATTTATTATAATGTTACTTTATTATCATCTAAATTAAAAATATTTCTCTTGTAGATTTGATATCCACATACAGAACAAAAGCACAATTTTGAATAATGTGAGTAAGAAATGCTTAAGATTCTTATCATCTTGCGTATTTCAGTTTAAGGATATTGTCTTACCTCTGGAATGCATATTCGCAGCATGTAGTATGGTTAAATCCACATTAAATTAAATTCTTGATAAAATGAAACTCCAAAATGAATTATAGACCTTTAATACAATAATATTAAATCCACATAGCTATAAATAGAATAACAAATATGTAAAATGAAGAGATATTTATGATAAATGAAAATTAGCAACTCAGATTTAAATAAAATAGTAGATTTTATGCACTTCAAAACTAAAGGGTCGCCCACGCTAATGTATATTTCTCAGCTCCCTATCCTTATTATACATGAAGACTGATGATGTAGTTGTGGTGCGTTAAGAAACCCCATGGTCTCTACATATCTAGACTATAATACACGCATTGTGTGTTGCGTTAATCACAAGCAACCATAACTAAAAGGGCTAGACTCTGTCATGATCAGGCGATTAGTTGAGATGCTTTTTTTACACTCCAATGACTGAGATCAAGTGTGTTTGTCTCTTATTCATTATAAAAGAGCATTTTTCTTTTTATGGATTATAAGGGACATATTGAAAGGAATAACATTTTTACGGATTTTAATTTTCTAAAAGGGATGAAATATGATTAATTTCACGATGTATCATAAAATCATTATCAAGGTTAAGAATTCTTTTAAGAGCAAGCAAGTGAGAACATAATATTTATTACATCATCTTTCTATATTTTAAGTTAATTAAAAGTGAAAGTTTCAAGTATCTAAGTAGTTCAGTTCATTACTTCAATTTATTCTGATGATTTAACAAAGTAAACCTGTGAAAAAAAAGAAACAAATTCTTTCGTTCTCATAAGTTTTTCTTTGTTGATGATGAAGCATAATTTAACTAAATATTTATCGACTTATGTTTTTTACTTGAAACGAAGGAATTTAAACATTTTGTTGGAAGCTTGTCGAATAAAATATTAACTTTGTTTTATGTACATATAATAAAAATCAATAACATTACTAGTAGTCACAGATAATGAGGTTATTCTCATGATTGTAGTGACATAATCGGCAAAGTTCCAAGCGCGGGAAACGGTCATGAATGCACCGTTATGCATAAAGGATCAACATGGGTCAGACGTGAAGAATCGAGAATCTAGGATGCGTTCGGTCAATGATTTGTTCTAACCGTATGCTGCATGATCGTTCACGATGTCATGTATTGGTTGAGAATGGTCTAGAGTACATACAACGGTAATTTGCTCGTTCGAACCCTCCTTGAACACGCCTAGGAGTCGATATAACACAAAATTCCAATACAATTCCAATCAATTCAATTCAATTTTAAGCCAAAAAAACTTCTAGTTCTTGCCTTGAAAAGGAAAAGCAAGTGTGACGACCATGCACTTATCTCCAGCAAAGATTCTCGACGTTTCACTTGAATGAACATTTATAGTGCGGTGTTGATTATTCAACTTAAACTGTTATATCATCAGTATAATAAAATTCCAATTACTTTTGTCTAGTCTTGATAATCATAATATTCAATTGATACTACAAGTAATAAATTATTAACTTAACATGCAAGCATCAAGATTGTGGATGGAATATAAATGTCTAAGGTATAAAAAAAAAATAACTGTGACGAATTGTCGATATGCAAAAATGATCGATATTACCTGTGATATCGCAAATTGACGTGTGATGCATGACCAAATGTAATCGATGATATGGTAAATGATACGTATATCGATCAAAATTTACATCTAATAATAAAGAACAAGAATATAGAAAGCTTGAAAGATCAAAATAAAAATAATATTATTCAAAGAAGTATTTTTCCATCAATTTTTAGCCAATATTCATCTTTGTCAAAGAGCTACATGTACTTCAAAGAAACAATATTCTATGAGTATAAAGCAATTTTGGAGCTTGCCTTCAACTACTTTATCATGGATTTTTTTTTATTTTCACTTATGTCAGATACTTGATAAAAAAAACGTATTCAGTATGTAATTATATTTAATTTATTCGATGAGACAATAAAGAAAGGATCATGTTTTGTATCCATTTACATTTGGAGCTCAAGGTCAAGGGCTTGAATACACACCACATAACAGTTTGAAAAGGCACGCGTGGTCGCCAATATTGAAATGCACGATATATCAAGCGGATGGATATAAAAAGAATCTTTAGAGAAATTTGAGAGAAGCAAATAAAAAATTACAAAGCGGATCTTTAGAACTAACTTGCTTCTAATCCTCCTCTTTATACATCATATTATTTTTTGTTAGTTATTCCATTTTATTTCTACTGTATAAAATATCCTTCTTGATCTTCTTATAAAAGTCAGGCTTTTGTTAAATTCCAAGTTTACTACCAACTTATTTCATGTACTTATAAATTTATCTACTTACATCTGCTTAAGGAATTTTATTAGTAAAAAATAAGTTTACCAACAAAAGTATCATTGATTATTAATTCCGATGGATTATATATCAGTGTGTAGGCGAACAGAGCATCATCATCATCATCACATTAGTTGTTATCATATGAAAGATTTATATTGTTTAGATATGTTAGGTATCTGAATGCATCATTGAGTGTAGATAATACTAAATAAGGTATTGATGTTGTATAGTAAAAATTGAAACAGGTGCAATTTATTGAAAACCTACTGAATGATTATAGAAACACTTGATGTATACGGTATACCATAGCACGATTCCTCTTAAGTAAAGTATAAAAGCCTATAACACGAGCCAATTAGACGATCGGTGTGCGATCGGCATTAATTTTTCTTTAGAAGTAACTGGGGAAGCGTGCAAACACGTTTAAGAATGACAACAAGAGCTACTTACAATTCTACTATAATACGTTCAGGAGACATTCTCTTCCTATTAGGATTAACACGGTCGCCACTTTCCACGCTTCATCCTTTTATTTTTGTCAATCGAACGTGAGAAAGAGAAACACAAGATGCAAGATGTCAATTTAATTCGTTAGTACGATAGATTTTATTTCTTAGAAAACCTTGCCTCTTTTTTACTTCAATTTTTTATTCATTCAATAAAGACAACTCACAAGTCAATTCAATCCTCATTCATTTAATTTTATCACTTGTACATTAAATGATAAATTAATTTACTTGCATGTACATAAGTAATATTATTTTTGCCCTATTCATTACTATTAATGTATCCATCATAATTGGAGTAATAAGAAAAATAATTAAATTACGTTAATTCTATCAAATTGATGAAATAGTTTTGATCTTTGCTCTATCAATTGAATAAATGTATTTATGGGTATATAGAAAAAAAGAAAAAATTGTTTTCAGAATTTTAAAATCAGAAAATCAATAAAACATCTACGTGACCATGGTGGAAACACGCAATTCAGAGTAGACCTTTCTTGGCCTTTTAGTTAGCTTTAGATACATGCGCTTAGACAAGACCAATTGTTGGCCGTATATGTTTGTGCAAACGAATAAACATTGAACTTGAAAACGTCAACGATACCAACAACGATAAATTTACGCCACTGCCAGAGATTCCGTTCGCAGTTGTGATTCCTTGTGCAACTAAAAGCTCTTATAGGATTCCACTCACGTACGATGCCGGCAACGTGCATGCTTCTTCTTTATTTTTTTATCTGTCAAACGTTTGTGTCGTTTATTCCCGACATTTCCCTTACATCCATGCATCTTTCTCAACTATTTTTTATACACTTTTCTTTATGTTATTAAAGACATCAATAAATTTTATTTGTGAAAAATATCACGATTTAAGACACCTTCAATTAATAGGTCAATACTTTTTTTTTCACTCATGCAATTTAATTAATTGAATAAAGTTTTATTTAGAAATATACTTTGAGCTTAGTACTTTAATAACACTAAATGTCAAAAAAAGTCTTTTGATTTGAATTTTTTTTATAATCATACAAAAATATAAAAGTAATTTGTAATAGAGCCTGGTAAAATTAAATGCTTGATAAAAATATAAAGTGGTAAAAAAAATGTTCATAGATTTAACCTGTCAGCTTTATGACTGTTCATGTCCAAGCTTAACTGTTAAACGACAAGTACGATACAATTATTTGAAATGACAAATGATGACGAATAATTGTAAAAAGAATAAAAGCAATAAATGGTCTTTATTATGAAAGTATAATTATAATCAGGTTTCGTTAAAATTACTTATTACATTTTTTTTATATTCCATTCTTTATCTATCTTTATTATAAAATCACAATAAACGATGTCTAAAAAAAAAAAATGTACATTTTTGGTGAATTGATGTGGTTTTATTTGGTACGGTTAGAGAATTGATCGACAGACGAACAATTCTTTTCCTACAGTAAATTCAACTAATATAAGAGGGGATGAAAAAAAGGATAGGCTATAAAATCGATTGCTGGTGAAAGTAGCTGGGTTATTCAATCTACATTAAAACATTCTAGGATGTCTTTAATTTCATACTCGTGTTCATTGATGGTAAAGAAAAAAATGATAAAGAAATAAGACTTGTACATCTTTCCTTTAGTGTTCTAAAACCACATTCTCAAGTTTTTTCTTATTGGAATGGTCATCTATCTGATGAGAATGTCACCTTTCTTGGCGAATTCGACCTCAAGATCCCACGAATTCTACAAATAATCAACTGAACTGGTGTATGATGTTCAAACATCATATACCAGTCATTACAATCGTGATTACATGAACCATATAATTCTTCAAGTTTTTTGCAATTTTCTAATAATTTTGTCATGATAAAAAATGAACAAGTATTCAACAAAGCCACTTATTTTGCGTGAATTTTTATTATTCTTCGCACTAAGTTCTACGCCTCCAGCAATTCACAATCATGCTCATGTGGCGCATGTTTCTACAGTCGGAATATCGTTTGTGAAGAAGGTGAACAAACTCCGAGAATAAACGACCGGCTCTCTGACTCAGTTATCTGTTCAGTGTCTGACTGCAGCTCGAGACACGATTATTTCTTCAGTGATTTTGTTGATTTCAGATGTTCTCGCACTTTGAATATATTTTCTGCTTCAAGTTCATCGAGTTCAATCTTGATGCTCTTGCGTGTAACTTCATTTTTACTTCAGTTGCAATTGAATAACTAAATTATCAATTACTTTTCGTGACTGGTCAATAATACTTTCTATTAACTTTGGAAAATATTGTATTATTGTTTGCACACATTTTATTAAAAAAAAAAAGAAAAAATACCAGAACATTACCTTCGTTGGAGATGTGTAACAAAAAAAAATCACAATTTATTGATTGTTGTAAAATAAATTTTAAATGATTTGAAAACAGAGGTTGTAGTTTTGCTATTTTATTTTTTCATAAGAACACGACTAAGGTATAAACTTACTCGACATATTAATTTATGGATATTGCGTGACGAAGCATTTGCAACCGCGAAATAAGTATTGGTATGAGCGTTTAAATTTATTTACCATTTAACCTGAAAATAAATAGTTTATTTGTCATAAATACAATTACTCCACCAACATTTTTCTCTTCTGTTTCAGACTGTATTCATTCATCACACTATTGGTTGTGTATTACGTTGATAGTACACCTGATGATTCCTTCGAGACAGTTCACACCAGCAATGCTGCAATATTTAATCGCTTGGGATTAACACCTATAGAAATTCCAGAAGGTCATCACAAGAAGCGTGTTGCTGGGCCAGAACCTCCAAGACTCTCAAGTCTTCAATCTCGAATCCATCAACCCTATAGTAGACGTCATGGTCATCGTGACAGCCACGTGTACGTGGTGAAGTTACCAGCGAGTCAACCTTATTACACCGTCACGAAACCGCACAAGTCGATGAGTAAAGATGATAAAATCTCAACAAGGAATGAAGGCAGTAGTGTTGGAGATAGAGGAGTTGTAGCGTCTAATAGTGTGGTACATCAGTCGCCGTCTGTTGGTTTTCAAAGTAATGGTAAACCGGCAAAGATTTATCACTGGAACCTTCCGGTAATGAAAAAAATTACAGAAAAGAAACGCCTACATGCACAATTAAGATTAGAACAAATGAGAAAAGAGTTTAATAATGATCCAAAAATGATTGATAAACAGCAAATTCATCATTTTTATCCATCAAAAAATATTCTCAAAAATAAATATAACAATGATAAGAACAATAATATCAAGCATTTATTAAATACTAATAATGTTTATGCTCACGATGATAAATCTAATGCATTCAAACATGTTAGAAATAATGATAAGTTACTAAATTATCCAGAAAGTCGTGAGGATTTTCGAAGAATCAATTTTATTCCAGATAATTTGAAGAAAGTGAATGATTCTCGAAAGATGTATCGATTAGATTCACCACTTTATAAAATAGAATCTCGTCCAAATAATCATATGCCAAGTTGGACGTTATTTACTGATTTGAATCGTAATAATAATAATAACATGGAAAAAGCCAAAAAACACAAGAAAAAAGCAGCAATGTCCTACTATGCACCTATTAATACTAAGACCGGATCAAATAACATCCATAAGAACTTCCATGGGAACGGGAAGCCAAAGGCTTTTTATGTTATGGAAAAGAGTCGTAAGCCTGCTTACTATCATCCTCTTCTTCCGTAATAATTGAGATGTTGGTTTGAACAAGATAAATTCAAAAATGTATAACTGACAAAGTTATTTAAGATAAAAAAAAAACAGAAATGTTTTTGACAATTATGTACTTTTACTAGGACTGAGAGGAAAGAGACTTACACTCTTTTTTATATAAAAATTGCAGTAAACATAATCAACAATTATTATTTCATGAAATTTTTACTAAAACGCGTTTGCTAATACGTGCAATTTAATAGTTAAATCATGAAGCTCAACCTATAATTAGTGAGATAAAAATTAAAATCTTCCATAAACTTCAATATGCAATTTTATTTATATAGTTGCTATATTTATCATTTTTTACATAACTTATTGAATTATCTATCAATCAGTTCATTATAACTGATGATCACAATTTTTCTTATTATGTAAATTAAATAAGAAATATTAATTCAAGTATCTCAATAGTGAAATGGACATTAAGATTTTATTTTCTTACCGTATAATCTAATATTATATCAGTGAAGTAATTAAATACAATTATATCAGTATCTTATTATTTTATGACTTTTATCCATTAAAGTCAATATGTAAGCTAAAAGATACTAGACTGTACTTTTTAAACAAGATTTATATTATTTTTTTTAAATAATATAATGTGATTAAAACATACATTTTTTACCTTTATATATAACGCATAATATAAAAAATTTTTACTTTGTAAATGTATCATGAATAAAGTTATTTATAATTCTTACATAACTTATTTTATTCTTGATAATGCATGGTGTGTGCATACACACATTGATCTCTGCTCTCTAATTATTTGATTGCGTGATAAAGTTATATTAACAATCTATAGATATATTTGATTAATAATCTTTCAAATTTTTTGACAAGTCAACTTTCTTTAAATTCTTCAAAAATTCATGATAAAAACTGGCCTAACAGTGAAAAAGTTGCTAAATATAAATAACTAGAGTACTGAAAAATTTTAATTAAAATTCGGATGCTTCATTTTATAATATACTTTTAATAAATAATCCAAAATGACAAATGAAAGTAATTGCTAATTAATTAATTATACAAGTAAATATATACAGAAATTATACATTTTAAATATAAAATAAATATTAATTAGTGATTATTTCAAATTAGAAAAAGAATTTTTAATTGATAAACAAGGTAAAATGATTAAATAAAATATCATCTTCAATATTATTAATTGCACTCGTAGACAGAGCAGTGTTTATTATATAATTACTCATCATTAAGGTGTTGAATGAATTACGATAATGACTGTTATTGCATGTTTTCAACATTATAATTAGAATCACCGACTTGATGTGTGTTCTTTATCAAACTTCATTCACTTGGATTATTCTTACTCAATGTAAGCTCAGTCAATCCAAGCACCCATTGTCATTTAATACTCAAGTATTCTTGCAAATAATTTACCTTTAAGTATTTCTTTAGAACTTACATTAGAATTTCATTCAATATTTACATTTAATTATTGATAATAGCGGTCAAATGAAATTCCTATATAAATTCTCATTGTTCTTATTTGGTTCTTCAATAATTATTAATTACTTTATTATTATCATTACATGAAAAATTGTAAAAAAAGTATTCTCTAAGTTATTTCTCACAATAATTGACTTTTTGACATTTCTCTAGTCAATCACTATAACTTATATATAATTAGAAAAATAAATTCATCATCATCATCATCATCATCATTACTTATTATAATAATGATAGTGAGCATAGAATATAAGGCACTATATAAATAGACTATATAATAATATTATATCGCGTTATCAATAAAATAAAGCACCTGAATATGAAAATACATGACTTGCATATGTGTGTGTGTGTTTTACATCTCAAGGTCGTCAGGAATCACACCATATATTTTCACTGAAAAAGACCACCACACGGTCATGGTCACGCATATTCATTAAACTTTCAGCGATAATTTCACTAAGGTTTTTAAAAAGTAACTTGTTTAGATTAATATGTATAAAAAAGTCATTCCTGAAGAAAACTGATAATCAAAATAAAAAAATATCATCACTTAGTCTTGAATAATAATTAATTTTTTCACTTAGATATTTGATGTTGACTTAAAATAGGTCTATCAATAGATATTATTTTCTTGAATATCAGCATATTTGATAGGCTGATGTAGACTTGTTTGTCCATTAGGACTAAGTAAGTAAAGACTGGTGGGTTTCCCATTGAATATATACGGTCCTTTTTTTAGTTTACTTATTGAATTGATTGGCTTCTTGGCCGGTTTATGATTTTTATTTTTATTCCATTGGTATACTGAAGTAGGTTTGCCATTACTTACAAAATCAATTGGTAATCTAATGATAGAATTTGTATGGTGTGAATGAGGTTGATAAGGTTTCAAACTCGATGTTGAAAACTTGGGAGGATTAGAAATATAACCCAGACCTGGTACATAAAAGTATGGTGCTGGTGGTAAACGAACATAAAAAATTTTGCTATCTTGATGATTTTTGCGATTTCCTGGACGTTTTTCTCCTATAAAATTCATGTAATTTTCATTACGTGATACTGAAGGATATTTGTTAGTTGAAGGAATATAAGATTTATTCCAAGAGAAACTTTTATGCCATCGATTTTTGTTCACTTTAGATGTATTTTGAATCTGCATGTCTGAGGATTTTGATGTTGTATTCTCTTGATTCTTATCATCTTTGGTGTTATCTACTTTTTCAGACTCTTCTACATGATTAATATCATTAGAAAAGCTGTCTGGTGAGTATCTGGCAATTACTGAATTGTCGGAGTATGGAGCAGCTTTGATGGATACAAGAAAGAGTGGGATTAAAACCAGTAAATTCATATTGGGAATTCTGAAACATAAAAAAAAATGGTCAAATGAGTACTTTGAAGTATTTTAAGCAAAACATAAACTAATAAAGTATAAATAATATATTTTGTAATAAAAAAATAATTGTGAAGGACGTGAAAATATATGAATGAATAGACTTAATGATCCTTACATATTACACCGGTGATAAAAATTGCTGACTAAAATAAGAAAAGATGTTAAACGTAAAGATAAAGAGCCTCATGTAGCTTAATAACTAGCATTATTGATGGATCGTTTTCAAGAAATTGATCGATCATTATTATTATTGACACGATTACTGTTAACGCTTCAAATAAGTGCGTTTCATTTTTATTTAATCGTCATTTTACCTTTTATTCATTTTAATCCAATAATGAGATTCTAGTTTTTTATCTTTCAACCAGTTCTTGTTGACTAGGATTACTAAATAGGAATGACATTCTATATCCGTGTGTTGTGAAGAGATTTTATTTACTATGTTTTCTTATACATATGACTAATGTTCTTGTCGAGCCGATTTCATGGTGCATCTTATTTTTTTATTTCCATCTACCATGAGAAAGCATTTCAGACTACTGATTGAGTAGTTACTAATATTTTATTTTACAGTCATTTTCTATAAAATCACATACTTATTGTCATTCTTTTTCAACGATAAATGTCCTTTCATGATAAATGGTGAATACATTATTTTAAACCTTTAAAAAGCTCATTCAACTGACATAAAATACCAGCTTGAGTAAAATTTTTTCCTGTTTGAAGTAATTGTTTAATAATACGTTAATAGGACAAGAACAGCAACATTGATAACCACGTCAGTTTTTGTAATTATTTCTTTTGAACAGAATTTATTCCTGTGATATTAATTAATGTAATTTTTTGTTTGCTAAAAACATGGGTCTTTAGAGGTGAGCTCACAGCCATTAGAAGTCCTCTCTGGAGCTTTATAATTATTTCACAAGTAAGTTCTTGTCGATATCCTGTCTTTGAACTTTGAAAATAGTCAGCACGATGGTAACAAGTTTTACTTGTTTATGATTTGATTACTGTTCAGGGTTTTGTATTCTAATTTCTGAATTTGAAATTTTTTCAGAAATATGACACTTTGAGGTTTACTCCAATTTGTATTTTAACCTTCAAAATTTACTCTTCAGCAGTACTGATTATTGCATCTAATTCACCTTTAATTATCAGTACATTAACGTTAGATTATCCTCTATTTATTAATTTAGAGGATCTTCATTAAAATAGTTCGGATGGATTGAGAATGTTCAACTATTACATTGAATACATGCTTCTTGATACTGTACTTTGATTCAATTCAATCATATATTATATCATAAATTTTTATTGATATCATTAAGGTAAGAAAAGATCGTCAGATAATCCAACGTTATTTGATAGAACTTATGAAAATAAAATTGAATTGTCATGTAAAAAAAGAAAGTTTAGATTTATGATAATAAATCTTGTGTCAATTGAGTTGCAATTTTCACAATATGCATTGGAGCGGATATATTTGATCATTCAATTTTTCTCCATCTACCACAAGAAGTCTATGTAAAAAATTTATGAATTCACAATACATTTATCAACGATTCTATTCACAATTTTATTTAATATGAACTTTCGTCTTCGAACAAGTCCAAATAATATTAAATTAAAAAAAAGAATGCTTTTATTTTTATCAGTTCATATTTTCAGTATTATTTCCATATATATGGGAAAATCAAAATAATTATCTGATTGCAGTGGAAAAAATAAATGTTAAAACTACTTTAGCGAATTTTTTAATTGTTCGTTTAGCAAGGATGACTTTTTTCAATTACACATAAATAAGATGATAAATTTCTTTCAATACTTACATCACTCTTTGTGTACGACTGTTGATAAAATGAATCACTACAATCGTTAATTGATGATAAAAGACTTCTAGTAATCTGTTTTAACTACAGAGAACAACGACAAGATGGCTGACAGTGAATGCCGGTTGTTGAACATGAATAATTCATTCCATTCATCGAAAGTAAAGTAGACAATAAATCTGTTGATTGAAAGTAAAATAGATAATTTATGAATGTCATGATTAAATAAATATAAGTTAATTAATAAAATACATTCTCATGAAATAAAGAAAGAATATAATACAACTGTACTTAAAATTAGTGGTGTAAGGTTATAATATTGAATCATGAATAAACAAACATTAATCGGGTTGAAACAAGAAACCATTAATGAATAAGCATAATATAATAGTGTTCGATTAACTAAACAATTGTTCAAGCATAACCAGGAATTTTATAGTAATTATCTTTCAAAACAATAGTGTTAATGTTCTCCGATCAGATTCCATTACGTTCTTCCCACGAAAAGGCTGATTATAATGGAAAACTAAATTTTACAGTTTTTATTTTAATTTAAATCTTTTAATTCGTAAACGATCTGCATGAATTGGTGATATTCATGGATCAAGCAAAAGGGATATTTATTCTAACCGGTAAGTGTAATTCCAAATTGTACAATTCTTCTTCTAGATTTGTAAGTTGTGATTTTTTTTTTGATAGGAAGCTTTCTAAGAGTGCTGGCAAAAATATGAAACAAATCAATTGTGTTTCATTTGTTATTGATGAGTGTGTCTAACAACTTTCATTCTCTATTATTCGTTACTGATTCTTTTCGATAAATTTCAAGGGAATTATTTAAACCCTAGTGCATTTACTCAGTGCAAGACTTCTATTTGTATACGACATTATAAGGAAGTGAAATTCTAACCATCTAAAGCCGTTGTTAAAGTAGAGGCGTGCGAAAATAATGCAGCATATTGCGCGGGAAGTTGCTAGGTAGCTGATTGTATGTATCATGATAGAAGAGAGATTCTCTCATCTTCGCACCTCACAATCCTAAGACGCAACACGATCTTTATGCTATTAATTGGCTGTGTTTGTTGATAATCCACGCGCCACATCGCGATAAATACATCGATTAATTAACGATTTTAAAGTAAAGTATTGTATGCAACTATTATCTTTCTTCCAGCATATTTAACATTCCTTTGAGATAAATTTAAAAAATTATCTCTCAAGTGATTTACTAAAAAAAACTTTATCACCTAAAACATTTTCAATACTTATAAATTACAATGATTATTTTGAAACGGGAAGTGACGTTAGCTGATGAATAATTTTATAATTACGTAATAATACAATTAATTATAATTGCGGAAATATTATCGAATCAAAGGACAAGATCTTTTAGACCGTATAAAGATTCAAAATTTTTCTCAGGTTATGCAACGAAGCGAGGCAGTAGCGCCTTCATTAGTCTTCAAGAATGCATACACTCGCATAGAACTTGGATATTATAATAGAATAGTGTTTATCTCATACATTTTTTATTTATAATATACATATCGACAATGCTTTTATAAAGTCGATTTTTATCACTTCTATAAGCTACTAAATTTTCATTATTCATAAAATAATGGACCCACAATTTTTTTTTTATCAATTTACTCATAGTAATAATAATTAGTATCATATGAGTAGATTTAAATATTTAACCTACAATTAAATTTAATCAATAAATAAATATATAAATTTTTATTGATTATTGATTGATGATAAGTTCATTAATCAAATATCATGTTGATATAGAACTCTGAAGATGGATTATGAACTTAAAATTGTCGAATTATTTTTAATTCATTTTTTTAATTCTGAATTAATGATACTATGGTGAAAAAAAAAATGAAGGATGAGAGGAAATTGGCTTCATCTCAATTTCTCGGATTCTTTACGGTATCTATCTGGATATCTTTAGGTATTGTTGTGTAATGACTGCGTCAAGAATGAGGATAAAACTGGTGTAAAAAGTATTGCGTGGTATGATCTATATAGGAACGAAGTGCGAAGAAAGGAATAATAAAAAAATTGACATGCTTTCTAGCAAGATAATCATCAATATAGAATATGCGATCAAATCATTTTTTTATTTCATTTCTCGCTTCTTTCTTTTTTTTTTATTTGCTCCACCATTCAGCTGGCATCTCGTTTGTAAAGTTGTACAGGTGGAAATTCCAGTCATAATCTCAATATTCTACAACTTTGATCTGACAGGAACGAATTGCATACTTTCGGTTTATGTACTTTCGAATAAAATTTATAATATTATCAGTAGAAAGAACATCAAATTGAAAGGATAAGAAATGGCCTCAATGAGCTTTTAATTACGCGGGAGTTAAATGCAAATTTATTCGAGAACAAAAAAATGGGCGGAAGTTTTTAAAGTCATCAAAAAAACTTTTATGAATTATGTGAATATTCATATAATCAAGTAAGTATGTGTTCAAATTTATTTTACATTATAAAAAAAATCTGTTTTAATATGAGAGGTTGCTTTATAAAAAAAATTTTATTCAAATTATTTCAAGTAAGTATAATATTATGTGAAATTGTTGATAAATGATTTCTTATTGAAAAATCTTTAATTTCAGGTATTAAAAATAAGTGAATTCCTAGATTGTTATGTGGAGTGAAATGTAAGCAAGATATGCGTGTTAAAGGAAGAGTTCAGATCATGGATCACACGTTGAGGAAATGGTATCAATAGTCGTTTGTTAACTTCACTTGGCATTCCACCAGTTAAGCAAGATGGATTCTCGTAACTCCTGGTACATTTAAATTAACCAATAAATAATCGAGTTGGACCTCAGCAATATAAAGCCGATTTCCTATCAACTTGGTTACTGTATTTCGAAGCTGTATTCTGGAGTGTATGAAACACACGATAGTTCCAACGCCTCATGATTCTTCACAGACTAGTAGCTATAAAAGATCAGGTTCAGGTGAGATGTAATGAATGAGAAGGCTAAATCGCTCTATGCTACGGTTCTTGTGATTATTAACAAGTGGTTGAGGGCTCCATTGCCGTCATTTAGTATTTTCTGTCATGCTTGCATTTCTTTTAGAATAATAATTACTTAAGAATGAGGAATTCTCAGCAAATCTATTTTCTATTATAACTATCTTTGGAATTTCTCTGGGGGTTTTATTTATTTTTGCTTTTTTATTCAATATGTTTGATAACTCAAGTGTACTAAGTTATTCACATTGAATGTGTGTTTTACTGTTTCATTTAATCATTTCATTGACAGACTTACTCTTTAATGACCGTCACCTCATCATCAGTGTCGTGTTTAAGTTACTCTGTCACTTAAAGATGTATCCTTCATGGTCAAGTATTTCAAACATCAGAGCTTTTCTTGTTGCTCATTTGTTCATTTATATTTATCATTATTATTGGCATTATTTATTTCAAATCATTTACTTTTTTATCTATCATCAAACTTTAATAGAAATTTTTTATTTTTTTTTTATTTCCATAATTAAATAAGAATAAAATTTCTGAATAAAAATTTAAAAATAAAATTTTATAGAAATAAAAATCTTCATAAATTCGACATTATTCATATTTTGTATCACGGTAAAAAATAATAAAGTAAACCAGTTTATTGACAATTTAAACTGGACTGTAAAAAGGTTAAAAAAACTTGTTGTGGTTTTATGAACAGCACGTGTGAATAGTAATCGTATTTTTTAAATGTACATTAATTAGACATAATTATTAAATTAATTTAGCTTAGATGTAGTAGATAAAACAAAAATATGCTTGACTAATTGAGTAGGAAATATTATTGCTTATATGATTAAATTAATGTCAATGAACGGTAAGAAGTTGATCGAACGTCTACATACGTCTGGAGTGATCAGTCGCGATATTTACGTGAATCCCGGATCATTATACTACATCTACATATGAAAAACCGGCATCAGCGAGTATCCTATCATTACTAGATAGTTTCTAGAACCACGCACCTTCCTGTAGTCCGTTTGTTGTTCTTGATGGCTTCTTCTTAAGTAGTACAAGGACAGGAATTTTGTTCCAAGGTTTTATTACAAAATTTCGCTATTATTTTAATTCATCTATTGTTCTTCCTTCCTTCCTTCCTTCCTCTTCTCTATTTTATGGTAATTATTATTATTATTTTATTATCACTCATTTATTTATTAATTGACTTTATTCAACTTTTTACTTGGCAAAATATTATTAAATTTATTGTTAAAATTATTGTTTTAGGATAGCACTTCACTTTTATTTCTTCATTTATTCAATTGGTTGAATCACTGGAAAAAGTCCTAATGAGTTGTGAAATATTTGAAAAATCACTAAACAATTGTACTGTAATATTTGACTTTGGTTCGTCAACTCCATGAGATACAAAAAAAAAAACTATCAGATAGATCACAAGTTGCTATCAGAATGAAGGCTTTTCTTAAGGATGTCTCGTACTTATGGTAAGTTCCCCACTACCGTGTTACAGTGTGGCGCGGAATCTTGGTTCTTCAGAACTAAAAGAACGTTCAATTGAATCTTGATGGTATCACCTTCACTGGTTACTTTTTATCGATTTTCTTTTCTTTGCCATTGAGAAATTTCTCCTGTGGTCAATTAGCAATTGGATTTATATCAGGTGAAAATGTCATGATGAAGTTGGTATTTAATGATATTCACAAATTCCATAGTTTCACCTGTGAAACCATCTTGTTCTCTCGTCAACGAAGAATTGTCATGTTAGACGAGTACGTGTCATGAATTTCAATTAAAAATCATTAACATAGTATGGGTCAAATAAATTAACTCTATGTTGTAATTTAATGCATGCGGTACAAATAAACAGTTAGTTAAACTTTGGCAAATTTATATTTTAAAACACTCTTCTAATTAAATTAAATTTTTTGTACCAAAAAAAAAAGGTTTAACAGTGTGTTGATTATTCTTAGAATTAATAAATAAAATATTTTACTGAGACATTAAAAAAAAAAGAATTAGCATTGTTTGATGTTAATTATACATAATCAAAATTGATTAAAAAAAAGATATTTTTAAGAGAGATATTTTAGAAGAATAAGAATTTAAAATATTTTAGAAAAAAAAGCATTTTCTTGATATCTCTATTAACTGCTGTAGTTTCTCATGAATAAAGAGTGAGATAATTTTAAAAACAAGTTTTTACTTTATTAATTAATAATGTAATAATGTTAATTAGTAAAATTTTTAATTTATTTAATGATTCGAATAAAATTTTTCTAACCTAGTTGATCGAACCATTTTGCTCTCGTCAATGAGTTTATACCACGAACATTACATTCAATTTATTCTAAAAGGAAATCCAAAAGTTATGATTACTTCCTAATTTCCACTCTGATATGATGTTCTAATGTATAATTATCTAGAAAAATAACGTTAGGTATGGTCTCGGCGGTACGCACGTTAAGTGACAGTTATTATAGACTTGAAGCTTTTAAAGAGTAACATAAATATAAATACTATTTTTTTCTCATTGCCTTTCGCTCTTTACCCAAAAACCCGTTACTGACTTCCAGATTTCCTTTAATAGAACACTAGGCAATTAACGTTTCTCAGTCCAACTTGACTTGTCAGCACAAATAGTATCAATAATGTACTTTGTATCGATTAGAAATCTTTTAAATTGTTTTAATGTCCTCATGGAGATAACATTAACTATAAATTCATTAGAATCAATAAAAAATACATTTTTTTTTCTTCATATTTTTATGCCTTATCACTATGATCAATATACTGTTGAATTAACTGTAAAAGTGCAACATGTGTGGAATAATTATTCCAATTGTTATACTATTCATTCATTTACTTTTTCTTTTGTTTACATTACCATTTATAATTATTCATTTTTAATAATGCTAATTATATCGTCAATAAAAATTTATTACTTTTTTGTAGAAATTGAAAATACAATTATTATTTACTTTTTGCTTAAAGTTATTTAAAAAATTTTTCTTAAAATATTTTTTTTTATTATGTTCCTACTGACAATAATGTTCATTACTTGTATCAAGAAGTGGTTTCCTAACTATTATTAATGAAAATTCTTTTATATTTATAAAGATAAATCTAGGTATTGACAATTAGAGATCACCAACGTTTTCCATATTGTGATAGTCAAACATCAAAAGGTCAAGTATTTTAGAACCCATGATAGCTCAGCTATTATAATAATAGTTACACTTCATCAAAATGTACTTTCTTCTATCCAATTAGGTATATTTATCTACCTATTCTTCAATAAATATTCCGTTTTCTAGTTAATAATTAACTAGTGACGTTGAATCGAATTGAACTCATTTTCAGTAAATTTATTTGTTTTCTTTATTTAAATAGAAGAAAAAAAACGTTCTAGTAAAAGTATTGAAAAACATATCACGTGTGCTCATTTGCAATCTCAAAATCTCCAAGACTTGGACAATGTAACTGTAAAGCCATTACATTTCGAGCAATCTAATTTGTAGTAGACGGTTATCAACGTGGGAAAGATGATTTCATTATCTCTAGTTGATCAAATTCTAATTACAAATTCTTAGATAAGTAGAGAGAGAGAAAAAAAAATTTCTCTTAGTTAATTATTAGTGTATCTGAAACAAAAAAAAAACAAACATGTAGAGATATGTGTTTGATAATCTTAAGAGTTGATGATCAATCAGTGAGCAATGACAATGCGAGCTTTCAATGTGTATCTAAGCATTACCGCTAACTAAAATTCAATAATCAATACCTGAATACCGATATTGTTATATACAACTGCTTGTCATCGACCTGCTTTTACTTTTGAAGCATGACTGATTGAAAAATTGATCATTTCACTTGTCTGATCATTTTAATCTTCATGCCCATTGCAGAGATTAATTATTAATATCTATTGAACTGCAAATTTTGGTTATAAAACCAGTGTAAATAATTATCATTATTTCAAATTATTAAATGAACATGAACATGAATAATGAAATGATAAAAAAAAAGGGAATACCAGTCACACGTTATAAATATCGATATTTAATGGGGTCATGAAGGAATAAAAAAGATGAACATCCAATTATTTCATCACAATCAATGCTCAAAAAGGAAACTATACACTAGATCTGTTGAGTAACTATAAAAATAGTGTTTCAATGTCCTTCAATGGTTCAAGACTCTCGTTACAATATTACACAACAATATTTGATCAGCTAATATTTGCAAACTCAAAGAATCTGCTTTAAAAAATCGTGAGTAAAGAAATGAAAAAAAAAAATTCAGAAAAACCTTGAACTCAAAAAAGAATAGCAATTTAAGAACAATATTCAGTCTGTCAATAATGAAAACTCTTTCACAAGTTGAAAATAAATTTACTTAGCTGAAGTTATTGCTATTTGAATTTAATCAATAAACTGTTTAATGATTAATTAATTAAGATCAATGATCTTAATTTTTTGTAAATAAAATTACTAATATTTATTCTAAAGAAACATTTCTCATAAAATACATTTTTTTTTTATTTTAGTTATAAACTCAAAACTGGTTTAATTTGCAAATTGTTTTATGGCCACCATAAGAATAAAAACTGTTGCTAAATCAAATCTTCAATTTATTTGCCATAACACAATACACATTTTTTTTTTCTCGTGTATCTTTAATATAAAAATAATCATTTGTTACGATCTTAATGATTTTATTAGTGAAAGATTTAACTCAACTCATCTTATTTTCTGCACTAATAATTAATAAGTTATTAAAAGTATCTACAAATAATAATTCGCATGTAGAATAAATAAAAGCCAAGTCATCATCTGATCATTCACAAGGATGATGAGGAGAGGCATTTAACGTAAAAGAAATCGAGCTAATTAACCCTTACAACGTAAATGAGAATCTATACACAAGAAATAACACTAGAGTATATTACTTACATACCTAAAACTCCGTCCCATTTTTCTGTTGGTTATAATCAAGGACATTGCTAGTCTTGTAATGAAAAAAAGTAACAACATAAAAAGTACCAGAAGAAGGCGTTATAATATTGATTAATAGCTTGTTTCTTATTTATAGTTAGCACCCTCTGGGCGTCTCCCAATAATCTATCCACAGATGGAATTCACGTGTGACGAATTTCATGATCATCAACGCGTATAAGAAGTATCTGAAACAATTTAACACTCATTAAATGACTTTTTATATACTCGGCTCTTAAAAGATAAGTGTCAAATAAATTTGAAAATAAAAAAAAAACTAATTCACATAATCATTATTCATAAGTATCTTCCATTTGGGGTTTGAAATTTTTTCATTATTGATAATATATTTCTATAATAATCTTCGATAATGTAAAACTTTTAACCGCAAACAAAGTAGGTACAAGGCGTATTATTTTTATGAGAATATGTTGAGTAGTATAGTAAGATTACACTACTCGTTGCGGTTTTACATTAAGTGGATACATTTAAATTCTACTCAGTCATAAATATACTATATTGCACGCTCTGTTTTATAAAGCAATAGCAAAGTAATTAACAAAGTTATAATAACATTCAGATACTACACATTTGTTCAGTATGTTTGATTTCGGAATTATCTTAATTACAAGACAATAGACATTTTGAACATATTTATTAATAAAAAATAATTTATTCACCTACACCAGTATTGTTTTTATTCTGTTTTAATTATATATAGAATAGAAAATTACTTTAGATTAGTTCAGGAAACCAGTGAATATTGTACAAAAAGATCGTTTACTTCATGTATGTAATGAATGAATGAAAAAAAAAAATGATATTCATCTTGTGGATCAGATTTCTTTGTACATATTTATTCGTGTTGTAATGATGATTAATTCATAGCATTAAAATTCGGTAAAGGATGATTTTATCAAAACGTATCTCATGAAATCTATGTAATATGTTATTATCATTTTGTTTTCAAATGTTTTAATTATTTATAAAAAAATATAGATTTATATCAATATTAATCATCTTTTGTGATTATTAGGTAAAAATTATGCCAGAACTATAAATCATTTTTCAAATTAACACTATTTAAATTTTTTTTTCAAATATCTTCATGGAAAATAGTATTATTCGGTTTACCCCTTTTTTTGTTTTTAAAAAATTTGTTTTTTTATTTAACAGTTGATATAAACAATTTCTGCATTTATCATACGCAGATATGTCCTATGTGGTAAAGAATACTACTTTACCATCATTAATAAAAATATTTAATCGCATGTCGGTAAACAAAAAATCTTCTTAATAAAATAAATTGCTTCATTTAAAGACATCTAATTAACAATAATTAATTAATATAATAATTCTAGTGAATTAAAATGATCGTAAATCTAATTTTTGAAATAAAAATTGTTTTATTTCGGTGTTATGATTTAATTTTAATGATTAATTATTGTTAATTTTTATGTATTGATTATAATTAAGATAAATATATATTTTAAATGATTTAAAAATAAATTTACGGTGAACATAAGCTTGAGTAAAATATATACGGCTATCTCGTAATAATTCTTTGAAATGCGGTCTGTCCCATACCGGGATATGAATTCAATTCCCCGAAGACTCAAGGCAAACTCAAAAGGGATGGGCATAGCTTGCCGTGTAAATCTCATCTGTTCTTTTTAGTTGACGAAGGGTTTCCATGCACACAAACCGAAGCTGTGTTCTTTATTACTATACTACGAGATTCCTGCAAAATTCATAGAAAGTCAAAGTAAATTTTGTCTTTAACTTCACTCTGACATACAAAAATACACAATAAATCCTTACGACAATTCATCTTAAAATCATAATTAGAAAGTTATTAATGGTATGTCATTTTTTACCTTTTTTTATGTCTCCTTAATTATGACCTTTTTCTACAAACTCATGTTAACAGAGTCTTTATTCAATTATCTTATTCATTTATACTAATTTATTTATTACACATAAAATTACATAACTATACGTACTGACAAAGAGTGATTCAACAAATTCTTATCAGTAGACATTTAAATGAAATAATCAATAATCAATTTAAGCTCCAATACGCAAAAATAGTTTAACACTTATTTTTAAATACTTCCAAAAAATGCTGCACTAAACTTATAACCTGAAAAGCATCTAGCATGAGATAATAAAAAACACAAAGAACCATAAAGATAAAAAAAATACATTTCTTGGAAAAGAGTATACTTAATGTATTTTTAAATATTTTACGTAGGTCGAAGTGAAAATTCGTCACGACGTCAAAGCTCTATTTATCAGACCAATTGACGTTGTGAATATTTTGATGATGATGATTAATTTAATCATTTGATTTTTACACATTTTCGGTAAATTAACCTCTCAATAATCTTCATTTAATACCAAATAAAAGCTAGAATAAAAAATATGTAATAAAACAATAATTATCTATTTTTATTAAACACTTTATTGAGATTCTTTAGTTTTAAAAATAAACTGGCGCCTCTCGTTATAAACTCGATCAACAATGGCATTCTGGCAAGTTTTATCAAAGTCTATCCGTATTATATAGGTACTTTATTAATTCTGAGAAAGTGTTGTCTACTATAATTCATTTAATCCAAGCATTTACTAAATTTTATTTTCTAATAATTGATCACAAGGTAATTTGCGTCTTTAAATGTGTATGTAGTAGTAAAAGTTTGCGTAATAAATGATTATCACAATTATTTTCAATGTAATAAAGTAAGTAGACAAATTAAAAATAACTTGACACAAATTCTCAGAAGATCCTTACTGAAAGATTTTAAATGAATCTAAAAAGATCCATCAATGTCACGCGTTCGTTTTTTTTAGTCGATTCTTTTTCTTCATAAAATCACTTTAAAACACACACACATGAAGGACACTCTTGTGAACTCGTTAACCTACATTATAGATAGCTCATTGATCAACTAGTTCTAGGAGTATAATAGATAATAACATACAGCTAAGATAAAACAAAGATATTTCATTTTTATTTTATCACATTCAGCTTCGATGAAGTGAAGATCAAAGAAACAGATTATCTTTTCCAGTCCCCAGGGGCAATCGATGCTATTTTCTATAGAATATGTTATTGAATTATTTACGTCATCTGAGTTCGAGGAATATGGATAGTACAACTGATATGTTGACAATGGGACTCGTGGAAAAGTTTTATATCGATTAGAGTTGCTCATCGTGCTAGAGGGCAATCGAGGGTTAAATCCCTAGAATTATATATACATACAAACTTTGATTGAAAGATTCGTCGATAATGAAAAACTATATGCATTTCATATTACTGGCAATATCATTTCTTATATTAACATTTATTATATAGTAGAAACTTCCGTGAAATATTACTTGTCATGAAGTTTGATTGATGGATATCAACATTTATTATTAATAGAATAAATATTTATCATTTCCAGTGTACTACTCCACCCCAGCTCCCTCTTTCGAACTCCAAGAAAAAGTAAAAATATTTTTAATTGATGGACAGTGATGTGGAAAAATGTGGAGTTGTTTTTCATCACTGACTGAAAATAAAAATTTTAAGAGACTTCTAATAACAAAAAATAAAAAAATCCATTTATATATGTATTTTAATTGATTTATAAATAAATATGATTGGAGTAAATTTAATTGTTATTTCAGAAGATAATTAAATAGATCTCACAATGATATATATTTATTGCATCGTTTATGCACTCCAGATTAATGATCTTTTACGCAAGGATTTAATTGTATTGGTTGTTTACGTATGTATGTATCTACGAAAGTCATAGATAAGGAAAGAAATGACGCCACGCGCTCTCATACAGAAGCATTTATACTCAGAGACTGTTGTCTTCTGAGACTGAATTAACCTGCGTGTCGGTAAGCACTTCTTAGAAGTTACAGAGATCGCTTCGAAATAGTCAGAGTCCTCACTGTCAACAATTCGTAGAAAATCACGTCTATGAGGCTGATGACTGTGCAATCTCTCTTAAATATTTTCACTCTGTCCTTCTAATTTTTTGTTCCCTCACTCTTTGCTAAGATTTTTTTTTTTACTACATTTTGCTTATAAATATGCTCACGCGATATTATTCCCGACATAAAGTGGTATTTATAATCTAAATTATATTATTTTGTATTTGTATATCACGTATAGTAGTAGTGATGTTGAAATTGAAATACTAACCTTGTGACCCTGTGAAGGTTTCTACTGAAAAATTAAACGACCACGCAAAGACATTGAATATATAATAATCTCCAACATATTATAAATATATGATTTATACACCTTAACATGAAACAAACTTTTTTAAATAATTAATTGACATAGAAAAAAAATGATGATAAAATGATTCAAATTTTATAGATACAAGTTGCTGAAGTGTTGTTGGATATTAATTAAATGCAGACATGAATTATTTCATTATGTCAAAATTAAATTGCCAAGTAGCTCAAGCAAAATCACGCGCCAAAAACGCGGTCGTGGACGCAATCAAATACATGGAAATATTAAAATAGAAATTTGATAAAATTAAAATATTGCAGTTATTTATAATGTAAACATTATAATAATATAAAAACAATCATATCATATTGACGTCATATTTATTGTTATTCTATCTCAATGATGATTCAACAGATCATTCATAATTAAATTAATTAAAAAATATTAAATGACGTACAGAGGAAATAATTATTTTTACATTGTTACATATATAAATTGATTAGTCAATCAATTGATGGAACGTAATCGAATTTGACGTCGGTAAGAATCACGCGTTCCTAGAAAATATAATACCAACATTACTGAATTCAATAACAAACTGCGTATTTCAGTTGGTGGTCCTTCGTCTAATTAAAATCTCCTGCAGTGAACAAAAAAGTAATTGCAACAGTTCGAGGAAGTTGAGAAAAAAAAATACAAGATTTAATTATCTTTATTATTTTACTCCAAAATGATAAATTAAGTAAAAAGAGATTTGATGATTTTTAAAATCTCTATTATAACTGACAATCGCAATTTTTGTAATTTTATTTTTCTAATCGATATTGAATTATAAAAATGACGGGTTTTTGAAAGCATTCTCCCAATCTTTCTTAAGTTTTACTAGGAATCAATATAATTGCTACCAAGAGCAAACAAAATTCAAAGGAAGTAAAAAGAAGAAAGAATCAAATTAACCTAACCACAACTTCCGTACATATGATCAATACACGACTTGTCAAGTTTTGAAATGCGAATATATTTACAGCAATCAGAGATTGGAGTATTTGAATAATATTCTAGGCACGTTATGACATTCATAATTTTGTTATTAATGTATATTATTATATTTACAGGCACATTTGTTTATGGACAATATGGGTATAATCTGGTAAATAATAAAGAACAGGAATGAGACGCACTGATGGCGAAATCCGGTCAAAGAAGGCGTGGTTGTTTCGTGAAACGTTTCGTCGGAATGGACGATATCGGTATTCAACAACAACCCGTTCTTCGGGCACCGTAAACAGGAAAAACGAGGCACTGAGTCATGGATATATACCACGTTGTATACACTGTCAGACCACTTTGTGTTGGGTTCCAGAAAGTCGTTACTGATAGCAACTTTAACAAGTTTTAGTGAACTATATCTTGTTGAAAAGAGATATCAGGATTCAGAAGAAGAAAATAAAAAAGGTATTGTCATTATTCAATGTATTTATATGTGTGATATTGTATTATCAGAAATACGATTCAATTTTCATCTATATGATAATTCGTCCATATATACCTTCATCTTGGAGGTGGTAATTCGACCAATGTACTTCGACGAATTTGGTATAGACTTTTATTTGAATCCGGATGACCTACCGATACAAGCATGAGCATGTCTTAAATTCCAACACGCGCACGTTGATGTTAGATCGTCATCGAGAGATCGCCAATCCCTTTTTGTCTGTGCGATCCCTTTCTACTTCTCTCATCATCTCTTATTCCCACTTGCTTGCATGACTCAATCGACTCGTCTAGGGAACCTAAGACCCCTGATTCCAGGTAACACACCCGCTGAATCTTCACGTAGCTATTTATGGATGATGTTCTTAGAAATTCATGGTACTCTCTTTTCTTTGCTCTTTAACATTTTAGATGACAGCAATACGGAATTACATTGCAGATGTGAGTAAGTCCATTACATTAGATGCAGATGTAATTTATTTACGATTCTTACATCATATCAATTATCTAATTTTATTCATCTCTTATATTATGAGAGATAATGAGTATTGAGTTATCAACATCATCCAGCTTTTCTATTTTTACTTTTATTTATTTATTCTATTTTAAATGAATGCTTTATTTTATTTTTTTTTTTAATCACCATTTCAAGTATGAATTAAAAATAAAAATTCTCATTTAAATTTCATATTTTTCAGGTATCATGATACAACCACTCATATGTAGAACAGGAAATGAAGAATTAATTATATATTTGGTGAGTATAGATAGATAATATGGTTGACTTTATTTTGTGGTTTTCGTACAATGGTCATAAAACAGGATGTGCCATCAATTGGAATCGCAGAAAAGCCGAAGACCGCCTACAATTTCCTTGTAAACGATCACATCGGTCTCTCAAGTTCTCGCGATTGCAGGAGCACGTTTTATTCTTACCGATTAAGTTTCTTCTTGAATTGGAGACATTCAGAATCCTAATTTCATCATGATTACAGGTACAATAATTTTCTAAATAAATATCATCTTCCGAATACACAACATAATAAAATCATCAGGTAGAATATTAATGGAGTAATATTATCACGTATTAATGGAAAGTTTAAAAAAATATATTCACGCAAAAACTATTATAGCAAATGTGATGTAATGAAGTTAAACTTCTTTGTAATTATTATTTCTAGATTATTTTAAATGATTGTTATAATTAGAGATTATTATCGAGTAGTCATTACTTAGAATTTATTCAACTCTACATAATATAGTGATAATGATCATGTATTTCTACTGATCTGATAATTTTACAAGGTTACATCACTTCATGTACAATGATCTTGTCATTATATTATCTTTTGTTCAATTATTTTTTGTTTTCTAAATAAATATAATCAATAGACATAATGATTATATTGGAGAAAAAACAATAATTGGTTGAGTGTACATGAACAGATATGAGTCAGTATTACCAATTATTTGTTTGAATACAGATTACACAGAAGTTTTATTTTTTCTTATTAAAAATGATTTTTTAGGAAGTTCAGCTTTTGGAAATAACTTAGTTGTCATAAATAATTATCTCAAAATAAATATTTCTTTAAACATAATGTGAAACTTTCTGATTGTTTGAGTAATAAATATAAAATTTTAGTCAAGTCATTTTATAATTTTTTCGAAAATAAAATTAATTATAATTATTTAATGTTCATTAAAAGTAAATAGAATTTTATTTGATCAGTAGCATTTTTTTTTAAATTAAAACTAAAATTCTTTTAAAATTAATATATAAAAAATGTCAGTATATCTATAAGTACTAGTATAATTTATTATCAGTGATTTCAAGTAATAAAGAAAAAAAAAATTAATGTCAATAAAAATTGGCAAATATTTGAATGAAATTATCTATGTAGATAAAGCGATTTATAATGAACTTATTTTTCACGTATGAAATGTAATAATTTTATAAGAGTTCTCTACAATAATAGCTAAATTAAATACTATACTGGACGTCTTAATCTAGCGGGTGCAGATGTCCAATTCTGGGAATGAAGTTTTCCAGGTATATGATGCTCAAGGGAGTTTAATTTAAGAGAAATGTCGAATTAAATGTAGCCAGCTGTGTACCACCACTGTTAACATCACGGTGTAAATGAAGAAAAAAAGAAATAGTGTACAAGGGAGGGGGAGAGAAGAAATAATGAAAAAAATGGCAGATGGTTAGTTGAAATTAGTTTTTGATGCACTCAACGTATACGGGCTGATTACTTGCTCTGAGTAATTAGTCTGGTTTGCCATCAGACATTTTATCACATCCTTTTCTGTGTATGCTCTAACCTGTCGAGCCCTCCGGCATTTTCGAGAATTCCACCTATATATTAATCATATTTATTTTTGGCCACAATTCATTTTTTTCTCTTGTTTCTCGTTAGAGTGTGATTTATTTGACAGTCTTTTTGTTGTTTAATTTAAGCAGTTATTTATTACCAATATGCGTAGGCCATATAAAGATGTCTTAGTGTTTGCATGTATGTTAGAGTTATATAAAAGTGTACGAGAAATAACTATCCTTCTTCTCCACAGTGGAGCAGATGTGGGCCTGATTTGAATAAAGTCTTCCCTCCGGTTTTCAACTTCCTAGAAATCTCTCAATGTATGTCTCGACAGATGCGTTGGTAGGGGCCTTACAATGCTCCTCTCAAAAGTGGTTTCTTCTCCTTTTCTTCTCTTATTTTTCCTTCACTCTATCGAGACGTTTCTGATGGACTAACTCCACGCATTTTTTTATCTATTCACATGCTAAATTACCTTTCTTTTGTTTATCCAGCTTCTTAGAATGCGTGATGATATGACTGAAGATATGTAGAGTTGAATAAATTTCTTAAAAAAAAAAAAACGAATTTCTTAGATTTCAAATACTGATTATTAATGTTATAATGACTTTGATTTTTTTACATATTTTATAATAGACATTAGTCATTTTTCTAAGGTAATCATGTGACACTCAAGTATCCACATTTTATATACTATTTTATTACCTGAGATTAAAAACAGGATAACAAAAAAGATTAAATAATAAATATAAAAAATAAAAAATAAAATAATTGATGAAAATAAATTGCAATGAAATGAAAAACATAATAATTATAAATAGAACGGAAATCTGATAATTATTCTATATAATACGTGGATTAATGAAAACTTCTATTGTTTGTAAATTCAGTAGAAAATTGTTACATCATTTTTCCCACAATAATGACAATCTTGATGTTTATATAATTATGTAATTTCTAGTTGACAAGACATGAATTCTTCTCTTCCGTATATAATCATTTTTTTCTTCATCTAAATTAAATATATAACGAATATATTTTGATGTTTTTAGCCTGTGCAACAAGCAATGAAATTTATATTTATTTATATATTAAATATAATGGTATAATGAGATGGCCTGTCACTGAGACAAATTGTTTCGGAGAAGAAAAGAAGAACGGAAGTTGTACACTCGTTAACACACAGGTGATCACGCAAAAGCCACACGAACTCTTCCATACTCTTACCCCCGGATATCTTTTGAAAAAGCTTATAAGGTTTTTCCATGTGTCTTCCGGACACATTGAACACCACATACATGATGTTTAATGTGTCCGGAGTGCGTATGGATTTTATAATGAAGTTGAGTATTCAACTGGAGACAGTGTTGAGCACTAATAAGTTGCCACATAATCACCCAATAATAGTATATTTACTCTAAACATATGACTCCATTTAAACGTAAATAAGATTCTTTATTTAATCATTATTTACATAAAATAATTCCAAATTATTTAATATATTTTATAGCTGATACTAGCTTGTTACATTAATTCTGCAAAATAAACTTTAATCAGTTTTGTTTCACTGAAATCATTATTTGCATCAAATGATAAGCTAATCAATATATTTATTTGCAAATATAATGCTAAAAAATCTGAGTTATTGAAAAAACAAAAAAAAAGGAAATTTCTTTGAAAAAAAATAAATTACTTGATCTTATAAAATTGAATTGATAATAATATTTAAATATTCATGATAGTACTCATGGAAAAGGTGGTAATTGTTTTTAATAACTCCATGAATTTTTCAATATTAATTTTTTACAGTAATAATTTACAGTACATGCATGCATGACAGAATACGTAATTCACATTATATTATAACGTTATTGATTTATTTTGAATAAATAATAATCATAAAGATCTGTTAGTAAATTAAAAGTGTAGTTTAATAAATTTATTATTTAATTGCAGACTATTTTAACGGTATCTATTATATTAATCGTTGAAATGGAGAGTAGGTGGAGTAATGAGTAAAGAGTAAATTCGAATTCGTGTAAGCCATTTAATTTTATAGCGTGACTGGCTATTGAAACTTTTCCGAAACGAACTAACAACAGCCGTTTGTGTTTCTTAGTACTCGTGCCTACGTATTATCCTATCGTTCATGTAGACATTATCTTGTATGTATTTTATTTTATTTTATCAAGATTGCACAAGTGAGGTTGTGTATCATGTTGGCCTACATGACATTCCTATCCGATTTATACTATTCGTTGGTTCTTACATTTGATAGTTGGTATGATTAACGATGAAACGATGTATGACGTGTATATAAACAGTAAAAGGTATGAGTTGATTATTCGATCGATAGTGAGCGACAGCTGGCATATGAAAATCATGATAAGAACTTGATCAATGTGTGTGCTATTTAAAAATTAATCAATACTATATCAAATACAACAGCACTCTGCCAATTGTATATCAAAATATTATTTAATCATAGCAATTGGTATTTATTAATCAACTCGGAGATGTTCTTGGTAAACTGATGTTTAATAATATGTAAATGAATACTAATTACTCCAAAAAAAAAAATATGAAGTCATTTTATTCAATATTTATTTTTAAAAATTTTTTCAATTATATTTTTCTCAGATAAACTTATTAATTTAATGATTAATTTATTTTATATTAAAAATGACTCATTACTTATTTTTATTGTTTTATTGTTTAGAATTGTGAGTGAGAGTTTTTAAAATATTCCCGCGAATAACTTATGAAGCAGCGCCACTAGTGGTTATTTATAGAAACATCATGTGTGTAGAGAAGCTCAGTCGCGTTGAAGTAAATGCACGGTTTTCAATCAATTTCTCTCCTTTTTTTTATAAAAAAAGTTGTAATTAGTTAACATATTATTATTTCGTTTATCTACAAATGTTATTATTACGATAGTGTATCCATTTTGTACACATTTTTAATTATGGTTTACATGGTATTCTTCCATCGATAAATGGAAACTAATGGATGCAAAGTATTTGTGAGTGTGAAAATGCCAAAAAATGAGATGACTAATTGTCAAATAATAAAAGTATTTCAAGAATATGATAACTATTTATGAGGTAAATACATTTTTATATGAATATTTGAATTTAAGATCCAATTATCATCATTTTTATCTAAAGTTTTCTGATAAATCTGTTAGTGTATTTGTAATCAATTTATTGATGGTATTGATGATGGTTTTTAGAACTCCAATTATAAATATAATCACTTTGAAGAATCAATAACAATAATGATAATTGCATTCATTGAAAGATATCATATAATCGTAACTGACTTCTGACAACTAATTAATGTATGTAATAGTAATTTTATATTGTAGATTACACAATCAACCTATAACAAACTATTACAACTATTCAGTATATAAATATTTAGCCTAAAGAAACAAATTCTTGTCAGATACTTTTAAAAGCTTGCCTTTCTTTCAATTCTCTGTTACAGAAAACAAAAAAAGTAGTTCATACCTTCTTGAATTTTTCACAAGATATCTAACCTTGGTTCTTTATATTCAAAATAAAAACGACTATCAATCGATACTTGTGGTTTCCATGAAATCTAGATAAATGTTTGTGACTTAACAAGCACATTGCGTTCTTCGTTCCGTGTCATTGCAAGTATGGTTT